GTGCAGTGCATCCATACAGAAACACACGCTCGGTGCATACTAACTGAGCTGCAGGATATGCTGTGTAATGCTTTATGAGTCTGCAGAGTGCCTGTACACTGTTTAAAATGCTTGTCTTGTATTTTTTGTCTTTTTTCTAGTCTGAATATCTAAAATTGTGTAAATTAAAAAGCAATTTCTACACAAGCAGAAAATATTGTTTTGTTTTCAGAAATAATAAGTGTTTTTAAAATGTGATTTTAAAATGTGATTAAGAGTAAGTTTCACATGTTTAAAGTTAAATCAGGTTTATTTTGTACATTAGCATAACAGATATCCACACAGTGAGGTTAGCCTTAACTAAGCTAAGCGCGCTCTGTCTGTCTGTCTGCCTGCCTGCCTGCCTGCCTGTGTGTGTGTGTGTGTGTCATCTGCGGTGTGTGTGTGTGTGTGTGCGCGCGGGCGCGCGCGTTAACTTCGTAACGATATTGTGTGACTCATCAATGCAACTTCACAATACTGATTAGTAAAGGTTAGTTCTTACTGTAGTATCTCACAAACGCTACGTGAGACCTTCTTCCTTTAAGTCTGTCTGTTGTCTGACGCAGCTGAGGGAGGAGGCATGTAGAAATAGTGGGCGGGAAAGACTCGTCTTAAAGGCGCAGTACGACAAAACCACCCCCTGCTGGAAATCAGTATAAAACAGCATCTTGTAAAAGGTATAATGAAAAATCTGATGGGTATTTTGATCTGAAACTTTATATACACATTCTAGAGACGCAAAAGACTTGTATTAAATCTGAAAAAAGGGGTAACCTAGGTGCCCTTTAAAATAGAAACCAACCACTAAAAAAACAACACAATTCATGGCTCACATTCACCATCAGACACGCGCATTTAAACCTGCGTGCCACACTTTGTATTTTTCACGGTGAGAAGTAATGGACAACAAGATTAATTAGAGAAGATGCGCATATGAAAGGACTGTTACCGATCTAATGTTGGAATCCAGCGGTTTCCGCATAAATAACGTGACACAACTGCAAAAACGTTTATTGCTGTAAATATTAACACTGACAAAACTCTACCAGATACAGCGATTCTGCGCAAAATAAAGCAATAAAATGCAACCCACTAGCCTAATGCGAATCATTTATATGAACTGATATAACACAAAATGAAAATGAATACACCTCTGAATGCATGTTCATTGAAAAAAAAAAATCATCTTAAAAAAGGTTTCATTTATATAATTATTATTACAAAACTCTTGTATGCATTATTACATAGAGGTTGTTAAATTTGACTTTTAGATGACAGCTTTTTTTCTTTACCATTTTTAGTTGAGGGGGATAAAAAAGGCCTTAGTTTTTAGAAATGATGAGTTAAAAATAAGTGACTTTTTCTTTTAAACAAGCTAAATAATCTGCCAGTGAGGTAAGTAATATAAAGTTATTTGAAACTAAAAACAGTATTATTTTACTTAATCCACTTGCTGATTATTTTGATTATTTAAAAAAGCTCATGTAATTTTTTATATATCGTTTCTGAAAAAGTCAAACAAACAAACAAACAAACAAACAAACAAACAAACAAACAAACAAACAGTATTTGTAATTTTGTAATTTTTTTATTTTAAGATATTTGAATTAGAATCAAGACAAAAACGAAGAAAAAAAGGAATTTATTACTTATTATTAATTTATCATTGTACTTTATTTTTATCACCTTGTGCTTTATAAATGTATTAGTTAATATTTTTGATAAAATTTTATCTGAATTAAGATTTCATGCTTCCTTTAAATTTCCTAATAGTCACCATTTTTAAAGCTGATGTGTTTGCACACAGCTTCTGAGGCTTTTCATAGTGGAAAGTTTTGTCTATTTTAGTTTGGCCTTTGACACATCTGTTATCTTTTCCCATTGTGTCTGTTTCCTTTAACATGTTAAAGCTTTTTGCACTTTTTATGGTGTTTGTACTGGACATCATCAGCTGATCGAATATTTTTACAGTAAACCCGGACTTGCTTGAATCATATCTTTAAGGGATAGTTCACCTAAAATAAAAAAAAATGAAATCATTGTTTTTCTTTTGCTATTTTTTTCTGATATTTTGAAGAAAGCTGGAAACCTCAACCTGTAACTATTGATTTCCACAGTACTTGTTTTTTTACACACATAAGAGAACCCTACAGAACACGAAATTTGCCTTTCCATACACCAGGTTTACAATTATTTTGATACATAAATCACACTGTGTAGCAGTTATACCAGATACAAATGAACTGAAGCATGAACAGTGATCACACACACCCATTAAAATTAAAGGACCCATCAAAAAATTTTTTATGACCCACTTTTGGGTCAAGACCCAAAGAGAGCATGAGATCTTGTTGGATTAGGATGAATAAAAAATACTTAAGTCTTAATTCTTTTTGCCTTGATATGTTTTTTTTTTACTTTTTACTTTAGTGCCAGTAGACACTGCCTTGCATTACAATTTCCAAGTAATATGGTTTCAGCTAAACATCTTTTTTAATGTTCTACTGAAGATAAAGCAAACTTTACATATTGGACGACCTGAGGCTGAAGAATTGTTCTGTTTTGCTTTCTATTAAGGGTGCAGTAGGTGATTGTCTTGAAAGTCTCTTCACATTTTTTATCCAGTTAAATATTTGGGCATATATTAAATGTTGGGCCGACATCTTCCATTAATCTGATAAGTAGCCCAAACTGTCTGTCAACAAATGTAGATTTGTACATCTGCGCATCTGATCGCGCAGATCCACTATTTGTGCGTATATGCACGCAGCATGTATACGTACACACAAAAGAGAGAGCGGTAAAAACAAATGCTTAATCAAAACTTTATTATTATTATTGGAGTTACTTTTGCACGCTTGGGGAAGGACGACACCATGACTGAAGTATTTCTGTTAGAGGTAATGTTTTGTTTTAAAAGTATTTTTGTCACACAGAGCTGATGTAGATTGAGTTGTTATGAATGGGTTATATGCACAGAAGTGTTGTTCAGCCACTAAAATCTTCTGGCGAACGATTGATGTGACTAATTTTCAGTTTCATAAGGGACCTTTTACAACATTGATAATGTAGATTTTTATTTAGTTTAACAACAAAACACAAGTAAATATTGCCTAGCCTGCTTTACTGAGGTCATCACATTGGTTAATTTTTTTAACAAAATTGTGTTTCTCTGTGTTTATGAACTGTGTTTTGATTTTCCAAATTGGATTTTGCACATGTGAATTGTGCTGTGGATGTATGAGTTTTACTTTGTAAATGTGCTATTTTTGAGACTGATCTGGCTCCATATTTAAATATCACAAGTAAGGATGGGTATCGTTTTTAATGGTATTACTACTTTTATTGATATCACTTATTGGTTCAGTACTTTAACGGTTCTCTTATCGGTACTTTTTGTAGTGTTTTTTTTTTATGGAAAAAAAAAAACTGAACAGAATTAACAACACTTTATTTTATTATTATGTTTTTAATGTAAAATAAAAGAAAACCAATAATTGTAAAACAAATTAAAAAAAGAATGCACAATGGTTTGAAGGAAAATAACTCTCAGTTTTTAACCTTTTTATCTGGAGAAAAATCAACTTGTTTGACTTTTCTAGAAGATGTCGGGATCTTTCTTGGTTTATTGTGTTTCCTGCAGTTGAAAAATACCCTCTTTTAGGTGCAAAATGCAGTTAATGATTTTTCAATAACACACTCACATAAATGAGTTAACAGTGTTTTAAGAGTTAACTTTATTTTTATTACAGTTTTTGGGCATCCTGCAATGTAAAATTAAGCAGTTTTTTTTTATTTCTTAATAAGCATAGTTTATTATTAGGCTATTCATTGGCTAAATTTGTAAACTCAGCTGGTGTAAAAGTATTTTAATGTTTAAGATTTATTTAGGCTACTGCAGAAAAAAATACAGTTTTCATTGTGTGTTTTTTCAGCTAATAATATTATACTAATTTAGGGGATTGACTGCTGACATAACGATGTTGATGATGTAAAGTTACCGTTAGTAGCTAGGCAGTCAAAAACTTTTCATTACTTTACATTGCAGTTAATGCACTTTTGAAAGATACTTTCACATAGCCAGATTGCTTGTGTTTCCGCTTATACAATAAAAAACTTGTTGCATTTGTTGCAAGGGAAATACAACCTGTTTGGTTCAATCTGCAAGCTTACGGGCTGTGTGTGCATGAGTCTGTGTTGCAAGTTATGTGTGTAGGCTTAGTGGGAGCCTCAGCTGAGTGCGCGCACACAGCCGAGAACTGTGAAGCCAAGAACGTTCGCCAGAAACACAAGCATTTCTCATGTGAGATTGACGACCGTGCAGACGGATATCATATATGCAAATTAGAAAAGGTTGGTCAGTTAAATTAGGCCAGTGGATCTCAAACTGTGGTACGTGTACCACTAGTGGTACGCAGGCTTCCTTCTAGTGGTACACGGAGTAATGAAATATGTCATGTACATGCTACATATATTTAAAAATGTATTAAAATGATGTATATAATATGCCATATATGACATATAGCCTATATTTCTGAGGTAATCTGCCACGTTTTTTTTTTTAAATGTGCCTACTACATTACTGTATTTCAATACTGCTTATTTTGGTGGTACTTGCAGAGACAATTTTTTTCTGAGGTGGTACTTAATGAAAAAAGTTTGAGAACCACTGAATTAGGCTACTGTAAGTAATGTTTTTTTTAGCAATAATTCTCCAGTACCGATTGCAGAACCGTTAACGTCAGAGCTTATTGATACTTCGGCCTTTTACAATGTAGCACCGATCCCGATGAAGCACAGAGTTTCAGCATCCATCCCTAATCATAAGTCATATCATAAGTATCATATCATAAGTAGAATCCAAATAGTAAAGCGGAAGAAATGAGTCAGAGCAAGATAAACACAGCAACAGAAGTACAGCTTTGTAATCAAAGCACTATTGGGGTTCACTAAGTTATTTATTCCTCCTGTTTTTCCAGCACAAACCTCCTTTTGAAGTCAACGATCTCTTCGAGGACATCAAGGATGGGGTGAAACTGCTGGCTCTGCTCGAGGTGCTGTCTGGCCAGAGATTAGTAAGTGTTGATGTGATGCAGTACCGTATCTGCAGATTATCCCAGTGTGAAACCTCTGCATTGAGCGGCTTGTGTGCATCTTTAGCCCTCAGAGTGTGTTTAATGTCAGGATGATGGGCTAGAGTCCTCCTTCCTTTCATTTCTGCCACTGATAAGCTTCTTCTTTCATGCCTGCAGCCATGCGAACAGGGCCGCCAACTCAAAAGGATCCACTGGGTGTCTAACATTGGCACAGCTCTAAAGTTCCTGGAGGGAAGGAAGGTAGGTGACTTTATGCACAATCTGGTTATGTCATCTGACTTGTTTAACTGCTCATCTGTCTTAATTATAGCGTTAGATTCGGTGTAACACTCCCAGCCGGGCCATTTATGCGCTGTATAGTGCTTTTAAATGATTAAAAGTGAACAGACTTGTGCTATAATTCAGGGTCGTGTAGAAGAGGATATACCAGACTGTCAGAATTATGCTCTGGTCAAAATCAAGCAAGGACAGGAGATGAAAAGGATGGAATTAAAGAGCTAAAATTAGTCATTTGTATGGCCAGAGAGAATCTGCAGACTGTTTTGCTATTCCTGTGCAGAATCTGTGGATTTATTCTTGAGAGAGTGTAGAAACTAAAAACTTAAAGGTGATGTATAAAAGTTTTTGACTCTTCTAAAACATAAAAATACTATAATATGTTTGCAGAGATTTTAGAAACATGCTAAGTAAAACTTCTTGTTTATCTGAAAGTCAGATATTCTGCTTTAAATATGCTTTCCGTGTCAGAACGGTTGTCTTTGTTTTGGTCTCTTTAACCCATCCAATGTCAGTTTAGTAAGGGTGTCACGATCCTCCATATCCTTGATTCGATTACATTTTCGATTCTTAAGTCACGTTTCGATTCGATTTTTGATTGTGAATAATTAATTAATTAATAACAAATTAATTATTAGTAGCCTACTGTTTAAACTACCTGACTTGCATGGTCTTTGTTTTACCCATAAACAAATCATACAGTAAATGAATAAAGGCAAGATACACACATAATTACCACCTGTCAATCACTTTTTTCTGCGGGACTTGTGAATAGGCAGTGATCTGTGTCATTATAATGGCGTCGGTAAAAAAGGTGCACAACCAACAGAAACCAGCCAACAGTATCTGAGGTGTTCGCTAAAATGACTAAGTACTTGTGTGAAAGTAAGAGATGGAAGCAGTCTAGATGACCCGCTGACTGCCTTGACCCGCTGTCTCGAGGGCATGACAATGTGTGTGCGTCTGTATCTGTGTGTGAATATGTGAGTGTGTGTGGTCACGTGATGTGCGTTTTCAGCGGTAGTGAGGAAGGAGGGCTGCTCAGAAATGCTACACGCCAGTGTGGATGTGGATCGTTGTTGTTCTAAAATGCCATTTAAAAACAAAGACATATTAGAGTAAACAGGGCCTGAGTGTGTATTTTCGCGAGCGGATTTGCAACGGGTGCGGGGCGGAGGATCGCGATGCGCCCATCGTCTATCATCCCAACCGTAATACGTACATAGCAGAGCTTGCAAACTGTTTTTTTTGTCGACAACACGAACGTTGTCAACATCACTAACTGGAAATCAAAAATACTTCCACACCGGCGACTTCATTGAAAGAGGAGAGGGTTTAAGTTCTGTCGACGGGTCTCGAGCATCTGCAGTTTAACAAGCACTTCAACAAGCATGTTTTTTTCCCGCTTGGCAAGCCAAGCTAACGTGACATGGGGGCGTGGCAGCATCGACGATTCAATTTTTTTATTCGATAATCGAAGTTGAGCATAAATTTCGATCGATTTCGATTAAAAATTGAAATCGTGACACCCCTACAGTTTAGCCAATTATATTTTCAACCCAGGCTCATTCTGAAAACGTAGTCCCGTGGACATTTCTGGAGAGTGGAGACCGTGAAATACATTCCGGGAATTACGTATTTTTGCAGTTTTTGTTTTCGCAAATCCACAAAGGGCTGCTGTGTGCGCTTTTTCATACCTCAAATTTCTCTCGCGAGTGCCATTCGCGCCCGCTGTTCTCACGTAACCAGAGGCCAGAGGCCGCTGTCAACCTACCGTCTGTCTGAATGACTGACTGAATGACTGAATGAATGACCGACTGCTCGGCCTACCAATCGATTGACTCCCCCCCCCCCCTCCTCCTTCCCTAAACCCAACCAATTTTAACTGTTGACCCGCCCACCCACTTACTTCTCTAAACCCAACCAACGATTTACAAAAGCCGGCCAGAAAAAGAAAAGGCCTCGTCTGATTTTTACCACGTTTTCGGATTTTAAGACATTCTCACCCTGTTATTCACTTGTTCATTTTAGTTTTTGGATACTGTTTTTGTCTTGCCTGATTTCTGGAACCACTCTTCTCCGGACTCGAACCCTGTCGTCGTCGTGGTTAACTCCTCTCTGGCGCCTCAAGTCCGCCGACGTACACAACGAGCTAACTGGACAAACTGGTTGCAGTGAGAAAGCCCTCCACATGGAGGCAAGCGGTCAGCTGGTATGCGTGAAAAGAAACGGCATCAAACCGCCCCATATCGTTCGTTTAAAAATATGAAATGCAGCCATATGTACCTCCGGCTACATAATTTACAGTCTCCAGAAACGTCCACGGGACGACGTTTTCAGAATGAGCCTGTGTTGTATTTTTCAGCACCCCGGGCTACCTTTATGTCAAACCACATATTTAATTCATTCAGTCAGGAAGGCTCTCAAAGTCACCAAACATCACCACTCTTGATTAATACCTTACATATAAAATAAACTGTAACTCAAAGCAATTACTGGACTATTGGCGATTTTTACTAGGGCATGTGCCCCAGTAAATGGGGTCTATCGACACCCCTGGATTTAGCCATATCTGTAGTTTTATTTGCTCCTTGTATGCTGTATGTCCATATGTCCCCGTCTTCATGTTGTGTTTCTAACTGTGTCCTTTCTCTTAACATGTCTTGTCTCAGTCTGTGTACAGAGGGTCTCCGGTCAGTACTTTGTCTAGTTACAGTTCCCACAAACACCTGCTGTTGATACACATATCTGCATTTGAGGATGTGTACTGTATGCAGTGAGCATTCGTTACTGATATCTGCTGTATCTGCTACATGGCTGAAAGAGCTGCACTTATTTTTAGAAAGCTTGTTTTTTATCTTCTGCAGCATCTCTTATGATGTCCATGACTGGCTGACCATCAGAGAATTGCACTTTTCTTTGTTCACTCATGTTCTTCATATGCACAGTGTATTTATATTTGCTTATTCCTGAAGAAGTGAATAAGACTGACCACTTGATTTTGTTTTACACAACATGGTATCAAAATGAGCTGTATTTATGTTTCTGAATGCACGTTTTTGGTCTTATTCTGCACGATTCATTGGCCGATAATGCTGGTTTAGAATGCCTTGTTTTGCAGATGCACTGACCTCAGATCATTGAAGTGCTATTGTTGGTTTTATTTATTTTTTTGTTAACAACTGTTTATTGAGTTTTTCAGGAAAAAATATAAAACGGAAAAAAACAAGTGTAAATTTAAAACCCACTCCCACCCATCCCACCCCTGGTAGACTTCAAAAGTTCAAAATAATAATAATAATAATAAATAAATAAACAAATCAAATAATTTTACATAGGAATTTTACAAAGACTTCAAAAAGGATTACACAACATTATTGTTGGTTTTATTAATTGTTTGATTTATATATTGATTATTTTTGGTTGAATTTTCAGGAATATTTTAGTAATTCATTTTTACAGGGTTTCTGCAGATATCATAATGTCAAATTTAAGACTTTTTAAGACCATTAAGTATTAAATTTAAGACCTATATTACAACATCAAAAACACGCATACACATAAAGACAAAATACGAAAATCACAAAATTTGTATAGTGCTTTTACAATGTTGATTGTGTCAAAGCAGCTTCACATAAATGGTCATAGTAACTGGATCAGGGTAGTTCAGTTTTTAGTGTTTAAGTTCAGTTCAGTTTAGCTCAGTTCAGTGTGGTTTATAATCATTACTGAGAGTCCAAACACTGAAGAGCAAATTCATCGATACGTAGCTCTACCGATCCCAAACCATGCAAGCTAGAGGCGACAGTGGCGAGAAAAAAACTTCTCCAATAGGAGAGTGAAGAAAAAAAAACTTGAGAGAAACCAGACTCAGATGGGCACGACCATTTTAATTTCTCCGCTGGCCAAAGGTCTTGTGCAGAGCTGCAGTCTCAGCGGTGGAGGCTGGAAGCTGGCCTCAGCGAAGACTCATCTGTCCCTGGAGCGTCACAGTCAGTCAGAAATATAGTCTCATGTCCCACTCCTCCATGACCAGCACAGCAGCAGCTCAGGATATGGTCTGGTCCCTGATATGGAAACCTTAAGATAATCTCTTCGCTTGTCTTGGATCCAATCAGTGACTCTGTATAATCTGAGGACCTCAGGATGAGTATCCCCAGGTGGAAATGGAGAATAAAGAGAATAATTAGCGTAGCTGCTGTTCATAGTGTATATAAGCAAGATGCAGAAACCTGTATGGAAACCCGCTAAGTGATGCATTGAGTGTATGCTTTACTAAACAGATAGGTCTTTAATCTAGTCTTGAACTGAGAGAGTGTGTCTGAGCCTCGGAGGTTATCAGGAAGGCTATTCCAGAGTGTAGGAGCCATAAAGGAGAAGGCTCGACCTCCCTTACTCGACTTTGCTATTCTAGGTACTACCAGAAGCCCTGAGTTTTGAGATCTTAAAGAGCGAGTTGGATTGTTGCGAGACAGAAGGTTGGTAAGATAAACAGCAGCTAGATTATTTAAAGCTTTATAGGTGAGAGTTATTATTTTAAATTCAATACGAAAATTAACAGGCAGCCAGTGTAAGGAGGATAAAATTGGGGTGATATGATCATATTTTCTAGACCTGGTAAGAACTCTGGCAGCTGCATTTTGTACTAATTGAAGTTTGTTAATAGTGGATGCTGGGCAGCCAGCAAACAGAGCATTACAGTAATCCGGCCTAGAAGTCATAAAAGCATGGACTAGCTTTACTCCATTTGAGATGGATAGCATATTTCATAATTTAGCAATATTTCTCAGATGAAAGATGTTGTCTCTGCAGTGTCTGGCTCAACATTCCTGACCATTATAAGAAATAAAGCCTAATAAAACTGGACACCAGTATACTGTAAACCGATAGGTTCAAATATTATTTTCCAGTTATCAAAAAAATTATTTGTTTCTTAATTATAGTTTTTTAATTGTTAAATGATTTTAAATTTAAAACTGTAATATATACATAAGTGTTAAACCTATAAATGATGGAAAAATATATTCTGTAATTGTGTACCTGGTTCTTCACTGTTGCCATGACCTCTTACCTCTGACCTTAACAAACTTATCCCTCAGGTTTTTCCAAATTTTGCAACAAAAACTTTCTTCTTTCTTTTCCTTTCCCACTGCTGTTGCAATTTCTAGCTAAGAATTATTGTTCATCTGGTTATCACTATATGATCACGCTTGGACGGATCATAGAGTTGTCATACCTGCTTTAGTCAAAGTGATTCATATTTAACTCAAATGAAACATGGCACAGAGTGAACTGTTCGCTTGAGTCTCAAAATATTTTGTTCGCTCCTCTAGCCGAAATCATGTCGTGAGCACCCAAAGCGAATATCCGCAAACTCTGCGATGACGTCACATTTGCCATGCGCACTGCTTCAATAGCAGAAAGCTAATTGGTTATTTCATGTTGGTCTCATTTGTAGTTGTAATACTGTAAATTACATTTGGACTAGTAAATAAAGAACTACAACACCACAAAAACCAAGCAACAACAACAACTAAAATTTAAATGAGCATTAGATGTAGTTTTACATGGAAATCGGAAAAATAAGACCTGTGCAAAAATATTTAAGACCAACAACAGTGAATTTAAGACTTTTTAAGACGCCACAGAGACCCTGTTTTAGTATTTGTGTGCTATTAATATTTCTAAACAGTTATTATATTTTGTTTTTATTTTAGTACATTAAGTTAAACTACAGGAAGATTTCTTTGGTAACTAAGTGCAATAGATTTAATGTTTTCAATACTGTAGATTTTATTTTTAATACTGTCTGTTTCATTTGATGTTTTAGTTTTACAAGTTTAGTCCACTATATTAACCTTATAATAACAGTTTAACTATACTTTAAGTAAGAGTTTCTAACATGACAGGTATTTATTTTGCAGATCAAACTAGTCAATATCAATGCTACTGATATTGCTGATGGACGCCCGTCAATTGTCTTGGGGCTGATGTGGACCATTATCCTCTATTTCCAGGTAATGTTTTCCAGTTAAGATGGTAGGATCAAGAAAATTGTCATATATCTATGCACAGTCATGTGAAAAAAAGTTTGGACACCCTTTTGAATTTCATGGTTTTAAATATCAGAAAATCATTATACATAAACAACAACATGGTAATTGGCAGATCTAAAAATTTGAAAGATAAAAAATCAGATGAATGACATCTCACAGTATGTCATTATTAATTTAACAAAAATAAAGGCAAAATATTTGCCAGTGATGGGTTGCAGTTGGAAGGGCATCCGCTGCATAAAACATATACTGGATAAGTTGGCGGTTCATTCCGCTGTGGCGACCGCAGATTATTAAAGGGACTAAGCCGAAGAGAAAATGAATGAAAGCCAAAATAGAAAAGCCATGAGTGACAAACTAGTCCAGACCAACACACTGGAGTTTTGCTAACACCAGTGATGGGAATAACGACGCTATAAATAAATGGTGTTACTAACGGCAATACTTTTTTCAGTAACGAGTAATCAAATGAATTACTGTTACAATGCTGTTACCATTACTGACAATAAAAAATGCATATTACTATAACTGAGAACACTGAAGTGGTTTTCATACCAGCAGCGTCTCTCTCAGCCATAGGGCTTCTCTTTATGTGAGATGGGTGCATGTCTTCGGGGCTGGTGTCTGTGAATGTGGTGTATTTGAAAACATGATTATAGGCTTATTTCCCAGAGATGAGTTGTGGCTGGAAGGGCATCCGCTATGTAAAACATGTGCTGGATAAGTTGGCGGTTCATTCACTCTGGCGACCCCGGATTAATAAAGGGACTGAGCCGAAAAGAAATGAATGAATGAATGAATCATAGTCTTAGAAATAGTTCATTTGCCAATTAGATGCAGAGTAGGGCGGGTGTTCACATTAACATATGCAGTTAGTCACACACACTAACAACCAGGACTCAGAACTATGTTAAATCCAACAAGTTGACAGGTAGCGCTAGCAAACTGGAAAAATATATGCACTACCTTTCCCTCGTTGAGGTGAAAGGCAAAAATGTTTATGTATCGTGCAGCTCAGCCCAGGAAAAAAAGTCTCTCTGCGTCACTGACAAGTAATTCTAATCTAATGAAGCACCTTATGCAGCCACAAAATGAGTGGCTACGCAGGTGATAACTTGAGATCTGCTACTAAAGGAGGAGATGAAGCCACAACTGTCACAATTACCAGCGATCTTATGGAAACCGATTGCTGGTCTCACTCATAACCATGGACTACACTTCCGCCTTTGATGGACTACATAGTCATACATGCACTCTGGTCACACTTACACATGCTTACTCATTTAGACTGATTACATTCACACCACCTGAGGATTGTCAGAGACTGATTGCACAACTATTTAAGCCACACACTCACCCTTTCAGTTGCCGAGTCTTGTTTATCCTTCGATGACACTACAACCCGTTTTTCCTTGTCTTGTTTACCCGTGTTTAGACCAAGCCTTGTATTCCTGTTCTCCCTGCCTGCCACCGGCCTTTTGACCTATCCCCTGTTTACTGATTACGACTCTGGACTGCCTACACATACCCGTTTGCACCTGTATTGACCATTGCTTGCCTGACGACGAATAAACCTGCATATTGGATCTTACCCCAGTTGTTCTTTGTTATCCCCCGTGGTTACAACAACGTCAAAGCAGATAACACTCTCTTTTTTTCTCCACCGCAATCACTTATTACTCAGACAGACTTAAACAAAATTATATCTAGATATATAGTTGAGAACATGTACAATGTTTTATACTTATTTTATATAGATTTTTTGGTCCCACTTTATATTAAGTGTCCTTAACTACTATGTACTTACATCAGAAAATAAATACAATGTACTTACTGTGTTTATAATGTATTTGAGAACACTTGCGGTGCTCTTGAGTTTTGATAGGGGTTGGGTTATGGACAGGTTTGGTGGCATGGGTAGGTTTAAGGGTGGGGGGATGGTCAACAGTGTATTTACAAATGTAATTACAAAAGTTTATTACAGATGTAATTACATACATGTATTTATTCAAGCATAAGTACACAGTAAATACATGTATTTACACAATAAGTACATTGTAACAAACTATTAGTTCCTATGTAAGTACATATTAGTTAAGGCCACTTAATATATAGTGGGACCGATTTTTTTTTTACTTAAATCAATCGTTACTTTTCCTGCTAATTAGTTACTTTTATAACTATGTAACTCAGTTACTGTTTGTGAGAAATAACTAGTAAAAATAACTAATTACTCTTTTAAAGGAACGTTTTAAAGCCCAACACTGGCTAAGGGTGTTTTCACACCTGATTTATTTAGTTCGGTTGAATCGCACTGGAGTTCGTTTTCCCTCTTGGTGCAGTTCGTTTGGGCAGGTGTGAATGTAGCAATCGTACTCGAATGCGCAGCAAAAGCAGACCAAACAAACGTACCAAGACCTCCTTGAAGAGGTGGTCTCGGTACATTTTGAAACGAACCTTAGAGTGGAACCTTAAGACAGACCCAACCGCAAAAAGTACTGCTCCTTTCTGGACTAATCGAGCTGCCGCAGTCCCATGGACTGTGCATTATGGAGGAAAAATATTTGTTTATAGCTTTACCAACAACTTTAAACAGAGAGAGAGAGAGAGAGAGAGAGAGAGAGAGAGAGAGAGACATTACCAGATGGATCGTTGGCAACATTTCCCAAAAGATGACCATGTTGCAGTTTAGCAAAATTAATTCACGCCTCCTCCTGAAGCGACGTATGATGTGTCTATGCCATTTGAAATGCATTAAAACATTGTTTTATAAAACTGCAGCCGCACTTCATTCTCAAAATGTATTGCTTGTCTAAAGTAATGTATACAAACTTTATAGTATACTATGAGCAGGGATACAATCAGCCAGCGCAGTCGTCCCTCCATAATAAAAAGCTAAATTTTGTGTCTGCCGGTTTGTTTACTTGCGGGAGTTCCATTGGCATTTTCCTGCACATTAATTCTGAGCTATCGAAAAGCAGTTTAGGAAGTACATTCAATAACATCTGGCCAATTAAATTAAATTCACCTTTATTTGTATAGCGCTTTTACAATGTAGATTGTGTCAAAGCAGCTTCTCAAAGAAGATTATAGTGAATTGAAACAGTGTCAGTACAGTTTAAGTGTTTAAGTTCAGTTCAGGTTAGTATGGTTTAATATTTACTACTGAGAGTCTAAACACTGAAGAGCAAATCCATCGATGCGCAGCTCTACAAGTCCCGAACTATGCAAGCCAGTGGTAACTGCGGTGAGGAAAAAATTTCACCAATTGGCGAAAGTGAAAGAAAAAAAAACCTTGAGTGAAACCAGGTTCAGTTAGGCACGGCCATTTCTCCAATAAGTCATGTGGATTTATCACATGACTGATTTTTGGTTCTTTTCATCTGGTTCGGACCAAAGCTATCAGTGTGGTTTAAAAAGGACCAAAAAGCGGCAGAAAAATGCTACAATGTATCATTTATTGCTCTTGTTCCGGACCAAATGAACTGAACCACAGATGTAAAAGCACCCTAACATATATGCTGGCCATATGCTAACACTAGATGTTGTTGTGCATCTTAGATATTATTTCCCACATTTTAAGACCAGCCTATGAACAGTTCATTGTTTATGTTCTGATATAAAAACATTTCAATTTAATAGGGTGTCCTAACTTTTTCACATCACTGTATATTTATATGTTGAGGCTCTATCCTGTCAAACTCTTGCAGATTGAGGAGCTGACCAGTAACCTCCCAGCCCTTCAGGCTTTATCCAGCAGTGCGTCTTCAGTGGACAGCATGGCCAGCTCTGAGACCGGAAGCCCACCAATGAAACGCAAGGTGGTCACCAAGTTTCAGGGCAATGCCAAAAGAGCTCTGCTCAGATGGGTCCAAAACACAGCAACCAAGTATGTCATCCATTTACATTTACATTTAGTCACTTAGCCGACGCTTTTGTTCAAAGTGACATACAATTGAGGAGGCATTCAGCGATTCAACAAGAAGAGGAAATACACACCATTTAAATAGGTGGAAAAATGGTCAAACTTTACAATAAGCTTTCATTAGTTAATGCTAGTTAAGATTTACTAACTTGAACTAAGCATGAACAATACTTGTACAGCATTTATAAATCATAGTTCAACATTTACTCATGTATTATTTAAATCCAAATTCATGCTTGTTAACATTAGTTAATGCACCATAAGTTAGCATGAACTAAGAATGAACTACTTTATTACCAATAATGAACATTAACTAACATGAACAAAAACTGTAATTAATGTATTGTTCATTGTGTGTTCATGTTAGTAAAGGCATGAACTTATATGACCTTATCAACATAGGCTCATTCTGAAAACGTAGCCTTATATACATTTCTGGAGATTGCAAATTATGTACCCAGAGCTACGAATGGTTGCATGTCATCTTTAAAATGAACGCTACAGGGAGGTTTGACGCTGTTCCTTTTCAAGCTTACCAGCAAACCACTTACCTCCCTACGACGACAGAATTCGAGTCTAGCAAAGAACGGATTCAGAAAGCAGGTAAAAGAAAAACAGAATCCAAAAAATGAAATGAACAAGTAAATAACAGGGTGAGAATGTGGTAAAATCTGAAAACGTGGTAAAAAATCCGTCGAGGGCTTTTCTTGTTGGGTTGGGTTTAGGGAAAGAGGAGGTTGAGTCAGTCCATTGGTCAGTCAGTCAGTCGACAGCAGCCTCTGGTGGATTTACGTGAGAACAGCAGGCACGAATGGCACTCACAGCGAAATTTGAGATCATCAAAAAGCCTACACAGCAGTCTCTTTAAGCCACACACTCACAAAAACTGCGAAAAAATGTAGCTCCTGGGACATATTTGGCGCTCCCCAGAAAAGTATATAGCGATTCGTTTTCAGAATGAGCCTGGTTTGGACCTTGTTGTAAAGTGTTACCAAAAAATGATTACTTCCGACTAGTATCTATTTGTTGCAAGAAAATTTCATGATGAAAACCAGCTGTATCGGCAAATCTGGATGTTTTTTTTAAGTGATTAAATGAAATGCATGTCAACCAACAGGAACTGAATTGGCTTAATTGTAAATAAGTCCCCTAATAAGTCACTATTTCTTTTGCAAGGCGTCTTGGGATTGAAGTTAAAGACTTTGGTGCTAGTTGGCGTAGCGGCGTAGCCTTCCATTCTGTTATTCATGCCATTCGGCCAGAACTCGTGGACATGGACGTCGTGAGGAAAAGAAGCAATCGAGAAAACCTGGAAGAGGCGTTCAGTGTAGCAGAGAATGAGCTGGGAATACCACGCTTACTAGATCCTGAAGGTACTGATGGGGCTTATTTTCCTGCAAAATCTCTTTCATTTCCCTTAAAATGAGCTATATAGAATTTTAGAATCACAGCATTGTTTTAACATGTTTTTTGGTGTGTAATATAATTATCTTTTTTTTTTAACTTTTTTCCCAATTAAACGGCTGCACTTGTATTTGTAAACATTTGACTACATTACAAACTCTGTGGATGGATAAGTAATTTGAACAGCATATAGAGAAACACTTTCGCATGTCGAGATAATATGTGTGTGTGCTGGTGCTCACCAGCTGCTTTACATACACATGCGTCAGCTTGAAGGTAAACAAACAACGGCTTATCAAGCGTTTTATCGCTATATATATATTTTTTTTTTACACAGTTGGCATTAAGAATGAACATAGAAACATTATTTGACTAAAATCAAGCAGCTAAATGTGTCTGGAAATATGTTCACATGCTTTTATTCTCATAAACCGCGCGGACATGAATGCATCTGAGTGTTCTGATTGGCTAAATTAGACATCTTACGTCAGCGAACTCTTTCCGGTAATCTTCCTTCGGCGTTCACACAGCGCAGCATGCTGGCAAATTACCAGTAATGTTACAACATCTCTTTCTGGAAAATAGCCAGAACAAATTTAGCAGTATTTTCAAAAAGGGCCTGTTCACACATATAGACCTTTCCGGAAAATTGACGGTAATTTTCCGGAAAGGTCTGTATGTTTGAAAGGGGCTTATGTCTCACTTTGCCTTGAACTTTGAGCATATTACATTCAGAGATGTTGTTTCTGTTCACATATCTACATTACACATCAACTAAAGTTTAAAATATAATATGGTTGTGGACCACCCCTCTAAAATTAGTAGTAAAATATTATGTACTTTCATCAAACCAAAATATTAAGATATTAGATATACAAAGCTAGTAGTCATTTGAAGTTAGATATTAAAGTTATTATGTTTAAAAATGCATTGAAAAAAATCTCTTTGAAATATTTAAAAAATAATACGAATTTACTTTTCACTAGTAAAAAAACTTGAAAAAAATTATACTTTTAGGTTTAATAAATTGAAGCAAATTGTTTAAATTGACCCAACTTTTTTTAAAAACAAAAAAAGAAAGAAAAGAGTAATTGTAAGTAATACAATACATTACTAAAACAATAGCTCTGTCCCAAATTATGCAATATACACTTTGTGCTTATGTAGTACATGCACTCAGATATCTAGTGTTTGAACTTTCCCAAGTCTTTTCACTGTAAAAAAAAATGCAGGATTCAACACAATTCCTTAATGTTGTCCCAACACAAATCAATTAAGTTAACTTAATCATTTCCTAATCATTTATTAAATTAATCAATTTTCCTTCGGCTTAGTCTCCATTTCAGAGGGCGCCACGGCGGTATGAACCACCAACTAACCCAGCATATGTTTTACGAAGGGGATGCCCTTTCAGAGACAACCCAGAAAAAAAAATAAGAATTGTGTTGTTTCAACTCATTTTAAAGGGAAAATGAAGCACACAGTCAAGTTTACAGTCTCCTTTACTTCCTTTGTATCTGTTCAGCTGAGGGAACTAAACCAACCCCGTGACGTCAGACTCAGCAACATTCCAAGATGGCTGCGCCCTAGGTCTAAAATCTGTAGTAAAACAAGCCATTTTCTTCTAAATTGCTACATTAATCGAGTTTGTTTAATATATTTTCATTAAAGTGGAATCCAATGTACAAAATAAGGTAAACTTGAATGAGTGCTTCATTTCCCCTTTAAATAAATAGTTTGAACAGTGTTGTTTTTTTGTGCAATTAAAGCTAATTGTAATTAAAACAGCATAAAAACACAGCCGCAAATCAGTAGTTCTTAAACTACCGTGAACATACATAAAAGTAGACGACTGCTCCACTGATACTTATACTGTGTGAATGATTCAGTCAATGATCTGTTGTGCTTTTGAAGAGCCACTCATTTGTTTTGAGTTGATGTGAAAAGACGCCACTTAATTATACTGGGGATCCGCCATCATCGGGCCTCATTACAGACAGACGCTTTTATTGTTTATGTAGGTCATGCTGTTATTCAAGCATGACATCAGGCCAGATCAAATACACACAGCATGACATCATGTGATGTAGGAGAAGCCCTTTGAAGAGGCTATAAATAGCCTCATTTTGCTCTTCAGGGGCCTCATGTACGAAGACCTGCGTGGAAATCATACTAAAACAATGCGTACACAAAGCTGTAAATGTGCGTACGCAGAAAAAAATTCAGATGTATGAAACACTGCGTACGCCGAATCCCACGCATATTCATTGTACATCCGAATGAACGTGAAACTGAGCTCAACATGCACGAGCGCAAAACCCCTCCCTGCCTCCTCCCCCGTATGAATATGCTAATAACTCTACTTTGGCAAAACCAAACGAAAAAGCAATGGCTAAAGCAAGCAAAAAGAGAAACTTTGAACAGAATGTAAATTGGAGGTGCTTCTTTCGGAGGTAGACCGGAGAAAAACTGTTATTTGCTAGTTTGTCCTGCGGAATTAACAACAAAAGAAAAAAATAGAGTGGGAGAGTTTAGCTGATGCGGTTAACACAGTTGGGTCTGAACATCACACTTTGTTGATTAAAAAAATAAACAGTGAGATGTATAGGTGCAAATGAGGTAGTACCCTTAACAGTCTGAGTGGCGTAGCTAGTACAACGCATGTCATCATGTTTTGACGCGTTCGAGCATGAACTCGGTTCGAATCCAGCGTCTGCTGAATTCATTCTTTCCCCCATCATTAATAATAATCATTAATAAGTCTGTGCATCATATTTTATTTGCACATTTATTGAATGGAAATGTTTCTGATTCACGTTTTTTTAATTTATCTTCAGATGGTGCCTTCATAGCAATCTGCGTGCAGTAGATAGCTCCCATTACATTGGGAAAACAGGCGACCGCTGCAAATTGCGCTTTAATGTTTAGTTGGTCAACTGTATGGTATGGAAAACTTATATACCTGCTAGATGAACCCATCTCATACAGCTGCCATTGCACGGCTCAGACACTTTGTGGAGTGCAATTTAACACAACTGCCTCTAGGAGTCGCCAATGGAAATAAAACAGACACGCACAAAAAATGTGTGTACGCCAGCCATAAAGCTGGCGTGGAGCTGCGCACATTCCCACGTTCAGTTCATTGTTAGTAAATCCAAACGTGAGCCATTCTGAGCATGAAACCTGGCGTACGCAAAGTTTTTGTGAGTATGCAGCGTTGATACATGAGGCCCCAGGTCAGTGGATTGTATTTTATTTTATTTTGTTTTATTTTATTTTATTTTTACTTTTTTTATTTTTTTAAATATTTAAAATATTTATTAAATATTTATTAAAAATATTTATTTTTATTTTAATTTAGTTTTTATTACATTTATTACATGTTTTATTTTACTTTTTACTTTAGTTTATATTTTAAAATATTTTCTTTTTTATATTTTCTCTTATTTTTATTTTTATTATTTATTTTTGTTTAATTTTTTATTTTATTTTATTTTATTTATTTATTTATATTTTTATTTTATTTTATTTAATTTATTAATTCATTCATTCATTTTCGGCTTAGTCCCTTTATTAATCTGGGGTCACCACAGCAGATTGAACCGCCAACTTATCCATCATATGTTTTATGCAGTGGATACCCTTCCACCCACAACCCATCACTGGGAAACACCCATACTCTCTCATTCACACACATACATACACTATGGACAATTTAGCCTACCCAATTTACCTGTACCGCATGTCTTTGGACTTGTGGGGGAAACCGGAGCACCCGGAGAAAACCCAGGCAAACACAAGGAGAACATGCAAACTCCACACAGAAATGCCATCTGACCCAACCGAAGCTGGAACCAGCGACCCTCTTGCTGTGAGGCGAACGTGCTACCCACTGAGCCACCATGCAACACTATTTGTTTTATTTTTATTATTAATTTAATTAACATTTTATTTTAGAGTTTAAGATTATGTATATTTAGCTGTGGATTATGTTTTAACACCAATCTACTGTAGAAATGTAACAGTATTTATAGTGCACTAAACCTCAAAGTAAAACAACATGGATGAATAGATATAATGATAAAAACACATGGATTTCCCCTTGAGGGATTCAAACCTCCAACTTTGTTTTTTTGCCTTGTTGTTGTTGTTATTTTGCAGATGTGGATGTGGACAAGCCTGATGAGAAATCCATAATGACCTATGTAGCTCAGTTCCTGAAGCACTACCCAGATCCCCACCAGTCTGAGACAGATGGACAGCAAGAGGAGGTACGCTTTAGCGCTGTAGCTAAAAATACACTAGCCGCTTGCTGTTGTTGTTAAATGTAATCACTGCTGTAGTCATTAGACAAAACCCATTTAATGTTGTCCATCACGATGTGGATTCCATTCACTTTATTCTACAATCACAACCCACAATGCACTGCTCAGCACACCCATAATGCTCACTCTGTCTCTCTGTCTGTGTGACTCGCATTCATGTGCATTCGTAGCTGGTTCGCTCCATTCCTACATTCGCTCTCTCTATCCCGGCGCTACAGGTAAGAGCCGATGATTATGTCTCACCTGCATGAGGTTCATTTAGTGGATGAGGTATTCTCATGAAATTATGCCATATGTGCTTTAAAGGGGACCTAATGTGCAAAAATCATATTTATAAGGGGTTAAAACCCTTGAAGACCTAGAGCTATTTTGTGGACGCTTGATGGGCCTATATTATAATTTTAAAGCAGTTTTATTTTTATTTTAGCAGTCAGCCTCAAGTATTATATATCATTATAAACAGGAGAACCTGAAGTTTAAATCTGTATCAATTAAAATTCCAATTTAAATATGTTTTGCTTTGAAAACATATCAAGAGACAGAACATTTTCCAGAATTTTAAAGGGTCATAAAACACCAAAACTCATTTATTTGAGCTGTTGACAGTCATATATGTGTCCCACGCTGCTAAAAACACTATAAGGACACATATGTTTTACAAAAAAAGTGAAAATTGGTTGTTTTTGTGTTATTTCGAGCAAATTCGTTCTTCTGTTTTGAAATTAATTTTTGAAGCTGCATCACGCCGATTAGATCCTTGTGTGTATTCCAGTGTGGTGAGAGGATGTCTGTACCTGGGAGTACATTGTGCCGTCTCTGAGTGTGCAGCAATAATTCATGAGAAAGACTTGGCTCAAACCAATCAGAGCACTCTATTGTGAATGAGGTGCAACTTCATTAATATGCATGATAGCTTCCATTTTTTCCATTTTTATTTTTTAAGAGTTTAGGTCAGAATAATGTTTCATTATTATTTATATTATAGTAAGTGACAAGGGAATATTATGGACATTTAATTTTCACCAAAGTTACTGAAAATATGGAAGCAGCCACTATATGCATTTGATATGCTTTCTATGTATAAAATCATTCATTCATTCATTTTCACTCGGCTTAGTCCCTTTATTTATCAGTCGACACAGCAGAATGAACTGCCAACTTATTCAGCATATGTTTTACACAGCAGATAACCCTCCAACCACAACTTAGTACTGGGAAACAACTATACAGTTTTGCATTCACACACATACAATACGGCCAATTTAGCTTGTTCAATTCACTTTTACCGCATGTCTTTGGACTGTGGGGGAAATCAGAGCACATGCAAACTTCACACAGAAATGCCAACTGACCCAGCTGGGGCTCGAACCAGTGACCTTCTTGCTGTGAGCTGACAGTGCTAACCACTGAGCCACTGTACTGCCCCATATACAGTATAAAATCACCATTGTAAGTGTAATTTTATGCATGCAACAAATCCTTCGACTAATGTATTACTCGTTGAACATAACATTAAGCCCATAATAACAATCTACTTATATTCCTTCTTTTTGTTTGTAACCCAAAAGCTGGTGAGAATTTTTATTTTTTTTTAAGTGGTATTTTTCAGTTAATGCAAACAAAACCTGAAGGCTTTTTTTCTTTAGAAATAAATGCTAGGATGTTTTATACTTCCAACATACATTTTGTCTACATCCAACATTCCCTGAGCAAATTATAGCATTTTATTTTATGTTGTTCAAGGCGTTTTTCAGTGAAAAACTGGTACATTCTATTTAATGACAATGTAGATGCAAAGATAATTGCATGTTTAGTTTTCTCTAACTTATTTTAGCAGTGAGCATTAAGTGTCATATAACATTTTAAGCAGGAGAAAATGAAAATTACAAGCCTTAAGTGTTGGATAGAGTAGTTATTTATGGCATAACATTCATTTTTGGCTGAAGTTACTGTACATGTAACACAAATGGCATCATTTCCTGAGAATGGTCTATTAGCGATGGATGCTCTCTGCTTGTTTCCCCTTTTTCTCTGGCTTTAATCTTGCTAACGTCTTGACTGTGTTGTGTTTGCATCTCTTGATATGCTTTTGCTCTCCTGGACAGTATGATCCACAAGATATTGAGCTAATGCTTGAGGTATGTGTATATTAGTACATAGGATCATAACAGTAGCTTGTTATTGTAAGAAAATGCAGAGTAGTGAAAGATCTTCAGTCTTCTTTATCAGTGGACTTTTTCCTGTTGTTCAATTTTTCACACTGCTGTGTTACCTGCTGTGTGTTCTTGTTATATGGATTCTTGCTGAAAACCTGCTAAGCGAGTGATAAATGGGTGCTTTTTTGTCTGATGCGCACAGCGAGAGGAACGCAAGGTGCTGAGAGAGGTGAAGATCTGGCTGGATCAGCTGGAGAGAGATGTACTGCGGGCACAGGGATCTGAAGAGAGTCTCACTGACAAATATCAGGTCAACTTTGGAATTAAACAGGCTGTTTTGTCACTTTTAGTGCAAGAAACTGCAGGCAAATAGGGAGAAAAAAATAATACTGTAGTTTTCACAATACTTTGTTAATGTGCTGGATTATTGTTCATTAAGAATGGCAACGGTTTCTGTATTACAACTTTTTAAAAAAGATATTTAAATATGCTAATTATCCATAATTTGTGTTTTTAATATGCACCAATTTGCATACAGTTATAAAACATAAAAACATTGGATGAAATCAGGTTTAAAATTAATTTCTTTTTTGACATTGTAGTGACAAAAGTGTTTTACAAGGGGATATTTATCTCTTTCCTCCATTATTCAGTGAAAAATATATTATATATTATTAAAATATATATAATATATAATATTAAAGGAAAAGAGATAAATATTCCCTTGTGAAATAATAATAATAAAAACACAGAGGCAAAATTCCCTAAAAATGTTGTTGAGAAAATAGAATAGCAAAAACGCTGACAATGGCCATGTACACCATCACTACATTAATAAAAATAAAAGCTCAAGTGAACTGTACAGGTTATGAATTAAGACTTGTGTTTACTTATATTGTATGTTTGTATATTTAATTTATAGAAAATAAATGTATTTTATTTATTTTTATTTTTTCAAACCTGTCAGTTTCTTTTCATTGATACATGCTAAAGTAAAAAAAACATCCAAAATACAATTTTATATTGTACTTAGTATTTTCGATGTTTATATATAGTTTTATTTGTTTATTTACTTATTTATTTATTAATTTATTTTTTTATTTACTTATTTGTTTATTTTCTTATTTATTTACTTGTTTATTTATTTACTTATTTACTTGTTTATTTAATTATTTATTTACTAAATAAATAAAATAAAATAATTAATTTTAATAATTAATTTACTTATTTATTTGCTCTTTTAATTTTTTATTTATTTACTTATTAAGTTATTCATTTATTCATTTTCAATTTTGAGATTTTTCGCTTTTTTTGATAAATATTTTTCATAAAGTATTGATTCATGCAAATGTAAAGAAAACATCCTATTCTGTATTCTGTATATTGTATTTTGGTCTTGTATTTTTTGTACAGGGTCGGGCATTTATATAGATACACCTTAATTAACTCATTGGGAGTTTCACAAGAAAAACGATGGTGTGCTTGATTTTAAACGTAACTTTATTCTTTCATGAGTTCTTTACAAGCCCCCTCACATACACTAATGTGCCATAAACAGGACGTTAATATCACCAACCATTCCCATTTTATTGAGGTTTATCCATATAAATGGCCCACCCTGTACTTATTTATTTACATATTCGTTTACTTACTTATTTATTTACTTTCTTATTTATTTACCTATTTATTTACTTACGTATTTACTTACTTACATTACTTACTTACTTATTTATTTTAATTTTTTCAGACCTGTCCGTTTTTGAAATTTTTTGCTTTTTGATAAATACTTTTCATAAAGTATTGAGTTGGATAAAGTATGCTATTTTATTTTGTATTTTGTGTAATGTATTTTAGACGTTTAGATATATGTTTTTAAACACTTAAAATTAATGCATTAGCATTAAAAATATTTTATGAAAAGTCAAAAAGCCCAAAATTTATAGGTGCATGAAAAAAAAAACTGTTTTGTCTGCACTTTTATCTCACCTTAATTCCTCTGTTTGTAAATGAGCTCTATTTTATTTGACTGAACTTTTTTAAATGAGTTATAAGCTTGGCATCAGGTCAGAAATATTCCTCTTCTTTTATTTGCAGGCCTTTAAGAGCTTTCGTGTGCAGTATGAGATGCGAAAGAAGCAGATCGAGTCTCTCCTGCAACCGGTGCACAGGGACGGAAAACTCTCAGTGGACCAGGCCGTGGTCAAGCAGTCCTGGGATCATGTGTCCGTCAGGGTACGGGTTCACCATATGATATGAAAGAATAAGTTCAGACCAGAATGTAAATTACTTTAATCATTAACACTATTAGATCCTTTAAATTCAATGAAATGAGATTTATTAATGGACCTCTATTCTGCCACATTTTAAAGCATAGAAAGTGGAAAAAATAGTGTCAGTGGACATTTTGATAAATGTTGAACTAGATAAGTGAAATCTGGAGAAAATACTGAAAACTAAAGAATTTATAAATTTCATATATTTTTTTTGTCTTTTTAAAATATAAATTCAGTGTGATATGATAATAATTTCTTACATTTATATAGCGCTTTTCTGGACACTCAAAGCACTTTACACATTTTTGGGGGGAACCTCCCCATCCCCCACCTATGTGCGGCACACCAGCTGATTGGTGGAGAGGAGACAGAGTGATGAAACCAGTTACGATATGGGGATGGTTAGACCAGAGTCCACTGGGCAAATTTGGCCAGGATGCCAGGGTTAAACCCCTACTTCTTTGATGATTTTTTAATGATCATCCCAAAGACGGCACTCAATAAGCAGCATAGTGTCCCCATCAATATACTGGGACATTAGGACCCACACAGACCGCAGGTTGAGCACCCACTGCTTGTCTAATTAACATCGCTTCTGGCAGCAACCTAGCTTTCCCATGTGGTCTCCTATCCAGATACTGACTGGGCGCAGCCCTGCTTAGCTTCAGTGGGCGACCATGTGAGAGTTGCAGAGAGTTAGCTGCCAGCATTGCTTGATGGATATGATATGATATGATATGATATGATATGATATGATATGATATGACATGATATGATATGATATGATATGATATGATATGATATGATATGATATGACATGATATGATATGATATGATATGATATGATATAGTACTTTACTGTCAGACCAGGACTGAAATATTTCTTGCTAAACAATACTTCTGTTGACAACAATCAACATTACATACACTTCAAGAAATATTCAAGAATTATACTTATTATTCAATTATTCAAGAATACAATTCAAGAAAAAAGAATAGCAGTTCAATGAAACATTACAAAACTTCAATCATACGGAAGACAGTATAATCGGGTCAGTAAATAATTCTTTTAATGTCAGTAAATGTCACCTCCGAAAATACTGAAAACTGGAGATTATACATTTCAGTTCTTGTTTTTTAGAATTTTAAAAACTTAAATTCACTAATATACTGGTAGTGTCAATAAAAAGGACCTCAGAGAAAATACTGAAAAGTGGCAATAAGTATTTTTTAAAACATGTGAATGAGTGTGTACGGGTGTTTCCCAGTGATGGGTTGCGGCTGGAAGGGCATCTGCTGCGTAAAGCATATGCTGGAAAAGTTGGCGGTTCAATCCGCTTTGGTGACCGCAGACTAATAAAGGGGCTAAGGCTAACAGAAAATGAATGAATGAATTGACTGTTCATTACGTCTATAAATAATTTTTACCTCAGAAAATACTGAAAACTGGAGATTCTAAATTAAAATTTTTATTTTAGTCTTTTTTTAAACATAAATTCACTATTTTGCTTGGTAAATAATTTAAAAAGAAAAAAAAATGTAAAAAATATTTACTCATACTATTTACATTTATTTCCATGTCTGATGAAGAGCTGGGTGGCTGGAAACGTTACACCCTCTGTGTCAGCCTTTTTAATTTAAAAAATTTGTATTTTTGGAGCCTTGGTGTTGCCGACTTTGATTAACATTTAATTTGCACTTTTTGCAGTTTTGGCTGAGCACCCAGTTAAGAGGGATGTGCGTGCTTTTGTACAGTTTTTTCTATTACTATTGACATAAATTCACTAAAATGCTGTTTATGTCAGTAAATAATATTTACCTCATTAAAAAACTGAAAACTGGAGATTCTTAATTTCATTTATTATTTTTCAGTATTTTATAAAACATAAATTCACTATTATGTTGATAATAATAAAATATACCTCAGAGAAAATACTGAAAAGTGGAGATAATAAATTTAAATTATTATTTTTCTGTATTTTTTAAAACATAAATTGACTATTGCTGCTGGATATGTGTTTAAATCATTTTTACCTCAGAACAAATGCTAAAAACTGGAGACTTAAAAGTTTAGGTTCTTATTATTCTGTGTTTTTTAAAACATAAATTCACTTTTATGCTGATTAAAAATTCGTAATAATGACAAAAAATGCTAATTTGTGGATCTCCTGACTTCCGTGTGCAGCCATGCTGTCGTTGTGGCCGGTGTATTCTAAGAAATTTTCTTACCCCTTGGTTTTGAGTGTGGTCCTGAAAAATCTCTGTTTCAAGGGCTATCTAGCCCTTCCTTTTAGCCCTACGCCTTCAAGCTTAAGAGAATTGAGACACCCCAAATTTAGCTTCTTATTATTCAATATTTTTTAAAACACACATTCACTTTTATACTAGTAGTGTCGATTAAAATATGTACTAATATTCACTACTGTTTACTGGAGATTATACACTTCAATTCTTATTTTTCAGTCTTTTTAAATAATGAACATAAATTCATCATTATGCATGCTTGTTTTGTCTGTAAATATTTTTTTTACCTCAAAGAAAATACTGAAATCAGTAATATATCAAATTTAGGTTCTGTTATTTTCAGTCTTTTAAAAGAACATTAATTTCACTATTATGCTTGTAAATAATGTTTACGTCAGAGTTCACCTCTAAACTGTTGTTGTTGTGAGTGCAAACTAGTTGCCATTAGCTGCAATGAAGTGTGAATTGGAGCGGAGACCGTAGATACCGGCTTCATTACTAAAAAGAAAGAGGACAAACACACAGAGACTGTTTTGTTCGGAAGAACAGAGAAGCCCACAGAGCGAAAGCGGCAATCTGGCCAGACACTTGACAGCTTGAAGGGTCTTCACAAACACCGAAGAGCATTAAAAACACATCTCTCCTTTTGATATCTGCCATGCTTTTGTGTGGTTTGTGCAGCTCTTAGACTGGCACATCCATCTGGACAAATCTTTGCCTGGTCCTCTGGGAGTGATCGGGGCCTGGCTGCATCGGGCAGAACTTTCCCTGAGAGAGGACGTCCCGATTCAACAGGCCCACGAAGAGACGGCCAACATCATCCACAGAAAACTGGAGCAGCACAAGGTAGTTTTTCTTTCTTGATGGACTTGATTTGATCCATGTGCTCCAGGAATTTAATATATTGTCTGTGCTTTACTTGCAGGAGGTGTTAAAGAACTTGGAGGGACACAGACAGACATTTCAGCAGATTCACAGAGACCGATCGGTAAACGGTGTACCGGTACCACCAGAGCAGCTTCAGGACATGGCAGAAAGGTCAATTTCATTTTACTGTTTATGGACAAAGGGCAGCATGGTGGCTCAGTGGTTAGCACTGTCTCCTCACAGCAAGAAGGTCGCTGGTTCCAGTCCCGGCTGAGCCAGTTGGCATTTCTAAGTGGAGTTTGCATGTTCCATGTGTTCATGTGGGTTTCCTCTGCATGCTCTGGTTTCCCCCGGTTAAAAACCCCTGATGTTAGTCTAGGGCAGTGGTTCTCAAAGTGGGGGTCGGGACCCCCAGAGGGGTCGCGGGACAATGAAGGGGGGTCCCCTGGTGATTTCCAAAAATCGATTTAATTTTTATTAAACCACAAGATTTACCATATTTTATTCATAACCTACTGAAGAGAAAAAATATATACTATATAGATACTATAATAGCTTATATTTCTATTGCAGGGGTGCTCAACCCTGTTCCTGGAGATCTACCCTCCTACAGAGTTTAGCTCCAACTCTGATCAAATACACCTGAATCAATTATTAAGGACCTGAACAGCACTTGATAACTACAGGCAGGGTTGCAACTGAAATCTGCAGGAAGGTAGATCTCCAGGAACAGGGTTGAGCACCCCTGTTCTATTGGATTGCGACCCCTGGGGTACATTATATTAAATACACAGCAATAGCATCAGATAGCGGATTGATTTTATAACACCAGGTTGAACTTTCTGGTCCATTTACAGCACTGTATCCATTAAAAAACAGAAACGAAGAATATACTTGGGTCTATTGGTGTGTGTGCACCATTGTATGCAAGGTTTCTGTATTTATAACCACCTCAGAGGATATTGGGGGTCGCGAGTCACTGGCATTGTCATTTTAGGGGTCAGGGGCTGAAAAGTTGGCGAACCCCTGGTCTAGGGGATGGTGGGGTTAAAATATACTAATATACAAAAATATACTATTTACAATATATACAATACTGAGACAAAAAAAGAAGGGAAGAGCTGGCAGAAGGGACGCGGGCGGCGCTAAAGAAATGAAAAGAACAAAACCCAAACTAAACCTAACTCAGCAGAAACATCTAGCTAACTAACTATGTGAAACAAAATAATTAACACGCAAAATCCTGACTGTCTACTCTATCTATCTATCCAAAAAGTACAAGGGGTACCGCTCGCCCCTAACCTAATGTACTATACAGAGGAGTTGTCCTAAGTGTTCCAAAATGTATGTCACGTGACCTTCTTACCTGTCCGCTTCGTCCAAGCCTCGTAAACATTGTAAACTGAGAAGGATATACGATTAACGGACAGATTATGTGCACTGTGCAACAACAAAATACAGTTAGACGGGGTTATTTTTCTAAACGCAACGCAATAACACAAACAAGCGGTAATAAAAAGCAGAGAAACAGAAGTCAAGAGAGGGCTAGCGAGTGGTCTGGCGGTTGCTTTTATGATGGGCAGTCTTTGCTTATTGGATGTGACATAAAAGTGACGTAACTGGGGAGGAAATGACTGATAGCTGAATGGACCAATGAACGGAACCTGAGAATAATAAAAAAGCAGATATGGGAGAACAGAGCGAGAGAGAGAGAGAGAAATGAAAAAACACAGAGCAACAGAGCACAAATAACACAAATACATAACACCCACACAGTCCAAACACATGTTCATTAGGTGAGTTGGATGAACTAAATGGGCCGTAGTGTATAAGTGTGTGTGTGTGAATGCAAGAATGTATTGGTGTTTCCCAGCACTGGGTTGCGGCTGGATCCACTATTTATAGGACATTCCTATTTGCCAGAATAGTTAGCGGTTCATTCCGTTGTGATGATTATTATTATTATTATTATTATTATTATTATTATTATTATTATTATTATTATTATTATTATTATTATTATTCATTAATTTTACCTTAGTTAGCTAATGATTGTTTTCAGAAATGCATCCCAGATCATTCCAAGTAACCACATAGCATCCGCCCAAAACTTCTCATGTAACCACATTGCAACTCCTTAGCAACAACTAAGAGCACTTGAGGATGATATAAAAATCTTGAGATGTTATTGTAATATTAACTTTATAATGCATTTGGTTGCACAGGCCTTGTTTCATATTTATACTTATTTCTCATTACCTGCATGTACAGTGTGCATGCCTACTAAGGGCTCAAAATCCCACAAATCGTTCCTTAATGTATTAATATCTTATGTTTCCACAGGTTTAATTTCGTGACCACGTCATCTCACGTCCATCTAATTAAATTCGAGTTCTGGGAGATGAAGTATCGCCTCATGGCATTTCTAATGCTGGCGGAGTCAAAGCTCAAATCATGGATCATTAAATACGGCCGGCGGGATTCAGTGGAGCTCCTCCTGCAAAATTACATTGTACGTCTTCCAGTGAGCTCAATATTCAATCAGATTAAAAAGATACAATTCAGCTAAGATATCTCACGTCTTTTTTTAAACAGGTGTTCATTGAAGGTCACAAGTTCTTTGAGCAATATGAAACCACTTTCCGCACCCTGAAACAGGCTGCAGACACCTACTTGAAATCTGGGACTTCAGGTAAGGCGCAGCTCACTTTTATCCACTATTTTCCTGAGGCTGGAGATTCATGGAGCTTTTTATATTCATTGCCTGGCAGCTATTATGAACTCTAGCTGCCAAAAAGAGCCTATTGCTTTGTGATCAGGCAGCCTGATTCTGTCAAGTATCTGTGATAAGAATGGAGAAGTTTTGTAGAATAATAAGTATTTCTTGGGCCCTGTCTACACCTGCTTTTAGGAAGTGGTTTTGTTAGTCCAATTAAACATTTTAAAGAAACACTCTACTATTTTTTTTTGAAAGTACGCTAATTTTGCAATGCATCAAACTGCTTTTTTTATGGCCCGTTTCCACTGAGGGATAGAGTTCGGGTCGGTATGGGTTACCTTTATCAGGCTTGCGTTCATATATCAAATGAGAAGCACTTCTCACTAAACAGATGCTTTATACACATAAATACTTGTGTATAAATGTTCATTACTAACCTTTCAATGAACATGATTTGATTATAACTGCAGATCAATGATAATGCCTACTGTAACGTCTGCATTTATATAAAATAAATAAATAAATGCAACATATATGAACACATACAGACCCTTACAGTCTCCCATATGGTACCAATTACTAAAAAAACTACACACAGCATACATTTAGTCCTTAATTAGATTCTAAAACAGCACGCAACACATCGCTCACAGTCAGTGCAAACCTTTCATCTGTGTCTGTAATATTCAGCAGCACATGTAACCTCTTGTTGTGATTGGGATTGATACAAACAACTGAAGGTAAGATCCAAATGCAGGTTTATTCGAAGGTCAGGCAAGCAATGGTCAAAACAGGTATGAACAGGAATATGAGGGCAAATCCAGAGTCGTAATCGAGGTACAGGCAAAAGGTCGAAAGGCTGGTGGCTAAACAGGATAACTAGGAAACTAAGCTAGATTCAGACACGGAGAAACAAGACAGGGAGAAACGCGTAGAAATGTCACCAAACAGTAAACAAGACTCGGCCCAGTGAATCAGTCTGTGTGCTGCTTAAATACTGTGTGAAATCTCAGTCTGTGACAGGTTTCAGCTGGTGATGTAATCAGGAAGATGAATGACCAGGCGTGCGTGATTGGGAGAAGTGCATGTATGAAAATGTAGTCCTGGGGAATGCGGAAGTGAAGTGAATGATGATAGAGGAAACCAGCGATCTCCAGAGAATGATCGCTGGTTATCGTAACATAGCCCCCCTTCTAAAGAGCGGCTTCCAGACGCTTCAAATACAGTTCAGGCGGGAGGTGGAGCGGAGGCGGAACAGGGGGAGGGATGGAGGGCCAGGACCATGCAGCTGGAGCGTACCTGGGGCGTGGAGCTGAGGCGGGCCTGGAGCGTGGAGTTGCAGAAGACCCGGAGGAGGGAGCTGCGGAAGGCCTGGAGCGTGGAGCTGCGGAAGACCCGGAGCGTGGAGTTGTGGAGGGCCTGGAGCGTGGAGCTGCGGAAGACCCGGAGAGTAGAGCTGTCGTGGTCCTGGATCGTTTGACAATGGAGGACCTGGAGCGTGGAGCTGCGGAAGACCCGGAGAGTGGAGTTGCGGAGGGCCTGGAGCGTGGAGCTGCGGAAGACCCGGAGAGTAGAGCTGTCGTGGTCCTGGATCGTTTGACAATGGAGGACCTGGAGCGTGGAGCTGCGGAAGACCCGGAGAGTGGAGTTGCGGAGGGCCTGGAGCGTGGAGCTGCGGAAGACCCGGCAGGACAGGAGGCTTGTAGGGAGCCGGCAAGGCGAGGAGCTGTGACCATTTGGGAGGCTTAGGCGGTGACCGTTCGGGAAGTTCAGCAGGCGGCGGCCATTCAGGAGGCTTGGGCGGCGGCGGCCATTCAGGGAATTCAGGTGGCGGCAACCATTCAGGGAGTTCAGCAGGCGGCGGCCATTCAGGGAATTCAGGTGGCGGCAACCATTCAGGGAGTTCAGCAGGCGGCGGCCATTTGGGAAGCTCGGACGGCGGCGGCCATTCAGGAAGCTCAGGCGGCGGCGTCGACTCTGGCTGCGGCGTGGACTCTGGCTGCGGCGTGGACTCTGGCTGCGGCGTGGACTCTGGCTGCGGCGTGGACTCTGGCTGCGGCGTCGACTCTGGCTGCGGCGTCGACTCTGGCTGCGGCGTCGACTCTAGAAGCACTGGACGGTCTGGCAGCACTGGACGGTCTGGCAGCACTGGACGGTCTGCAGCACTGGAGGGTCTGGCAGCACTGGAGGGTCTGGCAGCACTGGAGGGTCTGGCAGCACTGGAGGGTCTGGCAGCGCTGGAGGGTCTGGCAGCGCTGGAGGGTCTGGCAGCGCTGGAGGGTCTGGCAGCTCTGGAAGGTCTGGCAGCTCTGGAGTTTGCCTTTCAGGGACATGAACAGATTCAGGACAGGAAGCCATCTTGTGAGCTGGCATACTGGAAGCGGCCATCTTGTGAGCTGGAAGACTGGATGCGGCCATTTTGTGAGCTGTATGTGCGGTGGTTGAATGATCAGCAAGCCCCGGTGTTATCTGGTCTTGCTGTACACTGCCCCTCCCCAAAAAACATTTAGGATTTTCCTCCACCTCACCTACGGTGAAGGAAGAGTCCACAGTGAGTAGCGCATAGTCCAAAAAATCAGAGAATGTCCCTCGAGAACGAACACTTGAAAGTGTGCTCTTTAGCGGCTCATTAAGCCCATAAATAAAAAAAGTCAATGAGCATACAGTCTGGTAATTCAGTGGTGTTAGCGATCTCCAAATAACACTGGATGTGATTCTCGAGGGATTGATTACCTTGGCGTAGACGAACCAAAAACACTGCTGGATCCATAATGGCCGAGTCTTCTGTTGTGATTGGGATTGATACAAACAACTGAAGGTAAGATCCAAATGCAGGTTTATTCGAAGGTCAGGCAAGCAATGGTCAAAACAGGTATGAACAGGAATATGAGGGCAAATCCAGAGTCGTAATCGAGGTACAGGCAAAAGGTCGAAAGGCTGGTGGCTAAACAGGATAACTAGGAAACTAAGCTAGATTCAGACACGGAGAAACAAGACAGGGAGAAACGCGTAGAAATGTCACCAAACAGTAAACAAGACTCGGCCCAGTGAATCAGTCTGTGTGCTGCTTAAATACTGTGTGAAATCTCAGTCTGTGACAGGTTTCAGCTGGTGATGTAATCAGGAAGATGAATGACCAGGCGTGCGTGATTGGGAGAAGTGCATGTATGAAAATGTAGTCCTGGGGAATGTGGAAGTGAAGTGAATGATGATAGAGGAAACCAGCGATCTCCAGAGAATGATCGCTGGTTATCGTAACACCTCTGTTAGAGAGTAATTCAGTCATTCAGAGTTCATAATAGTCCAAAAGGCGACGATAATAGTTAAACATGATAGTTTGTTTATTTTTGGTTGCTAAAAGAAACATTCGCTCTTTTGCTTTGTCTGGCTTCTCTTTTGTTTTTTGCATGTCAAGGTCAAGGTCAAGGTCAAATTTATTGTCTATTGTGTATTAGAAAATAGGTTCTGCTATACATAAACACCAACAAGATAACATGTAACATACATACACATTAAAATCGAATCCTAAAATACCTTCTTATATAAATATGATTCTATAAAATCAGTAATTAAAAAAATAAATAAATAAAAAATACAATGTGCCCCCACTTCCCTCTGTTGTGCCAACCAATCCCGTTACATTAATCTACGACCGTCCTTCCCTACTTGCTCATTGATCAATTTGATTGAAAAAGGAACGAAAGAATGTTTAAATCTATTGTACGTGCATAATGGGACCCTGTATCTTCTGCCAGAATTCATCAGCTCATACTCCATAGACAGAACATGTGAAGAATCAGATAAAATCTTGTTGGCTTGTTGGATTGTGCACAACTTAAAGATATATTTTAATAATAATAATAATAATAATAATAATAATAATGCCTTACATTTATTCAGCGCTTTTCTGGGCACTCAAAGCGCTTTACACAATGGGGGGGAATCTCCTCATCCACCACCAGTGTGCAGCATCCGACCGCACACCACACACCAGCTGATTGGTGGAGAGGAGACAGAGATGAAGCCAATTGGAATATGCGGATGGTTAGGAGGCCAAGATGGATAGAGGCCAGTGGTCAGATTTGGCCAGGATGCCTCGGTTAAACCCCTACTCTTTTTCGAAGGACATCCTGGGATTTTTAACGACCAAAGAGAGTCGGAACCTCGGTTTAACGTCTCATCCGAAAGACGGCGCTCACTGAGCAGTATAGCGTCCCCGTCACTATACTAGAGCATTAGGACCCGCAGAGACCGCAGGTTGGGCGCCCCCTGCTGGCCTCACTAACACCTCCTTCGGCAGCAACCTAGCTTTCCCATGTAGTCTCCCATCCAGGTACTGACCGGGTGCAGCCCTGCTTAGCTTCAGTTGGCGACCATGTGAGAGTTGCAGAGAGCTAGCTGTTGGCGAACCAAGTGTCTTGATTCCCATGATTTTTCCTGCCACTCTCATCAGTTTATTTACTTGGGTTTTTATTTTTACTGTCAGATTCCCAAACCAAAATCCCATATCTTAAAATAGACTCTATTGTTGCTTTATAAAAAAGTCAGCATTATGCTGCTACTCACTGCAAATAATCTTAGTCTACGTAAAAACTGTAATCGCTGATGGATTCTTGCACAAAGACTTGACACTTAAGAGTGGCAATTAAGTTCACAATTAATATTCACCCCTAAATATTTCAGTCAGTCAGTCAGTGTGTCAGTCTCGCATTTGTTAGTTTCTGACAGGGTCGGATGACGATGACAAGGTTTGAGTCGACAGTTTTTGTAATTTTTATATGCATATATTATTACGATGTAATGTCTCAGGTGTGTGTTTAAAAATGACACTTTGAAATAACCTGCTGTAATGTCTGTGATTATATAAAATAATTAAATAAATGCAACATAAATGAACACATACAGACGCTTACAGTCTTCAATTCAATTCAGCTTTATTTGTATAGCGCTTTTACAATGTAGATTGTGTCAAAGCAGCTTCACATAAATGGTCAAAGTAACTGGATCAGGGTAGTTCAGTTTTTAGTGTTTAAGTTCAGTTCAGTTTAGCTCAGTTCAGTGTGGTTTGAAATCATTACTGAGAGCAAATTCATCGATGCGTAGCTGTCCAGATCCTGAACCATGCAAGCCAGTGGTGACAGCGAAGAGGGGAAAAAACTTCACCAATAGGAGAGTGAAGAAAAAAAACATTGAGAGAACCAGACTCAGTTCGGCACGACCATTTTAATTTCTTCGCTGGCCAAAAGTCTTCCGATATGTTACCAGTTACAGATAAACCACACACAACAGACATTTAGTCCTTATTTAGGTTCAAAAACAACAAGCAACATATAGCCCACAGTCAGTGCAAACCTCTCATATTTTTGCTTGTTTTAAAATAAAACTCACTTAATTTAAGCATAATGTTTCTTACACTTGTTTTAACTTTGAAATATAATTATTTTGCTTTCACCATTGGCAGATTATTTAGCTTGTTTTGAGAAAAAAAAATATTTTGACATAATATTTCTAAAAACAAGTATTTTGTGCTTTTCTTTAAAATGCTTCTTGATTTAAGAATTGTTATATATTTGGACCAGAAACAAGACAAAAACTTAGCATAGATCATCGAATCGGATTAGACCATTAGCGAGTGTTTTGATAATTTTCCTATTTAAAGCTTGACTCTTCTGTAGTTACATTGTGTACTTAGACTGATGGAAAATGAAAAGTTGTTGTTTTATAGGCCAATATGGCTACAAACTATGGCTGCGTACGAAACCGCATACTTCCATACTATATAGTACACTAAAATCAGTATGTGAGCCGAGTATGTCCGAATTCATAGAATTTGAAAATTAGTATGCGAGAAGTACCCGGATGACTTACTATTTTCGAATCTGGAGTGTGCATCCCATGCACGCTGCGCTATCCCATAATGCCCTGCGAGAGAATTCATGAATGGAAGTGAGGCGACGCAACTGACGCAGGTAAGTCACGTGACCATGACAAAATGGCGGATGTAGTACGTCCAAATTCCATTCATAGTTTTCACGTTCATACTGTATAGAACGTACTTTTCTGATGGCCGAGTAGTACATTTAAATTCAAATGCAGTGAGTAGTAGGCGGTTTCGGACGCAGCCTATATTACTCAGATACTTATACAATATCATAGCGCATGCTGCAGCCATGGTATGGCAGCAAAGTTCCTTGATTATTCCAGTATGCTGGAATGAGAGCAAAGAAAAAATGTTTACATTTTCCATCGATGCTCAAAACCAGCATTATAGAATCATGCATTGTGATGATACAATGTCAGCTTTAATAGTTACTATTATTTTTAACTAGAGAAACTGTTTCATGTTCCAGATGGCAAAATCACCAAGAGAGGTGAGTTTAGAGAAAGCAGAGTACGCTTTAGCATAGTGATTAGATAACGTGATTGATCTTGACTGACAGTGCACAAGTGTTTAACATCACATTACAGTGATTTCACTTCTACTAACACCTGCTGCCAGTACACTTAGTCCGCTAATCAACAATACTGGCCACTGTCCTGAATCCAGGGATCGATTTGTGTGGGTTGTGCCTCGCGCACCTTAAAACCTAAATAGAAATCTCATATAGTGCAATAAATGAAAGTTACATACATATGACCTACAAGTTCATACAGTATATGGTTTTCACATATAAAAATATAGCATATATGCAACATATATTTGAAAGTGTTGTAAAAATGGCTGTTTTTCTATATATTGTTTTCTTGCATGTATGTATGTATGAATGTACATGATAAAATATATTAGCTATAATTTGATATATGATTTTTAAAAAATATAAAGTAAATTTTATATATAAAATACATCATATGAACATACTGTATATGAGCTTTTTTATTGGCCATAAGTGATATTTTAATTTTCTGAGATTTTCTGAGATACTGAATTTTAGCAAATTTCTTTAGCTGTAAGCCATAATTAACAAAAAAATAAAAAATAAATAAATACTTGAAATATGTCAATCTATGTGTAAATTATCTATATAATGTTTGAGTATAATGAAGTGCCTGAGTAGTATAATGTATATATAATTGAAACCAGAAGTTTACATACACTCTAAAAAAAGGGAACATAACCATTTTTAAATAATGTCTGATGATAAATCATACTAAACGTTTACTATTTTAGGTCCGTTAGATTACCTAAATCATTTACATTTGCTAATTGCCAGAATAATAAGAACACTTTTTTTTTTGTTTTTGAGAATTTTTCAGCTTTGCTTTAAAACTGTGTAACTTTGATGAAATGTATTGGGTATCCTTCCACAAGCTTCTCATAATGGTTTGCATGAATTTTGGCCGATTCCTCCTGACAGAATTGGTGTAACAGAGTCAGATTTGTAGGCTGTCTTGGTCGCACAAGCTTTTTCAACTCTGCCCACAAATTTTCTATAGGATTGAGATCAGGGCTTTGTGATGGCCACTCCAAAACATTCACTCTGTTGTCCTTAAAGCACATTTTAACTAAGTTGGCAGTATGCTTAGGGTCATGGTCTGTTTGGAAGACCCATTTGTGGCCAGGTTTTAATTTCCTGGCTGATTGTCAATCAGAAATTTTTTAAAACCCTTGACACCATCATCTGAGGTTTTTCAGAGGCATAATAATCTTATTGTTTGTAAACTTGACTTTCAGGAAAAGTTATAACAATTTCTCAAAAAATCTCTCTCTTATTATTCTGCCATTAAGCAGAACAGCAACAAATTTGATAATCCTAACTTACCTAAAAGAGAAAAAGGTTAGTCACATTAGCATCTGACTTTTTAAAAAAAAATGGTTTTGTGTTTTATATATATATATATATACTTTTTTAAGCAAATATGTATATATTAGTAGTTCGATAGTCACTGTATATAAAAAATATATACAAAAACAGCCAGTTTTGCTGTATTTTGAAAAATATGTTGCATATATATTTTTATATGTGAAATCCAAATATGAACTTGTACAGTATGTCATATATGTAATTTGTATGTATTTTCTATGTATCAGATTTCTATTTCGGAAATCAACCTCACTATTGAATTTGTGTTTCAAGTCTGTGATTGATTTATAATGTGTTTTTCCTTCAGCTGAAGAGGTTGAGGGAGTGAATAAGTTTCTGAGCGATGCAACAGCACAGTGGAAAAACCTCTCCGTGGAGGTGCGCAGCGTCCGCAGCATGTTGGAGGAAGTGATCTGCAACTGGGAGAAATACAGCAGCACAGTGGCCAGCCTGCAAGCCTGGCTGGAGGATGCAGAAAAGATGCTCAACCAATCAGAGAGCGACAAACGGGTGTGTTGGGAATGTTCTAATTTTTTTTTCTTTTTTTGTGTTTATTTAAATCAGGGGTGCCCAAACATTTTCTTATGAAGGGCCAAACTTCAACTTTATTGAGGGCTGTGGGTCGAAAGTAAATATAGCAAACTGTTTTACATTAAAATTGCCATGGGTAATTTTGTAATTTATTTATTTTCAAATATTTATAAACAAATAGAAAAAAAATACTTCAACCTTATTTAATAATGCATTCTAATTTTTTAAAAATGTTTTTTTTTAACAAACTTCTTACAATAAAACAACTTTATGGAGTTAAATGCTGAATATACTGAACCTGCCTTTGCCTTGATATGCGTGATGATGTCCTTGGCTTTGTCCCCTATTCATTAAGTGACAGTATGTACATTTATTTAAAAAACCGGTCCCACTTTATATTAAGTGTCCTTACTATGTACTTATATCAAAAAATAAAATACAATGTACTTACTGTGTTTATAATGTATTTAAGAACAGTTGTGGTGCTTTTGAGTTGGGATAGAGGTTGGGTTATGGACAGGTTTGGTGGTATGGGTAGGTTTAAGAGTGGGTTAAGGTGTAAGGGATGGTCAGCAGTGTATTTACAAATGTAACTACAAAAGTTAATTACAGATGTAATTACATACATGTTTTTATTTAAGCATAAGTACACCGTAAATACATGTATTTACACAATAAGTACATTGTAACAAACTATTAAATCCTGTGTAAGTACATATTAGTTAAGGCCACTTAATATAAAATGGGACCAAAAAATCTGATTCATTTACAACATTTAATTGAAACATTTTACTTCAGTTTGGCTTTTTTTGTAGCTCAGCAATAAAACAAACAAAAGGTTAGATTAAAAGGCCTTTTACAAGAAAATCTCTGTTAAAAGGCCATCATTTTCCCTCTGGCATGCCAAATCCAATAATATAAAGGGCCAAAGTTTCCTAGTTTGGGCATTTCTGATTTAAATGTTCATTTGAGTACAATTATAAAGTAGTTACAGTTGGTCCACAGTGTGCAACCTTAAAGGAATAGTTCACCCAAAAATGAAAACCCACTCATTATTTACTCGTCCACAAGTGGTTATAAACCTTTATGAGTTTCTTTCTTATGGTGAACACAAAAGAAGATACTTTGAAGCAAGCTGAAAACCTGTAACCATTGACTTCTATTGTAGGATAAACAAATACTATGAAAGTCAATGGTTGCAACATTTTTCAAAACATCTTCTTTAGTGTTTAAAAGAAGAAAGAAAGGCATAAAGGTTGGAAACAAGTAAAGTGTAAGAAAATGATGATGACAGAATTCAAATGTTTGATTAAACTATCCCTTTAAATTACCTTACAATATGAAGACAAACAATAAACATTATACAATATACAATGTACATATGGCATGTGTATTGGTTATACATTATACTCGCATTTTACATAATTATAAAAAGAAATATAACATTAAATAGGTTAGAGAAAAATTAAAAAGAACAAAATAATTAAGTTTACATCGGGTGAAAACGAGACAGTTTTTTCCAGAATAATCTTAAATGAACTTCGTTATGCATAGACAGATTACGGTAACACTTTAATTTGATGGTGCATTTGAGTTTTATACATTCATTCATTTTTTTGTCGGCTTAGTCCCTTTTTTAATCCGGGGTAGCCACAACGGAATGAACCACCAACTTTTTCAGCAAGTTTTTACGCAGCGGATGCCCTTCCAGCCGCAACCCATCTCTGGGAAACATCCACACACACATTCACACACACACTCATACACTACAGACAATTTAGCCTACCCAATTCACCTGTACCGCATGTCTTTAGACTGTGTGGGAAACCCACGCGAATGCAGGAAGAACATGCAAACCCCCCACAGACACCCAACAGAACCTTCTTGCTGTGAGGCGACAGCACTACCTACTGCGCCACTGCTTCGCCCCATTTGAGTTTTAGTAGACTGCTTAATATGTCGATATGCTCCTTCAACAGACATTTAACTGACTATAACAACCCCAACCCTAACCCCAACCTAACAGTCTACTTATAATTTAATAAGAATTTAGTTGGCATGTTGATGCAATGTAACTTAAGTTTAACAATTGAACCATCAAAATAAAGTGTGATCCAGAATACATGCATATTTTTGTACATATATATGCTTTTTTGTATACATATATACAAACTACAACATTTATTATATGCTTATGTTTATCCATCAAATGAGGATCTTCTATTTATTCATATCAACAAAATCAAAACGAAATCTCTCTGAAATATATTCAACCCATTTCCTCCATTTTGGGAAAGTTAGGTCTTTCACATGATACACTCACTCAGTGCTTTGTGGTAAAGTGTGTGTATTCATCTGCAGGAGTTTTTCCGGAATCTTCCTCACTGGATTCAGCAGCACATGGACATGAACGATGCTGGGAACTTCCTGATCGAGACGTGTGATGAGACCGTGTCCAGAGAACTGAAACAGCAGTTGCTGCTTCTCAACGGCAGATGGAGAGAGCTGTTTGTCAAAGTCAAACATGTAAGACCTTACCTTGTGTTGTTTTTCATCATGAAGAGCTTATATTCGACCTTACGAGGCATTTTTATTTATTCCTTAAAGGGATGGTTCACCCAAATATAAACATTTTGTCAGCATTTTCTTACCCTTGTTCCAAACCAGAGTTTCATCTGTTGAACACAAATATAATAAACTGATATTCTGAAGTATTTATTTCTTTATTTCAAGTGTATGTGCCTTCAAATGTACATGAATATTATTCTTCTTTTGAGCACAAAACTAGCTAAATGTCTGCTTTTTTTCTTCTATTATTTTTTTCTTGCTCAAAAGAACAAATTCATTCATAAAATAACAGCTTGAGTATGAGCAAATGGTGAGAAAATGTTAATTATTTGGTGAACTTCATTTTGAAGTCAAGGCTTGCCTCACCTGTCAGGGTTCTGCCACTCTGGTCTTGGAAATTCTTGTTTTGGTGGCAGAGCTCTGACACTAGCTGTGTCTGGTCCTGTTTCTGTCTCTGTGTGCGCGCTCTTGTACTCATGTTTGTGTTTTCGTCTGTTAGCAGCGTGGTGTTTCATTCCCAGCGTCTCAGTCTAGTTGGTTTCGGTTCTGGTCGGCGCTGGGATGAAGCATGCACGCTGCGTGTGTGAGCGCATGGTGAGTGTTTTCATTCATCGTGTGCTCGTGTCTTGCGTCTGTTATCAAAGCATGTGGCTGCGTGTTTACATTGTGGTCACGTGCTTTTGTCGTGTGCTTCAGAGTTGTGCTTGTCTTGTCATGAACATGCGGTTAATGAGTTCTCTCATTGGCTGCATGTTCTTGTCCTGTTTTATGTGAGCGCATGGCTTGTCTTGTCTCTGTCATGTGCTCTCCCGTCTATTGTCTACTCCCACCCTCCTTGTTAACTCATTATTAGTTTGTCATGTTCACCTGTTTGTGTCAATTTACTTTTGCTTTAAAATCCCCTCATGTTTTCAGTCCTGTGCCAGTTCGTTGTATTAACTCCCCATGTGTTCCTGCTTTTGTTCTTGTCGTGCCAAGTTTGTTAGTGTTATAGTTATGTTTTTCCCCCTCGGGGTGGTTTTTGCTGTTCTTTTATTTTATTTCTATTATCAATAAATTGTCCTGCATTTGCACTTGAGTCCTCGCTCCCTCATCCTTCCTGAAACCCTGACATCACCGAACATTAGATTGAATTTTTCTTGCAAATAGTTTTTCTTTTCAGACCCTTTCTTACAGTCTGTCATCATTCTCATTAGCATAATAATTTGATGTTATAAAATGCATTATAATTGACATTTATGCATTTAACAGACACATTTATCAACCACTAATCTTAATGTTTATGTTACATACATTGCGTATGTAATTCTAATGGCCTATTTATTCTTCACAGTATGCAAGAGCAGACGAAGTGGACAAATTGAGGAAGGATTATGATGACGGGATTGAAGCTTTAAAGGCGTTTATTGACACGGCCAATGAAAGGATGAACACTCCCGTTCAAGTGTCTTTTCTCAACATACGGACATATCTACAAGACGTTGAGGTAAAATCCATAGCATGAATCCACTTTAGAGTGATAAAATTACCTTTACTGACAAAATGATTACATTTATATGAGTCTGATAAAAAATAATAGGTAACACTTTTGTTACCTTTTTTAACTAGTGGCTTATTACCTGCTTATTATTAAGATACTGGCTGTTTATTTGTGCTTGTAAAATACATATTCTGCATGATCTTATTCTACACCCCTAACCCTACCCAATGCCTAAACCCAACTACTATATAATAATATTAATTGATTAGTTTATTGAGGCAAAGGTCAAAGGTAATGGTTTGTTTTTGAATTAAATTAAAGTGTGAGCAAATTATATTTAGAAATATAATTAGAATTTCAGAAGAACCGTTTTCCATTTAAACATATTTAATTATAGTTTGTTCATGTGATGCAAAACAGATTTTCCCAGTTTACAGTGTCACATGATTTTTTAGAAATCATGTTAATATGCTGATTTGCTGCTTAAATATACGTTTCTTATTATTGTCAATATTGTCCAGCAATATAAAAAAAAAATCATATATATATATATATATATATATATATATATATAGGTTATGGTAGAGACATTTTTCTTTTTTCCTATGATTACTGACATGTGCAGGAACCATTAAACATTAATTACAGCAACCTAGACCACACATAACCTCAAATTTGAGATTACAAAAAAATTGTTTCTTTTTTGGAGGGGTTTATTATAACACAGACAACATGTACAATAATTTTAATCACTGTCAACAGTGTTTCATGAAAATGTAAAGGGTTTTCTTTAAAATTGTACCAAACTTTTGCATTTACACCTCTCAATGTGGATTTGGGAAGCTTTTGAATTTGGGTAGGCAAAATCCAGGCGGAAACCCCAAAATAGTACTTAACTTTAAGAAGTTAATAGACAACATTTATGTTATAAATTGATTAATGCAACTCATAGTTACTGTATAAATGACTTAATATCTTTAAAAATCTTTCTAAACCCAAACATTTGAACTGTACTATGTATAGTATATTAAAATCTTCTCCAGCACTAGCTTTATTCCAGAGTGCGCTAAAAACTTGTCTCGTAAATTTTGCCTCATTTAGGTTTTGTTTCTGTTTCTCTTTGTTGTTTTGTTTTATGTGTACAGCACTTTAGTTGTTTAGTTTTGTTCACACGTGCTTTATACATAAATTGAGTTAAGTTGAGTATAATATAAGAAACACTAAAGATTATGTGCAGTAGCCCTCCTGAATATTTTCTCCCAATTTCTGTTTAATAGAAGGACAAGGATTTTTTTCAACACATTTTTAAATATAATAGTTTTCATAACTCATTTCTTAAAACGGATTTCTTTTATCTTTGCCATGATGAAAGTAAATGATGTTTGACTAGATATTTTTCAAGACACTAGTATTCAGATTAAAGTGACATTAAAAGGCTTAACTAAGTTAATTGGGAAACTAGGCAAGTTAGGGTAATTAGGTCATAAGTCATTGCATATTGCTTAATAATATTGACCTTAAAAAAATTAAAAGCTGCTTTTATTCTAGCTGAAATAAAACAAATAAGAATTTCTCCAGAAGAAAAAAATATTTTAAGAAATACTGTGAAAAATTCCTTGCTCTATTAATAATCATTTAGAAAATATTTGAAAAAAAAAAAGGAAATAACAGGAGGGCAAATAATTTCAACTTCAACAGAACATATCCCTTCACTTCTTATAGGACATCAAGCACAAAGTGCCCTCCATGGAGGCGGCCTATAAGACGGCCACACGCAACGCACAGCAGCTGACCAAAGACCTTTCAGAGGACGAGATTGCACACATGCTGAATAACATGACAAACATCAAGGATGAGCTCAGCAAGGTGCCTGTCCTGAATTTTTCCTTCATAAACCATCACATTTAACCGTAATCACACTATAACCTCAATGTTAAATGTCTCCTTCAGATAAGAGAGAGAGCTCTGCCCCTGCTGAGGGACTCGCAGGCCATGCTGCCTCCACTGGAGGAGATGGAGAAAAATATCACTGGGTTCTACCAGTCGCTGGAGAAGGCCAGCCGCATCACTTCCTCTCGGGACTCAGAAGCTCCAGGAGACTTCACGCAGAAGTGTCAGGTAACTTATGGAACAAGTTAGTTCGCTCTAATTTAGAATTGTTGCATCCATTACCAGTTTTTTTTTCTTTGTTCAACTGCTTGAAGAAGATACTTTGAAGACTAATGGAAACTTCATTAATTAATTTTCCTTCGGCTTAGTCCCTTATTTATCAGAAGTTGCCAGAGCAGAATGAACCGCCAACTATTCCAGCATATGTTTTACACAGCGGATGCACTTCCAGCTGCAACCCAGCACTGGAAAACACCCATACACTCTCACATTCACACACAGAGTCATACACCACAGCCAATTTAGTTTATTCAATTCACCTATTGCGCATGTGTTTGAACTGTGGCAGAAACCGAAGCACGCTGAGGAAACCCACGCCAATAGGTGGAGAACATGCAAACTCCACAAACTGGCACAGCCTGGACTTGAACCAGCGACCTTCTTGCCGGAGAGGACAGTTCTAACCACTGAGCCACCGTGCCGCCCAGTGATGTTTTCTTAAATCCATTGAAAATCGTATAATATATTTGACTATAGTATTTAGGGCTGCAATATAAAACATCAAATTAGTTGTCAACGAATGCCGGTATTGATTAGTTGGGGTGCTCATGTTTAAAATAAAAAAATGCAGATCATTAAAGTGGTATACTTTTATACATAAATTATACCCTGATTTGTGGTTTAATATAGTTAATATCGATAATAAGATTTATTGGGAATGCCGTTATCGATTAGCTGTGTTGCTCATGTTTAATAGGACTTGTTTAGCTTTTTGTTAAACTTGAAATGGGGTATACTTTTATATATAAATAATACCCTGATTTATGGTTTAATATTGTTATAATAAGCAAAACGTCAAATAAAAAAGTGTCTAGTTTGTAATAGATTAATCAGTTAATCTCCCAACTAATCAATGGGCAGATATCTGTTAGGTGCAGCCCTAATATTATTCAGTGGTGCAGTGGATAGCACGTTTGCCTTACAGCAAGAAGGTCGCTAGTTCAAGCCTAGGCTGGGTCAGTTGGCATTTCTGAGTGGAGTTTGCATGTTCTCCCCATGTTGGCGTGGGTTTCCTCTGGGTGCTCTGGTTTCCCCCACAAGTCCAAAAACATGAGGTATAGGTGAATTGGGTAGACTAAATTGTCTGTAGTTTATGTGTGTGTGAATGAGTTTGTGTGGATGTTTCCTAGTGATGGGTTTCAGCTGGAAATGTATCTGCTGGGTAAAACATATGCTGGATTAGTTGGCGGTTCATTCCGTTGTGGCGACCCAAGATTAATAAAGAGACTAAACTGAAAATGAATGAATGAATGAATGAATGAATGAATGCATTCCTAATAGTATATTTGTTGCAAATCAAAATAATTTAGAGTGAAGAATAGTTGTAATATTGTTCAATTTTCTTGCTCTGTTAATCAATATTTGAAAAAGAATTAAAGCATCAGCTGTATATTTGCAGTTAATCGTCTCTCTTTGATTGTTTTTCTGTTCATATAATCAACAGGAGCTGGTGACCTATCAGCAGAGCTGTAAAAAGTGTCTGTCAGTGATTGATAAAAACCATCAGGTTATTCTGAAGTCACTGGACACCAGTAAGAACCTCAAGCACCTGGACACATCACTGCTGGAGAGGAGAATCACTGAGCTTCAGGCTTCTTCACAGGTGAGAATGCACCTGTAGAGGACAAAAGTTTCATGTTTGGCAAATTTGTGACTATTGGTTGCAAACTTGGGTGAATCTGAGCGCAATTAGAGCTCTTTTCTGAAACTTTAGATTAGACACATTGATTATTTTCTCAAAAAGTAGTTCATAGAAAAAGGATAATTAACCATCCGGTTGACTTACAGGTCAAAAATAACCCGGGCACCATTTTAACAGCAGAAAAAAACAAACAAACAATGTTTTTTATCTTAAAATTTGGTGACTAATGATTAGACCCAGACAGAATCGTTGGACATTTTTTGCTATTTCTGCAGAGAATTTTGGAAAAAGTCTGCGGATTATGCAGAATGATTTTAGGAATATCTTAAGTAAAAACTTAATATATGAAATAAAAAAGGTAACACATTTTTAACTTGTATTTAATGCTTACAATGCAAATCCAGTTAGATCCACTTATTTGGTAAAGAAAGCAAGTCTCATAATAGATCTACTAAAAGACAGAACATAATACTTTACAGACTGTATCGTAAATAAATCATATGAACATTTTTATATTACTATAATTTTATTACAATAATATTAGTGAAATGAATTTAAAAACTGAATAAGTATAAATGTACACACATTTACGCAAGTTAATAAATAGACTCAATCATAAGCTAAAAATCTGCGGAAATCTGTGGAATTCTGCGTCCCCAGATTCCATGTGGGCCTACTAATGACCCAGCATTCGAAAAAATGAACCATTTTCATATTTTCATGAAATTCACAGTATAACATTTAGGGCACAACGCTTATGCTTCGAGTCAACACACACACAAATACACAATAGGAATATACCCTTTACTTTAGTCAAAAATGAATGTTGCCCAATGGTTAAATATTAATCAAATACTGCACACTGATGAGAAAAAAAACCCAGACATTCTCAGAGTGTTTTTTCTTTGTGCAAAATAGATTCAGGGATTAAAATTTAATTTAGCTGCTTTATTTTAGAGGTTTAGTGAAAGCGGGTCATTTTTGACCCAAAGGGCAAATGGTGTTTAGAATTATAGGTCTTTAATTGGTGTCAGGGTTCTGCCACTCTAGTCATGTAAATTCTTGTTTTGGTGGCTGAGTCTAGACACTAGCCCTGTCTAGACCTGTCCTGTTGTGCTCAGCTCGAGTTTTCTTGGGTCGAGCACTTGTTTCTGTCATTGTGTCTGTCTCTGTTTGCGCGCGTCGTCGTGGGTGTGCACAGAGCGTGCACGATCCCGCTTACTGCGGTTGCGCGGGCTCTGCGTGCCTCGGACGTGCGCTCTTGTACTTGTGTTTGTGTTTGTTCTGTCAGCATCACACTATTTTATTCTCAGCGTCTCCGTCTTGTTGGTTTCGGTTTTGGTTGATGCTGAGATAAAGCATGTGCGTTGCATATGTGTGAGCGCACGATAAGCTGTTTATCTATCGTGTGCTCGTGTCTTACGTCTGTTGTCAAAGCACGTGGCTCTGTGTTTACATTGGGGTTGCATGCTTTTGTCGTGTGCTTCAGTGTTGTATACTTGTGTTGTCATGAACATGCGGTTAATGAGTTCGCTCATTGGCTGCATGTTTTTGTCCTGTTTTATGTGAGCGCATGGCTTGCGTTGTCTCTGTGTGATGCGCTCTCCTGTCTATTGTCAAGTCCCCCCCTCCATGTTACCCCATTATTAGTTAATTATGTTGATCTGTTTGTGTTAATTTACGTCTGCTTATAATCCCCTCTTGTCTGCTGTTCTGTGCCAGTTCGTCATCATATGTCATCGTTTGTAGCCTTGTCTTGTTGCCTTGTTCCAGTCCTGATCCCCGCCAGCCTTTCCATCCTAGTTTGTTTTGATTGTTTATTTGTTTCATTAGTGTTTTCCCCCTCGGGGTTGTTTATTTTGCCTTTTATTTTATTTTATTTTATTATGAATAAATACTTATTTACTCTGCGCTTGGGTCCTCGCTCCTTTTTCCCCAACCACTGACCGTGACAATTGGACTACATTGCTCATTTAAAAAAAGAAAAGAAAAATGAAGGCGTCAAAATCCAGAGCTTATCCTGACTGCAGAAAACTCCAAAAATCCTCCAGAATGGTCTGAGAGGAGCTGATCTTGACTTTATTTTTGTTAAATAAATGATGGCACGTTGTAAGATGTCATGTTTGCATTGTTGTGTGTGTTGTATCTGAAAAGGGCATGGTGAAAGAAACCACAGAATGGAAGCAGCATGTGGAGGCGAACAGCAGCCTTATGAAGAGATTCGAGGAGTCTCGTGTGGAGCTGGAGAAAGTTCTCAAAATAGCTCGCAGCTCGATGACTGAGAGAGGAAACCCAGAGGACCTTCTGAAAAAGCACACTGTGAGAAACCAAAGCCAGCAGTCTATTCTAGTGCTCGGCGAATAGGCCGAAAGCAGATCGAACTTCATTTGATGTTCACAAGTTCACATTTTTAAAGCTGACATGATTTATTAGTAATATTTCTGTTGGATGTGCTGCAGGAGTTCTTCGGTCAGCTGGATCAGAGAGTTCTCAATGCGTTTCTGAAAGCCTGTGATGAGCTGACAGATATTCTGCCAGAGCAAGAACAGCAGAATCTACAGGAAACAGTCAGGAAGCTGCACAAACAGTGGAAGGTCAGAGAACCATTACAGTGATCACAATTATGACCATTTACATAGATATATAGAGTTGATTAAATTATTCGCTTCTCTGATGAAATTTTGCACATATTTTCCAAGTGCTGTTTAACAGAGCAAAGTTTTTTTAAAGCATAATAATTTTTAATAATGAATACATTTTTTGTCTTTGCCATGATTCATTAATTCATTCATTTTCCTTCAGCTTAGTCTCTATTTTAGGGGTCGCCACAGCGGAACGAACCGCCAACTATTTCAGCATACGTTTTACAAAGCGGATGCCCTTCCAGCCTCAACCCAGCCCACACGGAAAGAACCTATAAACATATATGTTTTAACATTAGTTTTGATATAGGTTTTTAATTTATGCCACATATATAAAATTGGACGTTTTCCTATATTATTTGTACATATATGTACATATAAATGTACATATATGTGTACATACATTATATACGTGCATACATGTACCTAGGTATATGTATGCAAATATACAGTTGAAGTCAGAATTATTAGGCATGACTAGGCAAGTCATTTGACAACAGTGGTTTGTTTTGTAGCTAATTGGAGAAAATACGGGTTCCATAAAATAATATTGACTTATTTTATTATGATAAATATATGCTGGAATAGTTGGTGGTTCATTCTGCTGTGGTGACCTATGAAAAATTAGAGACCCAGCCGAAGGAAAATGAATGAATGAATTAATGAAGTTGCTTTTTTTGTATACGATGGACGAAATCCAAGTACATTTATTATGGGTCGTGTAAAAAGGTTGGATAGCTATAGTGTATCAGGGCAAAAAATCTATATAAATAAATGCATGATTCCTGCAGGACGTCCAGACAGAATTTCCCTATCACCTGCTGCATCTGAAGGTGGATCTGGAGAAGAGTCGCCTGATGACATCACTGCAGGAGTGTCAGGCCGAACTGGCCCGCGAAAACCGCAGTTTGCCCAGTGTCGGCAGCGAGAGGTTAATTAAAGAGCACCGAGTGAGAGCCAGCATCTGTAAACCCACTCTATATGTCCTGTTTATGGAGGAAATACTAATGCCGAATCTCTTTATGCAGATGTTTTTTAAGGAAAAGGGTCCACAGGCTCTTTGTGAGAAGCGGTTACAGCATATGGATGAACTGTGCTTGAAGCTCCCGGAAAGCCAACAGGCTCAACAAACCCTGGTGATCGCCAGAACAGCATTTGCAGAGGTCAAAGAGGAGATTGACAGCACACACCAGAGACTAATGCAGCACCCGGACAAGTGGAAGGAGTTTAACACCAGGTGAACCACTGACTTTTTGAATATAAACTGGTTTGGGGCTGTTGTTATTAAGTGAGAACCAAATTGAGTCAACAATGATAAAGTAAGCTGAATTATTATATGCTATATTTAGCTTACTTATAAATACAGTTGAAGTCAGAATTATTAGCCCCTCCCTGTATATTTTTTCCCTAATTTCTATTTATCGGAATTATTTGTTCTACACATTTAATAGTTTTAATAATTCCGTCTAATAAGTGCTTTCTTTAATCTTTGCCATGATGGCAGTAAATAATAATTTACAAGATATTTTTCAAGATACTAGTATTCAGCTTAAAGTGACATTTAAAGGCTCAACTAAGTTAATTAGGTTAACTAGGCAAGTTAGGGTAATTAGCCAAATCATTGTTTAATGATGGTTTGTTCTGTAGACAATAAAAAAACAGCTTAAAGGGGCTTAAAATGGTTTTAAAAAAAATTTAAAACTGCTTTTATTTTAGTCGAAATAAAACAAATAAGAATTTTACCAGATGAAAAAATATTATAGGAAATACTGTGAAAAATTCCTTGCTCTGTTAAACATAATTTGGGAAAAACAAAAAGAAAAACACAGGAGGGCGAATCATTTTGACTTCAACTGTATATTAAAATATTCATGAAAATATTCATGAAAATATTTAGTACATTTTCTAAACTTATTTTTTGCTAATTATAAGCACTGCAAATAACTTAATTTAGTCAATTTAAAAGACCTTTTCTCAGTATTTTGAATTTTGTGAGACCTCAGATTACAGATTTTCAAATAGTTGTATATGGAACAAAAATGAGTCCTATCCCACCAAACCAATCATCAATAGAAAGTTTTTATTTCTTTTTGTTCAGATTTTCCATTTCCAAAAATTGACCCTTACGACTGGTTTTGTGGTCCAGGGCCACATTTAGATGCTTAACAGCTAAAATAGCAATTCATGAACTTAAAATTCATATCAAGTATTAACATTGTTATTTTGCTGTTTGTTATTGTTAAACCTCTCTAAAATAGTCTGTATTGTATAAAGTACTCTACACTGTAAAAACACAAATCAAGCGGGGTCCGCTTGCACTGGCTGCCAGTTGCTGCTCGCATCAAATTCAAAGCTCTGATGTTTGCCTACAAAGTGACCTCTGGCCTTGCTCCTTCTTATCTGCTCTCGCTTCTGCAGATCTATGTGCCCTCCAGAAACTTGCGTTCTGTGAATGAACGTCGCCTCGTGGTTCCATCCCAAAGAGGGAAGAAATCACTTTCGCGAACGCTCACGCTCAATCTGCCCAGCTGGTGGAATGAACTCCCTAACTGCATCAGAACAGCAGAGTCACTCGCTATTTTCAAGAAACTACTAAAAACCCAACTATTTAGTCTCCACTACACTTCCTAATCTGCAATTGCCTCTCTGAATATCACACTAACTGTACAAAAAAAAAAAAAAAAAAAAACTAATACTACTAATACTTTCCTTCTTAGACTTTACAGACCTAAAACTTGCCTATAGCACTTATTCATTGTTGCTCTTGGTTGTGTAAATTGCTTCCTTGTCCTTATTTGTAAGTCGCTTTGGATAAAAGCGTCTGCTAAATGACTAAATGTAAATGTAAATGTAAATTAAATTAACTCAGTTGATTTTACACATTTAAGTGGATTGAACATAAAACAATTAAGTTGTCTTAAAAAAACCCTCATGAATTGTGTTGATTCAGCTCGTTTTAAATAAGTTGTTTGAACAAGCAGCAAAACTCATTTTGAGTATTTACAGTAAATAAATGTGACTAGAACTGGGGTGTCCAAACTCGGTTGTGGAGGGCCGGTGTTTAGTGTAACGAAGGGTCTGACACAGAGGGATCCATTTGCAGTATATTTATTAAACAGAGTTTAATAACAAACAGCACACAGATGTTAAGCGTGTGCGAACTCACATCAAACACAGTTGTAGTTAGTCGAAGGGCTGGCGGCTGGCAAACACAGGGTGAGTATTCAGGCATGGGTCAAAGGCAGGCGGCGAGGATCAAAGTATGCAGGCTAAAGTTCAGGGCAGGCAATACAGAGTCGAGAATACAGTCCCAAGGTTGTCAACGGGAAAGCAGGCAATGATCAGGAACCGCTCAGTAGTGTTAGCCGGGGTAGAACAAGACTTCGCACTGAACTGGAGTGAGAGTGTGGCTTATATAGGTGAGTGTGGGTCGTTAGCGGGATGAGGAACAGGTGTGTGCGCTTATCAGTTTAAGTGGATGATGATGTAATGTCTAGAAGTCCGGTGATGATGACCTCTGCTGGCCAGAGAGGGGAACGACTGGGACCGAGTCGGTGACATTTAGCTCCAACTTCCTTTAACACACCAGCCTGGACGTTTCTAGTATGAGTGAATTGTAAAATCAAAGCTGAAGTATTATAACTTTTATGTGTGATTTTATGTGTGTTTTACAGGTTTTCTGAACTCTCTGCTTGGGTTACATCAAAAGAAAGTCAGCTCAGACTTTTGCGAAACAGAGCTGGAGATCCCAGCAAGTTTGGACAAGTCAAGTCCACCATTGAGGTGAGACTTTTTTTTTTCTCTTGTTTTTAGTACAAATATCTAAATATCCTAAATCAAGACAAGCAAAAAATAGTGTTTAATCAATCAGGCAATGGCGTAAGCAAACTTATCTTATGTCAAAACAAAAAACAAGATTATTTTGCTTTCCGCATTGGCAGATTATTTTGCTTGCTTTAACCCTTTAAGGTGCAATACTTGAAAAAAAAAAGATTTTTGGCCCACATCTTGGATTGAATAACATACTGACACAGCTCTAATAAATATTATGATAACCTATAATAATGATAACCTATGAATTAAGGTGGTAACTGTGGAAAATCTCACTTCATTTTGACTTATTATTTCTACAAAAACTTTAAGTAAGAAAAGCATTTTTGCTCTCTGAAAAAAAGTGTGAGAGCGGTATGACTTATTAATAGTTTTTGTTTATGATCTGCAGAGTCTGAGGAACGATGCTGAACTGCAGGAGGGGAATGTGAGCTGGTTGAAGAACCGTTTGGCTGCTCTGATCGAGATCTGCACAGAAAGTGATGCTCAGAGGCAGGGAGCCGCTCTCAGCAAACTCTCCAATGACTTCAAGGGTCTCCTCATCTCCCTTTCTGAGGTCAGTATATATATATATATATATAAGGGGTGTAACGGTTCACAAAAATCACAGTTCGGTTCGATAAGATACATTGGTGTCACGGTTCGGTATGTTTTCGATACAGCAAAAAAAGAAAAAAGTCAGAGGATTTCTCTGATTTAATTTTTAATGTATTAAAACTAACATCATAAAAGTATGATCCTGTTTTTTTTCTTTTACTTTTAATTTAAACAGTGATAGAGCTATACTTCAGGGGTTTCTGCTTAGCAGCAAATAAAACAAATCCTTCTTTCCTTCTAAATCTGGAGGTGAGGATGGCCAGGGCAAATAATTTATTAATAAATAAATAAATAAATAAATAAATAAATAAATAAATAAACAATAAAACAAAACAAAACAAAACAAAACAAAACAAAACAAAACAAAATATTAATTAATAAATAAATACATAAATAAAAAAAGAATAAATTAATTAATTATTAAATTAAATTAAATTAAAGTAAAGTAAAGTAAAGTAAAGTAAAGTAAAGTAAATTTAATTTAATTTAATTTAATTTAATTTAATTTAATTTAATTTAATTTAATTTAATTTAGCAGCAAAAAAAAACAAAAAAAAAACAAATCCTTCTTTATACTCAAAACCAAAAAGCTTCCTATAAAAAATAAGTATTATATTGTAGCAGTTAAACAAATAAAAAGAAAAGAACAATTTCGTTTTATATGGAACTCAGTTTCAATCAGTTTTTAAGTATTATTTAATTTTTAGAAATAGAAGCACAGATCTGCTTGATATGACTGTCACCTGCCATTTCAGTGGATCTGAAAGCAGGAATTATCTGACTGAAATGGGCTTATGAAGGAATAATGTACTGGGGCTCTATTACATTTAACATTTTCTTAAAACCCGACATTTCCACTACCGATTAAGATCTCTCAGATGTTTTTTCGTCACCACTCTCTTGGTAGCGTGATGGTGCGCGACGTATCTGAAGAGCGGTGCGTGCGTTGTACCTGAACGGCGGGGGTGAGTTGTGCCCAACGTACCTTAAGAGCTAGGAGGGTTACGGTGGAGAGTGGTGTGCGACATATTTTAGGACTGGGGGGAGACGCGCGATTTCCAGAAGATTATCATTAGTTTGCGGGCATTCAGGAGTCTCCCGAAGCTTCCGGGAAACTTGGGATGTCTGGGATTACATTAACGTTACGAGCCATTTTGCGAGCTAGAGTAACGCATGCCTGGAGTAGTGTTTGGAGGTTGGCTCTTTTGTGTCGGGGGTCCAGGGTTGCTGGGGCAACGGGGGCGGAGCCAGCACGAGCAGCCAGGCTGACACAGAAGCTAGCACGATTGCTAGTGAGTGCATGCATGCTTTAATAAAGTGATATTCTGAGTTCAAAAGCGAAGGTCTACTCTACTGTTTAACATGACAGCGGGGAAGGCAGCATGTTGTCTGCCACGTCATTTGAGATGCCATGTTGAGCGTTGATTAGTTCAATATGAATAAGCGTATCGTTACACCCTTAATATATATATATATATATATATATATATATATATATATATATATATATATATATATATATATATATATATATATATATATATATATATATATATATATATATATATATATATATAAAGGGTGTAACGATACAATATATATATATATATATATAGTATTTTGAGATTTTTTATTAAAGTTAATGTTTATTATAATAAAAAAATTGTGTTTGTGTTTTTTTACACATTGAATCTAACTGAATGTGTGTGTTGTGATAGTCCGAGAAGGTGGTGCTGGCGGTCAGCGACTGTGTGCAGTTCAGAGAAGAGGTGAAAACCACACTGGAGGAACTGACTCAGGGTCAGAAGGAGCTTCAGTCTGACAACAGCAAGATTCTGGACTCAGAGTCAGTCAGAGAAGCTCAACAACTCTTGCTGCTTCATCAGGTGCTCAACCAATCACAATTATGCATGAGCTGGTATAAGATTCGGATGCTATCATAACTTTGGGGAAAACAATCACGGTATTGTGATTACTGCTCCAAAATATGTTCTTTTTAAATGTCTTAAACAAAAAAAATATTCTCGTTTGAACACAATATATTTTATATTTTATTTGGAACAGTAAACATGTCAGGCTAAATAGTTTTAATTAATTATAATACTGGTGTATCACACTCGTGTGCTTTTCTCAACTGCAGCAACAGCTGAAGCGCCTCCGGTTGAAGAGGAAAGACATGCAGGAGCAGATAAACCGCGGAAAGCAGCTGCAGATCGAGGAGGGTTTGGAAGAGAGTTTACAGGATGACCTGCAGAAGCTAGAGTCCACTCTGAAGAAAATGGATGAAAACACTGAGTCACAGGAAAAGAATCTGGAGGTGAGGATGGCCAGGGCAAATAATTAATTAATTAATTAATAAATTAATAAATAAATAAATAAATAAATAAATAAATAAATAAATAAATAAATAAATAAAACAAAACAAAACAAAACAAAACAAAACAAAACAAAACAAAACAAAACAATAAATAAATAAATAAATAAATAAATACATAAAAATAAGAATAAATAAATAAATAAATAATTTAAATTAAATTAAATTAAATTAAATTAAATTAAATTAAATTAAATTTAATTTAATTTAATTTAATTTAATTTAATTTAATTTAATTATTTGTACTGTGGCCAATTGAGAAAAAAATTATTTCTTTAGGCGCTAATTGGTAAGTTTCATTTTTGTTTATGACAATTGCTGGTGAAAAGAATTGAGGACTTTTATGTTATATAAAAGGTCACTTCCGGGATGAGCGGAAAGATTCAAGTTCAAAACTGTTGTTCTTATTTAGTAACACTAATGATATTGACCTTAAAAATGATTTTAAAAAATGCTGCTTTTATTTTGCTCAAACAAAAAGCATGCCATGCATGCATTTATATGTTAGCAGATGATCTATTTTGAGATGATGCTTTAAATGCTGCTCTGTGTTTTTTTAGGTGACTTTATCAGCCTGGCAGGAGTTTGATGCTCAGCAGGCGTCAGTGAGGGAGTTTGTGGGTAAAGTGCGATCCGTCACAGAGAGAGAGATGAACTTCAGCAGTCCAGAGAGCCTGAGCTCAGAGCTGGAGCAAACCAAGGTGAGAACAACACCACATCACCAGGGGCTCCATATAATCAATCAGCTTTAATTAAACACCAGCATCTTTATTTTCAACACAGAAGAGCTGCGAGAGCCTCCACAATCAGTAACACATCAATTTGAGGCTTCAGAATCATGCATAAATTAATTTTCTGTCATCATTTACTCACCCTTTACTTGTTTTAAACCTTTTTGAGTTTCTTTGTTCTGTTGAACACAAAGGAGGATATTTTGAAAAATGTTGAAAATCGGTAAACATCGACTTCCATTGGTTTTTCCTACTATAGAAGTCAATGGTTACAAGTTTTCAGCATCCTTCAAAATATCTTCTTTTGTTCAACAGAAAAAAAAAGAAAGGGAATAAAGTGTGCGTTAATTTTTTTTTTATTTATGGGTAAACTATCCTTAAGCATTAACACACTAGTAATGATTAACGTATAGCATAAGTGCATTTTAATCATTTAAGGATTCACATTCATTCATTCATTTTCTTGTCGGCTTAGTCCCCTTATTAATCCGGGGTCGCCACAGCGGAATGAACCGTCAACTTATCCAGCAAGTTTTTACGCAGCGGATGCCCTTCCAGTCGCAACCCATCTCTGGGAAACATCCACACACACATTCACACACACACTCATACACTATGGACAATTTAGCCTACCCAATTCACCTGTACCGCATGTCTTTGGACTGTGGGGGAAACCGGAGCACCCGGAGTAAACCCAAGCGAAGGCAGGGAGAACATGCAAACTCCTCACAGAAACCCCAACTGAGGCGAGGTTCGAACCAGCGACCTTCTTGCTGTGAGGCGACAGCACTACCTACTGCGTCACTGCCTCGCCCCTAGTAATTTTTTTTTTATCACAGTATGTTTATTGCACACTCAGACAAGGCAAGATACAATAACGAAGACACAATAATACAATATAATTAGTAATAAAACAAATTCAAAATAAAAGTGTGGTCAATGAATTCATGCGAAACCACAGCAATTAACATTTATAGTAAGAACAAAAAAATACTGTGGAAGTCACTGGAAGTTTATTCCAGTTGTCACATGAAGGGGACGCTGACAATGAAAGGGCAGATTCAAAAGCAGATTTAATTAAGAGGAATGGTCAGGCAAGCAGTGGTCAACACAGGGGCAAATCAGGTACATGCAGAGAATACAGAGTCATAGTCAAAAAACAGATGAGTGGTCAGAAAGCATGCAGCAGACAGGAATAAACGCTAAAATAAAGCGAGGATCAAACATGGCAAGACAAGGCAAAGGAAATGCGATGTAAAGTTCACAAACAGATAAAACAGACTCAGCAATGAGAGTGCCAAAGTGAGCCATATACAGTTGAAGTCAGAATTAATAGCGCCCTGTTTATTTATTTTTTTCCAATTTCTGTTTAACGGAGATACTTTTTCAACACATTTCGAAACATGATAGTTTTAATAGTTTTTTTTTGATAGTTGGCTAACACACTTAACCACGCCCCTCCAACTGTCAGCTTTGACAGCAAACAGAAATGGTGAGGCGGAGGAGTCTGTTAGGTTGTAGTAGCTCTCCTCAAACCCTTTTCCAGATCTCTCTGAATGAAATGCCTACTTTACCACATCCAATCAGCTTGCAGTACAAAAAACAATCCACGCCCACTGTTTACTCATTTAATATTCTGTTTATCTAGGAACAGCATCACAATACAAAAAAAAATGGGCGCAGCTTCTGGTTCATGCGAACTTTAACATCTGTCTGTATGAGCTCAGTGGATGCCTCATTTTAGCAAGCCATTTTAGCACAGCCAGTGTATACTAAGCTGGATCATATTGAATTAAAAGCAGTTTTTTTATATGTGTTTAGTTTATTCTGCCTCACACAAAGAAAGCACGCTTCATTCTCCCTTCATTTGTTCCCGCAGGATCTCCTGAAACAGTGTGAAACGGAGGTCAGACAGGTGAACACACTTCTGAAAAGGGCCACAGAAATCCAACTGGGCCCCAAAAACCAGTCTCTTCTTCAGGATCAAGCACGAGCTTTGAGCGAACAAGTGGACAAAGTAGAGAAAGGACTCAAGCGAGAGTAATACCCTACTTTATCATATGGATTTTACATTAGGATTATTAAGATGAATGCATTAGAAGTCATACTCTAAGTGAATAAATAAAGCAGCTGTAAGAGAGTGTTTTGATGACTGTCTGGTTTTTCAGTGTGAAGACTTTGGAGGGAATGAAAAGTCAGTGGGATTTGTTCGGGAGTGAGTTTGAAGCGTTTTCCTCATGGATAATGGAGAGAGAAAGAGAAATGGATGCCTTAAAAAGCTCCAGCATACCTTTGGACCAGCAGATCTGTACTGTACAGGTGCAAAAATGTATATTTTATTGCAAATTAAAATTCTTTCTGATGTATATCTAATCATTTAGTTATTCATCATCATTATTATTATTATTATTATTATTATTATTATTATTATTATTATTATTGCTTTTATATTATTGACTGCATGACTTTTTTTTTTCAAATATAGTTATATACAGTGTGACCCTGTGCCATAAACCATTTCAAAGTTTATTAAATACGCTAAATATTGAGAAAATCTCCATTAAAGTAAAAATAGTTCTTAGCAATGGATATTACCAATCAAAAAATAGGGTTTTGTCTTACAAAATAGAAATAATTATAAATCTATAAATAAATAATATAAAATAGATCTTTACATAATATTTTAATGCTTTAATAAGGCTGTAATGCTAATTTTAACTTTATCTCTTTGTATTTTTAGCTATTCCCACAAATATAATTAAGCAACATAATTTTAAAACAATAATTTTTATTATTTTTATAGGAGTTATTTTTTGTCCAAAGTCACGTAGTTTTATTATTAATTATTATTTTATTTATATGCAGTGTAGTTTATAGTGCAGTTATTAATATTATTTAGTAACAATTAATTAACTAAATTAACTATTCATTTAATTTAATTAGTTGTTAAAGATATTGTTGTGTATCTCTATAGTTCATTAATAATTAGTTATATAAATATTAACATGTATTAAATGATTTACAATACAAAACAATAACAAATGTTTTCATATGCTGTATTTGGAAATCAGGGTGATTCCACCAACTTTTCTGAAGTTACATTAGTATTGTTTTGTCAAAAAATAAATACAAGCTTCTCTGTATTAACATTAATTTAATTTAAAATACATTTTTATCACAAAAACTACAACCTGTGAATAACTATACATAGCTATAAATACAAAATAAAAGTCACATTTTCAAGTGCTCCCTTAATTTTCTCCATAGCTCTATATACAAAAATGATATATTTGTTATAAAACTTTTATTTATTTGAAGTTATTTATTGTAATCCATTAATAAACTGACCAGTTTTTTACTAAATTAACTGCAACTTTAATGACAAGGAAAGTGTCACTAACCTCACGGTTTCCATCTCTTATATTTCCGGTGGGTAGACCATCAGAGACGGTCTGCAGGAGAGATCAGAGGTCCTGTCTAATCTGGAGGAAAAGTCTCAATCGCTCGTCCAGTTTGTGTCATCTGGCGAATCTGCACGAATCAAAGCCCGGCTGACACAGATCGGCAGATACTGGGAGGAGCTTAAGGAGAGTGTGGACCACCTGAGTGGACAGCTGGAGGAAAGCTCCTCCCACCAGACTAAGTTTAACTCCAATCTACAACAGGTACAATTTAAACATGCATTTATCTTTCTAATGTCTAATATTCCCCACAGTCAGGGGGGAAAATGTCAACCCAAGCTCATTCTGAAAACGTAGTCCCGCGGACATTTCTGGAGACAGCGGAATACGTCCCGGGGGGTACGTACGGCCGCGTTTATTTTTTTCAAGCGAACGCTGCGGGGCGGTGTGACGCTGTTCCCTTTTGCGCTTGCCTTACCTCCTTGTGAAGGGCTTCCCCGCTGCAACCCATTTGTCCACTCAGCTCAGCGCGTACGTCGGCAGGCTCGAGATGCGGAGAGGGGTCGACCATGGCGACCGGTTTCGAGTCCGGGAAAGAGCAGCTCCAGCAATCAGGTAAGACAAAAACAGAATCCCAAAAATTAAGTGAACGAGTTTCGTAACAGGGTGAGAATGCGGCGAAATCCGAAAACGCGGTGGAATAATAAAAATCAGGGCTTTTAATTTTTTGGACGGCTTTTGTGAACTGTTGCTCGGGTTTAGGGAAGCGAGCGGGCTGGCGGGTCGATCGGTAAAATCGGTTGGGTTCAGGGAAGGAGGAGGGCGAGTCGGCCGATTGGCCGGTCGCGCAGTCAATCATCCGGTCAGTCGGATAGCTGCCTCCGGCGGGTTCACGGTTCGCGCTCGCGAGAGGCGTCTGAGGTGCGAAAAAGCGAGCAACAGCGGCCTCTCGCGGATTCGCGAAAACAAACAAAAACTGCAGCCGTACGTACCCGCCGGGACGTATTCCGCGGTCTCCAGAAACGTCCGCGGGACTACGTTTCCACAATGAGCCCGGGTTGGAAAATGTACAATGGTCATAATAAACAAAATTGGGTTGCGATGTTAGATTTCCCGAAAAGATGCTCTTTATTCGACAACCAAACACGGACACTCACTTGAGATTAATTAACTGGATTTATTGTAGTGGAAAAATATTAAGCATCTCTTCAGGGTGGCAAAATAACAAACAAAGGAATCTCCAAAGAAAATAAGCTAAATTACCTATAAATATTTAAAGAAAATACAACAAGCTTACCTCACTTTCTGATCATAAACAAAGTCAGTATTATCTTTTTTTAATGAACCCAAAGCGTTATCCAAATAAATAGGCAGGCTTCTACTACATACTCAAATTCTCAAAAGTGTTTTCACATCTTGACATACATGTGGGCAATCTCTACAATGACAAAGTTTGGTCGTCGTTCAAAGGGGGAAATCCAGGAACTCTTTACTCTATTTTAGTCACATTAGACATGAGCTCATCGAGTGCTGCTTGTAGTTTCATTTTATAGTTCACCCTTTGACCAGCAGACAGTCTGTCAGCCAATCACAGTCTGGACCGTATTACCATAGGAACCTACAGCATGGGATGACAAACAACACAGAAAGGAGGGACAAGAAAATACATAGAATGCAATATATATTTAATTCATTTAACCTTTATTTCTAACGCGCTTTACAATGTAGATTGTGTCAAAGCAGCTTAACATAGTAGTTCTAGTAAATTGAAACTGTCAGTCCAGTTTTCAGAGTTAAAGTTCAGTTTAGTTCAGTTCAGTGTGGTTTAGTTTTCACTGCTAAAAGTCCAAACACTGAGAGCAAATCCATCGATGCGCAGCTCCACAAGTCCCAAACCAAGCAAGTTAGTGGCCACAGTGGTGGGGAACAAACTTCACCAATTGACGAATGTGAAGGGGAAAAAAAAACCTTGAAAGAAACCAGGCTCAGTTGGGCACGACTATTTCTCCTCTGGCCAAACTTCTTGTTCAGAGCTGCAGTATAGGCGCCAGAGGCTGGAGAACGCTGGACATCGATCTTGGAGAAGCTACAGGTTTGACTAGGTCACCGGCGGGTGTTCAAGCTTACCCACGGGATCATTGCGAAGACTCGTCTGTCCATGGGGTCTTTCAGGAATCAGTCTCATGCTCTCCACTCCTCCATGATCGCCACAGCATCTGCTTAGGATACAGCCTGGTCCAGGATTATGGATACCTCTAGAAGTCCTCTATGGTTGGCACCATCTCTTCACAGGTCTTGAATCACATCAATGGCACTGCATAATCTCCAGAGGCCTCGGGATGAGTATCCCTAAGTGGAAAAGAGAATAAAGAAAACAATTAGCGGAGCTGTTGTTCATAGTGTATTTAAACACAAGATACTGGGGTGGGGTGCTCGGGGGTGAGGCGTCTGAAAAACACTGTTGAGAACTGGGTTATTAACTCTACTGTGGTGTTAGTAACTGTTCTATGGAACGGGTTTCAGGTGGCTGTTGTGATTGGATACTATATCAAAGTGACCCGGCTGGTATTACAGACTGTACCAAAAAGTTGAGGACCGGAGGGTGAAATCCCAGGAGTTTTCCAGGAGAAATAACAAAACAGGAGGGTGGCGGGAGATGAGTCTAAAACACGAAAGAATCCCGGGAAAAACATGAGTGTTTTTAGATTTTTTTAGATTAGATTCAACTTTATTGTCATTACACATGTACAAGTACAATGCAACGAAATGCAGTTTAGGTCTAACCAGCAGTGCAATAGCAGCAAGTGCAGGATACAGGAATAAGTTATAAAGTGCAGTTATAGAAAACTATGGTGATATTTACAGATGGATGTACTATGAACATTATATACAGGTTGGATAAGCTATGAGCAGATTTACAATATATGAATATATGTGCAGGTTGCTATTAATAATCAGTAGTGTGCAGATAGATAAACATGATTACAAGTGTATATGTTACAATATAAAATATGAGTATATGTACAGGGATAGATAAACATGATTACAAGTGTATATGTTACAATATATGAATATATGTGCAGGTTGCTATTAATAATCAGTAGTGAGCAGATAGATAAACATGATTACAAGTGTATATGTTACAATATTAAATATGAGTATATGTACAGGGATAGATAAACATGATTACAAGTGTATATGTTACAATATATGAATATATGTACAGGTTGCTATTAATAATCAGTAGTATGCAGATAAGTAAGCATGATTACAAGTGTATATGTACAGTGGGTGTGTACATAATTACAAATGTCCATATGCAGTGGGTATGTACAGTTCAATAAGTAAACAGTTCAATGTGGTGCAGTGAATGTGCAAATTTTAAATGTGCATATGTTAAACAGTGCAGTTATTGCGAGGAGTTTAAGTTAGAGGAGAGTGGGGGGGTGTATTGGGGGGCAGAGTTCAGAAGGGAGACAGCTCTGGGGAAAAAGCTGTTCCTCAGTCTGCTGGTTTTTGTCCGGGGGAGCCTGAAGCGCCTGCCGGAGGGCAGGAGAGAAAACAATCTGTGAGCGGGGTGAAATGTGTCCTTCAGAATACTGCGTGCTCGGCGCAAACAGTGCTTCTTCTGGATGTCCTCTATGGCTGGCAGTGTGGTCCCTGTGATGCGTTGGGCAGTTTTCACCACCCGCTGCAGTGCCTTACGCTCAGCAACAGAGCAGCTTCCATACCAGACTGTGACACAGTTTGTCAGGATGCTCTCTATTGTGCAGCGGTAGAAGTTCACCAAGACGGCTGATGAAAGCTGGTTCTTCTTCAGTTGCCTTAAGAAGAATAGGTGCTGGTGAGCCTTCTTGACCAGGCTGGAGGTGTTGGTGGTCCAGGAAAGGTCCTTTGAGATGTGGGTCCCCAGGAACTTAAAGGATGAGACAGGCTCAACGGCCATCCCATTGATGTGGATGGGATCATGTGAGCCTGTTCGTCCCTTTCTGAAGTCCACAATGAGCTCCTTGGTCTTGTTGGTGTTAAGGAGCAGATTATTGTCGGTGCACCAAGTGGCCAGATGCTGTATCTCCTCCCTGTAGGCCGTCTCATCATTGTTGCTGATTAGACCAATCACTGTGGTGTCATCTGCAAATTTGATGATGGTGTTGGATCTATTAACAGGCCTACAGTCAACGGTAAAAAGGGAGTAGACAGGAGTGTTGGTATACTTTACTACAAAGATAGATCTTTAATCTAGTTTTGAAATGAGAGAGTGTGTCTGAGCCTCGGACATTATCAGGAAGGCTATTTCAGAGTGTAGGAGCCATAAATGAAAAGGCTCGACCTCGTTCAGTAGACTTTGCTATTCTGGATACTGCCGAAACCCTGAGTTTTGAGATCTTAAAGAGCAGGTTGGATTGTAAGAGTGGGTTGGATTGTACATAATAAAAATAAAAAAACATTGGTCGTAACAATGTTCCATGATTTTCATTTAATTGTATCCCTAGAATGTTTAGTTTTTATGCTGAATATGTTAAAGAGAAAATTGGAGAATTATTGTAAATATTGAATTATTTAAAAACTGTTTAAATGAAGTCACTCAACTGTTTTTGCCATAAATTGTTGCAGACATGCTGTTAAATCATAAATACTATTCTTACTAAATCACTCTAATGTCTCATGATGAAAAATCAAACGGCATCTTTTTAAAAGGTACAATCAGAAGTTGAAGAGATCCAGAAGAAACTTGACAACCCCGTCACCTCCTGCATATCTTCATCCGAGACCTACAAAACTCTACAGAGTCACATGGTACGGATCCTGCATGGGACATTTCTCAGTCATTTGCAGCAGTTCAATGTGAATAAAAGATTTGTTTGGTTTTAGGATGTGTTTCAGAGTCTGGAGAAGCTGAAGGCCACGCTGCTGTCTCTGTCTGCTGGCGCCCGCAGGCTCAGCGAGAGGGAGAAGGCAGAGAGAGCCGTGGCGGCCCTACAGCAAAACTATGAGCAGTGTTTAAAACAGGCCAAGGAGAAACAGAACCAAACCGAGAGCCTTCTGTCACACTGGCAAAAGTATGCTTCTTTTCACTGTTTGCCTCATCTGACTTATTCAATTGAAAACAAGAGTAACTAGGGGTGCAGCGAGAGCTTAAAATACCTCTTCTGCTCAAGCTTGTTTTTCTTAGAGCATTGCATCAGTGGAATTTGATACCACAGTCTGTTTGATAATCTTTTAAGGAATTATATAAGTAATATATAAGTATAATTTTAAGAAATGGCTTCTTAATAATCAAAATTGTGAGCACTAGTTTTTTTGATATTGTTGTTGTGGTTGAGTCAGGCCCGGATTGGCTAATCGGGAGGACCGGGAGAATTCCCGGTGGGCCGGTCCGTTTTTTGGCCGCGAGGGCCGGTGTCGCTAGCTCCAGAATCTGTTGCTCTCAGCAGTCACACTTTTTAAATTTATTTATATACCTGACCACAGCCTTTTTATTCATTATTTTATCGCAACTCTTCTCTTTTTATCTATTTTAATGATAATAAAACTTAATTGTGTCTCTAAACCGTACACAGCTGTTGTGGTCCAGTGGTTAGCACGTTCGGTTAAGACTCCGTGGACCTGGGTTCGATCCTCGTTAGAGTAATTTATTGTTTTCATTTTTATTGTTAAGATATATAATACTGTTAGGGTTGTTGAACATTTGAAGTTCTAAAGCAGCTGTTTTCTCAAAAAAAAAGACGTGATAGTGTAATTAGCAACTGAATTGGAAATGACCTTACTTTAATATAGTCAGTCGTGAACTGAGGTGGGCCGGTCTGAGGCTTGAAACTCCAGGGCTGAAAAGGAGTCCCACTCCGGCCCTGGGTTGAGTATTCATTTGAGTATTGTTTATAGTTTCAATTATTACATTTAATTTCTATTTTTATTTAGGGCTGGGCAATAATGCAAAAAAACATCACAATGTCATGTTTCATATCATTTGATATCGATAAATATTAAATATTTAAACAATACATTTAGGATTATTAGGATTTTTTTAACCAATTTATTTTAATTTACCAACATTACTAAGGCAGTTTTAAAAGTGAAAAACAAAAATATTTAAACAAAATATCTGATCTTTTTAGAATAAAATAAACATTAGTGTTGGAGAGACTCTTAAAATAAGATAAATAAAATGTTACAAAGTGTGTGCAATGGTGAAGCGTAAACGCTGAACAATCGAAGCCAATTATTTTTTATTATTTTTTTTGTAATAATTTTTTTTAGGGGTTTTCACCTTTATTGATAGGACAGTGGAGATATAGAGACAGGAAAGTGTGGGGAGCAGAGATAGGGGAAGGATCAGCAAAGGACCTCGAGACGGGAATCGAACCACTAGGCTATTGGCGCCGACATTGAAGCCAATTTTAAGGTGTAAATAATAATGATACAGTAAACCTCAAACTCTGTAAACTACACAAATTATGATAATCAAATCTGAGCTTTCAAGTAAAGGAACCAACCATTATTATTCAAGTACATACTGCAACATTACAACTTGTGAAGTTGAATGACTATATTATCCCCTATGCTAAGAAATCTTTCAGATGGGGAGCTAGTGGCAGGGATGCACAAGAAAAGAAACCAAAAAGCCACTCTGGCGACATCTTTGCATACTTTTTCATTTACAATCTCCTCACTGCTGCTGTACGGCACTCGTTTTCACATGTGTGTTTATTTTGACCTAAAGTGACAAGCGTGTGCGTGGATTCCTTGACCATTTACAATGAACTTTGCTTGCATCAAGCATTTTCTCAGAGGATGACAAATTAACAAACCCTTGCTGCGGTTTTGATACAAGTTTATGGTAAAAAGCGCCGCAGTGTTTGGGTTGCGCTGTGTTTGTCTGAGGTAATTAGTCTGCCGCTATTACTAACGTTAAAATGTGTATATTCTGTACAAAGTGTGAAGCAGATTGGTTACTTCTACTTTTATGAATCGCGGTGCGCTCGCAGCATTCGGAAAAGTTCAGATGTTTTCAGCTAGGAGCGGCTGGAAAATATGCGCGGTTCATGTGTGTGCCACTTGCACAACATGTGCGCATAGCTCCCATATCTGTGTCGTGCAAGTTTAAATAAATAAATAAATAAATAAATAATGTAATAAATTGAAAATCAACATATAATCAACATTTTTAAATTGAACATTGAATTTAATTAAATTAAATCTGTAAAATCTTCATCAAACTTAATAAGAACAAGTTCTGTGAACTCAGGATTTCATTGTATTAAGGTCAACTTGAATTGACTAAGTTTGATTTCTAGTTCCCAGCGTGGTTTGTATACGGAAAATAAGTGTTAAATTAAATAAATAAATGTTATTTTGTGTGTTCCTGCAAAATGTAAATAACATTTCATTAAAAATAATGAATAAATTTATAATATAAAGTACTATATAGTCATTTTTAAAAATATAATATAATAACTATAAATAAAATGTATTATTATTATTATTATTTTGGTTAATAATTAAGTAATTATAATATTAATACATACAATTAAGTAAATTTATATTTTCATTTTTTTTAAATATTAAAAAATGTATTAATTAAATTAATATTTTAAAGCAATACGTTTACACAAATGTTTTAAGTTTTCTGAGCTAAGCAGGTTTTACAGTCTGAAAGCATCCCATTTTATTGCATATGTGAGTAAAATGGCTTCTGAACAACATGTGTAGGACAAGCTTTTGTTTATGGGGAATTGATTGGATGCTAGTTTGCCATTGGTGGATCTCATGTAAGAGACAGGTTGTCCCCGCCCTCGCACCAGTAAACACGCCATCAGAGGACAGATGGAACAGACATCATTTTACATTTTGTTTTTTTCAGGTATGAAAAGGATTGGTCTGCACTGAAGTCATGTCTGGAGAGATGTGAAGCTGCGTGTGGCCCTGACAGTCAGTCTCTGCCAGTCGACAAACTAAAGCTGGATGGAGAATTGCTGGAACTAAAAGTAATACGTTTTTAAAACATTATTCACAATGCAATTCAGTTCTGGAATGTGTCATTTTTCTTTCGAAGTCAAGATGTAATAGGGGCTTATTTTATTTTTTATGTTAGCTCATTTTGGATGTACTGTACTGGAATTATGAAATATGAATAATTAAATGGATAGTTCATTGAATAAACTAACGAATGAGTGAACTAACGAATGAACTAACGAACGAACAATCAAACTAACTAACAAACTATCAAACTAACAAACTAAATAAATAAAAAACACAGAAATCAATAGTAGCTAGAAACTGTTTTAAGTTTAGGCTGAACTTACCTTAAATGTATTTATGTTATTTTTCATTTCTTTTCTTGAAATTCTAATAAATCTGGTTATTAAATGGGTAGTTCAGCAACCCCACCATGCCTTCAAGAATATACATACATAACAGTTCATTTTACACAATTTAAAAGTATATTTGAGCTCCTATTTACTTAAACACAATAATAAATAAATACCATGGCAGCCAATGGGAACCAGAAACTGAATTTTTGTCTGAATTTATATTTTTGGTTGAACTAGCCAATATTCATTTAATTTCTGCCTTTTTTTTTTGTTTGTTTGTTTGAAAACATTGAAAACAGCACATTTTATCAAATTTAGATAGTAAAAACAACTTTTTCTGTTGAAAATTGTGCAGCTAAATTGGATCGGTTTCATATTATTTATTAATTTTCTTAAATGTTGTTGTTTTGAAGCACCTGCAAACTGAGCTTGAGTCCCTGGAGGTAGTTTATAACAGACTCGGGGCCCAAACACCGTCCCTTTACACCACTGCATCAGATGAACGCGTGAAAACACTCAAAGAAGACCATCAACAGCTGGAGAAAAGATGGATGTGTCAGACAACAGCTATACCTCACAGGTCAGTTATTATAGGTAGAAGAGTTTACATTAGGGCTGCACGATACTGGAAATCTGACGTTGCGATATGTCGTTTTTCTGCAAAATATTATGTGATTTCAATACAATTTTACCAGATGACTTGATATGCTCTATTTGGAAAGAATGCAGTAATGTAAATTGACTGGGATGATTTTGTAGGGGAGTGAATCATGCATAAAATATAATAAACTATTTACAAGTACATACTGTATTGACCTTAATTGCTGTCTCATTCACATCCATTGATTTTTAGACCTTACTAAAGCTCATTATGCTGCTTGATGTTGTAAACTGATATTTTCTTTGTTCATTCATTTTCTTAGTCTCTTTATTAATCAGGTGTCGTCACAGCGGGATGAACCGCTAATATTTTCTTATTGTATTATTCTACTTTTTACAGAATGTATAGTTACACCCCATTCACACGGGGCTTCAGCGTCAACGCTTCCCATTCACTTTTAATGGGTGATGTCAGGAGTTGCCGAACTGCATTGTGGATCCGTCGGCGCCGCTTCAAAGGTGTTGTTTGCTGCCGAAGTTGGGACTAGCTCAACTTTTCAAGCGTCGACGGAAGCGCCAGCCAATCAGATTGTTGTATGCAAATACACCAGCTAGACAGTGGCCTATTACTGACTAAATTTCATTGGCTGACGCTGCTATGATGATCGCGGCAGCCCCAACTTTAGACACGCCTTCAGTCAAGCGCTGACGCTGAAGCCCCGTGTGAATGGGGCTTTATGAACACACTTGTTTGTTGAGCAAGTAATTTGACCGTTTTCTGCCGTTTATAATTCCTAGTCATTTCTCCGTATATATATATATATATAGTCTTCACTGTTTAAATAATTCTCAAAAGTGATTCTTTAAAATATGTACAATTGCTTGCGCCTAAATAACTTTTTAAAAATGCCCACACAGTCACAGACCGTAAACACATGCAAATTATTAATCCTTTTACACACTATGGTTACACTTTTGCAATATCACTCCTGAAATGACATTTTGCAGCACTAAATTACATGCTTAATAATATATATGTTAGCTATGTTCTTTGAGAATGTTTTTGTTTGTATTATTATAATGTCTGACAAAGTAAATCAAACTGTTGATTTAGAATCCAGGTCCTTCAGCAGCATCTGTCCCAGGTTGATCAGTTTGATCAGGCTCTTCAGAAGTTTTTCAAATGGGGAGAGTCTTTTCTGTCTTCTCTACACTCCTCCTCTCACACTGATATCACTGATCTTCAGCCTTCCACCAATGATATCAAGGTACGCTTCATCTTCAGAGCCACTGAGAAACAACACCAGATGACTTTTATGGACACGTTTGTCTAGAATGGTTTTACCATCTATATTTTATATAAATATTACGCATGTTTCATGTTTACTCATTTAGTATTTTCATAATAAACTAATTTGACTTATTTACTTGTTTAGCCATTCAAATTTTAATACACACCATTTTCATGGGGTTTGTTAAAAAATGGTATTTTGAGTCCAAAACATTGAAAATATAGAAATATTTTTGGATCCTAATCATTACTGATCATTAATTTCCTTTCTCCAAGAAGATAGGCTATATTAGTTTAAGATTGCTAGATTTGAATTAAAGTTTGAAATTGTTATTTTAAATGTTCATTCAGGAATAAAACTTGTATTATAAAAAAATGTATCATTCATTGTTTTCACAAATATATTAAGCAGCCAAAATGGTTTCAACATTGATATTGAGAATCATTTTAGTATATCAGATAGTTTTCTGGAGAATTCAGCATACTGTTTTAAGCCTGGTTGAGCTAATATGACTTATTCTAAAAACACTGAAATACTTGACAACACCATGTGCAAATATTAGGTATTTTTTTTATGCAGTTACAGGATTTTATTGTAAGAAATATACAGTTGTAGGCAAAATTATTAGCTATTTTGTGAAATGTTTTGTTTCAAGTAGTCTTCACAGTATCTTTTCACATATGTATATATATATATATATATATATATATATATATATATATATATATATATATATATTTATTTTTATTTATTTTTTTTCTTTTTGGAGAGAGTCTTACTTCTTTAAATTTGGCTGCTTGGAATAAACAAATTTTAATTCATAAGGTCAATATTATTAGCCTCCTTAACCCTTTAACTACCCCACCAAGGAAAAAAAATTGCACTGCATTTCTTAACTCCTAATGATGCTAGTTACCACACTCAATTTTCTTTTCTTTCAACACATGCCATAATTTCTAAAATATCAGCCTTTACCAAATGGTTGACATGTCGGTTTATGTTAAAAGTACCAACTTAATACATATACTAGTGTAAGACCAATTTGTTTTTAAACATTTAAAATAAAGCCTTTTTGAATACTAAATCATCTTTTTTTAAGTATGCCATAAAATATTTCAGATTTTCATTTAAAATGCAAACTACAACCAAAATCAAGTGTAGTAGTGCAACAGGATTATGTTTGTTTAATTTTTTTGTGTGTGTAAACCAACAATGCTGTGTGTGTAAGCCATTATTTAAATCAGTCATTCTTTAAATTATTTTAATGGTCATTATCTTAAACAGTCAATAGGTTAAGACATTTTTTTTTCATTGCCAGCAGAACAAATCAATGACTGTTGTCCAATGACTTACCTAAATTTGAAGAGTTAACCTAATTACCTAATTAGTTAATTAGTAACCTAATTAGTTAAGCCTTTAAATTTGCCTTAAAATACTACTATCTTGCAAATAACTATTAAAATAGTACATACTGTCATCATGGCAAAACAAAAGAAATTAGTTATTAGAAATTAGTCCATGTTTGAAAAAAAATAAACATCATTTGTAGAAAGATTTGAAGGTTATGGAGGGCTAAGCATTTTGCCTTCAATTGTTTATAGGACATTACTGTGACACAAAAATGCATTTATCATAATCAAAAACAATATTTTTACTGACTTTTAAAACAGATTTATTGTTTAACATGTTAAGTTGAGAACCCTAAAGTCAACCCCCTGGGGTATGAATAATTTCAGGCTTGACTGTATATATAAACCAAGTAAAAGAGTGCTTATATTACAAGACAATAAAATTGTATCATTTTCCTCACCAGGAAAAAAGAGAAGCTCTCCTAAAGCAAAGCATCGTCCGGCAGAATCTTCAGCAGCAAACTAAAACCCTGTGTGACGTTTGTGAGCCAGCTGAAGTCCAGCATCTTCAGGGAAGGTGGGAGAGCTCCTTACAGCCGTACCTGGAGGCCCATCAGCTGGTTGAACTTCGAGGAGAGAGTTTGGAGAAACTGGAGGCCTTTCTACACACCCACAGTGTGGCAGCGGGCGTTCTCCAGGGCCTCAGACAGACCGTGGAGAGCGCTGGGAGTTGGGATAAAAGCCGGGTGGAAGAGCTGCAGAGAGAGCTGGAAGCCATCGTTCCGGATATCAGCCGCCTTGAAACGCTCGCCGTGAATTTGGACGGCAACCTGTGTAAATCTCACCTGCACTTAATGAGCGGGAAAGAGACACGGTCCTCGTGTCGTTCACTGGCTGACTCCTTGAGCGCTGAATTGGACGCCGTGAGAAACCTACTGGGCTCCAAACAAAGCGAAGCTGAGGCTCTCGGTGCTCTTTGGAGCTCCTTCAGACAGCGTAAAGAACAGCTGCTGAAAACTGTGGAGGATATTGAGGAGAAGGCGGATCAACAGGGCCTGAAGGAGCCCAATGTGCTTACTCTACAGCAGAGGTATGGATTGTGATTATCAATGTGGTTGTTTATGTGAGGGATATTTAACAGATTGCCATGAGTTGTAAATGCATGACATTTAGGCAAAGAACTGCCCGATGCAAAGCAGAAGTGCATTTAAAGGTGTTGTATGTACATTTTTGACTCTTCTAAAACATAAAAAAGTTTGCAGATACAGCAGGGAAAATAAAAATTTAACACGTCACCATTTTTCTCAGAAAACATATTTCTTAAGGTGCCTTTGAAGTTTTTTTTCTGGGTGTTGGTAACAACCAAAGAAATCCATATATGCAAAGAAAAGGAATCGGATTAGTTTACAAATGAAGTTATGCATAATAAAAGGAAATAATGCTTGGAAAAAAGTATTGAACACATGAAGAAAGGGAGGTGTAGAAAGGCAGTGAAAGCCCAGACAGCAGCTGAAATCTCTCAGTAGTTCTTCAGCAACCTTCTGCCCTTCCTCAGTGTAAATTAATATTTGGTGCTTCAGTCCAACATCTACATGAGCAGGATGATGAAGATGAAAGCAGGATGAACATTTCAGCAAGACAATGATCCAAAACACAGCCAATAAAACTCTTAAAGGCTTTCAGAGAAAGAAAATCAAGCTGTAGAATGGCCCAGCCAATCACCTGACTTGAACCCAATATAAAATACAAATTACACTTGTTCAAGTCTGTGAAAAACTCACACCTGAGCAATGCATGTGACTTCATTCTCCATATGAGAGGCGTCTTTAATCTGCCTTCACCAAAAAAGCCTTTTATATAAAGTGAAGAGTTTAGATGCAAAAACCTCTAAATGCCGTCTGAAATTTTCTTCTAAAATTAGCATTTTTACCAGGCTGTGTGTATGTTCAGTGATTTCCTTTTTATGGCAAGGAATAAATTATTTTCATAATCTTCAAAGTGAAATAACTCAACATAACCAAAGGAGGCTAAGAATAATGCTCATTTTCGATTGAAATTTCTGAGGGTTTTTGCATTTTAACTCATTTAAAAAAAAAAAAAAAATCTGTTTTGTTTTATTCTTATGTTTTTATTGTTTGGGTTTTTACCAGCATCTGGTTCAATTTCATGTCAACAGCTCCTTTAAAAATATTATTTCCAGGAAAAAACTTGATGTGTTCAATACTTATTTTGCCTACTGTATTTAAGAAACACACACACACACGCGGTTATTCTCCTATTCACGGTTATTTTAGTCGGTTATTCTCCTATGAAAATATTTGTTCCATGACAGAATGTCAATATTATTTGTCATTTCAGTTATAAAAATACATTTTTTGTCTCTCTACACATTCTGGTCAACTAATACATTGGTTATATAAAGGAAAAAATTGTAAAAAGTGATGTCCCTTCCTCTAGCGTAAAACTTTGGAAGGCATGCCATGATTCTTCTCGCATTCATTTGTACAAAACTTTTAGGATACAACAATAGTACACTGTAAAAAATGGCTGTAATATTAAAAAATGTGGCTGTACTACAGTAAAATATACAAATTTACGGTAAATTAACAATTGACCCTTTGCTAAGCCATACCCGAAATTCGTGGCATAGCAACCGTAGTTACACGCAGGAGGTCTTTCAAGCTTTCGAGCAAGGGAAACAAGCCAAAGCGTTGCGCATATAGATCAAATCTGATATCTGGTATCCTAAAAGTTTGGATGGGTAATATAATAAGGAAATATCAGTTTGCAACATCAAACAGCGAAACGAGCAGTTTTTAATGTCTAAAAATGAATGGAAGTGAATGAGACCGGAAGTCTCGAGCCAAAAAGATTCAAATGGGAGCGCCCGCTCATCGGCGGAGAATAAGGTGAATAGAAAACAGTATAAAAAGCACACAAACATACTGACAGTAATAGGTACTGTACATTGTTATGGGTCAATGATGCTAATATTCGGCACAAATCCATCAATTTCCTCTTTCTGGCTGCTCTTTCTATGAATGAATTATGTAGAAGCATTTTCCATGTGCGTTTCCTTGTCGGTTAGTAACGCTATATTTCATTGCATAACAATTAATCTACCAGGCTTTTTGGCTAAAAATAGAGAAATCACGGTTTAATTAGTTATTATTAGATTATTTTTATATTTCACGTCTCATGCTGTGCATGAACTAAGCTGTTGAATGGTCAGCGGAATGAGGCAGCTAGGCTAACCTAGCTTCAATTTTGAATAAATTATTCTCTAATTGGTTGCGTATTGTGTCGCTAATATCCTCCTGTAAGGCACACTGCAGTCCTTTTTTGTCTGGCTTTCTCTGATATTTCACCTGTTCGCCAAAAATGACTAGTTATATCCCTGAGAATGTCTAACACCACCGCACACACATTGTAATAGACGTGCCAGGCACGAAAGCTTGACAGGCGTAACAACAGTAACTAAGGAGGACGGAGTTTAGCGAAGGGTCATTTACAGTTGTTTGCAGCACAGTTGTAATTGTTCATAGTGCGCTTGTACATTTAGCCAGTAATACTTTAAAAATTGCCAGTAATACTGTATTAATTTACAGTACGCTTGTAAATTTTAAATATATTTGTGTTGTAATACTGCTGCACTGTTGTAATTGTTAATTTACTGTGAACTTATACATTTTACAGTATTACTGGCAACCAAATGGTTATTAATTAATTAATTAGCCAGTAATAGTGTAAATTTTCACCATTTTTTACAGTGTAAGAAAATTACAATACAAAACTCTGTTATTGTGATGTTTCAGGGAATTTGTGACTTTAAAAAAACTAATATAATGGAAATAAAGTCAATTTTAGACATGCCAGACCATGCCAACAGTCAGTCGGGTGACAACAGAGGATCCATGTGCAGATTTATTAAGAGACTAGTCGGACAGGCAATGGTCAAACAGGAGCAAACAGTAACATGAGGGTAATCCAAAAGGAACAGGTAGCAAGACAACATAAAACAATGACCAAAGCAAAGATCAATAATCACGAAAGGACAAGGCAAGGAAACCGCTTAGTAATGTTACAGGGGAACAAGTCTCAGAAAAGCCTGCATGCGTGTGTGCTGTTTATATGGTCTATCTGATTATAAGCTTCAAGGTGTGTGTGTGTAATCAGGGGGAATCAGGAACTGGTGTTTCTGAGGTGCATGATGGGAGTTGTAGTTTATTTAAATGGCATATGTGTTGTTCTCCAGCGATCTGCATAGGCTAGATTGCTGATGATTGTGACACCATGTGGTATCTGGCATCATGAGATAAGGCACAAAATGGCGGAAAATGTCAACTCTGTTATTGTCAACTCTGTTATGCTTTACTCTATAGAGGAAACTCTTTTCTTGTGATGTGTTTAGGCTTCGGTTTTTCAATCAGCTGGAAGATGAGCTCCAGTCTCACCAGCATGAGGAGCAGTGGCTCAGGGATAAAGGTCAACAGCTCGCTCACAGAGATGCTGAGCTGGGCAGTGAAGTGCTAAGAGAGATTAACCTGCTTCAGACTACCTGGGAGGACACTAAGAAACTCATTACTGAGAGGTGAGCTGGCAGAAATCGGCTCTTATACTGTTTTTTGGGATGTTTGGCTTTTAATCGTGTGATATATGATATATGTAGTAAATGTTTTAAAAAATAAAGTGTTCTTGGATCAACTCATATTAGAGGTTTTGACAAATGGGGTTTGTCATTGGCAAATTCTTACATTTATGTGAATGGTTTCCCCAGTGTTAGACATTAGATTCCATCTTAAATTAAATTAAATTAAATTAAATTAAATTAAATTAAATTAAATTAAATTAAATTAAATTAAATTTTATTTTATTTTATTTTATTTTATTTTATTTTATTTTATTTTATCATTAATTCATTCATTTTCTTGTCGGCTTAGTCCCTTTATTAATCTGGGGTCGCCACAGCGGAATGAACCGCCAACTTATCCAGCACGTTTTTACGCAGCGGATGCCCTTCCAGCCGCAACCCATCTCTCGGAAACATCCACACACACACACACTCATACACTATGAACAATTTAGCCTACCCAATTCACCTGTACCGCATGTCTTTGGACTGTGGGGTAAACCGGAGCACCCGGAGGAAACCCACGCGAACGCAAGGAGGACATGCAAACTCTACACAAAAACGCCATCTGAGCCGAGGTTCGAGCCAGCGACCCAGCGACCTTTTTGCCGTGAGGCGACAGCACTAGACTGCGCCACTGCGTCGCCCTTAATTTAATTTAATTTAATTTAATTTAATTTAATTTAATTTAATTTAATTTAATTTAATTTAATTTAATTTAATTTAATTTAATTTTATTTTATTTTATTTTATTTTATTTTACTTTATTTTACTTTATTTTACTTTATTTTACTTTATTTTACTCAACATTTATTCTGTGATACATTATAGACCAGGACACAAAATAAAATGAGCTTTTTATAAAATATAAGTGGATTATTTTGCCTAATTTGATCAGGCTTGGTTGGTAACTCGATCTAAAATATTGAGCATCACTGCATGAGGATTTCATAGCTTTTTCATTTTCGTTTAGTTAGGCAAAAGTGATTTTCAGTGTCTAACTGATGTTGCTACATGATTTTGTTGCAGACAAGAGCAAAGCAGTGCTTTAGTAGACCTCATGAAAGACTACCAGACTCTGAAGTCTTCAATAAACTCCATTTTGGAAAGCGCTGATGCAATAGCCGATATTAAATCTGTCCTGAAAGATCAAGAGGACACGCGGAGATCCTTGTTGAAGGTAAAACCTGTCTGTCTGTCTGTCTGTCTGTCTGTCTGTCTGTCTGTCTGTCTGTCTGTCTGTCTTTCATGCAAAATAAACAAATGCAAATAAACACTTGAATGTCGGTCTTCAATGATCTTTCTTTCTGTAGCATGAAGCTGTAAAAGCAGACATGGCCAGTCACCAGGATGTACTAGACCGATTCTCCAGTAAAGGGAAGAAGCTTTTAAGTGAATTAAACAAGATCCCTGATTGTGACACACAGATTGTGAAGACAGAAATAGATGCTACAGTGGACCAGTGGCTTGATGTGAGTTTACCTAAAAGCCAAATATTCATTAGTATAGTTTTCATTAGAAATATTGGTAACACTTTATACTAAGAATCATTTATTAAACAATAGCAATTAGCTGAATAAACTACCAATAGCTGTTTATTAATAGTTAGTAAGGTAGAAGTTGGGTTTAGCTTTTGGGTAGGATTAGGTATGCAGACTAAGATTACACATGATAACCACTAATGAACCGTTAATATCTTAATAACAGGCAGGTAGTAAGTCAGTAGATAATAGCATGAATCGTGACCTAAACTAAAATCTCACGTAGCCTTAGAAACTAAAAACCGTTATTCTGACCAACACACAGGTGTCCGAAAAAATCGAGGACAATCTGGAAAGTCTCAAGAGGAGTTCTGCTCTGTGGGTGGAAATCTACGATATCAATGGAGAAATCGAAAGCTGGTCCAACAGCTCGGTTATGGATCTTACAGATGGACTCAATAACTTCAACGATAGCCAGAAAACCGCACACAAACTCTCTGAAGTCAAGGCACGTTCCAAACTCTGCTATTAAACACATTTATAAAAGCAAATCACCAGTCTTTTCCTATTTTATATTCTTATTTTTTTGTGTAGGTGGATGTTGGCCTGAAAGAAAAGAAGATTGATGCTTTACAAGAGAAAGTTTCCGAGATGAAGCAACTCTGTGGTGGACAAGATGTCCCCGCTAAACTACAGGTAAGTTTGATTTCCAGGTTGTTTATTTGATTATTGCTTTCTTGAACTTAATGCTAGGGTTTTGCAATATGATAATATATACTGTATCATATGGACTTATTATTAATGAACTAGGTAATATGTTACGAAATACACTGCTTATGGTATTACTTTTGCGTAATTTACAGTCAAGCCTGAAATTATTCAGGAGTATGAATAATTTGAATATGAAGATGAGGGCACTATTACACACCATTACACGAATAACAACATTGTGAAAACGTTGTAATCTTGTAAATACAATGTTTACATTTTGAATTTTATTTAGCAACTTTTTTTTTTTTTTATGTTGGACCTGTAAGTAGTTTTTGGAAAGTTTTTTTTAATATGTTTTATTAATGTTTATTTTCTGTTTCTTCATTTTTAATCAAACATTTGCTTGGTGAGAAATATGATCGTATCTGATTGAGTATGAATGTCTGGGTATATAATTTATGATGTAAAAAAGAAAAAGTCCTTTACACGTGGTCAGTGTATGTATATAAATTTATCTAACTATTAATTGATTGAAATTACAGAAATGGTACTTTATTGTGATATACATTGTTATCAGCATATGAAATGACATATTGTGGTATGAGATTTTTGTTTGTTACCCTTCTTTACAGCATATTTTAAGTCAGTCACGCTTTATTTAAAAGTTAAATTCTTACTATTGTATAATAAAATAATTATTTTACAATAAAATAATTAAAATAATTATAAAATAAATTAAAGTTTTATATTTATATTTTAAATTTTATATTTAAAATAAATATAAAATAATTAACTCTTGCTTCAATAAACTCCTAATTTGCTGCTTATTAATAGTTATTATGGTTTAGGTAATATGTAGGATTAGAGATGTAGAATAAGATCATGCACAATATGTACTTTATAAGAACTAATAAACAGCCAATATCTTAATAACATACAAGCAACTAATAAGCAACTAGTTAATAGTGACAATGGGTCTCTAGTTCTAAAGTCCTTAAATTTTTCCAGGTCATGGAGACGGACCTCAGAAGGAAACTTAATAGCATTGAAGAGTTATGTGATCAAGCCAAGAACAACCTCCAAGATTTCTGCTGTCAGAAGAAGCAGCTGGAGGATTTCCTCAGCCAGATGTCTGAGTGGCTGATGAGCGTTGAGAGATCTTTGGTGGATTCACCGTGTGGAACGGCTCCTGAAGAGATCTGCAGAGTCAAGGTACAGAAGATTTAACATACATTCATTTTTCTTCGGCTTAGTCTCTTATTTATCAGGGGTTGCCACAGCGGAATGAACCACCAACTATTTCAGCATATGTTTTTGCCCAGCGGATGCTCTTCCAGCCGCAACCCAGTACTGGGAAATACCCATACAGAGTAACATTCTCACACACACACACACACACACACACACACACACACACACACACACACACACACACACACACACACACACACACACACACACACACACACACACACACTTTTACACTACAGCCAATTCTGTTTACCTAATTCACCTATAGTGCATGTCTCAGGACTGTGCGGGAAACCCACGCCCACACGGGAAGAACATGCAAACTACACACAAAAATGCCAACTGGCCCAGCCGGGACTCGGACCAGCAACCTTTTTGCTGTGAGGCAACACTGAGTCAGTGTGCCGTCGAAACAGAAAACATGTCTAAATTATAAATTTTGCACTTCGCTGTCGCTAATGGTTTATTATTAGATTATTTTATTGCATGTCAAGGCATTGTGTGTTGTTAGGACGCAGTGTTAAAGTTCATCATCCAGTGCAATTTTAAAAGCTCTGTGGGTCTAAAAGAAGAAAAAAAGGCCCAGTAACACTTAAAACATGAGTGTGATGTTAGGACACGGTCTTGAAGTTCATCATTCAGTTAATCTCCAATGATATTTGGAGATTTTTGCAAAGCTCTGTGGACTAAAAAGAATTAAAATTGGTTCAATAGCACTAAAACATGATTGTGATGCTACAAAAATCATTGACTAACATTTGTAAGTCAAGTTACAGGCAAAACAAAAATAAAGTTTTTCTATTTATACAATTTGTAGGAGATCCAAAAGGAGCTTCAGAACCAGCAGGCGAGCATTGATTCAGCCCGGGAAAGCTTGAACACGCTTTGCAGGAAATACCCATCTGAGGAACTAGCTGGTCTAGGATCTTCCCTAACCGACCTCATCAAGAAATATGAAACAGTCAATCAGATCTGTGTAAAAAGGCTCGGGTCCATGCAGCATGGCCTCCAGCAGCACTTTAATGGTGAGAACCACACAAAATTCTTCATAAAATGATTGGTAAATACATAAATACTGTCTTTGACATTTTGGTCACTCTTTATTTTAAGGTACAGTTCTCTGTATTAATAAAACATTAATTATAACTTTCGCCTCATTACACTCAGAATTTGCTGCTTATTAATAGATATTAAGGGAGCAGTTTGGTTTAGATATTATAGGATTAGGTATAAATAGTTAGCCAATATTTTAATAACTGGCAAGTAATAAGCAACACTGCAAAACGTATTTTCTCATTAAAGTTTTGTAGCCCAAACATTTAAAAATCGTAAATCAAGAAGCATTTTCCAGAAATGTTTTTTAGAAAAATAAAGTCAAAATTTTGTGAGATTTTCCTGAAAGTGAACTAAATGATCTGCCATTGGGGTAAGTAAATAGTCTTACTTTAAACAAAATCAACAAAATTTACCCCACTGGAAAAGCTCAATTAACATTTCTAAAAAAACAAAATTACATTTTTTACTTGAAAATGCTGATTGATTTAAGAATTTGTAGATGTCTGGTCGAGAAGTGATTTATAGTGAGAATTTGTGCTTAAACTAAAGTGATTCCGACTTTTTCTCTCCTCAGATCTTGTGAAGGAGTTTCATACGTGGCTCTCAGGACAGAAAGACATTGTGAGAGAATGTGCAGACCATTCGGGTGATATGAGCGTGGTGGAACGCAAACTGCAGAAACTGAAGGTGAATTATCTTTCATAAAACCTCATCCTAACTGAGAAGTTTGGAAAATGTTGAATCAGGATGTCAAGTCATTTTTCTGAGAAGCAAAATGTAGTGTAAAGCTTTAAAATCACTAAAATTAAATAATATTTATTGTAAATACATTTTACATCGAATGAGTCATGTTATACTTTTTTTTTTTTTTTTATAGATATTTCTGTTATTCTGTTCTGTTTTTCACCCAGCTTCTTTTTTCTAGGTGTATTTTTTTTATTATTTGTAGATGCGTTTGTAGATGCAGAAGCAGAATGATTTTGAGAGTATAAACACATAAAATAATAAAATAAACTCTTAACTTATAGGTTAACAATGCAAATCCAATTAAAACCAGCTACTGGAGGTCTCTCGGATAACAGATCCACTAAATTACATAGAATTTTCAAGTTTACCAAAGTTCATATTTTTATTTTACAAAAACCTTTAATTGCAATTATTTAATAATTTTACATATCATTTTCAAATATATTATTATTTACATCAGTTCATTTATAAAAAAAAAGCAATTCTTTATTGATTACAAAACACAGCCCAGCATCACAACACCATTCACGCTCAAAAACAGTAATTGCATTTGTCAACTTACGGTAATTAAAATCAATAACAATTCTAGATTTAATCATGTTTTTAAAAATAGATAAAATGTTTTGTCCATTTCTTTGTTCGATTTAATTTTTCCTATAAAAATAGATTGCTAATTTTGCTTGGCCAATTAAAAAAATTATTAGTTAACATTTGTATTTCTGTCATTTGCTATACTTAAAACCTATTAAAAAAACCTGTTTTGTAAAAAAATTACCCATTTGTGAAAATAAATCAGTTAGGATATTAAAAAATAGAGAAAGTCTCTTACATATTGAACTCATCATTTATGTAAGACTCTTATTTTGAAAGCAGGAGATGCTGCAGCTAGCCACACCAGTTTTTTTATGCATTAATAAGCAAAAACTTTTAAGAAGTCGCAAAATGCAGGATATACAGATTTAAAAAAATTTCAGCGGTTCCCCAAAGAGGCATAAGGTATGTTTAATCGCATCTTTTGTTAATTTATCATGTTTATTAGGAAATCTGCCAGATATGTTTGTAAATTGAGGCAACAAACACATGTAGACTGTTGAGTATTATGTTTAATACATGTTTAAGCATCGTGACTTACTACTCAACACTGAGAGATGCGTCAAAGCAAAGCTTATTAATATTCACAAGCATTCTAAATAAAGTCAACAATGACCTTCTGAATCTAGGGGTATTTTATGAAGTAATACATAAGCATATAAACCATTTCTGAAGATGTGTTTAACTTACCTAAACCACATATGTACTTTGAAGATATTAGAGAACAATTTGACATATTGAATAAATGCAGTATATGGCAACTTAGACGTTCATTGTGGAGCTTGTGTGTCTTACAGGGAGCTCTGGAGCGGGTGGAGGATGGAGACGACCGTCTAACACTGGTCTGTACAGAGGGAGAGAAGCTTCTTCTGCATCTCCCCAAAGCCAGCGCCGGTCAGGTTCAACAGAGCCTCTCCTCCATCCAGCAGGACTGGGACAGTTATGTGGAGCAGTGCAGACAGAACCAGCAGAACCTGGAGGACAGCGCCAGTCTGCTCAGCGGGTGAGAATACAAAACACTGCTGAATGCTGAGTTAAAGACACAATATGTAAAATTTGTTGTTTAAAGGGCTCCAATTTCACCCTTTAAAAGATGTAAGATATGTCTTTGGTGTCCAGAATGTGTCTGTAATGTTTCAGCTCAAAATACCTATTATACAGTGCAGAATATGCCCATTTTGGAGTCTGTGGTAGAGATCTGCGCGGGACTAAATTTTGAATCCCGCTCCCGCCTGCACCCACCAGGTTTTAACCCGAACCCGACCGCTCCCGCTTATATTAAGAATTTGTTGTCCCGCTGCCGACCGCCCCGTTTTCTGCCTGCCGCGCCCGATCCCGCTAAAGAGAGAACAAAACCAAAAATCCCCCAGCTATACAGTCCAGACAGCCAAGCTGTCTGTATAAATACACACACACAGCACCAAGCACACACACACAGACAAAGCTCTCTCTCTCTCATTCGCGCGCGCACTAACACACACACAAGCACCAAGCAGACACACACAGACAAAGCTCTCTCTCTCTCATACGTGCGCACACTAACACACACACAAGCACCAAGCAGACACACACAGACAAAGCTCTCTCTCTCTCATACGTGCGCGCACTAACACACACACAAGCACCAAGCAGACACACAGGCGTTTACTGTTATATCAACTCAAAGGGTTTTAATACCATGTATCAAGTACCAATGTAATACCAAAAGGTTTTATATAAAGGTATATAAATACTGAGTCGCGCCAGCTCCGGGCCGCAGCGCACATTACTCTCGGGCCGATTCCGGCGCGGATGCGGCAGCGTCGGCTCGCTTACGGCCGCCGCATCTGGCCCGAAATTGGGCAGTGAGTCCACAAGCATCCGGGCCGATTCCGGCAGCCGGAGCCGGGCCGAGTGGTAAGTCTCCGGCAGGTGAGAATCTAGCCGGAACTGGCCCGAGTGTATTTTGCTATCTGGGAAGGCTCTCTCATTCGCGCGCGCACTAACATACACACACACACGCACCAAGCACACACTCAGGCAAAGCTCTCTCTCTCTCATTCGCAAAGCAATATCCGCGATATTGCTAGACAGCCCGCTCCCGTCCTAAATTAAACCCGTTACCGACCGCTCCCGCGATTTATTCGTAAATTTATTCCCGCGCCGCAGAAATCTGGTCGGGTCCCGCGGCTGTCCCACGGGCAGACCTTTAATGCAGACCTCTAGTCTGAGGACAGTGTAGCTGTTTTTTGTAGCCTGTGCCTTTAAATGCAAATGAACCTGTTGAAATGAAGCGTGTTTGGCTTCTTACATCAGATAAACGGCAGTCGGTGACCGACATTAATCCCAAAATCTAGGTGCTGTGTCTGTGGTGTCTCACCTTTAATATTAGTGCAACAAGTAATTTTGATGTGGAGGAAGCTGTGCACTTGACTCTCAGCTTGGCACGCAGTCGTTCGTCAACGAACAATCTAAATTAAATCCTGTGTTTGTTTTGTAGGTTTGACGGCCGTCTGCAGAGACTGAGCCGCTGGCTGGAACGCATGGATGTGAAGATGAGCACAGAGCTGCCAGAAGGAAGACATGGCGATCAGGAGAGAGTCACGCTGGAGCGGGTGGAAGAATTCCAGCATGAAGTGCTCAAAGAGAGGTACCGTGCTAATGTTATGTTATATCATTGCTTTGCCCTGTTGTGTGCACTGACTGACTCAATACACTTTAGGGATGCACCAATGTATCAGCTGTTGATATTTATCAGCTGATACTGGATTCATTTAAAGCTGTCGACAAATCAGCAATAATATGAAAAAGGCAGATGACTATGGCTACATATTGTAATTTGCAATAAACTCAAAATAATCAATCAGTCAATTAATCAATCAATCAATCAATAACTAAATAATTAAAGTCAATCAATAAATAAAATCTAAAATCAAACTTGCGCCTCTTAAAAATGTTGGACAGTTGAATGTTAAAAGGATTTAATAGATATTAAATAACATTAATTAAATGGAGGAAAAACCTAGCTAGCACTGTATGCAATTGAACAATATCGGTATTGGAATCTGGCAAAGGTTTTTTTTTATCCAAGCAGTGATAATGAACATTAATAAATCTCTAATCCCTAATTAACATTTTATTGTGCACCAGCAAATTATTATTATTATTTTTTTATCATGCAAAATGCTAAATATCCAATATATATTTTCATTCATTCATTCATTCATTCATTCATTCATTCATTCATTCATTCATTTTCTTTTCGGCTTAGTCCCTTTATTAATCTGGGGTTGCCACTTGGAATGAACTACCAGCTGCAACCCATCACTGGGAAACACCTGTAGATGCTCATTCACACTCATACACTACGGACAATTTAGCTTACCCAGTTGACCTGTACCGCATGTCTTTGGACTTGTGGGGGAAACCCATGCGAACGCGGTAAGAACATGCAAACTCCACACAGAAATGCCAACTGACCTTTGCTCTTGAATCTCAAAATAGTGACCTTCTTGCTGTGAGGCAACAGCACTACCCATTGCGCCACCGCATCACATCCAATTATATATAAATGCCCATAAATATGTTTTTTTTTTTTTTTTAATAATATATATATTTCTCAATGTATTATGTGTGATAGCTAGAGTTTTTTAAATAAAAGTTTTATTTAACTTTTAATATTTATTAATTATATAATATTTTAATTTATTACATGTATCTATGTATTTATTTAAATGTATGCATATAATTTCTATACTCTGAGTTATATTCTATATATTATATTTTATATTCTGAACCATAAAACTAATGCAAAATAAAAAATCGTATTGCTTTATTTATTTATTATTAATATTATTATTATTATTGTTGTTGTTGTTGTTATTATTATTACTATTATTATTATTATTATTATTATTATTATTATTAATAATATTATTGTATTATTATTATTATTATTTTATTATTATTATTATTATTATTATTATTAATATTATTGTATTATTATTATTATTATTATTATTATTTTATTATTATTATTATTATTATTAATATTATTGTATTATTATTATTTTATTATTATTATTATTATTATTATTATTATTATTATTATTATTATTTTATTGAGATATGGCTTAAAATATATAACACATCATATAATGCACATGTAACTGTGATGAAGTAATTTTTGAATTGTAACTGATGGTCCTGCAGGGATTCGTTTGAGGTTATATTTATGTCTATATTTCCAAAATGTATTCCCATAAACAATCAAACAAACAAACATATAATTCTTTTAAAAAGTTTTTATACATTTATTTTATATATATATATATATATATTTTTTTTTTTTATAAAATATGTCCATGTATTACATGTATCAATTTATTTCATAAACTTATCTAAATGTATTACATGTAGGAATTTTGCATATAATTTTAAATAACAAAAAACACATACAAAATAGTTTTATTTCTCATTATTTACTTTACTGAGAAATATGTCTTAAAATGACATGTTTCTTAACAGATGTCATGTTTGTTTTTTTTTTTTTTTTGTTTTGACATTTTTTTAATCTTATATAACCCTTCATATAATGCAGTGTCTCTCAACCATGTTCTTGGAGGACCACCAGCAGGCCCGGATTGGCTAATTGGGTGGACCGGGAAAATTCCTGGTGGGCCGGTCCGTTTTTTGTCCACGAGGGCTGGTGTCCCTGGCTGCTTGCATTCTAATTTATTCATTTGACCATAGCCTCACTCTTTTTATTCATTATTTTGTCGCAGCTCCACTCTTTTTATTTATATGGTCCCAGCCCCGTAAGCAAAATGCAGCCTGCAGCCTGCAGGTTAATGATAATGTACTATCATTCGACCCCAAAGAGCGGCACCTTAGTGAATATAAGAATTTGAATAATTAATATTAATGAATATTACACCTGCTCAATGAAAATCAGATGAATCACTACATTAATAAATCTGACATGATCGAAATCTAAGAAGAGGAGAAAAAGATTAAGCCATCAATAGAAAGTAATACTGTGATTTAAAGAGTCCTGCAGATAACAGTGCAATACTTATTTTCACTTCCAAACACACCAGCATAACAGTGCCATTGTGGTCCAGTGTCCACCCAACCCGAGTTTAAGCCTCACTATAGTAAATTTATTATTATTATTATTATTTTTCATTTTTAGTGTTAAGACATAATACTGTTTGGGTTACTTATATAGGTGTACATATTTTATTTGTATTTAATGTGTGACCACCGATACAAAGGACTGGATATCTATAAAGAGTTTTGCACAGAATATATATTCAGATATTGCATGAAAGGACATTGTGATGTTTTAAAGAACAGTGTTGGCGATTTAGCGACCCTTTAATGTTCTCTTATTTATGAAAACATTTGATGTTCTAAAGCAGCTGTGTCCTTAAAAAAGACGTGATCGTGTCATTAGAAACTGAATTAGAAATTAAGTTATTTTAATATAGTCAGTCGTGAACTGAGGTGGGCCGGTCTAAGGCTTGAAACTCGAGGGCTGAAAAGGAGTCCCACTCCCCTGACCCCCAGCTTCACATTTTCCATAGGTGTGTCCCAAATCGCATACTTATGCACTATTCTATGCCATTTTGTAGTATAAGCAGTGTAAGTAGTGCGTTCACACTGAAAACTATAACAATAATAAGTACACTTTAATTACCTGTGTGATGCACTCATTCAACCGGTAAAATGAAGTGTGTTCATTTGGAATCCAACATGAGTGCACTCATGTTTGATTGTGAAAGCAAAATTCTCCTACAAGAGTGATTATAGCACCTCCCGATGGTGAATGCGGTTATACTCATGGCAGGAATTATTTGGCCTTTGTTCATTTATTTCACTAATTTGTCAAATGTCATCAGGGAAACAGCTTGAATTTCTGCTTAGTAAAAAAACATTAGTACTCCAATTGGGATGACACTACATACAAATACTATGCTGTTGAGCAAGCATGTCCAAGCTTGGTCCTGGAGGGCCGGTTTACCTGCAAAGTGTAGTTCCAACACCAATCAGACACACCTGGGCTAGCTAATCAAGCTCTTAAGCTGCGGACACACTTGAGTTTGTGTGTGCGAAATTCTGTCGTACGGCGCTGCGAAAAGGGGCGGGATTAAACAAGATGATTAGACATTTAAAAAAGCGAGCGATTGCTCCATGTTTTAAATTTTTGTCCAGAGAGGTCATGTTTTGATCCTCGATTAGCCTCACGCAGTCAAGTGATGCGATTTCGCAGTTTCGCAGACACGTAATGCATGACCCTGCGTTTGAGGTCTGACGTATTCGCGTGCGTATAAATGGGAGACTATGGGAGGAAAAGCCCAGTGTGACGCAGCTTTATTAGGCTTTCTAGAAACATCCTTGCAGGTGTGTTGAGGCAAGTTGGAGCTAAAATCTGCAGGGCCAGGTTTGGACACCCCTGCTGTTGAGTGTGTAAGTGCATAAGTACATAGTGCATAAGTGCACAATGTAAAGTGTGCCATTTGGGACGCAGCTCATGTCTTCCTAACCAAACACACCTGATTCAGATCATCAGCTCATTAGCAGAGACTAAAAGACCTGTAATGGGTGTGACAGACAAAGGAGACATCCAAAACATGAGGGTTGGTCCTCCAGGAACGTGGTTGAGGAACACTGCACATGTAATCACATGATGAAATGAGTTTTGAGTTGTAACTGCTGGTCCTGCAGGGACTCGTTTGAGGGTCTGTGTCAGGAGGCTCAGGCTCTCAGTGAAGGAGGTCACGGCAGCGGGTCAGAGGTCAGAGCGTCTGCGCAGCTGCAGCACCAACATCAGTCTCTGCTAAAGGCTGCACGGGAACGGCTGCGCGTCTGTCAGCTCAGCATGCAGGAGCAGCAGAACTTCCAGGAGACACTGCAGAGCACATGGCTGTGGCTGAGCAGCGCACAGGAGCGGCTCACTGCTCTCAACAGCACCGGCGGGAATAAAGAGACACTGGAGAAGAGACTGGCGCTCGTTCAGGTCAGGAAACACACACTTTTGAGGATTCGCTGATTTATGTTTTAGTATGCTCACAGTGAGAGTGACAGTATCTATATTTTTTATCTCTTATCTATCTTATCTTTTATTTTATTTATTTATTTATTTATTTTTATTATATATATATATATATATATATATATATATATATATATATATTTTTTTTTTTTTTTTTTTTTTTTTTTTCCGTATGTGATTTAATTGTACATTTATTAAACTTTTTGTTTAATTTAATTTAATTTTTTAAGGAATAAATTTAGTCAAAGTAATCAGATTTTTTTTTCATGCTAAATGTAGTTTGAAATGCAAACTCAAACTCTTTGTTGTTCATTTTGCTATTAATGTTTTATTATTTAAAGTATTTTAATTAATATTTTTTTTATTTAGTAGTATTACATTTTCTTTTAGCATGCAATTGCTTTTCACATTTATTTAACTTTATTTTATTTTATCTTTTGAGGATTATATATATTTGAAAGATATTGAATATTTTATTTTATGAGATGAGGATACACTAATTTTTATTTTATTTTATTTTATTTATTTTTTTTTTAATTATCTAATTTATTTAAGGGATGTGTATGACTTATGTTTTATTGAACCAGAGCCTAAATAAAAATAAAACAATTAGCCACATTATTTTCAGATTATTTCTTGTGAAGGAACATGTCATATTATTTAGCTCAGTGGTTAGCACTTTCACCTCACAACAAGAATGTAGCTGGTTCGAATCCCGGCTTGGCATTTCTGTGTGAAGTTTTTATGTTCTCTCCGTGTTCACGTGGGTTTCCTCCGGGTGATCTGGTTTCCCCCACAGTCTAAAGACGTGCTATATAGGTGAATTGAACAAGCTACTGTATATTGGCCATAGTGTATGCGTGGGTGTGAATGAAAGAGTGTATGGGTGTTTCCCAGTGCTTGGTTGCAGCTGGAAGGGCATCTGCTGTGTAAAACAAATGCTGGATAAGTTGCCGGTTCATTCTGTTGTGGTGACCCCTGATAAATAAAGGCACTTGGCCAAAAAGAAAATGAATGAATAAATAAATGAATGAATGAGATAAGGATTCATCAGTTGTTGTTTTTTTGAGTGAGTATTAATTTACATTTAAATTCAATTAATTGAGGTACACATTAATTAATTAATTAATTTATTTATTTATTTAAGTGATTTCAGAAGGCCTATGTTTTATTAATCCTGAACCCAATAAAAGTACAACAGCCAGCCATTTTATTTTCAGATTAATTCCTGTGAATCAAAATGTCATATTATTTATCAAACCTAATCTCAAACTTCTTTCCTTTTTTTTTTGTGATCAAATTTTTATTGAACAGTTGAAAATAATCTTGCATACATGGTTACAGACAAAAATACCAACCAACCCACCCACCCATGGCGAAAATAATAATTAACAAAAAAGAAAATCAGAGCAAAAAACAAAAAGAGAAAATAAATAAAATAAAATACAAATAAAAATTAATTAATAATAAAAAAGACTACATAAATAAATAAATAAATAAATAAATAAATAAATAAATAAATAAAAAATGAATAAAAATAAATAAATAAAAAAAAAATACGGAAATAAATTAACCTCTGCATTTAGCTTCTTACAAGAATACTTACAAGGCAGATACATTGGACTTTTACACATAGGTTAAATAAAATATAAAGAAAAAAATCACTAGAGCTTGTTTTATCTTAGTTTTTTTATTTTATTTTTTTATTTTGTAGCTTTTTATTCTTAATAGTTTTTGTGGAAGTGCCATGCATCCTTGCCACAGACAGTTCCATACTTGTGATGTCCAAGAACATTTACATCCAGTGTTTCCGGTCCAGAGAGTGTGGAGGCTGCCAACGTAAAGCTAACATTTTTTTTTAGCTGCTGTTAAACCAGAATATAATATATTTTTTTCTGAAATAAAGAAAAGTCAAAGGAGGAATCATCATTTAAAAGGAAAATCTTAGGGCAACATGGTATGGCTGATTCCAGTTTGTCCTTTAAGGTCAGTGACGCATTATGCCAAATGTTATTTACTTCAGGACATTCCCAAAACATATGTTCAAACTCCTTTCTTGAGATGATTATATTATACATGAATGATATTACATATAAACTTTTTGATAATAATTGCAACATCAATTTCATAGTCGTGTTAGTTTATACTGCACCACTTCTTCTTTTACCCTTGTGTATTGTTGTTTGTAGCAATTATAACCATATTTTTTGATTGCAATTAAAACAAAAAATCACTAGTTTTACCTCTTCCCAACAGGGAAAACCACCAACAATCAAGAACACATGATTATATAGTGCCAAGGCTTTGCGATCAAACATGTTATTATAATGGAAGTCAATGGGGAAAAAACAGCTACAAACATAATAAAAAAGGGTAGTAATTTCGCCCAGAGTCTATTGTCACCTTTTTTTGTTTTAAATTTCTAAGCATTTTCACAAAATACATGTCAAAATAAGATTTGTCACCAAAAATCATTCCATTTGCTGAAACACAGAGAAAGTTTTGGCCAAATTAAGACTCAAAATCACCCCAGAGTGGATGAAAACATCCTGAACAGCACACAAGGGTTAAACATTTTGGAGTACAGCTTTCTTCTAAAACATTATGTAATGACTGATATTGTGCTGATCTTGTTTCAGGACATCTTGCTGATGAAGGGTGAAGGGGAGGTGAAGCTAAACATGACGGTTGGGAAGGGCGAGCAGGTGCTGAAGAACTGCAGTCGAGACAAACAGGAAGTGATTCGCTCTCAGCTCAAGAGTCTGAAAGATTCCTGGGCCAATATTCTCATGACCGCCATGAGCTGCCACAGGTCAGATCCTGTCTCTGGTGTTTATATGCTAAAATTAAAATTTTTCTCAAAATGTGTGTACAGTTGTGGTGACACGGTGGCTCAGTGGTTAGCACTGTCGCCTCACAGTAAGAAGGTCGCTGGTTCGAGTCCCTGTTGGGCCAGCTGACATTTCTGTGTGGAGTTTGCATGTGTAAACGTGTGTGTGTGTGTGTGTGTGTTACAGTCGTCTGGAGTGGACCGTAGCTCAATGGAGCAGTTTTCAGGAGAGTAAAGCACAGCTCCAGCAGTGGCTGGAGATGGTGGAGCAGGAGGCAGGAGTGGCTCTACCTCAGCAGCCCGGGCTGAAAGAGAAAGCCGCTCTGCTGGAGAGACTACGGGTCATTCAGGCAGATGTGGAGGTCCATTCGACAGCACTGAGTCGCCTCAATGAGAAAGCCACAGAGCTGTATGAGAAGACAGGAGACCAGGCGTTTGCCGAGAGACCAAAATCTGACTTTAACACACAGTTTACCAACATCACTGCGGTCATTAAAGTAAGAATTTGTTTAATAACATTGTCTTACAATCAGCACACATCTCTAAAAAATAAATAAATAAATAAAATACATTGTGCAATTATGAAGTGACCTTCGCTCAGGTGAGTAGGCTTGACAAACCACATGTAGAAACACTCTTCTCTCTATAAATATCTAACAAACAAACTCCCCCTCCTTACTCTAACACTTAATTCTTTGAGGACAAACAGTTGCTCTGTATAATGCAACCCAGGCTCATTCTGGAAACGTAGCCCTGCGGACATTTCTGGAGACCGTGAAATACGTCCCCGGGAGGTACCTATTTGTGCAGTTTTTGTTTGCTTGAGTTTGCGCCCGCGCCTTTCTCGTCCGCGCTGTTCTCGCCCGCACTGTTCTCACGTAAAAAGCAGCCGGAGGCCGCTGTCGAGCGACCAACTGTCCGACAGACTTAATGACTGAACGATTGACTCGGTGGCCGGCAGACCCGGCCACCCTCCTTCTCCTCCTTCTTCTTCCCTAAACCCAAGCGATGATTTACAAAAGCTGTGCAGAAAAAGAAAAGCCCTCGTCCGATTTTTGACCACGTTTTCGGATTTCACCACATTCTCGCCCTGTTACGAACTTTTTTGCTTTATTTTTTGGATTCTGTTTATTGTCTTACCTGATTTCTGAAACCGCTCTTCCCCGCACCTGGCTCCTTCTCCTCCGGGCCTCTGCTCCGCCGCGGTAACACAACGAGCTAACCAGACAAACTGGTTGCGATGGGAAAGCCCTCCACACGGAGGAGGTGAACCATCAGCCCAGCCGGCGAGCGTGAAGAGGAGCGGCGTAACACCGCCCCGTAGCGTTCGCTTGAAAAAACGAAATGCAGCCATACATACCTCCGGCCACGTAAATCGTGGACTCCAGAAACATCCGCGGGGCTACGTTTTCAGAATGAGCTTGGGTTGGTATAATGAGCACTTCTAGTGGATGTTGCCTCTTCTTGTTGAATCGCTGCACGCCTCTTCTATTGTAATTCGCTTTGGTCAAAAGCATCTGCTATATGACTAAATGTAATGTATGTTCACGGCCTGTAAACACTTTATGTAATAATGAGGGAAGAATGTTTTCATGTTGTATATAAGTAATATTTCATACACATCTACCGGGATTCACAGATTGTTGTAACACCACAACTACAACGATAAAGATAGAGAGGAATGATCACTTTCAGAACCATTTTTTCAAGCCGATAAAGGATAAAACAATGATAGCCGGTCAAAATCCATTGAGAATTAAAGGGATTGCACAATTTAAAGATACAGACAACATTTTGTACAGACACACACTGCCTAATGTTAAGCTTTTTTTTTTAAAGATTATTTAAAGATAATGACTATTGTTTAAACCAGTGGTTCTCAAACTTTTTTCATCAAGAACCACCTCAGAAAGAAATTGTTTCTCCAATCACCACCAAAATAAGCAGTATTGAAATACAGCAGTGTAGTAGGCCTAGTAAAGCAGCTACAACTCTGCACAGTTAAAAACGTGGCAGATTACCTTAGAAATATAGGCTATATGTAGGGCCAGACGGAATCTGCTGAGGTTTTTTGCTATTTCTGAGGAGAATTTTGGTAAAAATCTGCGGATTTCTGCGGAATTATTTTGGGAGTACCCAGCGGAGTATCATAACTAAAACCTTAATATACAAAATAAAAGTAATAAATTACTGAATAAAAACTGAATAAATGAGTAAAATAAAAGTTAAAAAGTAATAAACAGAATTAATGATGGGCTAAAAATCTGCAGAAATCTGCGGAATTCTGTGGAAAATCTGCGAAAAATCTGCGGAATTCTGCGCGCGCAAATTCCATGTGGGCCTAGCTATATGTCATATACGGCATATTATATACATTATCCTTTTTTAATAAATGTTGAAATATATCTAACATGTACATGACATATTTCATTCCTCCGTGTACCACTAGAAGGAAATTCGTGTACCAATAGTGGTACAAAAATCACAGTTTGAGAACCACTGGTTTAAAAAATTGGTTATTCCATGGGAAATAATGAAAAAAATAATACACGGACGTTATAAAAGTCATTTTGGCAAATTGAAGTATAAATAAAAGTAGTGCAGGAATCCAATGCCAGTTTCAGTGTGTTTGTGTCTAAATAAACATATCACTATCGTTCGTCTCTGTGGATGCAAATATATTTGTCATTATATTTATGTTCTTCATTATCATACCTGCTGTGAACGAGCCTTAAGCCTGATATTTTGTGTAATGTCTAATTTTTGCAGAGTAAAGTCCAGCAGATGGAGGAGATTGTCAAAGAGCATGAGCAGTACATGGAGTCAGTGCGGGACCTGAATGACTGGCTCACCTCGGCTAAAGAGGAGCTTCAGCGCTGGTCAGACATGTCTGGAGATGCAGCTTCTGTTCAGAGGAAACTCTCTAAAGTCAGAGTATGTTATTGTTCGTATTCCTATGTGAAAACTACAGCCTGTACTCCACTTTTATTAATACTGATGTATGAGACATGTTTAATTCGCACTATGTCTAAGATGGAGTTAATAAAGACGTTTATTTTAGCCAGTTTTTAAACATTGCTTTAAAAGTACACTATTATTTAACTTTAAGGATTAATTATTTTAATTTTAGGATTAATTTTACTTAATTAAGATTGATTTTAATAACAGGATTAAAATCAGTGCCCACTAATGTCAAGAGCAAATCTACGCCCTTGACCTACAGCGTCTTACCTTAAAGTAAAGGAGGTCAGTTTTAATTCAATTCTGACGATAATGTTTTGGCATTGAATTTTAGGGTCTATTAGACTCGAGGAAGCAGGGACGTGAGCGTCTGACCCGAGTGCAGAGCTGCGGTGCCGCCACACGTGACCACACATCTACAGTGGGCTGTGAGGTCCTGGAGCGGGAGGAGGCCGGGCTGCTCTCCGCCTGGGAGCAGTGGGAGCGCGGAGCCAAACACGTGTGCTCGGGTCTGGAGGGTGTTCTGGCTCAGATGGCAAACTCCGAGCAGGAGTTCAACAGTTTGGCTGCGCAGCTGGAGCAGGACCTGCAGGAGTTCAGCAGCAAACTGCAAGAGTGGCGCATCAAGCTGCAGCAGGTGGAGGAGATGAGTGCAGGAGAAGAGGCTGTGCAGGGCTGGCAGATAGCCAAGGTGAGTCCAGGCAGAGATTACATATTAAACTGTGTTAAAGAGATGCCAATGTTGAAGTTATGCTGATAATTTTGGTCGATAGCCAGTAGCCGATGTCAATACTGATAATAATAATAATAATAATAAGGGCAAAGCAGTGGCGCAGTAGGTAGTGCTGTCCCCTCACAGCAAGAAGGTTGCTGGGTCACTGGTTGGAACCAGTGGTTTCCCCCACAGTCCAAAGACATGTGGTACAGGTGAATTGGGAAGGTTAAATTGTCTGTAGTATGTGTGTGGATGTTTCCCAGAGATGGGTTGCGGCTGGAAGGGCATCCGCTGCGTAAAAACTTGCTGGATAAGTTGGTGGTTCATTCCGCTGTGGCGAGCCCGAATATAGGGACCAAGCCGACAAGAAAATGAATGAATGAAAAATAATAATAATAATAATAACAATAATAATAATAATAATAATAAACTTTATTTTTATATAGCACCTTTAAAAGTAGCATAGGATAAATGCAAAAAATGTAATAATAAAAATAATTAAAAAAACATCAAATAATACTAATAAATCTAAAAATCTAAGTTAAATAAAATCAAGTAATAGCTACCCTTAAAAAAATCAGGTTTTAAGAGATGATTTAAAAATACTCAAGGATTCTGCAATGTAAATATTGGAGGGAAGGGATTTTCACAATGTAGGTGCCAATGAAGAGAATGCCCAGTCTCCCATAGATTTTAGCCAGGTTGACTGAACAGTTAAAAGACCAGCATCAAACAAGCGTAAAGCACATCTAGGAGTGTATAGGATTAAAAGCTCAGATAAATATTGTGGTGCTAGACCATCCAAGGTCTTGTACGCAAGCATGAGGATTTTAAAATCAGTTTGAAAACTGACAGGAAGCCAGTGCCGATTTTTCAAAACAGGGGTTATGTGCTCTCTTGCACTGGTCCTAGTCAGAATTCTAGCTGCTGAATTTTGTACTAATTGTAACTTGATTAGGGGAAGCCCAGGCAGCAAAGCATTACAGTAATCAATACAGGAAATACCAATACTGATAATAATAGAAATGCACAATATTGGATTTTGCTGATATGTTTGTCTAGATGCATAATATTGAATATTTGTCTAGATTTTCTTTTTTAATATTGGCCGATACCTAATAATTCTAATAATAGTGATGCACAATATTGGATTTTGCAGATATTTTATTCTAATTTTGGTCTATAGTCGATTCTGATACCAATAATTATAGAGATCCATAATATTAAATAGTTTTTTTAATTTTATTAAAAAAAATTTATTTAATTTTTATCTAATTTGGGCTGATAGCCAGTAGCCAACTCTGATACTGAAAGAGTAAAAAAAAATGGCACAATCTTGCCAGTAGCCGTGCCCAATACTGATACCGACAATAATGAAATTGCACAATATTATATTATGTTGATATTTTATCTAATTTTGGCCGATAGCCAGTAGCCCATACCTATATTGATACTGATAATAATAAAAAATGGACAATATTTTGCTAGTATTTTTATTTTTATTTTTTGGTTGATATCCAGTAGCGGAGAATAATATTGAATTCTTGTCAATGCTTTGTAATCTAATTTTTGCTGATAGGCAGCAGCTGATGCAATACTGATACCGATAATAATAGGATTGCACAATAATAGATTTTGCTGATATCTTGGTCTAATTTTGGTCGATAGCTGCTGCCAATACCAATATTTATAGAGATGCATATTATAGAATTGTTGTCTATATTTTTAATCTAGTTTTGGACAATAGCCAGTAGCCGGTGAATACTGACACCTGTACCGATAATATAAATGCACAATGTTGGATTTTGCTGATATAATTTTTTTATTTTGGTCGATAGTTGATATCAATAATTATAAATATGCATAATACTGAATTTTTGTTTATATTTTTAATCTAATTTTGGCCGATAGCCAGTAGCCAATGCCAATATTGATAATAATAGAAATGCACAACATTGGATTTTGCTGATATTTTATCTAATTTTTGTTGATAGCCGACGCAGATACCGATAACGATACCAATAGCTATAGATATGCATAATATTGAAAGTTTGTCTATTTTTTTTTATCTAATTTTTGCCGATAACCAGTAGCCAATACCCTTACTGACACCAACAATAATAGAAATGTACAATATTTGCTCATATTTTTATATATCTTTTTTGGTCAGTAGTCAATGCCGATACCAATAACTATAGAGGTGCATAATATGCAATTTTGCCGATATTTTTAATCTAATTTGACTGATAGCTGATGCCAAAACTAATAGTAATATAGATGCTCCAAGTGTTAATTTAAACATCACGTTTGTGATATTAATTCTCCAAAAGTGGTAGCTTCTGGCCATTAAATCAAATTGTGACTTTGACATCAATTAATGCCGAATTTCTAAACAGAATTAACTAAATGTTTTAGTTGCTACAAGTTTTAATAGTGGGACACAACAGCTCCTGAAAAAAATCGCATTTCTGATCGGCTAGGTGCTAGGACTTATTTTTTTGTTTTATAGTTACTAACTATACCTAATCTTTTTTTGTGGCTTAGGACACCCTGGAAGCTCTGCAGAATGTGGAGCCCATGTCTGACAATCTAAAGTGTCAGCTGAATGACTTGTGCCGGTTCTCCAGAGATCTGGGCGCTCAATCTGAAAGAGTGTCTGCACTCATTAAAGAATACAACAGGTAGGAGAGCTCAACACCAACACTTACAGGTTTTAAGTTTTATTTATAGTGAGAATTCACAGTAGACAGAGACAGACAAGTGTTGTTAAAAGTATAAGTGAACATATAAAATGAAAAGCTATAAAATAATGTACTAATTTAAACAATAATTATATGTAAAGAATACTAAAATAACACTCAGAAACACCCAACTAGATGAAAGTAAAATCTGGCTCATAATCACAACCACAAGTCGTTTTTTCCACAAATCTGGAGTGGCCAAGTCAGAAATCAATGAAAATTGATTATAATAACAGACCAGCGTATTAATGTAATAGAGCAATTGCCACACATTTTACAACACTGCCTGCTCAGAATTATTAGTATTGATTGTTTTGCAGACATTTTGCAACATTGCAACATGATTTCATACCTGTACTTGGACAGTAAAGAGATATCAATACATTTTTATCCCATTTACTTGCTTTAAACAAAAATAAATCTATTTTAGATATTTAGTGCATTGAAATCTGGTAAAACTGGTTACAGAAGTGCTTATTTTTTTTAACCCTGATACATAGATCCATTTCTGATACATTATATTTATGTATTGATATATTTATTTATTAAAAATAAATGTGTGATACCAATAACAATAGAAATCCACAATATGATTATTAAAGTATTAGTTCCTGTAGTAGTTGATGAAGTTGGTATAGTGGTTGCAGAAGTAATAAAGGTGTCGTTGTAGCAGTAGTGGTAGTAGTCGTTGTTGGTGTTGTAGTAGTACTCATTTTAGTAGTATCGATTGTAATTGTGATTTATTGAGGTAGTAGTTCCTGTAGTAGTTGATTTCGTTGGTATAGTGGTAGCAGAAGTAGTAAAAGTGTCGTTGTAGCAGTAGTAATCGTTGTTGGTGTAGTAGTACCAGTAGTAGATGTCGTTGATGTAGATGTAGTAGTAGCAGTGCTTGCGGTAGTAGTAGTAGTAGTAGTAGTAGTAGACGTTGTATTAGTTGTAGCAGACGCTGTAGTAGTATCAGTAGTGGTAGTCATTGTTGTGGCAGTATCAGCAGTAGTAGACACTATAGTAGCAATAGTTGTGGTTGTGACTGTAGTAGCAGCAATAGTAGTTGTAATATAAGTAACTTTCTGTTGTAGTAGTTGGTGTAGTACTTGTGATTTATTATCATTGTCAGTTATTATTACTGTTGTCCTTTCTTTCTTTTTTTACTGTCATACATTACTAAGCATTGTTGTTACTCCCTAACTCTGACTGGTTTCTTTCTATCTGTTTTACTTATATCTGCGATACTTGCTTCATTTATTGGCTGATATTGTTCCTAATGTATGTAATCTGACCTTTCCACCAAGTTACCTTTACATGGACACACACACACACACACACACACACACACACACACACACACACACACACACACACACACACACACACACACACACACACACTTGTATTTGTATGATCCCAATTTATGTACCTTTTTGCATATTCTAATAAAAAAAGAAAAGAAATCCACAATATTGGATTCATGCTGCTACCAATAATTATAGAGATGTGTAATATTGAATTTTTGTCAATATTTATTATTTAATTTTGGTCAATAGATAGTAGTCGTGGCCAATACAGATATTGATAGTGATACCGATATTAATAGAAATGCACAATATAGAATTTTGCTGATATTTTTATCTAATTTTGGGTGAAAACCAGAAGTCGTATCCAATACAGATACTAATACTGATACAGATAATTTATTTATTTATTTAATTTAATTTAATTTAATTTAATTTAATTTAATTTAATTTAATTTAATTTAATTTAATTTAATTTAATTTTATTTTATTTTATTTTCTGTTTATAAATGAAACAATAAGATATAAAGAGGGAGAAAAATATATATACATTCAAATACATACATACATATAAACTGTACATAAAAACATATAAATATGTACATACCTATGCATATTATAATTCATATTTGGTAAGATTAACACAAATAATCAATAGTAAAACAAATTGTATAATTTTGGATGCATGTAAAATGTTCTTTATCTGTGTGTGTAGTTTTTAACCTCTCTCTCTCTCCTCTTGGCTGTAGTCTCAGTCTCCAGGCGTCTCGAGAGTGTCAGGGAAAGGAAAAGCTGCTGGAGCAGAGGTTTCGTGCTGCTTTTCGAGACTTCCAGCAGTGGCTGGTCAATGCCAAAATCAATACAGCCAAGTGTTTTGACGTGCCTCAGAATCTGGCTGAGGCATCGTCCAGCCTGCAGAAGATCCAGGTAACGTTTTATCGATTTCTCATTTTTGTTTGGTCCAGATTCTAGCTGATAGCTGAGCCTGTTTCATTGCAGGAGTTTCTGAGTGACCGAGAGCAAGGCCAGGGTAAACTGAACACAGTGGCGGCAAGTGGAGAGCTGCTGATGAGCATCGCTGCTAAAGACAGAGTGGAGTCAGTCAGAGCTAAAATCAACTCAGCCAGAGAAGACTGGAAAACACTCATGACCAACCTGCACCAGAGAGAGAACGCCTTACAGGTGTCACCATTCACACACAACTGCTTATCTGTTCAACTAACACCCAAAACTAGAATACATGAATTTTAATTTAAAGGGATAGTTTACCCACATATGAAAATTCTGTCCTCGTATACTCATCCTTTACAGAGTTACTTTCTTCTGTTGAACACTAAAGAAGATATTTTGAAGAATGCTGAAAACCTGTAACCATTGACTTCCATAGTATTTCCTTTTCCTACTATGGAAGTCAATGGTTACAGGTTTTCAGAGTTCTTCAAAATATCTTTTGTGTTCAACCGGAAACAAACATTCCAAGGTTTGGAACCAGGTGAAGGTGAGTAAACAGTAATTTTCCATTTTGGGGGAACTATCCCTTTTAAATCTTCTTACTAAAAACACATAGTGCATCTGAATGTACTATGAAGGTTCAAACAAGAAAAAATACTATTGTAAAACAGATTTATTTATCTCACCCCACTGACTAGTCCTTTTTTATTCTTGTTTTATCCATAAACCCAATTCTGAAACATTATTATGCCAACAATGTATGTATTATTGCACTTTTTTTATCTTAAGTAATACATTTTAATGCATCTTAAAAGCGTTTTAAAAATCTTTCACCAATTTGTACTAATTAAAATTTGTAAATTTTACAAATTTGTAAACTAATTAAAATCCGGAGTAAAAAAAAAAAGATTTTATGTTTGAAACAAAGCTGAGAGAAAAACAGACAATTAAATAAACCACATATATAGTCAGAATAAAAAAATTAACATACAGTACAATTCATCCATGGGCGTGTTCTCCACAGAAGTTTATTAAGAAGGTTATTAAGTACACTAGTACCTGATAAAAGTATTGTCGTCAATCCCAGTTGTAAGAGCAACAAATAATAACTTGACTTCTAGTTGATCGTTCAGAAAAGTGACAGAAGGTAGATATTTTTAGATGAATCTGTTGAGCTGCATCCCAATCATCACAAATACTGCAGAAGACCTACTGGAACCAGCATGGACCCAAGATTCTCAGAGAAATCAGTCAAGTTTGGTAAAGGAAAAATCATGGTTTGGGGTTACACTCAGTATGGGGGCGTGTGAGAGATCTGCAGAGTGGAGGCAACATCTACAGCCTGAGGTATCAAGACATTTGTGCTGCCGTTAACATTACAAATCACAGGAGAGGGAAAATTCTCGAGCAGGATAGCGCTCCTTCTCATACTTCAGCCTCCACATGAAAATTCATGAAAGCAAAGAAGGTCAAGGTGCTCCGGGATTGGACAGCCCAGTCATCAGACATGAACATTATTGAGCGTGTCTGGGGTAAGATGAAGGAGGAGGCATTGAAGATGAATCCAAAGAATCTTGATGAACTCTTGGAGTCCTGCAAGAACACTTCCTTTGCCATTCCAGATGACTTTATTAATAAGTGATTTGAGTCATTGCAGAGAAGTATGGATGCAGTCCTCCAAGCTCATGGGAGTCATACACAATATTAATTCATTTTCCACTGCACCATGACTTTATATTCTATACTGTACATTACATTATAATTGTATGCATCTCTTTAAGTTTAGTGTGTCATTGATGATCTTGCTGCAGAATCTCCAGGCTCAGATGCGGGACTTTGAGACAAGCGTGGAGCCCCTTCAGGACTGGCTGAATGACACTGAAGAAGCCGTTCAGGAGAGCAGCAGTCGACTGCAGGACCTCACAGCTAAGAAACAGGAGCTGCACAGGTTACAGGTACAGTAGAGCACAATCAAGTGCGGCTCAGTTCATATGCATACATCAGCGGAAGAGCCAGTCATACTCATCTCATTCTAGCTGATCTGTGTGTGTGTGTGTGTGTGTGTGTGTGTGTGTGTGTGTGTGTGTGTGTGTGTGTGTGTGTGTGTGTGTGTGTGTGTGTGTGTATTCACAGGCAGACAAACACAGTTTACTAGGTCATATAGTCACATAGATACAGTATATTGAGCTGATAAACTGGTGCAAACAGCCCAATTGCTCATCATTGCTAATATATACAGTTGAAGTCAGAATTATTAGCCCCCCTGAATTATTAGGGCCCCTGTTTATTTTTTTCTCCAATTTCTGTTTAACAGAGGGAAGATTGTTTCAGCACATTTCTAAGCATAATAGTTTTAATTACTCATTTCTAATAACTAATTTATTTTAATCTTTGCCATGATGTCAGTAAATAATATTTTACTTGATATTTTCAAGACACTTCTATACAGCCTAAAGTGACATTTAAAGGCTTAACTGGGTTAATAAGGTGAACTAGACAGGTTAAGGTAATTAGGCAAGTTATTTTATAACAATGGTTTGTTCTGTAGATTATCGAAAAAAAAGGGGCTAATAATTTTGTCCCAAAATAAAAAAATAAATAAATTAATAACTGCCTTCATTGTAGCCAAAATAAATGAAATAAGACTTTCTCTAGAAGAAAAAATATTATCAGACATACTGTGAAAATTTCCTTGCTCTGTTAAAAATCATTTGGAAAATATTTAAAAGAGAAAAAAAATCAAAAGGGGGGCTAATAATTCTGACTTCAACTGTGTGTGTGTGTATATATATATATATATACACACACACACACACACACACACATATATATATATATATATATATATATATATATATATATATATATATATATATATATATATATATATATATATATATATATATATATATATATATATATATATATATATATATATATATATATATATATATATATATATATATATATATATATATATATATATATATATATATATATATATATATATATATATATATATAGATTTGCAGTGATGAGCAATTTGGCTGTTTGCACCAGACGAAACACGACAGAAATTTAAATACAATCATTTAGAAGCACAGAATAGTGCACTCACTGCACTCCAATGAAATGGTAAGGTTTAGAATCTAAATAATACATATTAAACCTTTTTAACATGATTAGATGCTTGGTTTTGAGTCACAGTTCTAAAGTTCAATTTCAAGAGGTTTATTTTATTTTCAAGATCTGAGGTGAACTATTTGTTGCTGGTTTCAGTAGTATGGAAATAAATGTCATGTAACATGTTATTTAAACTCACCTTGTTTGCATTTAGCATTGAATAAAGCACATGAGGTGTACTTGAGCTGAGGTGTACTTGAGCTTTAATAGAAGCCATTTCTAAAACATAAATTTGAGGTGTTGGTTGGGACAAAAACTCTTTTTAATATGAAAATAATTCCTCTATCATGTGCCGTTGCTTTTAGTTATAAAAAGGTTCTAAGCAGCCTTAATAATAATAATAATAATAATAATAATTCCTTACATTTATATGGCGCTTTTCTGGGCACTCAAAGAGCTTTACACAATGGGGGGGGATCTTCTCATCCACCACCAGTGTGCAGCATCCACCTGGATGACGCGATGGCAGCCATTTTGCGCCAGACCGCACACTACACACCAGCTGATTGGTGGAGAGGAGACAGTGATGAGCCAATTAAATATGGGCATGGTTAGGAGGCCATGATGGACAGAGGCCAGTGGGCAGATTTGGCCAGGTTGCCGGGGTTAAACCCCTACTCTTTTCGAAGGACATCCTGGGATTTTTAACGACCACAGAGAGTCGGGACCTCGGTTTAACGTCTTATCTGAAATACGGCGCTCACTGAGCAGTATAGCGTACCCGTCACTATACTGGGGCATTACGACCCACGCAGACCGCAGGTTGGGCGCCCCCTGCTGGCCTCACTAACACCACTTCCGGCAGCAACCTAGCTTTCCCATGTGGTCTCCCATCCAGGTACTGACCGGGCGCAGCCCTGCTTAGCTTCAGTGGGCGACCATGTGAGAGTTGCAGAGAGCTAGCTGCCGGCGAATATGTCTTGATAGTCAGGCTTGCCCCTGTTGTTGTCATCAATCTGGCAACCTGTGCTTGCGTGGAGTCGTCAGAGGAGGGACAGATTGAAAATGTGTTTTCATCCAGGATTGCAAATACCTAGTTCAACCACTGGGTGTTAAACTTGCATACCTTTAATATATTGAAATGTCTTTTCACAAAATGGGATCTGAATGTTATGAATGGTATCCATCTATCTACATATATTGCAATTAATTTCATGTTGACTTTGATGTCAAATTGCTTTCATGCAAACATGCATTCATGTCATGCCTTAACCTGCTTTAATCTCTGCCATGCTCATGCTAACACCGCTCTTCCCCTGTCTTAATATCTGTCCTGTTCATGCTCAGCCATGTTGCTTCATTAACAGTCTTAATGCAGATCTGTGTGTGTATGTGTGTGTGATGCTGCTGTGTGCTAATGTGCCTGTGCTTTCAGTCTCTGCTAGAGGAATTAGCCTCTAAGGAGCCTCAGCTGCTCAGGTTGCGGGAGAAGGCCCAGCAGCTGTGGGACGGACACACGGCCGGAAAGGGCTTTGTGCACCGTGTCTCGCAGCTCTCTGCTCAGTACCTAGCTTTAAGCAACCTGACCAAGGTAACGTCCCGTCTGTCTGCCTGCCTGCCTGCTGGGTAACTGACGCTAATGTAGGGCCACAAACTATATGCACTGTACAATAAGGGCTGTGTCTGAAAAATGCCTTTAGAATGCTTTAAAAGGTTCATCAGGCTAAGCCAGTGTTTATGTCCTTCTTACAAACAGTCTCTGATAAAAATGTAAATTAATTTAAAATTTAAGTCTTTATATAAATATGAAGTATTTATATTTAAATATTATTATGATAAATTTCATAGCAGGGCTATTCATCGGCGGCCCGCTAGCCGATCCTGGCCCCCAAGGCAATTTGTTCCGGCCCTACAAATAATGTGACCAAGACATCAAAAATAAATTTAGTTCCTTCGAAAAACGGTGGCTATAGTTAGGAAGGTATGTGCGTCTATTCAATACAGCAGGAGCTGCAGTTAAAGGCTGCGCACCTAACATTAAGCGAGTCGCAAGGGCAGCCGAAAACATTTGGATGTTTGTAGAAGAGGTACTAATAATAGCCCCTTTCACACATACAGACCTTTCGGAAAGGTTGTATGTGTGAACAGGTCCTTTTTGAAAATACCGGTAAATTCGTTCTGGCTATTTTCCGGAAAAAGAAGTTGTAACATTACCGGAAATCTGCCGGAATGCTGCGCTGTGTGAATGCAGAAGGAAGATTGCCGTAATAAGCGCGTGCACGTCTAGAACGTGCTGACGTGAGACGTCTGCTTTAGCTAATCAGAACAGTCAGACACATTCACGTCCGTGCGGTTTATGAAAATAAAAGTCTTTGAATATTTTTCCAGACACATTTAGCTGCTAGAAGTTAGTCAGATCACGTTTATATGTTCTTCTTAATGCCAACTGTGTAAATAATCATCGATGAGATGCTCATGATAAGCCGTTGTTTGTTTACCTTCAAGCTTTGCGTGTGCCTGTGAAACAGCCTGTGAGCGCCTGCACACGCACATATTATGAACATCTCGACATGCGAAAGTGATCCTGCGAAAGTTGTTCACAATATTGATCATCCACAGAGTTTGTAATTTAGTCAAATGTTTACAAACACAAGCGCAGCCGTTTAAAGCTCATTTGTGGTGAATGATGTCAGAATTTACCGGTATTTTGGAATGGATGTGTGAATGCTCTTTTCCGGAAAATTTCTGTAACGTCCCCGCCTGTGTGAACAGCGCTTTTTTGAATATACCGGTAAAGTCGTTCCGGAAATTTTCCAGATATTTACCGGTATCACTGTGTGAAAGGGGCTATTGTTAATAGGGATGCAATGATTTGCCGATTTCACTATTAACCATGATTTAATTCATTACTGTTAATTAACCATAAAGCCTTCTCAATGTCGCGTTTCTGTTGCGAGGAACAAAACTGCTGCAACTAAACAAAGTTATGCCACCTGTGCGCTAGTTTAAAGTTCCGAACTTATACCGAGGCTAATACGCACGCACACTGGATTAACTATAGCAGAAGGCCGTTTCTGCCCGCAAGATAATTATTTATCTTGACGTGCACATATTGGGAGTGGTGCATGCACTCGACACACTCGCGCCCTCCAGGCACACACAGTAGAAATGATCTCACACTGTAGTGGTGAGAGTTGTGCGTGGCTTTCAGTGCTATGTAAACAAAAGATACATTAGACGAATTATTACAAATTATTAAAATGATTATGTATATATGAACATATTAACTTTTAATGTAGAAAAAGCCAACATGGGTGTCTTAAGGAGCACAACATATGGGCGTATATATGCTGTTGTGTCATCACTTATATTGCAAGTTATATCTTTCCGGCCCCTCAATTCTAACGCTTTTTATGAACTGACCCCCATGATAAACTAATAAAACAGCCCTGTTTTATAGTATTAGTTGATTTATATACATTTTATATTACATTTTTCATTTATTTAGCTTTTCTTATTTTTTAAATAATGTCTTTTTAACCAAATGGTGTCTGATGGAAACAGTAAACTTCAAAAAATGTCAATTTTATTTTTCCAATTTAATTAAATTTTAATAATTAATTTCTATTATTAATTGTTTATAATTTTATTTAATTTTACGTAAAAATATATTAATAGATAAATTAATTATTATTATTTTTTTAATTCATCTAAAGCAATTGTGGAATCTGTATTTCTTGAAGCTAAATTTTTATTAGTGTTTATTTTATAATTAGTTGTGTTTAAAAAATTGTATATTAAATTAAAGTACTTTTGATGTTTAATTTATTATAAAATGTTGTTATTTAATATGTTTTTATATTAAAAATAGTATAGTTGGCGACGCAGTGGCGCAGTAGGTAGTGCTGTCGCCAGACAGCAAGAAGGTTCGCTGGGTCACTGATTCGAACCTCGGCTCAGTTGGCGTTTCTGTGTGGAGTTTGCATGTTCTCCCTGCCTTCGCGTGGGTTTCCTCCGGGTGCTCCGGTTTCCCCCATACTCCAAACACATGCGGTACAGGTGAATTGGGTAGGCGAAATTGTCCATAGTGTATAAATTTGTGTGTGTGGATGTTTCCCAGAGATGGGTTGCGGCTGGAAGGGCATCTGCTGCATAAAAACATGCTGGATAAGTTGGCGGTTCATTCCACTGTGGTGACCCCTTGATAATAAAGGGATTAAGCTGACAAGAAAATGATAGTATAGTATAGTTAACAAATTATATCTAATTATAAACAGTAAATCTAAATAAATAAAACACTAAATAAATAAAACACACGTTTTTTTCATTTATAAAATTAATATTATTAATATTAATATTATTATTTTTCTAGAACTTCTTATGTAATTTCAACCAGGAAAGAATAGCTGCCATTACACTGTTTTATTTTTTTTTAATCAACATCTGACATTGTTATCATCTAATGCAATTGTGGTATCTGTATTTTTGATGTACTTTTATATACTAAAATGTTTACATTTAATATGATTTTTTTACTGAAGTCAGTAGCTATTTTTCCATCCACCCATTTTAGTCATATTGCATCTACATGCCAACTAATTCTCAACAGATAATAAGTAGACTGTTAGGTTGGGGTTAGTGTTAGTGTAAGTTGACATGTACTTGCAAAGTTTCTTATAGTCAGTTAAATGTCTGTTGAAGGAGCAATATCAGCAGATATTAAGCAGATAGTCTAATAATACTCAAATAGACCATCAAAATAAAGTGTTACCACCTATTTTTATGCACATTTAGGATATATGTATTAAAAAATGGTTGATGGAAATGCCAAGACGTGCATAAATTTTAATAAATGCAAATAAAAAACATGCGCATAACTGAGCAGGACAATCTTTTTATTCGATAAGAAAAGATGCGCATAAGCTACGATGAAAACACTTTTACTGAACAAATTCTTGTGTGCGCATTAAAAGAGTCATTAACACGGAGAAGACGGGGTTTATGACTTGTACTGCAGCCAGCCCCCAGGGGGCGATCTAATGACCAGGAGCGTCACTCAAAAGCAGGCGTGTGGCACACTTGGGCGCATTTATTAAATAAGGAAAAGATTCACGCAGCTTCTCGTACCACAGCAAATTCTGTTTTTACTGTTGATATTTGGCGCCAGTTAATCAGGAAGTGACGATTTTGTTTGACTTGTTGGATGGAAACGCTGCTTCATTCGCACGTCTTTTATGTCACATTCCAGTTTTGTGCATCAATTTAATTTGCATCTTTAGATGGAAACATAGCTAGTGACTAACCAGACCAACAGCTCTAAAATAGTTCTCTTTTTTCACACACAGCCCTTGGGATTTCATTTATAGTATGGTGAAGGACCCTGGAAGCTTAATATAGAGTCATTTAACATATTAGTCATAAATAACCTTCAGAACAAATATTTTTAAATGTTACTTTCACCTTGTATTTAAGTTTCACTTCATAATTTATCTATAATATGCATTTGTTGCACAGAAAAAGGCATATTAACGGCAATGTAAGTTGACATTTTTGCAGCCTACTGTTCCTGTATTTACTAATAAACAAAGAAGAAAATCATCCAAACCCAATACATACATAGACAACATGACTATAAAAGTGCTGTTGCTTTCCTTTTAACCCATTTAATATTTCTATTAAGATGCTTCCCTTTACTGATCAATTAATTACTATGATGTATGTTATGATTGTGTAGTATGAACCCCTTGTTTTCATTTACAGTCCCTTTATGTCAAAGCAAGTGTGGGTTAATCTGTTTGTTTGGTGTTTTTCCAATAGGAGAAAGCCTCCAGAATTGAGCGTGTGGTGTCTGAGCACCAGCTGTTCTCTCAGGGCCTGAAGGAGCTGCAGAACTGGGTGTCCGACACCAGTCACATGCTGCAAACCTACTGCACTCCCACCGCAGACAAAAACGTGCTGGATAGCAGGATGATCAAACTAGAGGTTAATAATACACATCCGCACAAACTTCCCTGCCGTTTTCTGAATGGATAACTGTAAAACTTAAAAATAAAAAAATAAAATGAAACATCGATGCAGAATCACTTTGAAAGGATGATTTGAATCAGTGAGTCATTAACCACAAAATCACACTAAAAGGATGTTTTGAATCAGTGATTTGTTAACTGCTGAATCGCTCTTAATGGTTCATTTGAATCAGTGAGTCGTTGACCAAAGAATCGCTCTGAATGTATAATTTAAATCAGTGAGTCGTTAACCGCAGAATCGCTCTGAATGTATAATTTAAATCAGTGAGTCGTTGACCAAAGAATCGCTCTGAATGTATAATTTAAATCAGTGAGTCGTTAACCGCAGAATCGCTCTGAATGTATCATTTAAATCAGTGAGTTGTTAACTGCAGAATCGCTTTTAATGGATCATTTGATTCAGTGAGTCAACCACAGAATCACTCTGAAAGGTTAATTTGAATCAGTAAGTCGTTAACCATGGAATCGTTCTGAAAGGTTCATTTTAATCAGTGAGTTGTTAACTGCAGAAACGTTCTAAAAGGATCATTTGAATCAGTAAGTCGTTAACCTCAGAATTGCTCTGAAAGGATAATTTAAATCAGTGAGTCTTTAATTGCAGAATCGCTCACAAAGGATATTATGAATCAGTGAGTTAACTGCAGAATCACACTGAAGGGATATTTTGAATCAGTAAGTTAACCACAGAATCGCTCTGAATGCATCATTTGAATCAGTGAGTCGTTAATTGCAGAATTGCTCTGAATGGATCGTTTGAATCAGTGAGTCGTTAACCACAGAATCACTCTGAAAGGTTCATTTGAATCAGTGAGTCATTCCGAAATGTTCATTTTATTCAGTGAGCTGTTAACTGCAGAATCGTTCTGAAAGGATAATTTGAATCAGTGAGTTGTTAACTTCAGAATTGCTCCGAAAGAATCATTTGAATCATTAAATACATTAGTGAAGTAAACAAGCTCAGTCACTGTCCACCACTGGATGTCACGGCCCTCATTTGCATGTAATGAATAATGAATGACTGTTATTTTCCAGGCTTTACTTACAGCCCGTCAAGAGAAGGAAATCCAACTGAAGATGCTGCTGACCAGAGGAGAGTCTGTCCAAAGGAACACCTCCGCTGATGGGGTCCCGCTCGTCCGCCAGCAAATCGAGGACCTCAAGGACTCCTGGGATGGACTGCTGTCAGCATCTATACAATGCAAAAGGTCTGTGTGGGCTTATTAAAAAATACTGAACATTTACTGTATTTGGTTAAAAGAAGACCACAATTAAACAAGTCAAAACGTCATAAGAAAAATTAAAGCTAAGGGTGTTTACAATCTTTTTTAAATAACTATAGCATATTTGCTATAATAAATATTAATTTATAGTTATTTATAATAAAAAAATGTATAGCTGAAAGCAATTTATTATTAAGTTTATATTACATTATATTATCTAATCTATCTTTCTATCTTTCTATCTATCTTTCTATCTATCTATCTATCTATCTATCTATCTATCTATCTATCTATCTATCTATCTATCTATCTATCTATCTATCTATCTATCTGTCTGTCTGTCTGTCTGTCTGTCTGTCTGTCTGTCTGTCTGTCTGTCTGTCTGTCTGTCTGTCTGTCTGTCTGTCTGTCTATCTATCTATCTCTGTCTGTCTGTCTGTCTGTCTATCTGTCTGTCTGTCTGTCTGTCTGTCTGTCTGTCTGTCTGTCTGTCTGTCTGTCTGTCTGTCTGTCTATCTATCTATAAATTATCTATCATCTATCTATCTATCTATCTATCTATCTATCTATCTATCTATCTATCTATCTATCTATCTATCTATCTATCTATCTATCTATCTATCTATCTATCTATCTATCTATCTATCTATCTATCTATCTATCTATCTATCTATCTACATCATCATCTATCTATCCATTCATCCATCCATAACCAAAAAACCCAACTAAGATTAAAAGTTAGAATTTGTCATACATATTTATATTTGTGAAAATAGAGCAGAACGCAATATATTCATGGGTTTATTGTTTTATTTATAGATTATTTAAATATATATTTAATTGTAGACTGGTATTTGTATGTTTATATATAATCTTTTTATAATATAAAAGTATAAAATACAATCTAATATATAATTTGAACGATCACAAGTGAAAGTGGCTTCATCTCATTTTTATTTTCACGTTTTATTTGTAACTAGGTGTATGTAGTTCAAAGTTCACATTCATAACAAATAAATGATAACACTGAAATCATTCCAAAACTGGCTTGATCAAAAGACATGTACGCTAGGCATATAAAACCACGTATAGCCAATTCTGGAACCCTATAAACACAAGTTGTAGTAAAACTGTAATGCTGAAATTGAATGATCTGACTTTATTAAAGTAGTATTATTTTAAACATTACCTACTATGCAAAAATCACTTTAAAGGGTTTAAACACAGTTGTGTGGCAACAGTATGTGAATATCACCAGCTTCTAATGGTAAAAATTAATTAATTCCATTTTTTAATAATCACACTTGATAAAAACTGCAGAAACACTTTGATTGACATTCTCTCTTTATATGTGTCATCAGAGGGGAAAGCCCCGCCCATTAGTGATGATCTCTAGCTCATTATCATAGACATCCCTGAGTGAGAAGCAGCCGTCCACCATTAGATGTTTTACATTGTACCTGTCAAAGGCTATTTTTAAAAAAGAGAGCATGGAGCACAATCTCATTTGAATTTAAAGCGACAGTCACTAAAATGACACGATTAAGATTAAAGCCTAAAAGGGTCAGTTTCAAAGAGTTCTAAAACATTATTTGTGTGTTTTGTTTTGAGCGTACAAACTCTGTGGACATCAGACATGTATTGTACATCTTGTAAAAAGGGGCGTAATATAGTTGGTCCCCTTTAAATTAATTGTATTTGGGTTTGACAGTCAACTGGAAGGCGCTCTATCCCAATGGACCAGTTACCAGGAGGACGTGCGCCAGTTTGTAAGCTGGATGGAAACTGTGGAGGAGACTTTAAGCTCAGCGGATAAACAGTGTTCGGAGATGAGAGACAAAACCACCAATCTGGGCAAAGCCAAAGTACGGCATTATTGTCAAAACTAAGTCATTATATCCTAGTACTTGTCAGTCCTGTCTCATAAACATTCTCCTCATTTCAGCTGCTCTTAGAAGACGTTTTGAGTCACAACAGCGTCTTGGACGTCATATCCATGAAGGGATCCAACATGGCTGAACACTATGTCACCCAGCTGGAGATTCAGGACTTGCAGGAGCGCTACAATATTGTCAAAGATAAAGCTCAGGTACATATATTTACAGTGCTGGGTGTAATTAATTACAGTTGAAGTCAGAATTATTAGACCTCCTGAATTATTAGCTGAATTATTTTGCATCATAACCCAAGTTTGCAACTAAAGAATATTCAAATTTAACAATTACACATGTTCGGCACTTACAATAAAATTAGAAAGTGATCAATATATGGTATATTAAATTTGGTGTCATTAATTTAAAACATTCTGAGTTGTATGTATGTTTAATGTTTTAAAAACTGAAGGTTCCCGTTTGACTCTCAGAATTTCTATTGTCTTTGCATTGAGATTTATAAGGACTTTAAGTAGATTCAAATTTAGTGAGAAATTATTTCATGAAAATATAAGCTACATCTAGTAAAACAGAGTAGTTGTTGTGTACACTCTTATTCACACTCGTACACTCAAAAAAAAAAAACTGTTGAATGAACATGATTTAATCGTGGCACCCTTTATGCATCTAATCCAATCGAGTAAACCTGAACTGCTTTGAACATGTTGTATGAACACAAAGCACATTTGTAGATAAAACATGGTTTCAATATGTCAGTCTAACTTCTTTGCAACTAATTGACTCAAAATGTTTGTATTGTGTTATTCTAATTAAAATGATTCTAATTTACTTAATGTAACACTAAAGCTTTACTTTAACAAAAGTATGTCTTGTTAAATCAGCTAGTAAATCTCTTGTTCAATGTTGTTGTTTAAATTCATTCATTTTCTTGTCGGCTTAGTCCCTTTATTAATCCGGGGTCGCCACAGCGGAATGAACCGCCAACTTATCCAGCAAGTTTTTTACGCAGCGGATGCCCTTCCAGCCGCAACCCATCTGGGAAACATTCACAAACACAATTTTTTATACACTACGGACAATTTAGCCTACCCAATTCACCTGTACCACATGTCTTTGGACTGTGGGGGAAACCAGAGCACCTGGAGGAAACCCACACAAACTCCACACAGAAACGCCAACTGAGCCAAGGTTCGAACAAGCGACCCAGCGACCTTCTTGCTGTGAGGCGAACGTGCTACCCACTGCCTCGCCCTGTTGTTTAAATGACATTTTTCTAAATTACAATACTATGAAGCAAGATTTAAAATTAAGTAATTCAACACAAAAAGGACAGAAAACATGTTATATATATATATATATATATATATATATATATATATATATATATATATATATATATAAATATATATTTTTTTTATTATTATAGCCTTTAGCAGGCACCAATCACATTTAAACAAATTTCTTCTTTAATATTCTGATGCAAAATGTTATATAATATCCAAAATTGTAATATGTAATATAAAATGTATAAGAAACATTTAGCCAACAAAATAACCTTGGCTCTTAAGAAAACTGATCCCCAAGCAATACCTGTAGGACGTTAACATCATTTTTTTTTACCAATTGAGTTTAAACAGCTTTCTTAACTTTGGTACTCCTATTCAAAATGTAAAAGTATAAAATGTATAGGAAACATATAGCCAACAACATAACATGCATAACATTCAAGCTCTTGGGAAAACCAAGACTGTGCCGAAAACACGCGGTGATACTTCTTCTTGTTGTTTTCGTATGGTGACATCCAAACGCACTACCGCCACCTACTGATATGCGCGAAGTGACTCTCCAGAGTGAGAGTTGTCGATTTGAAGCGTCTCAGTCTCATTGAATCAACATGTTCTGATCAAATTCATTTGAATATTTCTTGATTCAGTTTCAAATAACATGAATTAATCATTTAACATACGTAAACTTGATTTGTTCTTTTCAATCTGACAAATTTTTATTTTGTAAATCCAATACATGCCTAGTTGATTTTTTTGAGTGTACACTTCGGCCAATTTAGTTTATTCAATTCACCTATTGCACATGTGTTAGGACTGTATGGGAAATCGGAGCACCCAGAGGAAAGCCACACCAACACAGGGAGAACATGCAAACTCCACACAGAAACACCAACTGGTCCAGCCGGGACTTCAACCAGTGACCTTCTTGCTGTGAGGCGACAGTGCTAACCACTGAGCCACCATGTCTCCCTAAAGAATATTAGATTTTAACAATTACACATGTTTGGCACTTAAAATAAGATAAGAAATGTCTCAATATATGGCCTATATGAAATATGGTGTCATTAATTGGAAACATTTTGAGTTTTATGCATGCTTATTATAAAAAAAAACACACAAAAAAACTAAAAGTTCCTGTTTGACCCAAATTTATAAAGTTTCATTTCAATTTTTAAAAAGATTTTAGGTAGATTTGAGTCAAGAAATTCAATTACTTATTGAAAAATGTATTTACTTTTGGGACAAAGTAATTTAAATATAATTTTTAAGATGTAATTAGTAAATAATTATTTTTTGTGAGGTAACTTAAATCCCTTATTGGTCACTGTCCAGGTCGCTTGTTTGAAACCTGGTTGACTTTCTTCTATTGAAGAGAAAAGAAGATATTTCAAAGAATGTTGGAAACTGATAACCATTGACTTCGATAGTAATTGTTTTTCCTTAGTATGGATGTCAATGGTTACAGTTTCAACACTCTTCAAAATATCTTTGTCTTTAGTGTTCAACAGCAAAAAGTACTCATGAAGTTTTAAAGCCCCTTAACTATGGCTTTAAAGGGCCATGACACCCCCCACTTTCGGTTAAAGTCTACTTCAGAATTTTTTCAAAAGATGCATGATTAATGGGCGTGGAGCTTCGCGAGCATAGGGCAGGAGTGGGCGTGGCCAGCAGGGGAGAAGGGGAGCAAATAACTGTTGTTGACAGTTAGCTCACAAACTGAGACACAAACCGTGAGGAGACGCATGAGTTTATAGTTTACAACGTTAAAATGCAAAGAAATAAACAGTAATTTAATGCCCTGCTACATTTGTTATTTGTAATTATATATACAGATAACCACATTTTATATCATTATAAAGATAAGTGTGTTTATGTAAACACTATAAATGAGGATTCTCCCTCGATCCCCGGGTCTGTTATAGATCTGAATGCAGACTCAGTGGAGCAGGTCTCCTGACCTGTCTATTTTAACCATTAGCCCTGCTGGTAATCTGGAAGATTTAGGCAAACGCAGCAGCACGGCGATGTGTCTGAATGTGAACGAACTCCTAATAAAAGTCAATGTCCGCCATTCTCTAATTCTCGTGCTGCTCTCCCGACAAAAATGCTTGCAGCACACACACAGCTTTGCTGTATGATCGGCCCTGACAAGATCGCGGGGATAAAACATGCAACAAACCCCGTGGATCATGGAAACAAACACATAAGAGTCTTCATGAACGGCTACTGCATCCCGTTGGTCTGTGTCTCTCAGCTTGCTTGAAACTGGCAGGTCTGCCTTCGGAAAGCACGTGCTCTCATGAATAATTAAGCAGCCGGCTCTTCTCATAGGATAAGAAAACTCCGCTATGAATAATAATGAGAAACCGACGCGTCATCATTGCACTTGCAGTTCTGCGCTACGTCGCCGATTTTGACAGGTGCTAACATTGTCTTAACTGATGCTCAACACACACACATCTGTTAATAAAAAAACAAAAGTTCTCCAGGGTGTCCTGAACCTTTAATGCACTCCTGTTTTTCCTCTAGTGTGCGGTTGCTAAAGCGGAGGAGCTGGTTTCGGCTCATCAGGAGTACCAGCACAGCCTGCATGAGTTTAAAGACTGGCTAGATCAGCAGCAGGAGAGACTGAGCTGCTACACACAGCTGGAGGGAGACACCGAGACGCTGGAGGACACACTGCGCAAACTACAGGTCAGAAGACTGATGAAATAAATGGTGTTTATAATGTAGCTTTCTTAGACTCAAGGGGCTCTATTTTGACGGTCCATGCGCAGAGCGCAAAACGCAGGGCGCAAACGCTTTCAGGGCGTGTCAGGACGCGTTTTTGCTAATTTAAGGACGGTAAATCTGCCTTGCGCCGCGGCGCATGGTCTAAAAGGGTTGAGTTTATTTTCCTAATGAGTTATAGGTGTGTTTTGAGAATAAACCAATTAGAATCTCATCTCCCATTACCTTTAAGAGCCAGCTGCGTCGCGCCAAGAGCGCATTCGCTATTTACAGGACGCAAAGTAAGTCTAAGTGGAAAAACTGAGCATTTCACAAGCAAACAGTTAACAGTTTTTTAACAGAAAACAGTTAAACAGAGCATCTACTGCGTGAGAATGAGAGATAATGGATCACTTTCACTTTCAATCTTGGATAGGGAAACCTTTACGCACAGACATCAATTAGTCTATAAATAATTTATTTCGTTTGTTAAGCGCAAATATTCGTTTCAAAACTATTTCTAAATTCAGTTCTAATTTCCAGCAAACGAATAAATAAATAATAATAGCAAAATGTGCTCAAAAACATGAGTTATATCCTAAAACACATGCTGTGCCCCATATGGTCTAAAACCTGACAGGTGGGCAAATCTAAGCTTGTTTTTAATAAAACAAACATAAATATAGATATAATAAATAATACTGCTAATAATAATAACATTATACAAAAGCAAATTGTTATGAATGAACTGAAAAAGCCTCCCGAGATGAAGAAGACATAAAAGCAGTGATTTTTCATATTTATGTAGGCTAGAAAATAATGTCTTGTAATTTTTAATCCTTTATATTTATATCCTATATCTATTCTTATTATATACTATATATATCCTTAATATTAAATTTTTTTCATATGTAAAGATATTTGCCTATTGCTCTCTTGTGTGTATTAGGCAGTGCGCAACTCTGCGCCGGAGTTTAGACCGGGTTAGTTTTGGTCAAATGAAAAATCTATTGTAGTTTCTCAAAATAGCAACGCGCCAGCAGTGCGCCTCAGAACGCCTTCCTTTTTAGACCAGAACGCCTATGGGCGCACATATGAGCGCTAATGCATTTGCTATTTAAACAGCGTAGCGCAACGCCTCAAAACAACTCTTGCGCCAAGCTGAAACTACCAAAAGACTACTGCGCCACGCCTTGCGCCAAACTGCGCCGGGTGTATGATAGGGCCCAAGGTGCTACAACACTAGAAAAAATAAAAGAAGAAAAAATATAAACCATCACAATGACATCATAAGATAAATGACCTAGAAAGCAACACTAAAAAACATTTAACAAACATTCAAGTTTTTAGAGATTTCCTCTACTCAAAGAAATGAATGTGTGTCTCCAGGAGCTGCAGGTTCACTGTACAGAAGGTCAGGCTCTCCTCAACACTCTGCTGGTGAGCAGAGAGCAGGTGATTCCCTGGGGCGTCCCTCAGCTGGAAGACCGCTGTCTGGAAGGCGTCCAGCAGGAGTGGAGCTCGTATCAGAGCCGGCTCACTGACACCAGATCTCAGCTAAACAGCGCTCTGGCTAAACTCCGGCAGATCGAGCAGAAGTTCCAGCGGCTGGACAACTGGCTGAAGGGGATGGAGAGTAAAGGCCAGTTACGTACCGGACGCCGCTCCGACAGAGCAACCAAAGAGGCCCAGCTGCAGCTCCTGAAGGTTTGCAAAGCGTTTATAAATGGTTATGCAATACACAATGCATGATTGTTTCTAATTGTCAAAAATGTTTTATATACATAGTTCTGACAACATTTCATTGGGTGTTTTCCATCCAGTTTTTATTTATTTTTGTCACATACTTTTGGTTTATTCATGAACATTTAAAACATAAACATGTAACAGTTGTGACAAGATGGCTGGTTCTGCAGAATAAATGTGTTGATGGATTTTGTGATGTTGTGACGCGTGTTTAGGGCTGGCATGAGGAGGTGTTGGTCTACCAGGAGGAGATCGAGGGTCTTAGTGTTTTGGCCCAGCAGGTTTTAGAGGAGACGCCCATCAGCAGCAGAGTCAGCACTCGAGCCACACAGCTGACCTCACGCTATCATGCACTGCTGCTGCATCTGCTGGTAATCTTTATATACATGCGCACACAAGCATATTTACTTAGCTGTTTAATGGAAAACAACACAAACTTACCTTTAAATAGAGCAATTTTACTGCCTCAAGTATACTACCTATATGTTTCTTTACAATATTTAGTAATGATGGTGAAGAGGTTGTTCCCAGAGAATTTGATCTCATTTTGTTAAATTTGTTACTGAAGGCAAAACGAAATATGATTTATTCTTAGCTTGTATCTTGATATTTTTTAGCTTTTTAACTATATTGCTTTAGTTTTTTATTGAAGATAAAGGAATTAATTTTAATTTAATTTAATTTAATTTAATTTAATTTAATTTAATTTAATTTAATTTAATTTAATTTAATTTAATTTAATTTAATTTAATTTAATTTAATTTAATTTTTTATTTTTATTTTATTTTATTTTATTTTATTTTTTTGAAGGTAAAGGAATTAATTTTATTTTATTTTATTTTATTTTATTTTATTATATTTTATTTTATTGAAGGTTAAGGAATTGGCCAATACAGATGTTAGTATATTGTGCACCCATATTTATAATTGTATAAAAAAAAGTATATATATGTAAATATATAAATATACCTAAACCGCCCAAAAAAACATAGAATAAAAAAAAATACCTCAGAAATAGCCACAACTCACAACTTATCTCTATTATTATTATAATATTTATTTATTATTATAATTATTTTCACATTTTTTCTATGATGAATATGTTTTTATTAAGATGCCACTTTTGCTTTCAAAGATGTCTCATTATAATGAGCTCTGTTTTTAGCTGAAGTTTTTTGACATTTTCAATTCTTATTTTTTTATTAAATATTAGACAGTTATTATTGATTGTTTTACCTGCATATAATTTAGTTAAAATGTAAGTGCCCATTTAATGTTTAATAATATATAAAATAATCCCCCTCCCTCTTCAACAACTTCTTTAATTGGCGTTTACTTGACGCAGGTGCCAAGTCAACCTGTCTTTCAAATAAGATCAATCAATAGCAAACCACAACATTTTCAATTAATTCCCCATAAACAAAATCTAGTCCTTCTCAACATTTGTTTATGTTTGAGAACCCATTTCCCACAGACATGCAGTGCAAAAAGGAAGAAAACACAATTGCATCTTCTGCTGAATTGAACTCTTTATGTAATGTGTGTTTGCAGGACACTATTAAGCAGCTAAAGGAGGAAGTGTCCTGCATTGAGGAATCTCAGAGTGTGTTCTGCACCTTCTCTGATTGGTTGAGCACAGCACAGAAGAATTTCAGTAGCGTGACCACCACCAACATTGATGTGGTCGATCGGGCTGCCATGGAGAAGAAGATGAAAAAGCTAGAAGTGAGTTAAATAAGTCACAATATGTCTTATTTTCATAAAAAAATAAAAAAATAATAATTAAAAAAAAAAAAAAATATATATATATATATATATATATATATATATAAAGCACTTGAACAGTGTTATATATTGTGCTGACGTATGTAATGTGTATATTATATTTTATAGTATGTAATATTTTATAACAGTGGTTCTCAAACTGTGGTAAGTGTATCACCAGTGGTACGCAGGCTTTCTTCTAGTGGTACGCGGAGGAATCGGTGCATAATTACAGTAAATAATTTCTAATTTCCTTCCCATATTTGTAACGGTTGTTGGGCATATCCCATATTTTTATATCCCAATGTTGACAGGTATAGTTTGATCACTTGCTTTTATGACACACAAAGTCTACTCCAACGAAGCAGATCTAATTTCTAAAATAAAAATATGTAAATCCAACTCATATATTTTAAATACAAGTTAATGTTTAGATTTCAAAGATATACAAGTAAGTCATATGTACATGCAACATATATTTAAAAATGTATCAAAAACAGTTTGTATATGAATATGATGACATGTAGCTTATATTTATGAGGTTCAAGGAACATTTCCAGGTTTTGATGAATAGGCTAATTTTGATAATCATAAGTCCAGCAGTTTTCTTTTTACTTCTTAAGAACAGAATTTTAATTAACTTTTAAAAACACATTTTAATTTAAACATTGATGTTTTATTAATACTTTTACCTGTAAACAGTACAGTGTTAATGTTCAAACTATTTATAATGTTTAAAGTGGCTGACAATAATAAACAATGTTAATAAGAAGAATTAATCTGCCACGTTTTTGAACTGTGCAGTGCTGTAACTGCCTAATTACGCTACTGTATTTCAATACTGATCATTATGGTGGTGCTTGGAGAGACTCTTTTTTTTTCTGAGGTGGTACTTGGTGAACACCCTGCAAGCCCTCTACAACCCACCTCTATAAGCTCACTTTGGGTCTTCCAGCCCCCTCTCCCAGCACTTCTTTACTAGCTCCTGGTACTTTGAGCGTTTCCTTTCATTTGTGTTTTCCATCCGCTCTTCACAGGGCACTGTAAGTTCAAGCATGCCTATGTGTCAGCATAGTGGCAGATTCAAAACAGGACAAATGTTATCTCTGTGAAAAAACTGAAAATGTCAAAAGAAGTGGCTCAGGAAAAGACCTTAAACTCTACATTTATAATCCTCTCAGTCACTGACATTATCGTCAGCAGGTAAATCTACAGTAGTGGACGGCTGCTTTTTGCTCAGGGATGTCTATGCTAATGAGGGAGAGATTGTCAGTAATGGGTGGAACTTTCCCACATATGATGACATGTACAAAGGGAGAATGCCAATCAAAGTGTTTCAACAGAATCAAAATCACTGTTATTTATCAAGTGTGATTATAAAACATATAATTAATTAATTTTTAGCATCAGATGCTGGGTAGATTCACTGACTGTTGCTACACAAAATAGTTTAAACCCTTTATAAAAGTGAATAAAAGGCCCTCTTTAATGTCTCAGGCTCTGCAGGGCGACATGGAGCTCGGTCACACTTTCCTTAAGACCATGCGTGAAAAGACGGACCGTGCCATGATGTTCCTGGAGGAGCCCGAGGCAGAGCAGCTGAAGGAGGAGGTGGACAGCAGACTCTCTCAGCTGGAGACACTGATCAGAGCTCTGCGATCCGAGATCAGCGCCACCGAGAAATCCATACAGCTCTCTAAAGACTTCCTGGACAAGTATAAGACTCAAACACAGTGGCTTTCAGAGACAAAATCACTGCTGGCGTCCCCTGTGGAGCCAAAGGCCGAACTCTACCAAAAGAAGGCTCAGTTGGCCAAATATAAGGTGAGTAATACACTGTTCTGATAAGAAATCAATTACTAAGGCCCAATCCCAATTCTAGTTTTGTACCCCTTCCTCTTAGCCCTTGAAACAGAGCGTGAAGGGGAAGGGCTTCAAAATTTACCCCTAAAAATGGGAAAGCACTACAACACCTGCACACATCATCATATGTCATTGCGATCTCTTACTACATATGAGATTGAAGATTGAAGCTGTAGTTATTCCAGTTGCATTATTGTTTGGTATTTATCTTCAGGACATCACTTAAGGCGTATACTGTATTATGTTATCATGATGATCTAATGTGGCAATAAGATCAAACTGTACTGTGCATTACAGAGGCCATATTCATCTATATAAACACACCAAAAACAACATTAACATTATACCAGATTCTGTATAAAGGTCATTCCAGGTCACCAGACTTTTCTGACAGGGTATTTGAGTGTCATCGAGTGTCAGAATGTTGTGCGACTGCTGTACAGGAGTTGTTATAAGGGATTATAGATAGCAAAATTTAGCGTTTTTATTTTAGCGTTTTTTTTTTAAAGCATGACGGTAAAACATGAATGCGGTTATGAATATATTATAACATATGCTTGTTTGTTGTAAAAATTCATAATAATGATAAAAAATACTAATTTGTGCATCTCCTGGCTTCCGTGTGCAGCCATGCTGCTGTTGTGGCTGGTGTATTCTGGGAAATTTTCTTACCCCTTGGTTTGGAGTGTGGTCCTGAAAAATCTCAGTTTCAAGGGCTATCTAGCCCTTCTCCTTAGCCCTACACCTTCACGCTAAAGAGAATTAGGAAACCCCAACCCATTCACACGTAAACGCGCAAATTAAGGGGTTAGGGGAAGGGCAAAGGGGTAGAATTGGGATTAGGCCTAAGTTACACTCAAGTAATTACTTTTGGTGCTTGTTCAAACTACTTATTTAATGAGTTGAACAAACACAATTCTTTAGTTTTTTTGAGGGACAACTTAATTGTTTTATGATAAATCCACTTAAATTAGTAAAAAATGTAACTTAATTGATTTAATTTAATCGATTTGTTTTGGGACAACATGAGGGAATTGTGTGGAACCTACCATTTTTTACATTCATTCATTCATTTTCTTTTTGGCTTAGTCCCTATATTAATTTGGGGTCGCCACAGCGGAATGAACCGCCAACTCATCCAGAATATGTTTTATGCAGTGGATGCCCCTCTGGCCGCAACCCATCACTGGGAGATATCCAAACACACTCATTCATTCACACACATACACTACAGACAATTTAGCTTACCCATTTCACCTATAGTGCATGTCTTTGGACTTGTGGGGGAAACGGGTTATGGGGGTGGGTGGTGTTGTCGCGCACGTACTAAAGAGCGGTGTTGTTGCGCGTGTTCTGATCAGGTGTGTTGTCGCGCGCCTACTGAAGGGCGGGACCGAGGGTGTGTTGCGTCGCGGGGGCGCTTTTGATAATTTAGGAAGGGCACTTTCTATCCAAGACTAAAAAGGGCATGTGCACTGCACAGGTTGAGCCCTATGTGTGCACGTGCCTGCTTATTGCTATGAGGCGATTGAGCTAACCACTATGCCACCGTGCTGCCCCCTTTTTATATTGTACAAAGATAATTTTTTGTGTAAATTTAGTGGGTAAAGAATAATCAGAAACAGCGTGCTAAATCAAACCTTTTATATGGTCATCTTTGTTTAAGTGGTAATCAAACCATGACATTTTTTCAGACGCTATTAATAGCTAACACTATTAAAATCGCTTTTACTATTTGAAATGAATCTGCACTACAATGAAATATACAGTGAATATTAAACACAAAATCACACACGCACAAGACGCAAATAAAAATTTTAAATTAACAATTAATTTAAAACTGAAATAAAAGTGAATCAAATCTAAAAGTCATAAAAGCAAATTAAAAAAATGTTAAAAATTTTATATTTAAAGGAAAAAAAACTGCAAACAAATAAATAATAAAATGTAAAAGGTATTTATAAATACTATAATAGCATTATCTGAATAATACTATTAATTTATAATGTCATAAATAATATTATAATATTATAATTATTATATAATAAATATAAAAGTATAATATTATACTTTTTCTGTCAATTCAGCCTCATTAATCCAAAACTACTTACAAATATTTTGGTTGTCTTGCTATGCTCAAAATTTCCCATTCAGTGAGAACAGAAATATTGCAGAAGATTTGCTGCATCATGCATTTAGGACACGGTTTAACTTGTGTAAATATGCAACTTTGTTTTGAAAAATGACATTTCTAAAGCTTAAAATATATCTCAGTGGTTTGCCCTGTCACTTCACAGCAAGAAGGTTGCAGGTTTGAGACCCAGCTGGGTAAGTTGGTGTTTCTGTGTGGAGTGTGCATGTTCTCCCCGTTTTGGCGTGGGTTTCCTCTTGGTGCTCCAGTTTCCCCCACAAGTCCAAACACATGCGCTATAGGTGAATAAACTTAATTGGCAGTTGTATATGAGTGTGTGTGTGTAAATGTGAGAGTGTGTGGGTGTTTTCCAGTACTGGGTTGCGGCTGGAGTGCCATCGGCTGCGTAAAACACATGCCGGAATAGTTTGCGGTTCTTTCCGCTGTGGCGACCTCTAATAAATCAGAGACTAAGCTGACGGCAATACATGCTTTTTAAATCTCCATCTAGACAATCCAGCAAACCATCCAGTCCCACGAGTCAGCCGTCAAATCAGTAATCGAGAAAGGAGATGCTCTTCTTGAAACCATCCGGGACCCGTCCATCAGCGAGAACATCGGCAAGCTGAAAACTGACTATCAAGACTTATGTGCTGATGCCAAGGTACTGACATATCAACACTACCTGTACTTGTTCTTTATGCATTATTGCTGGACTAATATCGTTCTGTTGTAGGTTCATGTTCAGAGTTTGACAGAGAGCGTGAGGGAGCATGAGGACTATAACAGTGAACTGCAGGAAGTAGAGAAATGGCTGTTACAGATGTCAGGCAGACTCGTCACCTCTGATTCAATGCAAAGTGGCAACCTGGAGATGGCCACACAACAGCTAGCCAGACACAAGGTTTGTGTTCTGTTATTATCGCAACTAAAATTCCCCTGGAGTGCCTTGAAATGTGCAACTTTGTTCACAGTGTGTTTTCATTTTAGCCTAATGTGTAGATTGGGGGTGGGACATGTCAAGTAGCTCCTCCCTTTTTAAAAAATAGCTAGTAGTGTTTTGTTTATATCACATCTCTATCAGTCAGAGTCGTTCAGCTAAAGGGTATCAGCCACAGTAATTATTAAAAATACTTATAAGTGAACATGAACATTTTTAATATTAAATATTAGGTAACACTTTACAATAAGGTTCATTAGTTAATGCATTTACTAACATGAACTAATCATGAACAACACTTGTACAGCATTTATTAATCATAATTGAACATTTACTAACGCATTATTAACATCCGAACTCATGCTTGTTAACATTACTTAATGCACCATGAGTTAACATGAACTAACAATGAACTACTGTATTTTCATTAACTATTACTAACATGAATAAAAACTGTAGTAAATGTATTGTTCATTGTTTGTTCATGTTAGTAAACGCATTAATTAACATTAACTAATGAACCTTATTGTAAAGTGTGACCAAATATTATTTGTCTGCCAATATTATAAATGTTTTTCTGCATTAAAACTCAGTATTGGGCGTATAATTGTAATGGGATTGGTAGGTTTTGTGCTCTGTGCAGATTTGCAGATGCTCTTTGCTATCAAGTCTCTAAGCTGAAGCAGTCTTGGTGTTCACGATGCAGCAGTTTGTTTGACATTAAATGAACAGTTCACCCAAAAATGAAAGTTACTCAAAAATGTACTCAGCCTCAAGCCATTCTCTTTGTATAAGTGTTTTTCTGTGAGATAAAAGATTTGTTTATGCAGAAACATGTTATGCATCTTCTATGTTGCATAATGATGTAAAGTAGTGGAGTTTTTTAAACTCATACACCACCAGCATTTTAATGCAGGTTTTATCAAGTGGATCAATGTGTTTTTTAATATTTTTATTATAAATTCAAATCACTGTTTTGGGGCAGCTGCCGAATGTGCGTTTTAAGGTCTTGGATGACCTCTGATTCTTTACTAGGACACATTGCAGTGTCTTAAAAATCTTTAAAAAGTCTTCAAAAACTCAATTTTAGGCCTTGAAAGTCTTAAATTCACTGAATATTGTGTTATAAGTGGCCTTGAGACAAAGATCCATACAAGTCTATACTTAATTTTGCATTTTGAGTAATACAATTATTTTCATTTGGATTGTGAACATTATATAACAGTTTTTTTAAATTTTATTTCACTTAAAGATGGATACCAAAAGCTTCTCAATTATATGGAGATACATATTTTCAGTATTACTATTAAAAATCAAACATTATTGTGCTTTATATTTCTCAAATGTGGAAAAAGGGGATACTGTATGTCCTGTTAGTGTGAAATAAAAGTGTAACTCCAATTCATCATGTCACTTTAAACCACTAAAGATCTGGTTTCTTTATCTTAGATTTGATACAGTAACAGAAACCTCAGGTTAATATAAAGCATTTCTTATAAGTTTATTATTATTATTATTATGTAAACAGAACATATAGTATGAACAATGTACAATACATAGACATTCTTACAGTACAAACAATAACAATCAATTATTAACAATAAATAATAAATAAATCTTTATCATAATGGGCATAGTCTCTGGCGCGGCGCACCAGTGTATACTACTTCAAACTGTTCTTGTGCTCTGCCATCTCACAATATAAATAAATATATAAACAAATAAACTCTGGTTTCTGTGGTTTACAAAAGACTGGCAGGAAATATGCATTGGTGCAGCAGTTTATTATACATGGTATGTGTTTTTTTTTCTTGATAGGTTAACTGTTTATGTACTGTTTAGCATTCCTCAGTGCATTCAGAGAGAGAGAGAGAGAGAGAGAGAGATAGAGAGAGAGAGAGATCACGTCACATATACGTCACTTCCACTCACGATCACTTCACGTCACTTCCACTCGCCTCTTTTGGAGGATTTTTCCCTGATTTTTGTTTTCCTCTTTCATTCAAATAAGGTTTCCCAGCATCCCTCATAGCCTTACTCTGTCCTTTCTTTTGTCATGTCGGCTCTCCTTTTTTGCAGAGGTTTTACCTTTAAATGTCTGAAGCGGACATGACAGCAAGCGGCATCTCTATTCTTCTTAGTGGACATAAAAGTCTTTTTTTTTTCCCCGCGTGACGCTATTTTAATGTTTAAAATGCAGACTCTTGGTGGTGTGAAAATATCCCCAAACCGTTTCCCCAAAAAGTGCACACATACAAGTAATGTCACATGGTTATCTCATTTTTTATTTTTGGACTTAAAGTATACGATTATTCGTCACACGCACTCATATGTGTTTAATCATTTTGCGCAAATTATGCCGACACCTATCCAATCACCAACTCTACACCTCAGTTAAACTTTGATTATATTTATTTACTTTATTTAACAATATATTTAAATTATCTTCCTTACAATAATATTTATCTAAAGGTTCTCTATGTATTTATAGTTTCCTGTTGCCCTGGAAGGCCTGTGGTGCATACATTTAGGTTGTTACAGTTTTTAAAACTTGTGCATTTGTTTTTTGTTGTTGTTGTTATTAAAAGTTGTGTATGTATATGACTAGAGTTTGCTTGATTTGACACATTAATTTTTAAAATGTGGCAAAGAAATGGCTAATTTAGAAACTAGATTTTTTTTTTTGATGAGGGAAATATAAATCTTTTCTGCTGACCCAACTGGCTCCTTAGAAAAAAATCCTTTAGAGTTTAAAATTTGTAAATATTGTACTTTATAAATTACAAATTCAAAAATATAAAATGTAAAATTACTCCAAATGTGTATGTCTGACAGATTATGTAGGCATTTTATTTTTGGGTGGACTATTCCTTTAAAGCAGGGGTGTCAAACTCAATTCCTGGAGGGCCGAAGCCCTGCACAGTTTAGTTCCAACCCTGCTCCAACACACTTACCTGTAGGTTTCAAACAAGCCTGAAGGACTCAATTAGTTTGATCAGGTGTGTTTAATTAGGGTTGGAACTAAAATGTGCAGAGCTGCGGCCCTTTTGGGACTGAGTTTGACACTTGTGCTTTAAAGCATAATTTTGATTAGGCATATTTACATACTCTGAATTGTTTATCCCCTATATATTGTTCCCATATTTGCCGTTCATCATATAAAAAAGTGTGTTGATGTGTAACAGACTTCATTGTGGATGCATTGTTGCCTGGTTCCTTACTGTGTTTGTGTGTGCGATGCATTTTCCCCCTCAGGCTTGCCGTAGACAGGTAAGTGTACATGTACAATGTGCTTTTCAGCATCCCAGCTTTTTAAAGTTCATCCCTGCAAAGTTGCAAATAATAAACGTGGTGGAGAACAGATCAAGACTCTGTCGGCCATCGTTTATTATTTTCTAAAAAACAAATGCAATAGTTTAGGCAAACCCTGTATGAATGCTGTATGACAAACTGCAAGTGTTGAATGCATATATCTACTAAATCAGAATTATGTCTTTGTTTTTGAACACACTAGCTTATAGATAAACTTAAAGGGATATTTTACCCATCATTTACACATCCTTTCACTTGGTCAGAATTCACAACATTTGAGTTTTGTTCTTCTGTTGAACACTAGAGAAGATACTTTGATTAATGCTAGTAGCTGGCTCTCATTTACTTTCACAGTAATGTTTTTCTACAATGGAAGTTGATGGGAAACCAGCATTCTTCAAAATATCTTCTTTTTTGTTTAGCCGAAGAAAGAAATTCAGGTTTAAAACCACATGAGGGAGAGTAAATGATTAGATAATTACATTTTTGGGGGAGAACTATCCCTTTAAAGACTATACTAACAACCTAAAGACTTTTATTTTGGTTTCAGGATGAATGCCTCTAGTTACAGCGTCCAGATATTTTTTTAAAACATGATTTGATCTTCTTCTTAGGCAATAATGGAGGAGATTGCTGGATTTGAGGAACGGTTGAGCAGTCTGAAGGACAAAGGTGACCATCTTGTCAGTAGCTGCACAGAGCAAGTCCAGGCCAAGATCAGTCAGCAGATCCAGGCCCACCAGCAGGGAACCAGAGACAGTTATTCAGCTATCTGCAGCACAGCACAGCGTGTAAGCACTCTTGCTTATAAACATCTCATGGATTCTTTTAACATTTTCTTAATAACTGATGTTGGGATAGTTGGGTAAAGTAAGGGCCGGGGCACATAAAGCCAATGGTCAGCTGCCGGGCTTCATCAATCAGTGTTGGTTCGGCTAGTTGGTTTCGTAAGGAATAGTATTTTGACTTCAGCGGTTTAAACTGTAGTTCTGCCGAATGAAAAAGAAATCAGTATCATGGCGAGCACTGTACATTTCTAGTCAAACCATTCTTCTGCAATCTTAAACTCTTAAAGGGAATGGGAGATGAGACTCTGATTGGTTTATTCTCAAAACTCACCTGTAACTCATTAGGAGAATAAGCTCAACCCTGTTAGACCATGCACCACTGCGCAAAGTGGATTTTTCTGTCCTTAAAATAGTGAAAGTGGATTCAGACTCCCCCTTAATGCTTTTGCACCCTGCACTTTGAACTTTGCACATGGATCTTCAAAATAGAGCCCATAGAGTCCCAAAGTGTAGGTTAAAACGATATAAGAATTCCTTTGTACCAGTATCAGGGGGTTTATTTTGATTTATTTTATTGTATTATTAATATTTTTTCTAACTGCAGCAGCATGGTGTTCAAAACAAATTTGCTTTCAAGAGCTATAAAGTATACTACTACTACTAATCTTATCAACGCCTTTCAGAAAAAGTAAAAAGAAATGCATGAGAAGGCAAGAACAAAGAGAGTACAAAGTCAAAAGTATTGTCCTGCCAATAGACGCTGCGTTACAAACACCTCACATAAGCCTTAGCTGTTGTTTTTGTAATTTGATGCGATATGATATAATATAAAATGTAGCTTTATAGATGTACATACGCTTTTAAAAATCAAATATTAAAAACTTTATTATTGTATTATTTAATATATATATTTTTTTCTTTCAAAGTGTATTACATTATTTTGAGTTTATATATTATTCTTGTTTTATTTTGTTATTATTTATTCATTTTTGCTAAACTGTAAATTTGAAACCTTTGTCAATTTGTATGACAATGTTTCAAATAAAAATAGTTGTTAAAAAAAAAACTTAAGCGGATTTAAGAAGCTGATGATCGTTAAATATATGATCACCGTCTTGTGAAAACGGTCCGCTATCAGTAATCGCATCTCATTTATTTCATCGTCTAATGTTTACCCTTTGTCACATAATCCAGAGTAATGTTTGCCCTTTGTCTCTTCAGGTGTATCAGAGTCTGGACCGTGAGCTCCAGAAGCACGTCAGCCATCAGGACACCCTCCAGCAGTGTCAGACATGGCTCTCCTCTGTTAAAGAGGAGATTCAGATGCAGCCGCAAACTCCCTATGGTCTGCAGGAGGCTCTGAAACAGGTAAATGTCAAAGTTCAGACGGATAAAACATTATCTGTCAGACCCGTAGAGAGCCACTCCTGCCAAATTGTAGCATTTCCTTTAAAGTCCGCATGAACTGGAAGCTCCAACCGTTTTTTTTTTATTGTGATGCAGTAGATAAACGGAATATTACATGAGAAAACAGTGGGTGTGGCTTGTTTTATTTCTACTTAGAGCTGATTGGATGTAGTAAAGTAGGCATTTCATTCATAAAGATAGGGAAAAGGGTTCGGGGAGAGTTATTAAAACCGACTCCTCCCCCTCACCATTTCTGTTTGTTGTCAAAACTGACAGTTAGAGGGGCGTGGCTAAGTGTGTTAGCTCCGCCCAATACCTCAGACAGACCTAATTTGAGAATTGAACTAAAAACAAACAGAAAGTGCATTTTCAAATTTTAGTTAAAGATTATGAGGGCAAACTTTTTTTGACATGACATGCACAGATGTTCACCAAAAAATTGATTTCTGGTGGACGTCAAAACTAAATTAGTCTAGATGCACTTTCTGACAGTATTTATTCTGAGAGTATTCAACAATCTCTTTGGGTTTAGTTAAAGTATTTCACAGGGTTATCGCCTATAACATTTAAATTATTTTTGTTTAATTCAAAATCAATTAAGTGTGTTTTTAAAGGTCCAGTGAAGTTATTTGAAAATGTGCATTTTTGTTCGATGTGTGACATAATTTGAACTGAAACATGAAGACAGAGTGGAAAAGAATAGCCCCTCCCCTTTTAAAAAAAAACTAAGAAAGAAAGCACCCTTAGTTTTCCTTCTTGGTGCGGTTTGTTATGGCAGGTGGAATGTACAGCAATCGCACTTAAGTGCGCACCAAAAGGAGTCCAAAAAAGACCTACCTGAAGAGGTGGTCTCGGTACGTTTTCAAACGAACCCTGGAGCGATTCGTTTGTGGTGGGAATATGATCCGAACTAAAATAGACCCCACCGCAAAAGGTACTGCGCCTTTTTGGACTAATCCAGCTTTATGTGGAGGAAAAATATTCGTTGACAGCGCTTTACCAACAGAGCGAGAGAGGGGAAAACATTACATGATAGATCGTTGTTAATATTTCCAGAATTTAGCTAAATTAATTCATGCCTTCTTCTGAAGTGGCTTGCAATGTCCCTTCGCTGTTTGCAATGCATTAAAACATTGTTTTCCAACTGCAGCCGCACTTCATTCTCGAAATGTAGTTTGTCTAAAGCAGGGGTCTCAAACTCAATTTACCTGGGGGCCGCAGGAGGCAAAGTCTGGGTGAGGCTGGGCTGCATAAGGGATTTCACAAAAAAAGTCCTCAAATGTCATTATTAACAGTTTTAATTATTTCTTCTGAACATGAAGTGTCCTGAACAGTAATAGAACATTGAGTGAAGATTATGAACAGTTCTTCTGAACATGACATCTTTTGCCTACTCCTTACTGCCAGAGACTTGACAGCGCTTCTTCTCACAAATCTGAACCACATTTGGCTTTAGAGCGGAAGCAGTTGAGACACTCAGTATGGCTTGAAGATGATCATCATTAAGTCTAGACCTGTACTTTGACTTATTGAAGTCCTGGGAAAAAAGTGGGGGAACTCACTCAAAACTTCCATTCCCTCACGTAAAAAAAAGGCGTATATATGTATAAATAAAACACCCCCACCCCACTCCAGTCACATCAGTCTGTACCAGTTTGTATCTACCTATGATATATATAATGCAGGCTGTAGCTAAGTGGCAGGCAGGGGCGGGAACAGCTTACCTTGGTTCTGGCCGGCGCGAGTTAACATTTCCCGCCCGTCACAGCGTCTAACAAAGGGACGGGGTACGTGAAGACGTCACCGGCATCCCCGCCCCTTTGTTTACACGGCGGGCGGGGAATGCCAGTGACCGCTGTGTACGGATAGAATCAGCGGAGCGGGGAGCGCTCTCTCTCCCCGCTCCGCTGATTCTGTCAGTGTACAGCGGTCGGCGCGGGCCACAAAATATTGCACTGAGGGCCGCAAATGGCCCGCGGGCCGCGAGTTTGAGACCCCTGGTCTAAAGTGATGTATACAAACTATATAGTATACTATGAGCAGGGATACAATCAGCCAGCGCAGTCGTCCCTTCATAGTCAAAAGCGACATTTTGTGTCTGCCGGTTTGTTTACTTGCGGGAGTTTCATTGGCTATTTCCCGCATCTCACGAGCTCAGGGCTCTCTCCCGGGACAGCATGCCAAACACGCTTTATAATCAATCTTCAGCTAGGGGGCGAACTCTTGAATATGTAATAAGTGGCTGAAATAACCACGAATGTCAGGGCATGTCAAAACATCTTAGGAGCCCCAATCACCTCAGACCCCAGAGGGTTAGTTGGGCAAGTTCTTGTATAGACCATTTAAATGTGGTGATGTCATTGGCCAATGAACATTTTCTGCTTGTTATTAAACTATTTCATAGCTGTAACAAGAGGCAATCATAACTTAATGTTAAAAAGCGACCTTAGTCGACGCCAATAGCCTAGTGGTTGGTGCGTCAACGCATAGCACTGAGGTGCTTGATTTAATCATAATTTGGGAAATATTTGAAAAAGAAAACAAATTCACAGGAGGGTGAATAATTTTTGTAATTAAACATTTGTTTTTCCATTTGTTTGTAATTATATTTATTTACATTGTAACGCTTTACTCCACAGGTGAAACACTTCAGGGCCCTACAGGAGCAGGCCAGCACGTACCTAGATCTGGTTTGTTCAGTGTGTGATTTATCTGATGAGTCTGTGAGAGCCACAGCTGCCAAAATACAGCAGACCAAAACAATGGTGAGTTTGATGACTCAGGCTAATAGTGATTACTGCTTTGGGATGTAAAAACGTAATAATAATGTGAGTAATATTGTCAATTCTACAGATTGAGGAGAGGATGAGCACTTCTCAAGAGCTGTCAGATAGCTGGAGGGAGATCAAAGAGCAAAAGCAGGAACTCTCGACACTCTTTCAGGACATGGAGCAGCAGCTGCAAAGTCTCTCCAGAAGACCCGCTGAGCTGGAGACCAAGATTGCTCAAAACATGCTTGATCAAGCCAGGGTAAATAGAAGTCTTTTATTGGATGTAGAACTATGTATTATGTCTGAATACGCTATCATGGTGGCTTAAGAAAGCCAACATACTGTTTTGCTAAACTTCTTCTTCTTCTTCTTTTTTTTCTGAGACTAATTTCTATAAGCATCTCCTCCTAGACCGTTCATACTACAACCACCAAACTAACACTGATCCTCCAAACTGCTCTGACTCAGTTTGCTATATCTTTTCCAACTGATCCAACTTAGGGTTTACCAAAAACTGACCCAGACAATTTGGAAAAGTCCTATTGACTTAACATTGGACCAAAATTTGTAACCTCTTAACCTTGTGCCAGACTTTCTGTCATACAGACTTAGGGGTTGTTTTTTAAATACAAGTACGCAAAGTTCGGACTTGCGTCCTTGGAAGTTGAGACTTGCCAAGTTCAGACTTGGAAGAACAAACTCCTGAGGACACACGTCGGGTACTTTTTCAAATGCAACAGCAGTGTACTTTATAACGTCATTTACCTCACCATGGATTCATCAGTTTTACTGTACATTAGCAATAAAATTATTTAATTATAAAAAACACGACCCTGTAATTAATTTTATATTAATATTATAAATCTACATTTTTGATTTAAGAAAATGTAAACACAAATCCATATAAATGTGAAGTAAAATTAGTTATTTTACAGACACGTGTCTTTGATTATCAGATTTAATAAACTACAATGGTAATTATACAAGTATATACATGATAAGAAATAAGGATTACGTCAAACAATTTAGTAAACAAATACAAACAGCGTACAACAATTACAAAAGGTAACAAAGTAATACTGCCAAAATAATACACCTGAGAACAAATAATAGATTTAAAAGACCAAAAACTGTCTGTTAGATATTCACAAGATGAATTAAATATCATGTTTTAACTACAATGGAGTGATGAGATCCAGCGGTACATTCGAGATGGAACTTTATCTGTACTTGGTAAAATGTGAACTTTGATTTGGAACAGTACTTTGGTGACAGTTGATGACGTTTCACAAGGACACAAGAATGCAAGTACAGACAAGAACTCATATTGAGAAACAGCCTGGGTTACTCTCATTTACCTCAGACTACCGATCTCCCAATCACTGATGACCTTTCAACTTACTAGCCACACCCTAGCAACCATTTACGGCACCTTAGCAACTATCCCATAGACTTCCATTGTAAAAATCTGCCATTGACTTTACACTAGACATACTAGCAACATGCTAATTCATACTATAAACACACTAGCAACATGCTAATTCATACTAAATTCATGCTAGTTTATTCTAGAAACATGCTAGTGACATGCTAATTCATACTAGAACCATGCTAATTTATGCTATCAACTGCCTAGCAATACCTTAGCAACCACTCAGAACACCTTAGTAACCACCTAGAACACCCTAGCAACTGCCTAGCAACCACTCAGAACACCTTAGCAATGGTCTAACAACACCTTAGCAACCACCTAAAACACCCTAGCAACCGCCTAACAACGCCTTAGTAACCACTCAGAACACCTTAGCAGCGCCTTAGCAACCACCTAGCAACACCTTAGAAACCACCCAGAAGACCTTAGCAAACGCCTAGCAACACCTTAGCAACCACTCAAAACACCTTAGCAATCACCTAGCAACATCTCAGCAAACGCCTTAGCAACCACTCAGAACACCCTAGCAATCACCTAGCAACATCTCAGCAACCACCTAGCAATGCCTTAGCAACCACTCAGAACACCATAGCAACTGCCTAGCAACCATCAGAACACAATAGCAACCGCCTTGCAACATCTTCGCAACCTTCTAGCAATGCCTTAGCAACTGCTTAGCAATCACTTTGCAAACACTCAGAACACCCTAGCAACCACCTAGCAACACCTTTGCAACGACCTAGCAACCACTCACAACACCCTAGCAATCGTCTAGCAACATCTTAGCTACCACCTAGAGCACCTTAACAACACCTTAGCAAACACTCAGAACACCCTAACAACCATCTAGCAACACTTTAGCAACCACCTAAAACACCCTAGTAATGCCTTAGCAACCCCTCAAAACAACCTAGCAACTGCCTAGCAATGCCTTAGCAACCACTCAGTGGTCGACCTAGTAACCACTCAGAATAACCTAGCAACCACCTAGCAACATCTTAACAACTACCTAGTACACATTAGCAACTGCCCAGCAACTCTCTTGCAAACACTCAGAACACCCTAGCAACCGCTGAGCAACACCTTAGCAATCAGTCAGAATATCATAGCAACACTTAGCAACCACTCAGAACACCCTAGCAACCACCTAGCAAAAAACATGCCAATCCATACTAGAAACCTGCTAACCTAACCTCTATGTAGTTATCTCTCTATACCAACTGCTTCAAACTTCTTAAAAAATACTTTCTCAAGCCACCATAAAGTTTGTCTACGAACTTTACTTTTCTAGTTACATGCTGATAATAGATTATGATAACTGATCTTTTTTATTTTTAGAACAATTTGTTGTGACCCGAGAGGTTTATTTTTAACATAAGAGAATCATATTCATGTCTCATGCTGTTTCTCTTTTTATGATTGGCTCATCCTCTGTGCATTTGTTGCCTGTAGGAGTTTGGCCAACAGCTTCAAAACAGACAAAGCACTCTGACCAAGATGACAGAGCTTGTAAGTAAGCTGACAGAGGGCAAGGAGTCTCCTGAGCATACAGAGATCGGCCGACTGAGTCACGCGTGGCTGGAACTGTGTCATCAGGCCAACAAACTCCAAACACAAAGAGAAGAAGATCTGCAGAGGACTAAAGAGTATCACGACTGCATCAGTGCCATGGAAGCCCTCTTTGAACAGGTGTCAAAGGAATGGGACAACCTGGCCAGGTAGACCTATTTTGCAGGATTTAGTGTAACTGTGATCTTATGTCAGTCTTATTTAATGACATATTGTAAGTGTAAATTAAGTTCAGCCCGTTCAGATTACACCTTTTTTTCCAGATTTTGACATAATTTGCTTGATGTAGAGTGTCTTAGGGATTCGTAAACGACAAATGGGTGTCAGATTCAAGGTTCATTTCTTTTCATGTAGTGCACAACATAAGGCATGAACACTGAAGCCAATGCAGAAACTCTAGCGCGTTTAATTTTTTCCTGTTATCCACAATGGGTTTTGTCACGTAAAAGCACAGAATATCTTACGCACAAAGCTTTTAAAATGCAGAAAGAGTGATAACTGTGCTGCTAGGTGTACAAGAAATTGCCTGTATAAGGTGTCGTCGAGGTACTACTATGGCAGAATAGAAATATTATGATGTTGATTGATAGCCGAGGTACCTGCTGGTCAGTAAGAACTGGAATCAGCATATAAAATAGCAAATCACTCAATTCGGCATTGGAAATGTTATAAGAATGTTTCTTTGAATGGAACTGGCTGACTACTTAGTAGTGATGGGAAGTTCGGATCATTTTACTGACTGGGATCTTTGAGTCTCGTTCATCAAGATGAACAAATCTTTTTTCGAGTCATTTCGTTTATTTGGTTCAACTTGCCAAAATATTATTAAAATGTTACGAATTGCTTCCAAACACATCTACAACTAGCCCAAAAGGTTGATTGCATGACAAATAAGTCTTAAATAGAATATAAGAAGGAGAAAATAATAATTCAATGTTTACCTCCTCTTTTGTCTATGAAGGCATTGTTGTCTCTTTGCTTAGCTCACCTCTTCATGTCTTCAAATGTCAGGGGTTCATTCACGTTACACTGACAGTCACATATAATCTTAACCAAAGTACACAGTCTGAGTCGATAGGAGCCATGATCGTTCGTTCATCACGTGACAGAATGACTCAAACCCGAGGACTCAAGAGATAAACGGTTCAATTCTTTTTCCGGCTCTAAACGCGTATGATTGGCCCGTGATGAACGAATGACTCAGACCCGATAGAGGACTCGAGAGATGAACGGATCAAAACTTTTTCCGGCTCTAAACGCATATGATTGGCCCGTGATGAACGAATGACTCAGACCCGATAGAGGGCTTGAGAGATGAACGGATCAAAACTTTTTCCGGCTCTAAACGCATATGATTGGCCCGTGATGAATGAATGACTCAGACCCGATAGAGGACTCGAGAGGTGAGCGGATCAATTCTTTTTCCGGCTCTAAATGCATATGATTGGCTTCTGCCATTGTGATGACTTGAAATTAATGATACTACCTGCACAAATGTGCGCACTTTCGGATGAACGAATCACTCCCTGAGAGGACTCGTAGTTCCAAAATGAACAAATCGATCATGAACGACCCATCACTACTACTTAGTGTCATTGGGAATCCGCTTCTGTAGCTCCAAAGGCGCCTCTTACTAGCACAGAATGAATCTACTTATCTAGCACTTTGTTCTGAAAACACACACACAAGATACATGGGTGAAACTCACACCAGTGGGACACAATTGATTGAGATTTGTAATTTTTTAGGTTTCTTGATGACAGAATACACATTGTAGATGTCACCTGATGATTGCTCGCAAAACAACTTTTAGTCTGACGTATTTGGTACCCAACACACATCAAGATTTAATCTGGATAAAATCGCATAATCTTACACAGTGACTATTGTGATCAACAATTAAAATTGTGCAGTCTGAATGGGCCTTAGAAACTTTTGAGACGTATTATTCTTTGATGTTTTATAGAACTGATGCTGAAAGTTCATCTGATCATCTGGAGGCTCTTCGGAAGCTCTCAGTTGTTCTTAAAGACAAGAAAAGCACACTTGAGGATCTCAAAGAGCAGAAGCAAAAAGTAATGTACCATCTAAACCTGGATGACAAAGAGCTGGTAAAGGAGCAGATAGGCCACTTTGAGCAGCGATGGGCTCATCTAGAGAGCCTCATTGAGAGGAAGATCCAGGACTCCATTTTGACACTTGAAGACATGGGGCAAGTCGAGGCCTGTTTGAGGGAAGCTCGTGAATGGGCCGAGGAGCAGCAGCCGACTCTGTCTGAAGCCATGAAGATGAGTCCCCCACCGGAGCTAGCGCAAAGTTTCCTCTTTGACCATCTCAGTATATGCAGCGAGCTGGAAGCCAAGCAGCTTCTGCTGGCCCAGGCGATGGGTGATGCAGACAGAGTTTTAGCACATCTGGGGCTAAATGAAAGACAAAGACTGCAGCAGCTTATCTCAGAGACGCAAGCAGAAGTAGAGTGCTTGAGCGTCAAAGTAGCTCAGCGTAGGAAACACCTTAGCAAGGCTTTCACCGAGAGAACACAGTTCTTGTTGGCTGTGAATCAAGCGATTACCTGGGTCCAGCAGAATGAGAAGAAAGCACAAGCAGAAGAGTACATAGCCCTTCTTCCTGACGACCTTTCAAAGCAGGTGAGAACATGCCGGAACATCCAGAGCAGTTTGAGAGCCTACCAGAGTGAGCTGACCTCCCTGTGGTCACAAGGCAGGGATCTGATGAAAGATGCTTCTGAAGAGGAGAAGACAGAGATGCTTCATAAGCTCCAAGAACTGCAAAGTATCTTTGAGGTTGCCCTGCAGAAGTGTAGCCAGAGGCTTCAGGACCTGGAAAAAGTGTTGGTGACTAGAAAATACTTTAAGGCAGATTTGGAGAAGATATGCCAATGGTTGAAACAAGCCGATATTGTGACCTTTCCAGAGATAAACCTCATGAACGGAGATGCAGAATTATGCTCACAGCTTACAAAATACCAACAGATATTGGATCAAGCTATGGAATTTGAGAACCTCCTGCTAACTGTGCAAAGGACAGGTCAAGAGATACTTCCCACTCTCAATGAAGTAGACCACTGTTACTTGGATGAGAAATTGATTGCTCTTCCTCAACAGTACAATAATATCTTGGGACTAGCTAAAGAGAAACAGGAGAAAATACAGCAAGCCATTCTTGCCCGACAAGAATATGCCTCCTTCATTGATGTTACCCACAAAGCACTTAAAGAACTTGAGGAACAGTTTCACAGCTTGGGGACGCAGCCAATCGGCCTTAAGACTGAGGAAGTTGTAAGCCTTCAAGCTGACTACAAAGCCCTTCTGGAGGAGCTGACCAATCTTGGGCAAGCTGTCGGTGAACTTAACCAAAAGAAAGAAGGATTCCGAAGCACCGGTCAACCTTGGATGCCTGAAGAAATGACGCAACTGGTTAGCCTTTACAATGGACTCAAAAGATTAATTGAACAGAGGGTAGAACACCTTGACGACACTCTTGAATCTTTCGAGGACCATCAAGCCATGGCTATGCAGGTTGACTCAGAGCTGAAAGCCACCAAAGAGCAACTGGTGAAAGTCAATGCCGAGACACAGTCGGCTGAGGAGAGGTTGAAGAATTATCATGCCCTAGCTGCTAGTCTTCAAGGTGCCAGCTCTCACCTCACTCGACTGATGGAGCAGATGGATAACCTGGTATCCCACATGGATACTGCTGCACATGAGGTTTCAAAACAGCGGGTGACCTCTTGGCAGGAAGAGCTTCGGTCCTTACAGTCATCTGTTGGAGAGCTTATTGTGGAGTGTGAGAACAGGTTCGTGCAGAGTAAAGACTTTGAAACTGAAGTCAATCGGACCTTAACCTGGCTCCAACAAATCAAAGATGAACTTGGCTCTGAGGTGGTGGTAGATGTCAAAGTTGAGAAGGTCCAGGAAGAAATCCGAAAGCAACAGATCATGCAAGAGGAAGTACAATCAAGGCTGAGGATAGTGGCAGCTTTGAGTACAAGAGAGAAACAGAAATACACCAGTGCCAATGAGCTTGTCCCTGCTCATGTGGATTCGAGTCTACAAGAGATGGCCAAGCTGGAGGCTGATGTTCAGCGTGCCCTAAGCTCTAAACAGGCAAGTTCTAATGCAAACTATCAATGGAACCAAAACTACTTGTTAAAGTATAAACAGTCATAGTAATATGTTTTGGATATTAAGTATACTTTACATAGGTGAGTGAGCTTGATAAACCACCTATAGGACACTCCTCATCATATGCACTAGACATTGTCTTATAAAACTATTGTGATAAAAATATTGTGCAGGTCTGAGTGTACTTAATGCAATTGAGCGAGCTTGACACATCCCCTGTAGAAGGCACAGTCATTTCCTCTATATGTACCAGACTTTCTTATAAACACTGCATGTTTCTGGGAAAATGTAGTGCAATTCTAAGTGTACTTATTGCAGGTGAGTGGACTTGACAAACCACCTGTAGAAACAGTCTTTTCCTTTCCAAATGCTCTAGACACTTTCTTATAAACGTGTATATTTAAGTATGTGTACTAAAAAAATCAGTTAAAAAAACTAAGGCCTGTAGATGCATCGTCCAACGTGAAATGCCAGTGTGTTTACCAAGTGTTTAACTACCTAAGCCTGCAAAACTTCCTTATTCAGCCAATGCTAACTCACTAATGAATCCAATTGTTTCTTTTGTAGATTACATTAGAGCAAGCTCTTGTCTTGTGCCAGAAGTACCACTCCAGAATGCAAGCAGCATGTGAGTGGCTTGAGGATGCTGTGGGCTTTTTGCAGCAGGCCAGTCTTGGGGTGGATGTAGAGAACTACGAGGAGTGTCTGAGGCAACAAGAGGACATCATGGCCACTGAGCAAGAGTTCCTGGGGGTTCTCGAGGAGCTGGAATCTCTGCCACCGCAACTTGAAAACCTTGTCAACCCTACAGCCAAAGAGCAGCTTCGACTGAGTGTGGAGTCTGCACAGCAAAGAGGTGTGGAGGTCAGAGACCAGCTGCAGTGCCACCAAGACGTCTTAAACAGGTTCAGTTTGGTACAGATTTATTATATTGTATTGAATTAAGAATACGATGCTAACGAAGACCAATGTGATTTTTATAGCTGTGTTGCTCAGTGGAATTCTTACCAAGAAGCCAGACAGACAGTCATTGACCTGATGAATGAGGTGGAGAAGAAGTTAACAGAGTTTTCCACAGCCAAGGCTGCAACAAACCAGGAAGCTGAAGAGAAACTTAGGAGCCATAAGGTGAGCTTTGCATGCAGAATTGTGTCTCTGAGAAAAAGAAACAATCTACATGACCATATTAATCCAAGTAAAATGCTTTCATATATACCCCGCAGTCCTTAGTATCAATGGTGAACAGTTTCCAAGAAAAATTGACCGGTCTGGAGGAGCAAGCATCCCAGTTAGAGCAGATTGGAAGTGACGCCAGTAAAGCAACTATAAGTCGATCCATGACCACCGTGTGGCAGCGCTGGACCAGGTTACGCAGTGTAGCACGAGGCCAAGAAAGGGTGCTGGAGGACACGGCCCATGAATGGAGGACTTTCAGAGAAAAGGTGCAGTTCCTCTCTGTATGATGTTATGATGTTCTGGAAACTGAAGGTGCCATAGAGTGCATTGATGTAATATGTTAAATTGTTTTCTGATATCTACATAGGCTTAGGTAAGTTAAAAATTCTCTAAAAATGGTTTTGCTCATTTATAACTATTGAAATCACCAATAAAATGAAAATATTGGTTTTGACCATATTTCTAAAGGTCATGAATATTTATGAGTTCTGCTCTGATGCTCTGCAGCTCCTGTGATTGCCTGGTGACACATACAAACATGTAAAGTATGATGTGCTCTAAAACAGTGGTCCTCAACCACCGGGCTGCAGGCCGGTACTGGTCTGTGGATCAATTGGTATGGGGCTGCTCAAGAAACCATTAATTATTTTAGTTTTAATTATTATCTGAGTCTGAACGAACTTTTATTTATTTTTTTCTTTTATTTTGAAAAATGACCGTATTCTCTTGCTTACATCTTGGTCACTTGAGTGGCTAAATTTTATCCACAAGCACCTAAATGAGTAAGAGCGTACTCACATTATGTACAGTTGGCATGAACTGGGCCAAAGCATGCTTGTCCCCCCTCCTTTCTCCCCCGAGGGCCTGCACTCACTTTATATTCGGGCCTTGGCTCGCTTACATCATCGATGATGCACTGTTCAGTAAGTGTTCTCGCTTAGCACAGTAGAGATTTCTTTAGTTATAACGCTTTAGTCGTTTGATATGCAATGACACGCAGTCAAACATTTCGCCGAACAGATCAGCCACTTTTGACGCTCATAAACAATAATAAAGTCCTTGTGCTACAGGAATTAGGAAGTTTGCTGAAGGTGCGCAGCTGTCCTGCAGTGAGGGGTTTGTGTATTTAATAAACTACGACAGTTTGCGTTCATTGAACAGTAAGAACGATTAATAAGTCCGTTTGAAACAGTCCCGTAAAAGTCATGTCTTGCTTTCAGTTTCGCGCTCAGGCACGTTTTGCAGTCACACACAAGCGTACCGCACCAAAGCCCAAGTGAACCGCGCACACCTCTTCCAACCGGGCCAAGCATATATATTCAACATATTGAACAAATAAGAAACAAGCACTAGGGCAAACAGGTTTTTGTAATACAGTGTTATGTTATGTTGTCCAGATGATGAAGGTAAGATCTCTAACGGAAGAAGTGAAGGGCCGTGTTCCTGATTGCACCGCTGAAAAAGCCTCCAAAGCCACACTGCAGTCACATCTGGACCAGTACGAGCTGGTTAGTCAGGATCTGGAGAGGGAGCTGTCGTCTCTAACTCTCCTGAGACAGTACGCTCTTAGTCTGCTACATGACGTGGAGGTGTCTGTGCCAACGGCTGATCATGAGCAGCTGCCAAGTCTGAAGGAGATCAAAGCTGTGCAAGATCAACTGGAGAGGTCTGTCATGTTTTTCGAATCTAATACTCACAAAATGTCACAAAAGGCAACTGTTTTTATAAGATTTCAAGAAATGGCGACAAGATGACAGGTCTGTTGTGCAATTCATGATGTCATTCATGTGTCTACAGTAGCCAGTGTAATGGCAGCTAATGCAGATTGTAAAGATTGTATGCTAGGGCTGGGTGGTATGATGGTATATAGCTACCATGAAATAAATTGTCAATTGTGATAGATTGGTCTATTCTGCCAAAAGGAGGTAATAATATCTGCAACAATATAACATCTGCAAAAATACGATATTGTGGAGTCCTACTATATTTATACAAATAAAAGAAAGGAAAGTGCTAGACGCATTCTTTTTTTTTTTCTTAGTTTATATGTTGTAACCCTCTGTAAATCTAAGTATACTTACTGGCCACTTTTTGAGGTACACCTTACTAGTACCGGGTTGGACTCCCTTTTGCCTGTATACTTCATGGCATAGATTCAACAAGGTACTATAGATATTTCTCAGAGATTTTCGTCATTGACATGATAGCATCACGCAGTTGCTGCAGATTTGTCAGCTGCACATCCATGGTAATCTCCCATTCCACCACATCCCAAAGGTGCTCTATTGGATTGAGGTCTGGTGACTGTGGAGGCCATTTTAGTACAGTGAGCTCATTGTAATATTCAAGAAACCAGTCTGAGATGATTCACGCTTTATGACATGGTGCGTTATTCTGCTGAAAGTAGCCATCAGAAGATGGCTACGCTGTGGTCATAAAGGGATGGACATGGTCAGCAACAATGCCCAGGTAGGCTGTGGCATTGATACAATGCTCATTTGGTACTATTGGGCCCAAAGTAAGCCAAGAAATTATCCCTCACACCATTACACCATGACCAGTAGCCTGAACTTTTCTACCCCGGCTCATTGTGGAAATGTAGTTCCGCAGACGTTTCTGGAGAATACGGAATTCGGCTGCAGTTTTTGTTTTTACGAATCCGCGAGAGGCCGCTGTTGTGCGCTTTTTCGCACCTCAGACGCCTCTCGCGAGTGTGGTTCCCGCCCACGCTGTTCTCGCGTGAACCCACCAAAGGCTGCTGTCCGACTAACCGGATGATTGACTGCGCGACCGGGCAATCGGCCGACCCGCCCTCCTCCTTCCCTGAACCCAACCAATTTTGCCGATTGACCTGCCCCCCCGCTCGCTTCCCTAAACCCGAGCAACAGTTTACAAAAGCCATCCAAAAAAATAAAAGCCACGATTTTTTTTTTTCTACTGCGTTTTCGGATTTCGCCGCGTTCTCACCCTGTCACGAAACTCGTTCACTTAATTTTTTGATTCTGTTTTTGTCTTACCTGATTGCTGGAACCGCTCGAACACGGTGAGCTGAGTGGACAAACGGATTGCAGCTGGGAAGCCCTCCACAAGGAGGTAAGGCAAGCGCGAAAGGGAACAGCGTCATACCAATCCGCAGCGTTGGTTTGAAAAAAATAAACGCAGCCGTACGTACCCCCCGGGACGTATTCCGCTGTCTCCAGAAACGTCTGCGGGACTTCATTTTCAGAATGAGCTTGGGTTGGAACTTTTGATACAAGGCAGGATGGATCCATACTTTCATGTTGTTGACGCCAAATTTTGACCCTACCATGCGAATGTCGCAGCAAAAAACCGAGACTCATCAAATCAGGCAACATTTTTCCAATCTTCTATTGTGCAATTTTAGTGTGCCTGTGTGAATTGTAGCCTCGGTATCTAGTTCTTAGCTGACAGGAGTGGCACCCAGTGTGGTCTTCTGCTGCTGTAGCCCATCCACCTCAAGGTTGGATGTGTTGTGTGTTCAGAGATGCTCTTCTGCATACCTCGGTTATGATGAGTAGTTATTTGAGGTTCTGTTGTCTTTCTATCAGCTGGAACCAGTCTGGCCATTATCCTCTGACCTCTGGCATCAACAAGGCATTTGTGCCCACAGAACTGCGGCTCACAGGTTATTTTCTCTTTTTTGGACCATTTTCTGTAAACGCTAGAGATGGTTGTGTGTGAAAATCCCAGTAGATCAGCAGTTTCTGAAATATTGAAACCAACCTGTGTGGCACCAACAACAATGCCACGCTCAAAGTCACTTAAATCTCTTTTCTTCCCTATTCTGATGAGTTCGGTTTGAACTGCAGCAGATCGTCTTGACCATGTCTACATGCCTAAATGCATTGAGTTACTGCCATGTGATTGGCTGATTAGAAATTTGTGTTAACGAGCAGTTGGACAGGTGTACCTAATAAAGTGGCTAGTGAGTGTGAATAAATATCATTAATGTGAAATTCAATTATTCATATATATTCAAATATTTTCGATCATACCACCCATCCCTGGTGAATGCTAACAAGTTTAATTTATGTGTAGTTTTGCTTCCAAAATTGGCTTGAACCAGCACTGATAATTGGCATGTAGATGCAATAATGCCTGGAGGTTTATAAATTTGATCTGTGTCTCTTGTAGTCTCCTGCAGAAGGCCAGGGCAGGAAAATCTCGGGTTCAGCAGGAGCTGTCAGACAGAGAAGGTGTAGAAAGAGGACTAAGTCTTGTCAAGAGCTGGATCCAAGACTCCAGAGAGCTCCTGCTGAACCCCACGTCTGACTTGGACATTCTGTCTCAAGAACTGGAGGTGAACTAATTAATATGTGAAACCGTAAACAGGATTAAACTACATTGATATGACTGCTTTGATTATTTAATTAGGTCAGATGAGCAATTATAAGCTTGAGCATGTTGCATTGGGATGCAGCACTCATTGCATCTACAGTATAAGCTGTTAAGTTTTTTAACTATAGTGTGTGATTGTGATATTGCATGCATAAAAAATCTTTGCTTAATGTAAATAGTATACAATATGTAGTACATGTGTTATTATACTGTAGCATCAATCTCTTGTCTAAATTCGTATCATTTTGCAGGTGATGCACGGAGAGCTGATCACTCACCGTCAGAATGTGGACAAACTCGCAGAGCAGCAGCAAAGCAAATACTTAGACCTGTACACTATTTTACCATCTGAGATCTCAATGCAGCTTGCTGAAGTATCTCTGGCGCTGGGATCCATTGAGGATCAGGTACATAATTACTCTTTTCATTGTTTTTAAAGTGCATTAATAGCTTTGTTAAATCATAGCATACAACTGTTTTGAATAATTTGAATTGTTATACTTTATCAATACTTTGTCAATACTTTATCAGCAGCATTAATTAAATAATTCATGTCTGTAGGTTCAAGCCAGGGAGAGAGACATCCAGAAGTCTAGAGTAATCAAAGAAGAGTTCAACTCCAGAATTCATGATGTATCTGAAAAAATGAAGGCTGTCTCTACTGCTCTAAAGGAAAAGGCAACGGATATTGATCAGGCCAAAGATGAGGCCAGAGTATGTAATACTAATAATCTATATTTTGAGAACATAACCATGCCATACAAATAACTAATAAGTACTTGTTTTATACATTTTTATTAATCTGTTTTTGACAACAAAGATACTTTGTACATTAATCAACATTCCTCAAAAATGCAAATCTACTTAGTTGCTGTCTAGTATTTTGACCAGATGTTATAGGCCTAGAAATCAACAAAAACTGACCTGTATTTCTAGCGTCTCTGTGATGAACTTGACTGCTGTGGAAGAACTCTTGCTGAGCTGGAGGCTGCGGTGCAGGATTTTGGTCGCCGTAACCCTCTGATAGCCAGACAGCTGGCTGATGCTATCGCTAAATTACGAGAGATCCATCATCACACTCTTCGACTGGCTGATTATAAGACTATATGGCTAAAGAAGGTAGGAAGATTTAGTTTTATTCACAGATTAAAGGGATAGTTCACACACAAATATTCTCATCCTCCACTTGTTCCAAATCAAATTGTTGTTGTTTCTTACATCTGTTGAGCTCAAAAGAAGAAATACTCAGGAATGTAAAAAAAACAGCCATTGACTTTTTTAGGAATGCATGATATATCAGTGGCCATATCAATATCGGCTGATAAATGCTATTTTTCTTGATCCAATGACAAAATTAGGTTGACATCTTTAAGCCAAAGAATATTTTTATCAATCATCCTATAATTTGGCTACCAGCCAAATCCTAAGAGTCATCGGCTATCGTTGCCGGTCAAAAATTTCATATCGGAATATCCCTCGTATTTTTTCTTATCTTTTTTCTTATTTTTACATCCCTTGTATTTATCCTATCGTTATCGGCTTCCGTTATCACTTAAAAATTCGATATTGGTACATCCTCAGTATTTATTCCTATCATTATCGACTATTGGTATCGGTCAAAAATTCCATATCGCTACAACCCTAGTATTTTTTCCTATCATTATCGGTATCGGTCCAAAAATTCTATATTGGTACATCCCTAGTATTTTTCCTATCATTATCGGCTATCGGCTATCGGTATTGCTCAAATTCCATATTGTTACATCCCTAGTATTTATTCCTATCGTGATCGACTGTCTGTATCGGTTAAAAATTCCATATCGCTACATTCCTAGTATTTTTTCCTATCATTATCGGTATTGGTCAAAAATTCCATATCGGTACATTTCCAATATTTTTTTTCCTATAGTTATTGACCATTGGTATCTGCCAAAAACTCCATATTGATACATCACTAGTATTTTTTCCTATCATTATCTGCAATCGGTATTGCTCAAAAATTCCATATCAATACATCACTAGTATTTTTTCCTATCGATATCGGCTATCGGTCAAAATTTCCATATCAGTACATTCCCAGTATTTTTTCCTATTGTTATCGGCTATCAGTCAGAAATGCTATATCAGTACATTCCCAGTATTTTTTTCCTCTTGTTATCAGCTATCAGTCAAAAAATTCTATATCAGTACATTCCCATTATTTTTTCCTATTGTTATCGGCTATCGGTATTACTCAAAAAATCCACATAGGTAGGTACATCCCTAGTATTTTTTTCCTATTGTTATCAGCTATCGGTCAAAAATTCCATATCAGTACATGCCTATATTCCTAGTATTTTTTCTTATCGTTAGCGGCTAACGTGTTGGTCAAAAATTCCATATAGATACATCACTAGTATTTTTTCCTATCTTTATCAGCTATCGGTATCGCTCAAAAAATCCATATCAGTACATCCCTAGTATTTTTTTCCTATTGTTATTGGCTATCGATATCGTTCAAAAAATCCATATCGGTACACCCCTAGTATTTTTTCCTATTGTTATCGGCTATCGATATCGTTCAAAAAGTCCATATCGGTACATCCCTAGTATTTTTTTCCTATTGTTATCGGCTATCGATATCGTTCAAAAAATCCATATCGGTACATCCCTAGTATTTTTTTCCTATTGTTATCGGCTATCGATATCGTTCAAAAAATCCATATCAGTACATCCCTAGTATTTTTTTCCTATTGTTATCGGCTATCGATATCGTTCAAAAAATCCATATCGGTACATCCCTAGAATATTTTCCTATCGTTTTCAGCTATCGGTCAAAAATTCCATAACAGTACATCCCTACGTTTTTTCTATCGTTATCGGCTATCGGTCAAAAATTTCATATTGAAACATCACTAGTATTTTTTTCTTATCGTTATCGGCTATCGTATATGTAAAAAATTCCATATTAGTACATTCCTAGTATTTTTTTCAATCGTTATCAGCTATCGTATAGGTAAAAAATTCCATAGTACATTCCTAGTATTTTTTTCTTATAGTTATTGGCCATCGATATCGGTCAGAAATTTTATATTGATACATTCCTAGTATGTTTTTGTTCCTACCATGGATGTCTATGGCTGTTTTTTTTTTAGAATTCTTCAGTATATTTTGGTTTGTGCTCAACAGAAGAAAGAAAATCATAAAACCAATTGAGTGTGAATAAATGTTGCGGAAATCTTTGGGTGAACTACTCCTTTGAATAAAAAAAACCTATTGAATGCATTACCTCACTTTTTATCTTTTATTATCTCAAGGCTGATGCACATCTCGATGAGTACAATGAGATGTTTGAGTTCATAGTGAAGTGGACAGACCGAGCCAGGAGCCTGGTGAAGGCCAACATCATCTGGAACTCTTCCTCACACCTGCAAGAGCAGATCAGGATGTATCAGGTGAACTGACATCCTTTATCAGTTACCTCCAACCTCCAACTGTCCTCGTTACCTCTAATTAAAAAAAAAAAAACTTAACTTACCATCGCTTTTCCCAAATCTTAGTCCAGGATATCTGTTTTATTATGTTGTCAGCTGTTCATAATTTTGGCTTAAACCGTATTTGGTATTTTGTGCAGGAAAGAAAAATAAAATTTAATTAAATTGTATAAATTGTCTACCAGCCTTCAAATTTATTTTGCAAAGAGTTATTGGCTATCGGTATCGGTCATTTTTTTGTTCCTGCTATGGGTTTCTATGGCTGCTTTTTTCATAGAAAAGAAAGAAAGAAAACTTGCAAAAAAGAGTTTACATTTTTATATCAATACATTTTTGTTATTGCAATTTGTTTTTTGTTTTGTAATATCATGTTTGCAGGCTGTTCTGCGTGAGTCACGTGAGCTTCATGGTGACCTGGACTCCATGCAGGAGAAGGTGGAGATCCTGTCTGAGACACTGCAGGTGGAGGCAATGGGACAGCAGGTGTCAGAACTGAGCCGTCACACGGAAGAGCTAGAGCAGAGCATCAGATCACGACTGCAAAGTCTACAGGATGCAGCAAAGGTTTCAGCAGTTTATGCTCTTTATCAAAAATGCCCAAACTATATAAAGATACCTAAAGGTGGTATATCTAAAGATACCTAAAATGTATCCCAGGCTGGAAGGGCATCCGCTGCGTGAAAATGTGCTGGATAAGTTGGCGGTTCATTCCGCTGTGGCGACCCCGGATAAATAAAGGGACTAAGCCGAAAAGAAAATGAATGAATGAATAATACAATTCAAGTATTTTTTTTTATGTAGTTTTTTAAAAATTTTTAATAAATTTGAGAATTACCATGACAATTTTAATGTAAAAATAGTGTTAATGTAAATAATAGTTATATTTACCTCCGGCCCACTACCCTCAATCAGTTTGTTTTTTTGGCCTTTAATAGGAAAAAGTTTGGGCACTCCTGCTCCACATATCATCTTATTCTTTCTAAATTGTTTAATTCTTCCTCAGATTTTAATATTTAAAGACAAATTCACACAAAAATTTAATTTAATCACCCTCATGTTATTCCAAAAATCTGAGACCTGAAATCTTAACGTCGCAAATTGAGATATTTTCTATGAAATCTGAGAGCTCCCTCATTCTCCATAGACAGCAAGGGTCACAAAATAACCGATTAACGGTAAAACCGAAAGGGTGCGTTTTTAATTCATTAATGATATCAGTGAAACGATTAAAAAATATTATTTTATATATTTTTAAAGTTTGGCTGCATAAGGGGCCGATCACACCGAAAGCACTGTTTGCATCGAGAGGTGCATCTTTTGAATGGTTTACTAATGGCCACGAGTGTTCTGCATGCTGCTTTTGTGCCCTGCACACCTCGCGTTTCTGCCATTGTCCAAAGTGTGCTCACAGTTGAAATAAAAGTTAACACTGAGCGGAAAAAGTACGTTACGCGAGTCGCATCTTTCTTATGCTTCAATCAAATGAAAGCAGAGAGGCGGGGTTTCAGATTTTCACTTTTTTTTTAAATAGCCTACTGTACATAGCCTTATCTACGAATCAAACAGATCCAAAGATTTTCCAGATTTTTGCTTAATGATAACTCCGCACCAAACTGAGGCTTTCATTTTAAAGCTTATAAAACAGGTATACAAATTATTGCAATATTCTATGTAAACAACAAAATTTTTATATGCTAAAGTAGCCTATATTTTACAAAAAGCCAGCATATGTGCCTCGTCAATGTCTTTGATCACACGCAGCGCTGGCACATGAACCACGATTGAAAGAGCAAATAAAAGCACACAAGCTCTAAGGTAAAACCAGACACTCAAGACATGATCTTTAATGACTCGGATTAAAAATGCTGACAGAGGTTTAAATGCATATTTTTAGTGGAGCTATCGATTTGAAGTAGACTACTATTTTTATTTGACGAAAAACAAACGTATGATTAGACAAACAGCATATGCCAGTTCTTAAAAAGGGTTCAGTCAGTGTTTTCATTTTGTAATCTACATTTGTAATTTAAGTAAAAAAAAAAAAAAGTCCTGCCCTAGATATTTCCCGTTCTTTTTATTTAGTTTATTCTTTTTTCTATGCTGTTGGAAACACTGCAGGTGTGTGAAGATGCTCTGTTGTTCTGTATGCTGTTGTTCACATGTTAAAATAAATCAGTATTTTAAAACGCAGTATTCAGTGTGTCAGACACAAAATAGACACGTCAATTTGTTTATTTTTTATTAAATAAGGATTTTATATTAATTTGACCAGTCTGACCTGGAGGGTTGTGGCGGACGAAGGACGAACGTGAAAAGCGGGGGGTTGTGGTGGACGAAAGTGAAGAGGGTTGGGGAGTCGCAGAAGAAAGTGAGCAGCGGACAGGGGAGGAGAGGGATCCATAAAATGAGGTGCCAGTTCAGATTTTAAAGGTGCCGGATTTGGATTTGGTGTGTTCCGACACAAATTAAGCTCACTTTTATGAATATGTATGTTGTTGACTCTAACTATACATCGCTTTGCTTATAATAAACACGCACCTTGATTTCATTCAGAAGACTTTGTCGAACACAGTTGTTTTTAAGTTTTTTGGCACAGAAAAATTTTGCATGATGTACTGCTTTTACAATGTTTTTGGTTTCTTTTTCTGAGTTTTGAACATTTCGGAGCCTGTTACTGTCTATTGAGAATGAGAGAGCTCTGAAATTTCATCAAAAATATCATCATTTTTGTTCTGAATAATTGAAACAACCTAAAGGAGAGTAATTAATGAGAGAATTTTCGTTTTTGGCGTGAACTAACTCTTCAATAGTTTGTGTTAAATATAGTAGCTCAGCATGACTGATTTTGGGGTTTGTTGTAGGATATGGAGAAGTTTGAGAGTGAAGTGAAGGTCCTACATGTGTCTCTGGACCAGGTTCAAGCGACTCTCACGTCTCCTGAACTGGCCCGACTGAGTCTAAAAGAGCAACTTGCTCAAAGACAGGTAAAGTCTGTTCAATTTAATCTTGAATGAGCTGTTTGTGTTTGTAATTCCACACGTATATACAATCAATATTTTTTCATTGCTTTTGTTACTTACATAAAATCATCACATTTTTAGACCAAATTCATACATTTTGCAATTTAGTTTCTCTTTGGAACTGTATCTGACTTCGAGTGTTTTAATGTTTAGTTATTATGCTAAACTCCATTTAAAAAAGAATGCATTATGCTATTGTGGTCATCCCCTCAGAGATCACCTTTCAAAATATGGATATCTCAAATATCAGCTTACTCCTACTTGAGAACTCATCTAAAATGTCTCATGACCAAAATTTACAATTTGTTATTTAGTGTTTGGCATAAAACAGGAAAGTTACACACTTTTTAAGCAAGCAAATGATGAGACCTATGTGACCCTGGACTACAAAACCTTATGTTGCATAGATATATTTGTGGGGGAATAGTATCAGTGCAGCCCGGATAGATCCAAGTGGGAGGGATTACACCGCAATAGACTGGGTAAGGTGGGTGTGAGGCACTTACGATGCAAGTAGGCTGGGTGTAGGGTTAGTGTAAGTGTAGTAGACATTAATAAAACTCAATAGATTACTGTGAGGTTGGGTTTAGGGTTGGGGTAGGTGTAGACGGTAATAAAACAAAACAGGTTACTGTGAGGCTGGGGTAGATAGACGGTTATAAAACACAATTAGTTTGTACTCTGTGTCATGCACAACAGTGATCTCCAACCCCGGGCTGTGAACCAGTACCGGTTTGTGCATTAGTTGGTTCCGGCTGCACTAGAAATCATGAAATATTTCCGTTTTATTTATTATAGTCTGAACGATCTTTTATTTTGAAAAATCTTTTATTTTGGCCATATTCTCTTGCTTACATCTTGGTCACTTGAGCACCAAAATTTAAGCCACAATCACCAAAAGAAGTAAGAGACAGACATCTTTGGAAAGTTTCTTTGGGAAGGGGAAAAGGCCTAGTAAAGGACTCACAGACAAGGAATGGATCTGCAACCCATGTCAACAAATCAGGTGAATCCCCAATGACTGCGCAAAAAAATTAATTGCTGAAGATTGTAAATGATGGCAGCCGTTCACATATCACATCTTTTCCGCATTCGTTATTTTCAATGGAGCTGCGTGGCTTGTGCACGCATATTGAGAACGACACATACAAGTTGCGCGGTGCACCCAGTTGAAAACATCTTCAGAATGCTGTGAGCGCACCGCAAGTCACGTAACAAGAACTGACCGACCAGCTTCATCATTTGTGTGGAATATACACATTTTGGTAGACTAATTATCTCAGAGGTAACGCAGTGGCGCAGTAGGTAGTGCTGTCACCTCACAGCAAGAAGGTCGCTGGTTCGAGCCTCGGCTGGGTGAGTTGGCGTTTCTGTGTGGAGTTTGCATGTTCTCCCTGCGTTCGCATGGGTTTCCTCCAGATGCTCTGGTTTCCCCCACAGTCCAAAGACATGCGTTACAGGTGAATTGTGTAGGCTAAATTGTCCGTAGTGAATGAGTGTAAATGAGTGTGTGTTTCCCAGAGATGGGTTGTGGCTGGAAGGGCATCCGCTGTGAAAACACATTCTGGATAAGTTGGCAGTTCATTCCGCTGTGGCGACCCTGAATTAATAAAGGGACTAAAGCTGCAGTCACACTAGAATTTGAGCATGCGAAATTCTGTCGTACGGCGCTGCGAAAAGGGGCGAATTAAACAAGATTATTAGACGTTTTAAAAAGCGAGCGACTGCTCCATGTTTTACATTTCTGTCCAGAGATGTCATGTTTTGTCCCTCGATTGGTCTCAAGCAGTCAAGTGATGCGATTTCGCAGGTTAGAGTTTACCAAGCTTGAACTTTGCACTGCAGCAACCTCCGAAACTTGACACATGACCCTGCGTTTCCGGTCTGACGCATTCGCGTGCGTATGAATGGAAGTGTATGGGAGGAAAAGCCCAGTGTGACCGCAGCTTAAGCCGAAAAGAAAATGAATGAAAAATTATCTCAGACGGACATTCCAGTGCTTTAAATTTTCTCCGTAAATAAAAGTTTTATCAGCGTTACATCAATGCTTTGTCAGCTTGTCATCTTCTGAGAAAATAGTTCATGTTCGCCTAGCAATTTACATACACCTACCCCCCGGGCCATGGTAAAACTGTCAAGCGTTGACCGGTCCATGATGATGAAAAGGGTGGGGAACACTGATGTACATTCAAAAATGAAAACTCCATGAGGTTTGGACAGCCCATTTGGAGCTCAAGCCCTACCTACTTGGAGCTGACCAGCCCATTTGGAGCTGGCTCTGACCACCGTTTACCTTTCTCAAAAACACATTGTATGGGTCAAAATCATTTAAGGCCTAAAATCATTAGATTATTAAGTATGTTGATGTGTTGTAATTGTCCTACTGTTCATTTTTTAAAACTCAATTTCTAATTAGTGATGTGCATTTCTTAGCGCTTTATTCAGAACATTTTTAAGGCATTTTTTTCTGTATATGGGCTGTTTTTTGAACCTTCAGATTGCAGTTTATCAAGTAGTTGTTTTTTGGCCAAATAAAAATCCCATCCTAACAAAGTATACATCAATAGGAAAGTTATTTATTCACCATTCAGGTGATGTATAAATCATTTATTATGTCAATTAGTCAATTATTATGACTGGTTTTGTGGTCCAGGTTCACATATTGCAGTTTTGGGTCCATTTATTTGTATCCATAAATATATTTAAATTTTATTTTGTACATTTACTTATACATTTAATGTTGGAGTCATAGATCAGGAGTTGAATCATCCAGGTTTTCTCCCTCTCTGCTTTTTTCTAAAAATAAGAAGTAAAATATTGTGTACCTGCTAAAGCATCTGATCTGGTAACAGAAAGATTCTTCTGATCTATTATTGAGTGCCTTCTCTGAACCTGCTTTTTGCTCCATGTATATTTTACCGTGGAAAGGTTTTTGTTCCTACAAAAGGTTTGGATGTTTTTCAGCGTTTGCTGGCAGACATGGAGAGCTTCAAGCAGCAGGTGGAGGCCGTGCAGGAGTGTCAGAGCGCTCTGAGAGTCCCAGAGGAAGTGGTCACCAGTTTGTCCATCTGTCGCACAGCTCTGAATCTGCAGCAGGAGGCCAGTCAGCTGCAGCACACCGCCATCCAGCAGTGCAACATCCTGCAGGTATAAAATAACAAAATAAATAAAAAAATCTAAACAAATGAAAGAAAACCGCTGACCTGCTGGTCTTGACACTGGCATTATACAGTGGGGGAAATAAGTATTGAGCACATCATGTTTTTTTCCTGGATATATTATTGCTAAAGGAGGTGTTGACATGGAATTGAAGCAGATTTTGGTAGAAGCCCAAACAATACAAACATAAAAATAAAATAAAACAAGAGTTCTGTGTTATAACAATGAAATGACTCAAGGAGAAAGAGCCAAACTACCGAAATATATTTAATATTTTATATAAAAGCTTTTCTTATGGTGAAAGCAGCTTAAAGACGACTCTATGGAGAATGAAGTCACATGCATTGCTCAGGTTTTTTTTTTACAGAATTCAAAAATCTTGATGGTTCTGTGGGTCTCATCTATCAAACCTGAGCTTTAATTTTGCATTTTATATTGGATTCAAGTCAGGTGAGTGGCTGGGCCATTCTACATCTTGATTTTATTTCTCTGAAAGCATTTGAGAGTTTCATTGGCTGTGTTTTGGATCATTGTCTTGCTGAAATGTCCACATTGGTTTTATCCTTATCATCCTGCTCATGTAAATGTTGGACTGAAGCAGCTGATTTTCATTTACTCTGAGGAAGGGCAGAGGGTTGCTGAAGAACTGCTGAGAGATTTCAGCTGCTGTCTGGGCTTTCACTGCCTTTCTTCATTTGTTCAATACTTTTTCCTTTGTCATTTCATTTTATTACACAACTTCATTTGTAAACTAATTAGTTTAGTTTTCTTTGCATATATGGATTTCTTCGGTTGTTATCAACGGCACCTTTAAAAAAATGTTTCCTGAGAAAAATGGTCCAATATTTATTTCCCCACTGTATATCCAACTTAATCCTGGTGATGACGGAAATTAAATTAGCTTCTTTCTGATTGTGAAAGCCACCAACACTGTAAAAAATACTGAGTTCCACACAATTTCTTTATTTTGTTCCAACAAGAATCGATTAATTTAAAAAACTAAGCAATTGTGTTGTTTCAGCTCATTTTAAATAAGCAGTTTGAACAAGCAACAAAATGTTGTCATATGCTGACAAAAGACCCTTTCACACATACAGACCTTTCCGGAAAATTGCCGGCAATTTTCCGGAAAGGTTGTATGTGTGAACAGGTCCTTTTTGAAAATACCGGTAAATTCGTTCTGGCTATTTTCCGGAAAGAGAAGTTGTAACATTACCGGCAATTTGCCGGAATGCTGCGCTGTGTGAACGCAAAAAGAAGATTACCGTAATAAGCGCGTGCACGTCTAGAACGTGCTGATGTGAGACGTCTGCTTTAGCCAATTACAACAGTCAGACGCATTTACGTCCGCGCGGTTTGTGAGAATAAAAGCCTTTGAATATTTTTCAAGACACATTTAGCTGCTAGAAGTTAGTCAGATCACGTTTATATGTTCTTCTTAATGCCAACTGTGTAAATAATCATCGATGAGATGCTTATGATAAGCCGTTGTTTGTTTACCTTCAAGCTTTGCGTGTGCCTGTGAGCGCCAGCACACGCACATATTATGAACTTCTCGACATGCAAAAGTGATCCTGCGAAAGTTGTTCACAATATTGATCATCCACAGAGTTTGTAATTTAGGCAAATGTTTACAAATACAAGCGCACTAGCGCAGCCGTTTAAAGCTCATTTGTGGTGAATGATGTCAGAATTTACCGGTATTTTGGAATGGATGTGTGAATGCTCTTTTCCGGAAAATTTCCGTAACGTCCTCGCCTGTGTGAACAGCGCTTTTTTGAATATACCGGTAAAGTCGTTCCGGAAATTTTCCAGATATTTACCGGTATCACTGTGTGAAAGGGACTAAAGTGTACGCACATCACTGGAAAGCATATTTATTTGTATTTCAGATGAGGCATAATTGTGCTAAAAGTGACACATATGACTGGTTTTGTGGTCCAGGATCACAAATGTTTCTCTTACAAGGAAAATCGAGATGTATTAAGAGCATAGGTCTCAAACTCAATTCCTGGAGAGCTGCAGCTCTGCACAGTTTTGCTCCAGCCCTAATAAAACACAGCTGATCCAATCTATCGAGCTGATCTATCTAATGAAGGAGTTTAAGACTACTAGACACTAAAAGGCTGTTTCTCAAGATGCGTTCTTCAACGATCTTGCGTCCTCGTGTTCTCATGTAATGTCATCATCAACTGCCAAAGTTCAGTTCCAATACTCAAGACTGCAAGAACGGAGGACGCGTGAAAGTTCCCGGATGTGTTCTTGATATCAAGAATGCATCGATGCAGACTTGAGCGGAAAAGAACTCCCAGAAGTCATTGCGGCTGAATAAAGGTGGTGGGAAGTGAATCATTTTATATAGATTTATTTTTAAAGTTCAGAGATATAACTTACTTATATCAGGAGTATTGCTAAATGAGACAGTGAAAGTAATTGAGAAAAATGAGAAACAGCCTAGTAGTCTTGAACACCTTTATTAGTTTCACCAGCTGTGTTTGATTAGGGTTGGGGCAAAACTGCAGCCCTCCAGGAATTGAGTTTGAGACCTGTGATTTAGAGCAGGGGTGGTCAAACTCAGGTCTGGAGGGCCAGTGTCCTGCAAAGTTTAGCTCCAACTCTAATAAAACACACCTGCTTATAGATTTCTAGTGCTCTTGAAGACATTGATTAGCATGTTCAGGTGTGTTTGATTAGTGTTGGAGCTAAACTGTGCTGGACACCGGCGCTCCAGGACCGAGTTTGCCCACTTCTGATTTAGAGGGTTATTTTTGAGTAATTATGATAAACTACTTTGCGTACACTATGTACTCTTAAAAGGGGTCAAGTTTTGCTATTTGCATTTGCAATAGTAAAAGGCACTGCAAAAGCTAAAATAACTTCTTCGTCAGGGTTTCCCAGTGCTGTTGCTGGAGATCTACTTACATGCAGACTTCAGCTGCAACCCTGATCAAACACACCTGTCTTTAATGACCAAGGGCTCATTCAGATCCTACTTATGCTGCGGTCACAATAGAGTTTGTGTGTGCGAAATTCTGTTGTACAGCGCTGCGAAAATGGGCAAGATTAAACAAGGCGATTAGACATTTAAAAAAAGCAAGCGATTGGTCCCTGTTTTAAATTTCTGTTCAGAAAGGGCATATTTTGATCTTTGATTGGTCTCACCAGTCATGTGTTGCAATTTAGCAGGTCAGAGTTCACCAAGCTTGAACTTTCCAAAGCAGCGAACTGCAAAACTCGCCACACGGTCTGACGATTCACGAGTTAAACTCTGCAGGGAGGTAGATCTCCAGGAACAACATTACCTATTGGATCACCAATCTCGTTCTTGGAGGTCCAGTGCCCTGCAGGGTTTAGCTCCAACTTGCCTCAACACACCTGCCTGGGTGTTTAAAGCATACCTAGTAAGACCTTGATTAGCTTGTTCAGGTGTGTTTGATTAGGGTTGGAGCTAAAATCTGCAGGAAACCAGACCTCCAGGAACAAGTTTGGTGATCCCTGATCTAGAGCATATGTCACAAACTCGATTCCTGAAGGGCTGTAGCTCTACACAGTTTTGTTCCAACTTGAATCAAACAAACTAATCAAGGTGTTCAAGACTACTCGAAACTTTTAAGCAGGTATGAGTTGGCGGTGATCGGAGCTAAACTAAGCAGAGCTGCAGCCCTCCAGGAATAGAGTTTGAGACCATTGATCTAGAAGCTCTATGAAGTCACTAAGTAGCGTCTTAATTTTGTTTTTAAATGTAAAGCTGTCTGAAAGAGATAGGGTTAGGGTTTGTTAATTGTATTTAACTTGTCATGAAATAAACATGTATGTATGTTTGTTTGATGTCTGTTTTAGGAGGCTGTGGTACAGTATGAACAATACGAACAGGAAGTGAAAAACCTGCAAGTTATGATTGAAGATGCTCATCGGGTCATTCAGGACCAACCTGTGAACACCAGCAACATCCAAGAGCTGCAGGCACAAATTAACCATCACGAGGTGCAGACTTGTTTTAGTATTATTTATATATTAAAATTAATTATTAGCTTATTAGTTATTTTATTATAAATCTCATTAGTTTTCTTTCAAATGATTAAATGGTATTAGTTGAAATGATACATTCCTAAACTATAATAAACATTACATTTTACTTTTTTTTGTTATTTTGCAAAGTACTTTTATATATATTATTTCAGTTATTATAAAAAAATTGTTTTCCTATTCAGTCAGTTTTTATTGTTGTTATTTATTTTTAAAACTTATTATTTTTATTATTATTATTATTATTTATTTAAAGATTTTTTTAAAATATTTTTTGTTTTTTCCAGCTTTTTCCATATTTATTATTTTAGATAACTATAACAGCATTATAGTTAATAGCAATATAAAGTAATAGCAATAGCTAAAAACTGAAGGCACAAATGAACCATCATGAGATGCAGTCTGCAGTATTTACTAATATTTAATAATTTTAATTTAGTCAATTTTATTATTAGTTTTGTTTTTAAGTTTTTTGTATATACCTTTAATGTCTACTTTAGTTTTTGTTTTATTGTATTGCCATTTTAGTATTTGATCAAAAAATTAGAGATGCTGTTTTTGTAAAATGTTTAACTTCATTTTAACTTTGATTTTGTTATTTTTAATGAATGACTTTGAGGTTTTTATTAGTCCTAGTTTAAGTGATGTATATTTAGCTCAGGGATGCCACTCTGTCAGCTGGTTTTGTTTTTGTTGACTATTAATAGACATTATTTCAGTTATTATAAAACTTTTAGTTTTCCTCTTCAGTCAGATTTTATTGTTGTTATTTATTTTTAAAACTTGTATTTATTTTAAGATTTTTTGTAATATTTTTCTTTTTTGCAGCTTTTTTCCCATGTCTATTATTAGATAACTAAAATAGCATTGAGGCGACTTACATTTGGCTTAGAACTGAAGGCACAAATGAACCATCATGAGATGCAGTCTGCAGTATTTACTAATATTTAATAATTTTACTTTAGTCAATTTTATTATTAGTTTTGTTTTTATGTATTTTGTATATACCTTTAATGTCTACTTTAGTTTTTGTTTTATTGTATTGCCTTTTTAGTATTTGAACAAACAATTAGAGATGCTGTTTTTGTAAATAGCTGAAATAAGTAAAACATTTAGTTATAAAATGTATGTCTTTATTTTAGCTTTGATTTTGTTATTTTTAATGAATGACTTTGAGGTTTTCATTAGTCCTAGTTTTAGTGATGTATATTTAGCTCAGGGATGCCACTCTGTCAGCTGATTTCGTTTTTGTTGACTATTATTATTTCAGTTATTATAAAACTTTTAGTTTTCCTCTTCAGTCAAATTTTATTGTTGTTATTTATTTTTAAAACTTGTATTTATTTAAAGATTTTTTGTAATATTTTTTCCATATATATTCTTAGATAACTATAAAAGCATTGAGGTGACTTACATGTGGCTCAGAACTAAAGGCACAAATGAACCATCATGAGATGCAGTCTGCAGTATTTACTAATATTTAATAATTTTACTTTAGTCAGTTTTATTATTAGTTTTGTTTTTAACAATTAAAATGTACAACAGATTTGATTTTTTTTTTTAATGAATGATTTTTAGGTTTTCATTAACCCTAGTTTTAGCTCAGGGATGCCACACTGTCAGCTGATTTTTGTTTTTGTTGAACTTATTTTATTTATTTTTTTGCATCGCCAGCTGAATCACATCTAAACCACCAGCTAAATCTGTCATTTGTGTTTGTATTTATCTCACCAGGAACTGGCTCAGAAAATCAAGGGCTACCAGGAGCAGATCGCGTCCCTAAACTCCAAGTGTAAGATGCTGACGGTGAAAGCCAAACACGCCACCACACTCCTGACAGTGAGTGAAGCAGAGGGACTAACCGAGAGTCTGGAGGAGCTGGATGGTGAACTCATTAAAAGAAAATCACAAGCGCAAGTCTCTGTAAGTAACCTGACACCTGCATAAAAGGGATAATTGTGTAAAAAAGCAGACTGTTGTGTGAATATATAGAAATATGTAGAATTATTAAATATCATTTTTACATGAAAAGCAAATTAAATCAAACTTTTTAGGTTCATTATTTACTCATTTGTTTCAAGTATACATGTTTAACAAACTCTTACCAAAAAATAAAACACAAAATAGCATTCATTGTTGGCGCCAATAGCCTATAGTGGTTAAGTGCGGCAACAAATAGCACCAAGGTGCTGGTGGCGACCTGAGTTCGAGTCTTTGCTCTAGGTCCTCTAGGTCTTATGTCGATCCTTAAGCATCTCTCTGATTCCAGTGATTTCCTGTCTGCCCTCCACTATCCTATCACAATAAAAAGGTGAAAAGCCCCTAAAAAAATTATTAAAAAAAAGAAAAAGTTCAATAATTCAAGCTGAATTACAGATGTTAATGGAACTATACATAAATAAACTAAACAATGTGTATGTAAATGTTTACTTACAAACTATTTTTAAAAATACATATATACAAATAATAATAATAATAATAAATAGAGATGAAACATTGACAGGGGATTATTTATTATGGTCAACATAATCAATGAACAGGTGTTTTATCTTATAGAATTGTTTTTCTGATTTTCTCAGGGGCCGATCACACCGAATGCGCTTTATGGGTTGAAAGGCACAACTTTTGTATGGTTAACTAACATATTCGAGTGTTTTGCACACTGGTTATGCGCCCTACATACCACACGTTATACAATAACCACCTGCTGCGCAGTTGACAAAAGTCAACTCTGAGTGGAAAATGCATGTTACGTCACCCGCTTCTTTTTTATTCTCCAATCAAATAAAAGCAGAGGCGGGGTTTCCGTCGAGGACCCTGCAGTGTTTATGTTGTCAAGACGACTACAGAGACTTTTGAAGATAGGGGCAAAGAGCATCACCAAGAGGTGACACTCTAGTGCGATTTGGGAAACAGTCACTAGATGGCGAGGTGGTCATTTTTTAATGAAAACTCCAATAGAACAACAGCATATTATAAGTCTGTAAAATAAACTATTGAAAGTGATTGTGATGGTAAGTGTTGTATTGTCGTCTTTCAGGTTGTATCTCAGCTTTAATGCGCTTTTTAAATAAATAAATTAAAAACAAAGCAGCTGCTTGCCATCGCGACAGCAATAAGATCCAATAGACAGTCGATCGCTTTCACTCCAAAATGGCAGAATCCGGGGCTGTTGCTGGGCACTGCTGTTGCAATGGAACTTTCTATTGAGTGTCGCCTCTTGGTCATTCTAAGCTCTTTGATAGAGGAGAGACTAGTGGTTGCTGTTTTGAGTTATCTGGAGCTGTATGCACAATACGCAGCTGATTCAGTCGTTGCCTAGCAAGATAAAAAGCGTGAACAGAAAAGCGTATTCGGTGTGTGCAGCCCCTACAAGAAGGGATTGAGCTTTTTAAAATCAATCAATCAATCAATCAATCAATCAATCAATCAATCAATCAATCAATCAATCAATCAATCAATCAATCAATCAATCAATCAATCAATCAATCAATCAACTATTTAAATGTATTAACAGAATGTATTAATTTATTTAATTAATTAATTAGTTTATTTATTTGTAAAATAAATAAAAGTTGTTCTTTCATCTTTGCATTTTACGTTTAAATGAGTAGTTATAATAGTATATCCACTGAGTAGCTGACTCTGTGTAAATACAAAATATATATTGTAAAAAAACATTTTTTTTATTATTTTATACATTAATTTTACCAAACATATGCTTAAAGGCACAATGTGTCATTTTCACCACCAGAGGGTGTGTATTCACAACAAACAAAGGCATAGGCTGCATCCAAAATTGCCTACTACACAGTAGGTACTACATTTGAATTTAAAGATACTACTCGACCATTAGATCAGTACATTCTATACAGTATAAATTGGAGCAATATGAATGGAACTCGAACGTACTAAATTCTCCATTTGTCATCACGTGACCTACCCCTGTTAGTTGCATGGCTTCAGCCCCATTTATGAATTCTCTCACTGTGCATCATGGGAGAGCGTAGTGTGCTTTGGAATCGCACTTCAGGAATCTTGCCAGAAGTAGTAAGTCATCCAGATACTTCTCGCATTCTGTTTTTCGAATTCTACGAATTAGGACATACTTCTCAGCTCACACTAGTGTACTATATAGTATCGACGTATGCGATTTTGGATGCAACCATAGTTTGATGACAATGTGACTGAATGTGGAATCATGGGAGTTGAGGTTTTTGGACATTTTGATTGATAAATCATACATATTCTGACTTTACCATGAGATAAATCTCTGAATATATACCTTCAAAACAAATTTTACATTATCTTGCACTTTCATTCGTCAATACATGTACAGTTGAAGTCAAAATTATTTGCCTTCCTGTGAATTTTTCTTTCTTGTTTTTCAATGATTTTTTACAGTATTTCCTGTAATATTTTTTTCTTCTGGAGAACGTATTTGATTTATTTCAGCTAGAATAAAAGCAGTATTACATTTTTTTTAAAGCCATTTTAAGGTCAATATTATTAGCCCCCTCAAGCAATATTTTTCTACAGTTCAATTCAATTCAATTCAGCTTTATTTGTATAACGCTTTTACAATGTAGATTGTGTCAAAGCAGCTTCACATAAATGGTCATAGAAACTGGAACAGTGTAGTTCAGTTTTTAGTGTTTAAGTTCAGTTCAGTTTAGCTCAGTTCAGTGTGATTTAAAATCCTTACTGAGAGTTCAAACACTAAAGAGCCAGTTCATCGATGCGTAGCTCTACCAATCCTGAACCATGCGAGCCAGTGGCGACAGCGGAGAGGGAAAAAAGACTTCACCTGATGGGAGTGAAGAAAAAAATCTTGAGAGAAACCAGACTCAGTTGGGCTCGACCATTTTAATTTCTCCGCTGGCCAAAAGTCTTGTGCAGAGCTTCAGTCACCGTGGTGGAGGCTGGAAGCTGGCCTCAGCGAAGACTCGTCTGTCCCTGGAGCCTCGCTGGAATCAGACTCATGTTCTCCACTCCCCACGACCATCAGCGCAGCAGCAGCTCAGGATATGGTCTGGTCCCGGATATGGAAACCTTGGGATCATCTCGTCGCTGGTCTTGGATCCAATCAGTGACTCTGTATAATCTGAGGACCTCAGGATGAGTATTCCCAGGTGAAAATAGAGAATAAAGAGAATAATTAGCGTAGCTGCTGTTCATAGTGTATATAAGCAAGATGCAGAAGCCTGTGTGGAACCCGCTGGGTGATGCACTGAGTGTATGCTTTACTAAACAGATAGGTCTTTAATCTAGTCTTGAACTGGGAGAGTGTGTCTGAGCCTCGGACGTTATCAGGAAGGCTATCTCAGAGTGTAGGAGCTATAAAGGAGAAGGCTTGACCTCTTTTACTCGATTTTGCTATTCTAGGGGCTACCAGAAGCTCTGAGTTTTGAGATCTTAAAGAGCAAGCTGGATTGTAGCGAGACAGAAGGTTGCTTAGATAAACAGGAGCTAGATTATTTAGAGCTTTATAGGTGAGAAGTAATATTTTAAATTCAATACAGATCAAACCCTTGTTATACAATGACTTGCCTAATTGCCCTAACTTGCCTAGTTAGCCTAATTAACCTAGTTAAACCCTTAAGTTACACTTTAGGCTGAATACTAATATCTAGTAAAATATTATGTACTGTCCTCATGGCAAGGATAAAATAAATCAGTTATTAGAATTGAGTTGTTAAATCTATTATGTTTAGAAATGTGTTGAAAAAAATCTTCTTTCCATTAAACAGAAAAGAGGGGAAATATATACAAAGGGTCTAATAATTTAGTTGGGATAATAATTCTGACTTTAACTCTATGTGGTTTATTGACTGCCCATGTAAAACTGTGATCTTTGCATTTGATATTCAGCTGTTGATCTGAGTGAAGTGATTGACTAATATGATCAATATCCTCATGTGTGCTGCGCTCAGATGTCTGCTGGCCGCAGTCAGTCTCTCCTGTCTCCTGTGACCGAGGAGTCTGGAGAGGAGGGCGCCAGTGAGATCTGCTCTCCTGCTTTCTGTCCATCTCCTTCTAGCACTAACACTGAAGCTGTCATTAGCAAGGTATCAGCACTTCAACTTGTTTCTTGCACACTTTTACTTTACTGCCTTCCTGCAAAAATCATTATCACCTTAATTTCTGGAGTGAAATGCTGCTGCCTGCTGCATAGCTAACACTCTATCCTTCTTCATTTTTGATGCAAGAGCTTTCATAGCTTGAACTAACTGGTCAAAACTTGTATTTGTTATCATATTAGTTTGTTTAATTTTATAATCGAATGGTATATATAGAATCGAAAATCTTGCACATTTACAGATATAGTTTACTGTTGTTTTAGGATATTTAGTATTATAGTACTATTTTGTGTTAAATATAATTAAGAATGTGTATATTTTAAAATAATGTGCTAGTTCAGGGGTTTCTTTTTTGAGCCTGCAACCTCCAAAATAACAATGCCAGAGACTCGCAACCCCTAATATCCTCTGAGATGGTTATAAATATACAAACCTTGCATGCACACCAATAGGCTCAAGTCTTCATTTAGTTTTGGAGAACACCACTCGGAGATCATCCTGCATGCTTAGTTTTTTTATTATCATTATTATTATTATTATTATTATTATTATTATTATGTGAGTGCTGCAAAGGTGTCAGAAAGTTTAATCTGGTGCCATGAAATCAATCTGCTGCTTTTGACCCTATTGCTGTGTTTTTAATCTAACGCCATGACCCTAGGGGTCGCAATCCAATGGAAAAAAAATTTACATGTTGTTAATTTATGTAATTTTTAATTGACATTAACTTCTGTGAGTTATGGATAAAATGTGGCCATATTAATAGTTTAATAAAATTAATTTCATTAAAACTTTTTTTAAAAACCTTTAGGATTCCTGACCCCCACTTTGGGAACCACTGTGCTAGATCACTTAAAATCACTTTAATTAAAATCTTTATCCAAACCAATAAAATAAAAGAGTACATATTTCACCATTTTAACTGTTTTATCAGACGAGGAACCATCAACTGTATCATTCAACCATTAATTGTAGCTTAATTTACATGAAATATAATTGATTTTTTTTTTTTTTCATTCATAAAGGTTAAAAAGTCTTGGAATAACTCTTAGTAGCAGCCAATTTTTTAATTTTTTATTTTTTTGATGAGCATTTCAGTCAGTAGTCGACGCAGTGGTGCAGTAGGTAGTGCTGTCGCCTCACAGCAAGAAGGTCGCTGGTTCGAACCTCGGCTTAGTTGCCGTTTTTGTATGGAGTTTGCATGTTCTCCCTGCGTTCGCATGGGTTTCCTCCGGGTGCTCCGATTTCTCCCAAAGACATGCGGTACAAGTGAATTGGGTAGGCTAAATTGTCTGTAGTGTATGAGTGTAATTGAGGGTTTGTGGATGTTTCCCAGAGATGGGTTGCAGCTGGAAGGGCATCCACTGTGTTAAAACGTGCTGGATAAGTTGGCGGTTCATTCCGCTGTGGCGACCCCGGATTAATAAAGGGACTAAGCCGACAAGACAATGAATAAATGAATTTTAGTCAGTGCTCTATAAAAGGGTTAAATATAAATATAAATGATAGTTTGAATAATATTATAAACTTATATTTAATTCTGTTTTACATAATCTCTATTTAATTTTTAAGTCAATTTTAATTATTTCAGCGCTTCAGCTTATTTATTTCAGTTCTGTTAATTAAGCATTTTATGGATTAAATATTTATTACCTAAAATGTATTAATTATTCATAATTCGTCTAATTTCACATTTGCAATATTAGTATTTGATATTTCTATTTGGGTATCTGATTTTTAAATATCTGTTTTTCTAGTTAAATTGTAGGGGTGTAACGGTTCACAAAAGTCACGGTTCGGTTCGATACGACACAATGATGTCATGGTTCGATATGTTTTCGATACAGCAAAAAAAGAAAAAAGCCAGAGGATTTCTCTGATTTTAATTTACCGGCCCTATTATTAGTTTACAATAATAACTGTGCTGTTCTCACAGGTGCTGTCTGATATTGCACAGATGATATTGACATATAACTTATTATTTGCAAACGCCATATTAATAGCAGTAACGGTCTTTTCATGACCTGCAATATTAGTTTAATCTCAGTGAATGCATGCTCTTTAGTGATTGTAAATGCGGTATCAGTCGCACGATTTACAGCATCGTGACAATTAAATGAAGGATTAAATAACGTTAGAACATCTTGTGCTTAAAATGTGTAGATTCAGTGGCAAACACTGTTCCCTGAAAACTCTGTCCCACCGGCTTTACGGTGAATGTTTTAGTCATTTTCATAGCGGGCTTTAAACACTGGAGGTATTTTATCCACTCTTTAAAAAGTGTAAATGCTGAATTGACATTTATTACATGATCACTAATCAGACATGCCATTATTTGTAACTTTAGGTGGTTTCTAAAACTAAATCTGTCAGTGTTTTTTTCATTCTCTCGTATCCAGACCTTCATGTTTTCGTGGCTGTAGCTCCCTGTCATTGGAACTAAGTGATTGACCGCTGATATGAACCAATCCATTCGCATTCTGTTCTAGTGCAGTGGGTTAATAAGAGAACTTGAAGGTGGGGCAAGCATTGTGGGCTTTGTTTTCTGCAGTTTCCTGAGAGCTGAGAGATGCTTAATACGTGAACGCCTCCTAATTCCGTGCATGTGGTGAACATTTTACTGTGAAAATTGGTCGCACAACATCAAGTTTATGCACTCCCAAATATATTTTGACGTTGCGTTTCAACCGCATATACGACCAAAACGGTCGCAATTTCGAGCCCTATCTCATGTCTAGAGCTATAAATGTGCTGAAACCAAAGTGTTCCCAAACGCAAGACCCGCTGTTAGTTATAGGATTACATTAACGTTATAGCCATTTTGCAAGCTAGTGCAGCGTGTGCCTGACTGGAGTAGTGTTTTGGAGGTGGGAGGGGAAGGCAGCATGTTGCCTGTCACGTCATTTGGGATGCCTTGAGCATTGTTGCACTGAAAACATTATATTTTGTACTCTTATTCTCTTTTATCTTTTTAGATATTAGTCTGAATTTTACGGTTTGTAATGCGTACTGAACCGAAAGTCTCGTACTGAACAGTTACGAACAGAATATGAATATGTGTATCGTTACACCCTTACTAAATTGTCATCTTATATTTTATAATTGTCTTTTTTTCTTGATTATTTCTTTTTAAATAACATTAACAATAACAACATTGTCCTAAATGTAGATGTCCATGGGAAGGTCAAGTCTCACCAGAGCGCCGGTCCAGGAGCTGTACAATCCTGCACTGGAGTCTGTGGCCAGTTTAGATGATCTCCAGCGCTCATGGGAGACCCTGAAAAATGTGGTATGTTGATCTCATTAAAAATAAATTTTTGATTTGAGGTATTTGACTATTTTAAAGGGGACCTATTATGCTCCTTTTTACAAGATGAAGTCTCTGATGTGCCTGGCATGTGTATGTGTTTCGGCTCAAAATATTTCACAAATATTGTTTTATAACTCTTTGAAACTGCTCCCTTTACGCCCCATTCACACGGGGCTTCAGCGTCATCGCTTGACTGAAGGCGTGTCTGGAGTTGGGGCTAACGCAATCGTCATAGTAGTGTCAACCAATAAAATTCATTCAGCAATAGGTCACTGTCTAGCTGTTGTATTTGCATACAGCGATCTGATTGGCTTACGCTTCCATCGGCGCTTAAAAAGTTTAGCTAGTCCCAACTTCTGCAGCGAGCAATGCCTCTGAATCGGCGCCGACGGATCCACAATTTAGTACGGCAACGCCTGACGTCACCCATTCAAAGTGAATGGGAAGCATTGACGCTGACGCCCCGTGTAAATGGGGAGTTACGCCTGTTTCACACCGCAAGCGTCAGTGGCGCGTGAGCAGAGCGTCCATGTTAACAGATTAGAGCTTTCATACCGCACGCAGCAGCAGCGCGTCAGAGCGAGGCGTGAGCGTCGGCGCTGGGTCTATTTTTGACGCGCTGCTCACGCTCAATTAAAGTGACAGTGCATTGATAATGACCAAAACACAATGAATGACAGTAAAAAGTCGCAATTTTACCCAATAAATGTGTTAATAATGTCAAATGGTTTATATATAGTCATTCAAATGAACTTAAAACGATTAAAAACGGCAACAAACATTTATTTAGGCCCAAACTACAAAACCAAATGTAAAACAATTTTAGTATCAGTTTTGCTTAAGTTGCACACTAGTGTTGTAGGAGAGGGGAAATAGAATATTTACGGGATTTTCAGTCCATAGCGAAGTGTATTGTGGGTAGTGTAGTTCGACACGCATGCTGGATGATGTGAGCTCGCTGTGTTCTGTGCAGCTGAGCAGAGCAAGAAAGTTTTATTCGGCTTTGCTTTCTGTTCACTCGAGTTATTCCTACCGGGAACTGTTTGCACTGTGAATCTGACAACACGAAAATAAGTAAAAGAATGGCATGCATTGGTTACTTTTGTCCGTCTCATCATCTGCACGAGCATGAATTAACGAGCTGTTATTCTGCCGCTGGACATCACTGAAGCGGAGAAAGTAACACTAGTTTGATCATGTATAAATATCATTATAAGTATATTGTATAAATATTATTATAACTAGGTCTACAGCAACCTGATAATCAAAAAACAAATGACACGATATCACAGGCGATTGTCTTCTGACTGTAGACACTTTTCATATAAGTTAGCTTGAGAAGCATACAGTACTATTTAATTATAAAATTTGTAAAATAAACATTTGCAGGTTAAAGAAACAGCATAGGAGGGGCCTTGGTGCAGATGAAAAGTTTAAAAAGTGTATTTGTATATAGAAAGACATGGGTAACTAAATAGAATAGACAGAGATAGGTTAATCTCTGCAGCAGCTGCCGAAGAGCTGCGCGCTGCAGACGCAGCTGGTGTGAAAGGCAAACGCCTGCGTGCTGCTACTGCTCGACATACGCGCCGCTGACGCTTGCGGTGTGAAACAGGCGTTAGGCTTTGATCTTAATTGTGCTGTTTTGGTGACTGTCGCTTTAAATTCTAATGAGATTGTGCTCTTTTCAAAAGAGGGCGGAGCTACAAATGCCTGTCAGCATAGTGGCAGATTCAAAAACAAGACTAATGTCTTATGTTAGTCTTTCCCACATATGTTGACACATACAAAGTGAGAATGTCAATCAAAGTGTTTCTTCAGACTTTTTTTATCAAGTGTGATTATAAAAAATAAAATTAATAAACTTTAACCATTAGACACGTGTTATATTCACTGACAGTTTTATGTTCAATCCACTTGAATTTATAAAAACTTAAGTCAACTTAGTCAACTTAATTTCTTCATGTTTCCCTAACACACAAATCGATTGTGTGGAATCCAGCATTTTTTTTTACAGTGTAAGATTATTTGACTCTATTTGTGTTTTACAGATAAGTGAAAAGCAGAAGACGCTCTACGAGGCTCTGGAGAAGCAGCAGCGCTATCAAGGCTCTCTCCAGTCCATCTCCAGTAAAATGGAGTCAATCGAGACCAGATTAAATGAGCCACCAATGCACGATCTCAGTCCTGACAGACAAATGATCCTACATCAGGTGAGCATGTTATAGTAGAATTAACTTTTGTTTCAGTTGTAGACTGTATATAAATCTTATGTAGCGAGGCAGAGGGAAAACACATACACAGTTGCGTTGGTTACAGATAAGTCCCCGGAGGGTGCTTTATTTACAAAGTAACAAAATGGTGAAATACGGTGCTCTTCTTAGTCTTGGTGCTCTGGTGCTCCGGGGAGAAGGTGAGGGATAGTGAGAAGTCGGGTGCTGGATCGTCACAAGCTGGAGTCCACTGTGGGAGAGACAGAGAGACACAAGCATTAGTGCAGGGAGTCATCTAAGAATGAAGCTCGTCTTCCTCTTGTGTGGGGCTGGCTTATATGCCTCCCTGGCTGATGATGTCCAGCTGTGAACGATCCGGTGTTGATGAGGGTCCAGCTGGGGTGGATTTGGGACCAGGGCGACGTGGCATGAGTGTGCTCGCTACATTTATGTACAGTTGAAGTCAAAATTATTAGCCCTCTTGAATTATTAGCCCCCTTTATATTTTTCCCCCCAATTTCTGTTTAACAGAGAGAAGAGTTTTTTCAACACATTTCTAAACGTAATAGTTTTAATAACTCATTTCTAATAACTGATTTATTTTATCTCTGCCATGATGGCAGTACATAATACTTTACTAGATATTTTTCAAGACACTAGTAATGTGCTTAAAGTGATATTTAAAGGCTTAACTAGGTTAATTAGGCAAGTTAGGATAATTAGGCATTTATATATTGTAGCGAGGCAGATAGAAAAGACATACACAAAGGCGTTGTGTTACAAGCAGGTCCATGGAGGGTGATTTATTTACAGTGTGCCAAAAGTGAAACAAGATGAATACGGTGCTTTTCTAGGGGTAGGTGCTCTGGTGCTCTGGGGAGAAGGTGAGGTTGAGTGAGAGTTCGGGTGTTGGATCGGTCAGCTGCTGGAGTCTGCTGTGTAAGAGAGACAAAGAGACACGTGTTAGCGCAGGGAGTCATGTAGAGAAATGAAGCTAGTCTTCCTTGTGTGCGGGGCTGGCTTATATGTGTCGCCTCTGATGAGCTCCAGCTGTGACCGATCCGTGCTGATTTGGTGCCAGCTGGGGTGAATCCTTGACCAAGGCGACGTGGCATCGGTTTACTCGCTACAATAAAATAAACACGCCTTTTATTCTAGCCGAAATAAAACAAATAAGAATTTCTCCAGAAGAAAATACTCTGAAAAACTCCTTGCTCTGTTAAACATCATTCGGGAAATATTTGAAAAATTCACAGGGGGGATAATAATTTTGACTTTACCTGTAAATGACTTTATATGAATAACAAAATGCTGTCATAATCCTTCAGAATCAGATGGAAGAGATCATCAGACTGCAGGATGATATCCATGAGCTCCAGTCGAGCTTTACTGAAGAGCTCTACAATCCTGATTCTGTGGATTCAGACTCTGCCGATCAGCTGGCCATGCAGTCCTCGCTCACTGTGCTGGCGGAGAGAATGGCCACCATACACATGAAGGCTTCTGGAAAACGGCAAATTCTTGAGGTATACCTACAATAATCATTTAATTAAATATATGTTATGTTATATATTAGAACACTTTTAAATAAACCTGTTGGGAAAACCTCTGTTTCATTTGCCCAATCAAAAATACAGTAAAAATAGTAATATTATGAAAAAAATTATTTGAATTTAAAAATACTTTTTTCTAGTATAATAGAATATATATAAGATCATTTTAATATACTATATATATTAGATATTTTTTGCTCAGCAAGACTGCATTTATTTGATTAAAAAGTACTACAGTAATGTTAATAATAATGGTGTACATTTTTTCTATCTTCATATCTATATACATTTATTTTTGTTTATATTATAGAACACATTTATACAAGGGTTTTACAAACATGTTAGAAAAATATACAGATTTTTTTGCTCAGAGAGGCTGCATTTATTCAATCACAAATACAGTAAGAATATTACTATTGTAATAAAATTAAAATAAAATTATTGGAATTTATTAGAACGTTTTTTTCTATCTTTATATATTTTAAAATATAAGTTATCTCTGTGATACCAAGATACATTTTGATCAGGGGTCACCACAGCGGAATGAACCAATTTAGTTTATTCAATTCACCTATAGCGCATGTCTTTGGAATTTAAAACTGGAGCACCAGGAGGAAACAACAACACAGGAAGAAAATGAAAACTCCAGGCAGAAGTGCCAACTGGCCTAGCCGGGACTCGAACTAGTGACCTTCTTGCTGGGAGGTGACAGTGCTAACCACTGAGCCACCATGCCGTCCATATCATTTTTATCTTTTTATTTATTTATTATTTATTTATTCATTTTCTTTTTAGCTTAGTCCCTTTATTAATCAGGGTTCGCCACAGCGGAATGAACCACCAACTTATCCAGCACATGTTTTACGCAGCGGATCCCCTTCCAGCTGCAAATCATCACTGGGAAACACCCATACACTCTCATTCACAATCATACACTGCGGACAATTTAGCCTACCCAAGTCATCTATAGCGCATGTTTTTAGACTTGTGGGAGAAACCAGAGCACCCGGAGGAAACTCACGCCAACACGGGGAGAACATGCAAACAGTCAAGGCCCGAACCAACAACCTTCTTGCTGTGAGGCGACAGCTCTATCCACTGCGCCACCGCGCCGCCCCATGTTATTATTATTTTATTTAATTTTCAGAAAATTATGTTCGGTAAAATTTTTTATTTATTTTTTTTGCTTTAAAAGTTTAATTTGTTGCAGAAAATCAGTGTTATTCCACTTCATCTGGCATTAAAAACTTGGTTTTGTGTTGCCAAAAATGATACAAACAAAACATGTTTTGTTATCATGACCAATTGCGTTTTTTTCCCAACATTTTTATATTATATTTATAAGAAGCGTCATCATTAGTTAAATAAATATGTGCATACAGTAAATATACTGCGTAAACAATATGATGAGGTATGTGTTTATGCAACAATAATAACAGAAGGAAAGGCCAACATTATAATCTAAATCTTTTTTAATAAAAATTTTTGACATTTTCACTTATTTTATAGTCTGCAAAATGCTTCAACTTAGTAGATGTTTACCGATGTGTATTTGATTGTGTGCAGGAGCGTCAGAGTGAGCGTGTGGAAAAGCAGCAGCAGGCGCAGGCTTTACAGCACTACCTCAACCAGGCAGACCAGCTCGACCAATGGCTGAAGAGCACTCACGGTTACATCACTTCCTGCTCTCAGGACTCAGATGCAGAAGAACAACTCACAGACTGTCAGGTTAGAGCGCCACCAACAGCCCATTACAAAAGCATTTAATATTAACTCATGAAATACACACCTGCTTTTGGTTTTTCTTGTTTTCAATGAATAAGTTTTGACTTTAAGTATTTTAATCTTGAAGTTTTTTTTTTTCGCATTGTGACAGTTCCTAGGGAAACAGAATACTAAATGAGAAAGCAGTGGGCGTGGCTTGTTTTATCTACTGCGAGCTGATTGGATGTAGTAAAGTATGCATTTCATTCAGAAAGATCACGAAAAGGGTTTTGGGAGAGTTATTTCAACCTAATAAACTCCTCCTCCTCACCATTTCTGTTGGTTGTCAAAACTGACAGCTGGAGGGGCGTGGTTAAGTATGTTAGCCACGCCCAATACCTCAGACGGACCTAATCTGAGAATTTAACTGAAAACAAACAGGAAGTGCATTTTCAGATTTTAATTCTAGATTACCAAGCAATTTTTTTTCTTCTTAATGACATGGACAGATGAAAGGTTCACCACAAATCTAGCAATGTGAGCTAACAAAATCAGTATTGTCAGTTTTGATTTCGTGTGTACTTTAGCTCCTCCCAGAAAGCAGGAAACTTTTATCTGTAAACAGCAGCTTTAAAAGGCCTCTGAGATGGCTTGTTTCTTAAGCATCTGTGGCACGAGCTGTAATCAGATTATGCAAATATCCCAGCGTAACGGCTTTGAGGATATTAGAGGATTCCTGCAAGACAATTGGTGCAGTTGCTAATAATCTGCTCTGCCCACTTAATTACATATTCATGAGGGATTATTGCTGCATTGGTGGGGGCAGAAGGGGGCGGAGCTTACATTTCCTTCACCAGAGAGTCACAAACTGGCAGATTTCCCTCTACAAAACACCTTGATTTTTTTCTAGACATTCATTTCTCATGTGATTATCTTTTTTTTAAGTGTCATTCCTGCAGTTATCAATAGAATGCATGCTTACTGTGAGCATGGCACGTGAGGGATTATGGATAATGGATGATAATGGTGTGGGCCTGGGATGAGAATCATGTACGAGCTGGCCTCGCTTCTGTTGCTCCTGCAGAACATGCTGCTGGAGATGGAGGAGAAGGTGCTGGCTCTCTCCGAGCTGTCCCGGCACAGCGAGAGTCTCCTGCTGGAGGGCCGGCCCGAGAACAGGGAGGACGCCGAGCAGCTGGCCCGGAAACTGCGCACGCTGAAGGGGAGCCTGCTGGAGCTGCAGAGGATGCTGCAAGACAAGCAGATCAACCTGCAGGTCAGACTTTCAATGAAAGAACTTTGAGCAGTTCAGGTGAAGTTAAGAATGAAGCTTTTAAAAAGAGCTGGTGCTGTGGCATGGTCTTAGCATAAGTATAAGTATAGTATAGTACAGTGGTTCTCAACTGGTTTGGCCATGGGACCCACATTTTTACATGGTCATCAAGCTGCGACCCAAATTTTTAGGAACTATAATATAATTTTAGGAATTATAATTAATTTGTGTTTATTTGTTTACATACACAAGTAGTGACAGATAAATCATAAGAAAATCACCAAGACTTACAAATAAACAATAGTTTAATTCAATTCAATTCAATACAGCTTTATTTGTATAGCGCTTTTACAATGTAGCAGGGGCGGCTTGGGACTAAAAATCAGCCCTGGCAATGTAGCCACACCAGCCCACATTACCACATCGACACAGCCCAATGTACGGGCATGCACATTCACTACTTATATTGGTGTACAGATGGTGAAATAATATAAGCAGTACTATAATAGATAGTTAAACATTTAATGTATGTGACTGGAACAGAAACAACCCATTTAAAACAAATTTATACATGCAATCATTTCATTCATTCATTTTCTTTTTGGCCTGGTCCCTTTATTAATCTGGGATCGCCACAGCGGAATGAACCGCCAACTTATCCAGCATATGTTTCGTGCATTGGATACCCTCCAAGCTGAAACCTATCACTGGGAAACCCCTATACACATACACGCACTACAGACAGTTAGGCCTCCCCAATTCACCTATAGCACATAAGTTTGGACTTGTGAGGGAAACCGGGAGAAAACCCACGCGAACATGCAAACTCCACACAGAAACAACAACTGACCCAGCCGAGGCTCGAATCATCGACCTTTTTGCTGTAAGGCGACAGTGCCCTTTTAAGACTATTTCAGTTATATTTATGCATTTGGCAGAGTCTGATTTTAGAGCAATTTTTAACTTTCTCTGAGCTTTTCGGCACCGCCTTCCCTTTTTTACGGTCAACCTCTGACAGTTAGCTTGTGTTGCACTTACTGTTTGTTTGACATTCTTGCCAGATTTTAACTACGCCCACCTAACCTCTAATTGGGTCGGCCCATCAGAAAACCAGTCGGCCATTGCCAATTGGGCCAATGCTTAACATTTATTATTATTATTACTATCATCATCATCATCATCATCATAATATTCACATCTTGCAAGAGATAAAAGCTACCTGCATGTAAAAACAATACATATTTAAAAAAATAATTAAAAAATAGCATACTGGCCCACATTTTAAAAAGGGTTCGGCCCTTCTGGCATTTGCCAGAATTGCCAGATGACCAGTCCGCCCCTGCAATGTAGATTGTGTCAAAGCAGCTTCACATAAATGGTCATAGTAACTGGATCAGGGTGGTTCAGTTTTTAGTGTTTAAGTTCAGTTCAGTTTAGCTCAGTTCAGTGTGATTTAAAATCATTACTGAGAGTCCAAACACTGAAGAGCAAATCTATCGATGAGTAGCTTTACAGATCCTGAACCATGCAAGCCAGTGGCGATTGCTGTCATTTAACAAAATGTATCAAATTATAAAAATATTACAAAGTAAAAATGTCAAATACTTAAAGAAGTGGTTAAGTTCAGTTACCATTTACTAAACTGAACTGTTAATAAAACATTAACACTGATTCTGTTGAACAGAACAAACCAGCAAATTAAAGTAAAATGATTAAAATAATCCTAACCATTTTTATAATAATCACCAGTTATTTGCTCTTCTGCTATTGTGTGGGCTTTCTTGGTCTGTGCTACACTCGTCTATAGTACACGCAGAGTGCCTGTACTTGTTGAAGATGTTAGGCACTTTTGTGATGCCGTCAGCTATTGGAGTCGTCTTTGAAAATAGCCCACAGGTTTGTCCTTGCAACTGGGGTGTTTGTTTTTTAAATGTCATTTTAGTTTAGAAGGTTTTAAGCTCTCTTGTGAGAGCACATCACTACATATGACACACTGAGGTTAAGTTTTTGTTGTCAATATATGTACATCCATACTTTACATTTTCAAGGTCATGCTTGCGCTTTGACATGTTTGTTGCTATAATTAAATGAAATTTCACATGTCAAACGGTTCGGTTGTCGCGTGCACATTTCAAAATAAAAGTCCGATATAAGCAAAATAAGTTAAAAATAAAACTTTTGTTGTTTTTTTGACCACACTTCACGACCCACTGAAAATGTTCCTGCGACCCACTTTTGGGTTGCGACCCATCAGTTGAGAAACACTGGTATAGTATAGTATAGTATAGTATAGTATAGTATAGTATAGTATAGTATCGTGTAGTATCGTATCGTATAGCTGAATGTTTTGTACAGAGACAGTGCACAATAATACAAAAGCTAGTGGGTGATCGTAGACTGAAAGGAGGAGCTTGGGGTGGCTGAAAGTTTTAATAGAAATACTAATACTTAGAGTAGAAATAGGCCTAGCAATGCCCATATTTCTAAATTTCTAATTTTCTTTTTCGATTAAACTGTCTCAAATGAGTTTTATTTACTGTATTGTTTTATTCAAGTGTTTGTTTGTTATTTGAGTGGATGTAATGTTGGTCATTGTCAACGCGAATATTGAATTGCAAGAAAAATGTCATATCTGGTCTCACAATAAAGTCCTATATCACCATGTCATCATCTTTACTAACAATCTAATGATTTTTGGCATAAAATAAAAATGTATTGTTGTCTATTACCACAAATATACCCCTGTAACATAAGTTTGTGCTCCAGGGTCACATAAATCATGATATTGAGCCGTATATTTATATATTTTAACTCTTAAATGGTTTTAAAACATTTAAATTCTAACTTTTTTATTACAGTATATGCACATTGTGTGAAAATATGTACAGAAATGAGTACATTATATGTTATAATTTTAAAGTAATGCTATAGTAATGTTACAGTAAGTTTTTTTTATTTGTCCAGTTTTTATGTTTTGCCCAGGATTATAAAATGTAGTTAAAATAATGTAATAATGCACACCATCTTACATAAAAATTGTGTAGTAAGAAATAAAAAAGTTAATTAAAGAAATGCTGTTACCCTTATATAAACCAGGTTTTGGCTAATAAAATAGCATTGTTTATTTTCTCTTTTAGAATAATACAGTAGCTGGGATAGTTTTTTGGTCTTTTTAGTCTCAAAGTTTTGTCTTTTATGTCCTGCAGGCGACTTTAATTTGGGAGGAGTTGAAAGGCCCTCAAAGAGCAAGTGTAATAATTCTACATCACATCACAGCTTGTTTGCTTATCACTCTGTGCAGAATAATTCAGCAGCACCGGGTTCATATTACCAATCTTATGCATGGCTTCTTTTTTTCCTGCTGTTCAGCACAAGAATATCACAGAAAGATGACTGATGATTTGATTATTATAATGATTTCTTAACTATGATTTAGTTCCATCAGTGTGTTTTCTGTAGTTCTTATTCAATGTGTGTTCCCTGTGCTCCAGGATTCTCTTCAGGAAGCATCAGACTCGAGTGAATCAGACTCCACTCTCTCTCAGAGTCCAAACATGCAGGACTGGCTGGCCCAGGCCCGCACCACACGCAGCCTCCAGCACCAGGACACCCTCCAGAAACAGAAGGTACTTTGCATTTTACAACAAAAAGGTTTGCTTTTAAGGCAAGACATTGTTTTGTAATGTACCTTTCCAATGTAGACAGCAAGGTGGCTCAGTGGTTAGCACTGTTGCTTCACAGCAAGAAGGTCGCTGGTTTGAGTCCCAGCTGGGCCAGTTGGCAATTTGTTGGAATTTGCATGTTCTCATTCTCACCATGTTGGCGTGGGTTTACTCCAGGTGCTCCGGTTTCTCCCACAGTCGAAACACATGCGCTTTAGGTGAATTGGATAAACTAAATTGGCCGTAGTGTATAAGTGTGTGTGTGTGAATGAGAGTATGTATGGGTGTTTCCCAGTACTGGGTTGTGGCTGGAAGGGCATCCACAACATAAAATATATGCCCGAGCAATTGGTGGTTCATTTCGCTGTGGTGCCTCCCATAAAAAAAAATCAGGAACTAAGACGAAGGAGAGTGAGTGAGTACAGAAAACATTAAGAATGCACTTTAAAAGGTGCACAAAGCAATATTTGAAAGTGTTTTTGACCACAGTGTCAGGCAGAGTCCCAAAAGACACTTGTAGTCAGTAGAAAGAGGCGTGTCTAGTAATGATAGCAAGGGGAAAGATCTGCTGGCATTTGATCTTGTTTCTTTTGGTGCTTTCAAATATTAACATTGTTTGGCAAAATTTGCATAGTGCTCTATTTTTTTACGTTTTTTTTTCCTTGTTTGCTAAATTATTTTATTTTATTTTATTTTATTTTATTTGTACAACTGTTGTTGTGTTTATTGGCACCTGAATGAATGAATGAATGAATGAATGAATGAATGAATGAATGAACAAATATTTAATGATAACCAAGAGTCATACTAGATGAATTATGCTGTATTGTAATAGTATTAGATATGGACAAGTGTTTACTCGTTGTTTGAAACTAAGGTGTGCAGTACAATGTTTTCTCTAGGATTTTTTTCCAGCCCCTGCGGCAGGCCTTTTTTACTCAGACCTACCAACTACCTGTGGCGTTATTTCAATGACAAATGTCGTAAGCGCAGTATTAAAAGTCGAGATTGCATTTATGTAAAAGCCTACGAGCATGCGAATCTCTTAGCTTGCGCGCCGATTTCCTCTGCTCGTGCACAAAACTTCTTGCACACCCTCTCAAATATACACTGCTCAAGTGCAGATCTTCTTGTGCGCTCTCAAATAAACACTGCTGAAGTGCAATTTAGTGCCTTTATGTAACAAGTATGTCTCCAACATTTATTAGATTTGCTAGGAATATTTATGAGTGTCTCAAATAGACCTACAGAGCGGTATCATTGTGTCCTGAAGCAAAGTGAAACGGCTATACGTCGTGTTTGCTGGCCTCACGCATCACACACCCGCCATGGAAGAATGAATGTAGTGGAAACCATGCAGTATAAATGTAATTTAATTATTGTTTTTATATATATATGTAACTTATTTTATCTATTTTAGTATGGAGAGCTCTGCTGTGACGTGATTTTCCCTTTGGGGATTAATAAAGTCTAACAAATAAACAAATATTATGCTAAATTTGCATATAATAAATATACTATTTTAGCAAGCGTGTAATAAATTTGTTTTGCGATTTTTAATGTAATCAATCAACTGGGGAAGTTTGGTGATTGCTATTAGTTTTTTTTTTTTTTTTTAAATTTTTTTTTTACATCATTTACGTAATGTCTTGCCTTAAATCTCAAATGCTATATTTGAGATTGAACTATCCCCATTGGGTCCTCCAGTTAGTAAGTCTACTGTAAATAACTTAATCAGAAGGAGCTTTATTGCCAGGAACGTTCACACATTCGAGGAATTTGTTTTCGTGACTGAGCTTCTATAGTGCAACAGAATTACAGAGACAAGACAAAAAACAAATAATAAAAATATTTTAAAATAGAAGTAAGTAGTGAATGCTAATATACAAATGACAAGTGTATGTACAGGTATATCACTATAAACAACGTTATATGTGCAGCTGTTATGTGCAAATTGGCATGTAAAGTATGTTGTTAAATAAGTGCATATCTGTATAAGAAGTTTAAAGCAAGTAGTGATGTTTGTTTCACAATTACTATCAAGTGTTCATGAGATGGATTGCCTGAGGGAAGAAAGTAAGAGTCCATCTGATAAATCAAAGATGTCAGACTCAATCCCTGGAGGGCCGTAGCTCTGCACAGTTTTAATTCTAATTAAACGAACCTAGGCTCATTGCAGATACGTACCAAGGTCTACATTTCTGGGGACAGCAAAACATCTTCTTGCAGTTTTTGTTTTTGCAAATTGCTTTTTGATGATCTTAGATTTCTCCTGCACGTTCTCTTCTCACATAAATTCACCAGAGGGCGCAATATAAACTTCAGCCGACCAGGCCAGCTTGCTGCCGACTGACTGACGACCGACCAACCCACCCCCGCTTCCCTAAACCCAACCGATAGTGTTTTTAAAAGCAATCTAGAAAAACAAAAGCCATCGCAACCACGTGATTCTGCCTCGTTTTGAGTCTGTGGTTATTTATTTATTTTATTACTTTTTTTTGCTTTTGTTTTGCCTGGTTTCTGGAATTGTCCTTCATCACAGTCAACTCCACTCCGTGTTTCAAGTTCGCCAACGTACGAGGCAAGCTACTGGGCAAACTGATAACACCAAAAAAGCCGTCCACACAGAGGTAAACGGTCAGCTGGTAGGGCGAGAAGAAACTGAAGTCTCGTATCGCCTCGTAGCGTTCATTTTAAAGATGGAATGCAGCCATACATACCTCTGGCTACCTATTTCATGCAGAAATGTAGACAGGTGTACGTATCCACAGTGAGCCTGTGTTGGAACCAACACACCTGATCAAACTAACGGAGTCCTTCAAGCTAGTTTACAACCTGAGTTGCTAAACAATAAACAAAAGCAAATTCTGTTAATTCAGGAGCTTGAAGAGCAACTCGCAGAGCAGAAGAAGCTGTTGAAGTCTGTAGCGAGTCGTGGAGAGGAGATTCTCACACAGCAGGCGTCACCCGTCAGAGCCAGGTATCATTTCTCTCTCACATTACAAATCACTACGGCTCATAAACGCCTCAAACTTTTTAAATCTGTTTTTTAATCTCTCTCTTCACAATCCTTTCTGTTTAATGTTCTGCAGCGCGACAGAGACGCTTTCTCCTGATGTAGAGCTGGAAGGAGACAGTGAGGCTGTGAAAAAGCAGAGGAGAAAGAGATGGGAAAGCCTGAAGAAAGACATGACCACCAAATTACAGCTCCTTATGAACACCCTGGAGCAGGACAGCAAACAACCGGTACACCAATGTCTTGTTTAAATCACTGACATGCTGGGGAGAAGCTTACAAATCACATTACCATTTGTTTTTTTTTTTTATCAGTATTTTATATATAGTTGAATTCAGAATTATTAGCCCCCCTGTATGTATATATATATATATATATATATATATATATATATATATGTATATGTAACGAGGAGACTGACACGGAGGAATCCATCATGCAGTATTTATTAGTCAAGCTTTCACTCAAACACACAATATGCACTAGCGTGCAAACACACATCCACAACAGTCTATGAAGTATCAAGACTGGCAATGAACAGACACAGAGGGGTTTACCAAGCATGGGTCGAGGGCAGGCTGCAAGTATCAGAGTCCGTATAACAGGCGTGGTTCGTGGGCAGGTAGCGAGTATCAGAGTCCGTGTATCAGGCGTGGGTCGTGGGCAGGCAGAAGGCGAAGCAGAGTCAGAGACAGGCTGGAGTAATGCACGAAGAATCAGGCAGGGAATAACGCTCAGAAATGCTGGCCGGGGCTAAACAAGACTTCGCACTGACTGAGTGTTTGGAGCTGGCTTATAAAGGGTACGTGGGTCGTTAGGCTTGATTCGGAACAGGTGTATGCACAATCAGCGTATGTGGATGATGTAATGCTAGAAGTCCGGAGATGGCGGCCTCTGCTGGCCAGCGAGGGGAATGACTGGGACCGAGTCGGTGACAGAATATATATATATATATATATATATATATATATATATATATATATATATATATATATATATATATATATATATATATTTTTTTTTTTTTTTTTTCTGTTTAATGGAAAGATGATGTTTTCAGCACATTTCTAAACATAATAGTTTTAATAACTAATTTCTAATAATTATTTTATCTTTGCCATGATGGCGGTACAGAATATTATGACTATATACTTTTTGAAGATACTAGTACACAGCTTAAAGTGACATTTAAAGGTTCACAGAACCCTCAAGTAAGAGATTTTAACTGATTCGTGTGTGTTGAGCATCAGTTAAGACAATGTTAGCACCTGTTAGCTTTAATTGTGGGGAAAACTGGATCATTTTGAGCTTTTCTTCCGGGTTTAAAATGATTTTTGGGGCGGGATCAAAATCGCCGACTAGCGCAAAACTGCAAGTGGAAAGATGACGCGTTGGTTTCTCATTATTATTCATAGCTGAGTTTTCTTATCCTATGAGAAGAGACGGCTTCTTAATTAAAATATTATTATTTATATCGGAAATGCTGTGAAAAAAAATCTTGCTCTGTTAAACATCATTTGGGAATTATATATATAAAAAAAATAATAATAAATTCAATAAATTTGACTTAAACTGTATATACTTTAGGCTATAGAAGCAGCTCCTGCCAATGAATAAAAAAGTGTTAAAGACGAATGCAAGGATAAATTGCATTAGCCCATATAATGGAGGAATAATGGAGAAATCTTAATATAGGCTTTCGAAGGTATAAGACAAAGTTTCCGTACGGTCTGTGTAACGCTTTACAATTCAACTTGCATCTTTAACACTCTATTTAATGTCAGTCTCCATAACAGGAAAATACTTTATAACTCGCTTTATCTTAGTTTATATTGCAACTCTGACATTATTGAGTTTACATCACCAGTGATCCAGACTTGTAGATTGCTAGGAATCATTTACTTTCACTCGGACTACAATCCTGTCACCATACGGACTACAAATCCGGTCAGGCACTTTACGCACACACACCTGTTCTGGTTTTCTGTTGATTACACACACACACACACAGCTGGGAACTGCTTATAGATTGATTACAAGGACTATTTACACAGCACGCACACACTTCTGAGCTGGGCAGCACGCACACACAGTGTTTTACAGCTGTAAAGATCAGTCGATTCATCAGCGGACCGCTCATATTGTAGTTTATAAACAGACCAGCTGATCTTCACAGCTTTAAAATGCTCTGTATCTGTAGTTGCACTCTGTGAACAGCAGTGAGTTCGGTCAACTGATGCCCTTTACAGTAATTTTTGTTCATATATATATATATATATTCACTAGATATCACATACGGAATAGTGCCGCCACATTTGTACAGTGCTCCCAGGACAAATGTCATTCAATCGCACTAGTCAAGACAGTGTGCTGGACTTTAGTGCTGTGTACCGGTGTTGTAATGAGCAAACAAAGAAAGGCACAAAGGCAGAAGATATGACATTCTTCTTCTTAAATCTATTTCAGTTATAATACACTGATACACTTTTTCCTGCATAATACTATCAGTCTCTCCATCCACATTCTATATTTGGGTTTTCAACTACCGTCTCATTCGACTTTAAACTTTAGCACTATTCTTTTTGCTGTCTATCGTCTTTAGGGAAAACAGTGTTCTTGTGTAACTGGAGCACATCTGGAATGATGGAAACTCTCTTTGTTGAATGTGTATGTTGTAAAACGTTGCATGCTTTCTTCCAGTTTTACTCCAGAACTGCTTGTGTGAAGACAGCAGCTCCAGTTTACAAGAGAGAGACACACGTCCAGGACAAGTCCAACCTGATGTCCCTGCACAATGGATTCAGTCAGACAATACAGGAAATGACACCTCAGGTAGACGCATTATTATACAATAGATCTATACAGTTGTGTCAATACAAAATTGAAATATAATTAATGCAAAAATTCTGCTTCTCTATCTTTCTTATTAATGTGATTGTTTGAAGTTTATGTATGATATTTTGTCCTCGGATTGTTTATTCAGGCCACAGAGCGAGAGGTCATTCTGATGGAGCAGCAGCTTTATTCAGCCGTCACAGCCACTTCTTCTTGGGTGGATGATGTGGAGAACACACTGTTTTCTGGCCCTGCGCTGCTCACGGAGAACGCAGACACACAACTCTCCAACCACGAGGTCTGAAGCAGATTTTGCAAGCATAATAAATATCGCAATGAGACAGATTCTAGCCTTGCTACTTGAGGATATCAAACCATTTTTACCACATTGAGTTCTCCAGATGTTTATTACATTATAATTATGTATATGTACATTAAGTATGTATATATATATATACACACACACACACACACACTCAGCGGCCACTTTATTGGGTACACCTGTCCAACTGCTCTTAATCAGAACTTTCCTATCAGATAACTTTCTTATCACATGGCAGTAACTCAATGCATTTAAGTATGTAGACGTGATCAAGACAATCTGTTGTAGTTAAAACCAAGCATCAGAATGTGGAAGAAAGGAGATTTAAGTGACTTTGAACGTGGTATGGTTGTTGGTGCCAGATGGGCAGGTCTGAGTATTTCAGTTAACTGATGATCTACTTGGATTTTCACGCAAAACCTCTGGGGTTTACAGAGAATGGTCTGAAAAAGAGAAAATATCCAGTGAGCCTAGTTTTGTGGGTGCAAATGCCTTGTTGATGCCAGAGGTCAGAGGAGAATGGCCAGATTGGTTCCAGCTGATTGAAGGGAACAGTAACTTAAATAAGCACTCGTTACAACCGAGGTCTGCAGGAGAGCATCTCTCAACACACAACACATCCAACCTTGAGGCAGATGGGCTACAGCAGCAGAAGACCACACCGGGTGCCGCTCCTGTCAGCTGAGAACAAGAAACTGAGACTACAATTCTCACAGGCTCACCAACATTGGACAATAGAAGATTGGAGAAATGTTGCCTGGTCTGAAGAATCTCGATTTCTGATGCGTCATTCGGATGTTATGGTCAGAATTTTCAACAATGTGAAAATTTGAATCCATCCTGCCTTGTATCAATGGTTCAAGCTGGTGGTAATAGTGTAATGGTGTGGGGAATATTTTCTTGGCACACTTTGGGCCCATTAGTACCGATTGAGCATCGTGTCAACGCCACAGCCTACATGAGTATTGTTGCTGACCATGTCCATCCCTTTATGACCACAGTGTACCCATCTTCTGCAGGATAACGCACCATGTCATAAAGCGTGAATCATCTCAGACTGGTTTCTTGAACATGACAATGAGTTCACTGTACTCAAATGGCCTCCACAGTCACCAGTGTCAATCCAATAGAGCACCTTTGGGATGTGGTTGAAGGGGAGTGTCATGATCGGGTGAGGGGAAAAGGAGCGAGGACTCAATTGCAACAAATAAGGGTTTTATTAATAATAAAGTAAAAACAAAAAGGCAAAACAAACTACCCCAAGGGGGAAAAAAACATAACTAGAAGACAAACTTGGCTGGGCTGGCAAGACACGACTGGAACAGGAACACAGAGGGAGTATCGACAACGAACTGGCAAAGGACTGAAAACATGAGGGGGATTATAAAGCAAAAAGTAAATTGACACACAGGTGAACATGACAAACTAATAATGAGTAAACAAGGAGGGTGGGACTAGACAATAGACGGGAGAGCGCATGACACAGAGAGACAATACAAGCCATGCGCTCACATAACACAACACTAAAGCACACGACAAAAGCACGTGACCACAATGTAAACACCGAGCCACGTGCTTTGACAAAAGACGCAAGACACAAGCACACGATGAATGAAAACACTCACCGTGCGCTCAAACACGCAGCGTGCATGCTTCATCCCAGCGCCGACCAAAACCGAAACCAACAAGACTGAGACGCTGGGAATGAAACACCATGCTGCTAACAGACGAAAACACAAACACGAGTACAAGAGCGCACGCATCTGAAGGACGCAGAGCGCGCGCGCGGCCGCGTCAAGCAGGAGCGCGCACACTCTGCGTACACCCACGACGGCGCACGCGCACACAGAGACAGAAACAGGACCAGACATGGGTAGTGTCCGAGCTCTGCCACCAAAACAAGAATTTACAAGACCAGAGTGGCAGAACCCTGACAGGGAGATTCACATCATGGATGTGCAGCCGACAAATCTGCAGCAACTGCGTGATGCTATCATGTCAATATGGACCAAAATCTCAGAGGAATATTTCCAGTATCTTGTTAAATCTATGCCCCAAAGGATTAAGGCAGTTCTGAAGGCAAAAGGGGATCCAACCCTCATTAGTAATGTGTACCTAATAAAGTGGACCTAATAACATTTCTCACATTATATTTTACTGTTTATACATCTGTATGAAATAAGTATTTATTTTTAATTTTTTTATTTGATATGATTGTTAGGATTATTAATTTAACAAAATTATATAGTTTATAAAAAATGATCAATTTTAGGATAAGCTTTAATTATTTTATGTGGTTTTGCAAAAATATATGTATTTTGTTATAGTGTTCATAATTTATTTTTATTTCAGTAATTTTAGTTACTTATCACAGTGAATAAATAATAATAATAATAATAATTATTAATATTTTTTTATTATTATTACTATTATCATAACACTTTTTATTGTTTTAGTTTTACAGGTAATTCTTTTAAATAATGGTCAGTTAGTTCATGTTAGTTAATGTAGTTAATTTACTATTGTAACATTGACAAAAAAATGAACAATGGATTTATTACAGTATTTTATTTTATTTTATGCAGTATAATGGTATTTTAAATATACCTTTGTTAATGTTAGTTAATGATAATAAAGTTGTTCGTTGTCAGTTCATATTATCTCACAGTGCATTACCTAATGGCAAAAAGCACAACTATGGCTTTGAATAATGCATTAGTGTATGGTGAATTATGATGAATAAATCCTGTAAGCAGTTCATGTGAGCACATAAATCAGCTGACATTAGTGCTACTGTTATAATTCAACTTTATTTCTGTAGCGATTTTCACAAATGTAGATTATGTCAAAGCAGCTTAACATAGTGTTAGTTATAGTAGTAACATTGATAATTATACTCCAGCTGCACTGTTAAATAAAGCACATTATGTCAATAGTCATGTTTTGTTTGGCGTTGTTGTCTTACAGACTCTGGGTAAAGAAGTGACGGAGGTGACGCAGGAGGTGGGACACACTCAGGGGTTGATCAAAGGATCTGTGGGTCTGTCTGAGGACGAGCAGAGCCTGATGAAGGACACTCTGGACTGCCTGACCCGACGCCTCGGAGCCCTGGACTCAGCTCTGGACCGCCGCTGTGACTCCATGCGGAGCAGAATGAGGGAACTCAGCGCTTTCCAGGTGCAGATCAGACTTGATGAGCTTAATTCAGTGTTGTATTGAGTGCAGCAGAATGAGCTTTTTTACTGTGTGTTCACAGACGGAGCTGCAGCGTCTCTTTACAGCTCTCAGTGAAAGCAAGTTTCAGATTATCCAGAAAATGGCAGGAGTTCTTGACCACACAACAACTAAACAGATTGAAGTAAGATTTTTTTTTTATCATCAAATATGTTTTTATTAGTGCTGGGCGAAGATTAATTGTGACCAATTACATGCAAAATAAAAGTTTGTTTTGGCATAATATATATATGCGTGTATTATATATATATATATATATATATATATATATATATATATATATATATATATATATATATATATATATATATATATATAATTTATTTATTTATTTATTTATTATGTATGATACACACATACATAGAAACAAAACTACGTTGTTACATAGATATTTAAATGTATCAATAATTTGTATCACATACAGTTGATATCAGAATTATTAGCACCCCTGTTTTTTTCCCCTAATTTCTGTTTAACGAAGAGAATATTTTTTCAGCACATTTTTGCACATAATAGTTTTAATAACTCATCTCTGATAACTGATTTATTTTATCTTTGCCATGATGACAGTAAATAATATTTTACTAGATATTTTTCAAGACCAAGGTTTCTTCAGAGTCTTAAAAAGGCTTAAAATGTCTTAAATCTTAAAATACATATTTTAGACCTTAAAAAGTCTTAAATTTACTGAAATACTGTGTTGTAGGTCTTACATTTTTTTAAACAGGTTTTAATTTTTCTTTGTTCAGGTATTGCTAACCAATCTGCCGAAAACCCATACAATCACCAACAATCATCTCAATAATACTTTAAAATTTTTATTTAAAGAGGTCATTTTAACTCTGTTTATCATAATGTTTTAATTATTTTTCTTACATTATCACTTGTTTGAAAGTTCTCCATGTATGTATTGCTGAGGACACCGATCTGGACAGATTGTTGTGCATATATTTAGTTTATTATAGTTTTAAAAACTTTTAAAACATTTCATAAAGAAAATTTATGTTGGAAAAAAAAGTTTGGATAAAAGTAGAGCTTGCTTGTTTTTACACAATATTTAAAATATTTAGCTAAGAAATAGAATCGAAAATATTTAAAATGTTTATTATAAAAGCATAATTGTATTATAAAATTATTAAATGATAATTAAAAAAATTGAAAGGTCAAATAAAAATCTTTTACATCTGGGCCATTTGAAAAAAATAATTTGCCTTTTTTTCCTAAAATCTCTAAATTCTAAAATTTCATTCATAATGGTCTTAAATAGATCTTTAAGTCTTAAATTTAACTCGGTGGAACCTGCAGAAACCCTGAAGACACTTTACAGCTTAAATTGACATTTAAAGGCTTAACTAGGTTAATTAGGTTAACTAGGCAGGTTAGGGTTATTAGGCAAGTTATTGTATGACGATGGTTGCTTTGTAGACTATCGGAAAAATATATACAGTAGCTTAAAGGGGCTAATAATTTTGACCTTAAAATGGTGTTTAAAAAATTAAAAACTGCTTTTATTCTAGCCAAAGTAAAACAAATAAGACTTTCTCTAGTAGAAAAAATATCATTAGACATACTGTGAAAAATTCCATGCCCTGTTAAACATAATGTAGGAAATATTTAAAACAGAGAAAATAATAATTCTGATTTCAACTGTACATATAGGTTTTATATCTAAATATAAATAAACATTTTCTCAAATATATGCATGCGTGTGTGTATTTATATATACATAATAAATATACACAGCACACACCTAAGTTATGTCAAAGAAAACTTTGACTCTGTTTTAGATGTGATTAATTTGCCCAGCACTAGTTTTTATAGAATTCTTTTGCAGAAAAAAGACAAATTTTAAAATAGGTACTAATAAAATATTCTTCAAATATATCCTTCCCCACTCACACAAATTAATAATAAAATACATGCATTAGTTTTCTTTCGGCTTAGTCCCTTTATTCACCAGGGGTCGCCACAGCGGAATGAACTGCCAACTTATCCAGCATATATTTTACACAGCAGATGCCCTTCCAGCTGCAACCCAATACTGGGAAACACCCACACACTCTTGCATTCACAGTTATACATTTCAGCCAATTTAGTTTATCCAATTCACCTTTAGCGCATATCTGTGGACTGTGGGGGAAACCAGAGCTGGGTCTCGAACCAGTGACCTTCTTGCTGTGAGGTGACAGTGCTAACCACTGAGCCACCATGTCACCTAATAAAACACGATAAAATCAAATACAAAATAATATCAACATTTTAAATACTATAAATAAATATTTCTGCAATACTAAAGTGTTTTTAGGAAAAAAAAATAGTTTAAACTAAAATAAAATTTTTTGTTTCTTCGCAAATGTTTGGTGGGAACTTTTCAGGGTATAACAACACAAATTTAACGAAGTAATAATAAAATATCTGTATTTAATAAATTTTTGTTTTCTTCAAATATGTTTTTGTTTAACTTTTTTTTGTGCAGAAGACTGCAAATGTTTCGATAAGCAATATTAAAATATCCCCCACTCACGCAAATTAATAATTAAATAAAATATGAATTAATATAAATTTTAAATACTAAATTATTTTTCCAAAAAAAAAAGCAGAGTACAAAGAAAATTATTTACAGTTAATTAATGTAACAGACTTCTGGTATTAAAAGATTATTCATTGTATTTCTTTATAGTAATGTAGCAGTATTTTTAATATGTGTCTATTTATATACAATGCTCATATTTTGAGTAGTTTTTATTTTCATTTTGGCAATTTTATGCAGTTTTGTCTCTCTCGTTGGTTTTTGTTTTAGTTTTACTTCTCTTTATCTTTAATTTAAAGTCATTAAAGTCATGTTACTACTTAGTTTTATTAACAAGAACAAGTATGTACCGTTTCAGGATACAGCGAAAGTATTTCACGTGCTTTAACAACAAGGATTTAACGACAAGAAAGAAAAATGTTTTAAAAAAGCAAGAAAGTGCACATACTCATCAATCAATTTTCAAGTGTTCTCATTTTACTACTTATTTCCTTTAATCTAATTTTCAAGTTAATTATTGTATTTAAATATTTTATATTATCTTTTATTTTTCTTAACAGAAACTGCTTTTGCTCTGTTTAATTTATTTTACTTTTAACTTATTCATTTGTTAATTAATTTCTTTTTCTTTGTACATTTTATTCTTCAACTTAAACTTGCTTTAACAGTTGTAATTTTTATTTTTATTTGTAATGTAATTTTTTTTTTTTTTTTGCACAATGTGCTTTTCATAAGTGTTTAGTTTTTATTTTATCTCAGCATTTATTTGATCGGAGGACTGAATTTTTTTATTAATAATTTGAACATATTAAATTAACAATTATTACACTCTTCTTTTGACAGACCATTGCAGAGGCAGAGGAGACACTGAAAGACTTTGAGCACAGAATAACAGAGCTGAAAGCCAGAGGGGCGGAGCTACAGCCAGACCAGTTCTCCACCAATGAGCTGCTGAAACTCCAGGTGCACAACCAATCACTCGCATCAACACTTTACTCTTAGATACGCATAATTATACACAATTATTGCATTTAAATACAGTTGAAGCCACAATTATTAGCCTTCCTGGGAATTGTTTTGTCTTTTATGAAATATTTGCCAAATTATATTTAACAGAGCAAGGAATTTTTCACAGTATTTCCCATAATAATTTTTTTTCTGGAGAAAGTATTATTTGTTTTATTTCAGATAGAATAAAAGCAGTTATTTATTTTTTTTTAAAATGATTTTAAAATGAAAATTATTAATCCTCTTAAGCAATATTTTTTCAGATTGTCTACAGAACAAACCATTATGATACAATGATTTGCCTAATTACCCCCAACTTGCCTAATTAACCTAGTTAAGCCTTTAAATGTCACTTTAAGCTGAATACTAGTGTCTTATAAATATCTAGTCAAATATTATGTACTGTCATCATGGCTAAGATAAAAGAAATCAGCTTATAACTGTATGTTTTGTCTGTTGGACAGGATGCTTATGAGGAGCTAGTGATGACGGTGGGCTCGAGGCGGAGTGGACTTAACCAGAATATGGCTCTGAAGAATCAGTATGAACGAGTTCTGCAAGATCTGATTGATCTGGTGGACACAGCTCAGGATAAGATGACAGCTGACCAGAAGATGATCGCCGCCTCAGTAGAGGACGTGCACAACCTTCTAGACAAACACAAGGTACGGCAAACTCCTAAATAAATTATGAAGATTTTGTGTGTTAAATATTGTAAGGATTCGAAAATAAATGTTCAGTCTGACTTGATCACAAATGAGCAATTCCATACAAATGTCAACCTTGCCATGAAAAAAATTATGTTTTTACCAAAATAGCGAAACGCTTTTTTGTGTAGGCTTGTGTTTTACAGTACTGTAGAAATACTCAAAAATGTCTCTGTCAATGTTTTCAAACTATTATTTTTAATTTACCAAAGTTACACAAGTGGCAATTTCACATCTGTCACATTCATAACAGAGAGACGTCACATCCATAATCGAATAATCATTGTTTCTTTTTGGGTTGTGCAGTTTAATTGACAGAATTTCTACAAAGTATTTTGTATACTGCATAACTAACATAACTTTTTGGGTCACATCCATAACACATGTTTATTTTCCTCATTTAAAATCTAAAAAACGTTTACAGACTGATATTTTTCTGATCCCCGTAACTCTGTGGTGAGTTGTTTTGTAAAATATGAACAGATGTTTCAGTATAATGTTAACATATATTTTCTCTGTGAATTCATTTTTGGAATCTTTACTCCAAATGTCATATTTATAATGCTGGAATTGCTCAAATGTTTCATTTTTAGGAGTTTTTCCAAGGCTTAGAGTGGCACATGGTCCTTACCGAGACGTTTTACAAGAAAAGTAGTGCCTTTGTTTTGCCGCGTGAGCGTCAGACTCTTGAAGAGACGCTGGCTCGTGCTCAGGATGTGCTGAAACAAGCGCATAAAAAAGGAGTTGAGCTGGAGTGCGTCTCTGAGGTAAGATGATTTGCTTTGCTTTTTGTTGTTATTTTGTGTTTTTTGTTCAGTTTAATTTAGTGGGGGTTTTTTTTACAATTTGTTTATTATGCTTTGTGTTTTGTTTTGTGCTTTTTTTGTTTTGTTTTTTAGCTTTGTTTTGGATTTTTGTTTATTGATTTGTTTTGCTTTTTTTCATGTGATGAATCATTTCATTTAGTTTCTTCAGCTTATAGTTTTCTGGAATTCTTTTTTCTAAGGAGAAATTTATACTTTGATATTATATTATATACTTTGATAAATTAATACTTTGATTTTATATATTGTTGTTTGTCTTTTTTGTTTGTTTTTGTTTTGCTTTGCTTTCTTTTTTGTGGGGGCGTTGTTTTGTGTGTAAAGGCCCATGCACACCAGGACACTTTTTGCTTGCTTTTTCCGGTGACGTTTAACGCTTTTAAGGCGCTTAAGCACAAAACTGTCAATGCGAGCGCACATTGAAGAAGATGCCCAGAGGTGATATGAGCGTGGAGCTGCTTATTGCACTGGTGAACAATAATCATTTCTTCATCTCTAGAGCTGGAGCTGCTCCTTGAACCATCTATAACAAGCGTATCAACTTTCTGCCTTTTTCTGTGTTACAAGCGAGTGGCAGAAGCTTAAAGTTGTGTAGCCCCATCTAACGTCAAGGAGTGATTTTGCATACTCTTCTGCTTGACGCCAGTAAAAATTGCTCTGGTTTAAATCCGGAAAAACGTCTTAAAAAAACGCTGACGATAAATGCAAACAAAAAGCGCCCCGGTGTGTACAAGCCTTAAGTGTGTGTGTGTGTGTGTGTGTGTTCTTAGTTTGTTTTGTGTTTTTTGTTTCGCTTTGTGTTTTATTTTGCATTTATTTGATTTGTTTTTGTTTGTGTTTTACTTAATTTTATTGTTAATTTGTTTTGGATTTTTTGTGGTTTATTGATTTGCTATTTGCTTTGTGTTATTAGTTTTGTTATTTTTTTTGTTGTTGTTTTGTTTTATTTTTGTTTAATGTGTCTTCATATTACAGTTTACTGAATTTGTAGTTTTTCCAAGGAGAAATAAATCCTTATTTTCAGGAAGGATGCAATACATTGATAACGATTGATTTATAATGTTGACACAAATAATGTTCTTTTGATAGATTTTTTAAATATTAGCATTAATATTGCATTAATATTGCATACATGCATATTTATTTAAATGTTTTTGTTGCTTTATCAGACATGGAGTCGTCTAGTTTTGGACTATCAGACACTGTACCGACTGCTAGAGGTTGTGGAGGGGAGTCTGCCGAGCGTCGGACTGGTGGAAGAGACAGAGGAGAGACTTAATGAAAGAATACAGCTATATCAGGTACATCATAAACCTTCATGTACTGTATTTAGAGCAGGTAAAAAAGTATTAAACAAATTTTTTTTTTAATAATCCAGAGGTCCTGTTGTCTTTCAATTTTCACATGATGTCGGTAACAACCAAAGAAATTAATACAGTCTAAGAAAACAAATCTAATTAATTTAAATTGTTATGTGCGATGAAATTAATAACACAGGGGAAAAGTAATGAACACATGAAGAAAGGGAGGTGTAAAAAAGCAGTGAAAGTCCAGACAGCAGCTGAAATCTCTCTGTAGTTCTTCAGCAACCCTCTGCCCTTCCGCAGTGTAAATGAACATCAGCTGCTTCAGTCCAATTTACATGAGCAGGATGATGAAGGTGGACATTTCAGCTAGACAATAATCCAAAACACAGCCAAGGAAACTCTCAGATGCTTTCTTGCTAGAATGGCCCAGCCAATTACCTGACTTAAACCCAATAGAGAATAAAAATTAAAGATCAGAGTTGATAGACGAGACACATAGAACCATCAAGATTGGAAGACTACGTTGAATTATGGGGTAATGTGTGTGACTCTGGTAATGTGTGTGACTCTGTTCTCCATACAACAGGGATCTTGAAGCTATTGTTACCAAAAAAATCTGTTATAAAGAGTATTAAATACATTTCATTAGTTCAGTACTTTCTCCTTATGTCAATTCATTGTTATTATACATAATAGTTTCTGAAAAAAAACCTTTATATGTCTGGATTGTTTTGTTTTTACCAAAAATGTATTGTAGTCTGCTCCTTTAGAAATAAAAATCATCACGTTCAATACTTATTGCCTCCGCTGATTGTTAGATTTAGATGTTTTAGAATAGATATGCTAACGCCAGTCTCCTCTAAAGGCTCTAAGATCCAGTCTAACGGAGCACCAACACAAGCTCCATCAGGTTCTGGAGGAGGGAAAACATCTTCTGTCGTATGTGAGCTGCTCGAGTCTGGAGAACCAGCTGACGGTTTTAGGAGAACACTGGCTCAACAACACGACTAAAGTCAACAAGGAGCTGCAGAACCTCCAGTCCATGTTGAAGCATTTAACCAGGTCAGCTGCTGCTTTCTGCTTTCATTTGATTTTAGTCTATTTAGTCTGTTTTGTGAATATATATTATGTGCTTGTTGTTTGGTGACAGGTATAAGAGTGAGTCTGGTGAACTGAGCCGCTGGTTACTGGAGGCTTTGGAGCGTTTGGAGTTCTGGAACACACAGTTTGTTGCAGGACCTCAGGAGCTGGAGACTGTTAAAGGCCAGCTGTCGGCTTTTCTGGTTAGTCTGGCTGTTTTAATGTTTAAAAGGAAAAAGCTAATAGCTTTTTAGAGCTTTATATTAGTATATTCATTGTATTATTTTAAGGTGTTTTATTTATTATATTATACAACATTTTATTATGCGTCACGGTGGTGCAGTGGGTAACATGATCGCCTCACAGCAAAAAGGTTGCTGGTTCGAGACTCAGCTGGGTCAGTTGGCATTTCTGTGTGGAGTTTGCATGTTTTCCCTGTGTTTGCGTGGGTTTTCTCTGGGTGCTCCGGTTTCCCCTACAAGTCCAAGAGCATGCGCTATAGGTTAATTGAATTGGCTAAAAAATTGTCCGTAGTGTATGTGTGTAAATGAGAGTGTATGGGTGTTTCCTAGTGATGAGAAGGTTATCCGCTGCATAAAACATGTGCTGGATAAGATGGCGGTTCATTCCGATGTGGCGACCCCGGATTAATAAAGGGACTAATCCGAAAACAAAATGAATGAATGAATGAACAAAATTTTATTTTATTTTATTTTATTTTATTTTATTTTATTTTGTATTCTCTTTTTTTAATTGAGAGCTTTGTATTTATTCTATTCCAAACTGCTTGTGACGTTATATTATTTTATTTTTCAATTTATTTTAAAGCTTTTTATTTTATGTAATTTTAGAGCTTTTATTTTATAGAATTTAATTTTGTTTTAGAAATTTTTATTTTAGTATTTATTCATTTATTAATTTTCTTTTCAGCTTAGTCCCTTTATTAACCTGTGGTCGCAACAGCGGAATGAAACGCCAATTTATCCAGCATATATTTTACGCAGTAGATCCCCTTTCAGCTGCAACCCATTACTGGGAAACACCCATACACTCATTCACACACATACACTATGGACAATTCAGCTTACCCAATTCACCTATAGCGCATGTCTTTTAACTTGTGGGGGAAACCCGGAGCACCCGGAGGAAACCCATGCAAACACGGGAAGAACATGCAAACTCCACACAGAAATGCCAACTGACCCAGCCGAGGCTCGAACCAACAACCTTCTTGCTGTGAGTTGCCAGTGCTACCCACCGCACAACCGCGCTGCCCCTTTATTTTATTATATATTTTAAATATATAATAAAATATTATATATTTTTTTCATTTTAAAGTTTTTCATTTATTTTATTTTCCAAACTGCCTGTCACTTTATTTTATTTTATTTTATTACTTTTAGTTTTATTTTAAATTTAATTTTAGAGCCTTTTATTTTAGAACTTTTTATTTTAGAGCTTTCTATTTTATTTTACAGGTTTTATAATTTTTTTATTATATACAAACTGCTTCTCATTTTATTTTATTTTATTTTTTACATATTTTTTAATTTTTAACTTTATTTTTTTCGAATATTATTTTTATTTTATTTTATTTTTACGTTTTTTTTACAAATATTTTTTACATTTATTTTTACATTTATTTAATTTAATTTAGTTTTAATACTTTTTATTTTATTTGAGTTATTTTTATTTTTGTTTTAGTGTTTTATTTTATTTTTGATTTTTACTAAATTTTATAGCTTTTTAATTTAGAACTTTTTATTTTAAAGCTTTTTATATTTTTCCCAAAATGCTTGTAATTTTATTTAATTCTAATTATATATATATATATATATATATATATATATATATATATATATATATATATATATATATATATATATATTTTTTTTTTTTTTTTTTTTTTTTTTTTAATAACTTTTTAGTACCATGTACTTTTAGTACCTTTTAAGATTACTTTTTTTCATTTTATTTTTTTAATTCATCTTCTTTTTTTCTCTCCAGGAGTTCAGCAAAGAGGTGGAGGCTCGCTCCAATCTCAAGGCCTCAGTGCTGAATGAGGGAAACCAGCTTCTCAGGCTGAAAAAGATGGACACGGCGTCTTTGCGGGCTGAACTGGCCTGTCTGGACTCTCAGTGGTCTGAACTGCTTTCCCGCATTCCCATAGTTCAAGAGAAACTCCACCAGGTACAGATACAAACAGGCTTATCTTCTCCAGCAAAGAGGATTAGTTTCATTTCTGAGGTTCTTAGTTCCTGTCTGGTCTTTCTCAAGCTATTGTCTTTAAGGAGATGTGTTGTTTTTAGTCTCAGATGGATAAGCTGGCATCCCGTCATGCTATAACAGAGCTGGTCAACTGGATTTCGCTGATGGAGAGAGTGATAGAAGAGGATGAGGAGAATCTGAAAGGGGCTGTCGGGTCAAAGGTCATTCAAGAGTACCTGCAGCGATATAAGGTGATGCTGTTTTCTGCTCTACAGATGGTCAGTCTTGCCTAAGTGGATCAGAAGTCTGATTAAATAAGACTGAGTACTATGAGTTTTAAAGGGATAGTTCACCCAAAATGGAACATTTACTCATTATTTACTCTCCTTCATGTGGATTTAAACCTTTATGAGTTTCTTAACACAAAAGATATTATTCATTCATTAATTTTCTTGTCGGCTTAGTTCCTTTATTAATCCGGGGTCGCCACAGCGGAATGAACCGCCAACTTATCCAGCAAGTTTTTACGCAGCGGATGCCTTTCCAGCCACAACCCATCTCTGGGAAACATCCACACACACATTCACACACACACTCATACACTACGGACAATTTAGCCTACTCAATTCACCTGTACTGCATGTCTGGACTGTGGGGGAAACCGGAGCACCCAGAGGAAACCCACGCGAAGGCAGGGAGAACATGCAAACTCCACACAGAAGCGCCAACTGAGCTGTGCCTCGAACCAGCGACCCAGCGACCTTCTAGCTGTGAGGCGACAGCACTACCTACTGCACCATGCCCAAAAGATATTATTATGAGGATTGGATATTGGCACCTTTAGTAAATATAAGCAAAGAAAGGTGTTAAAATGTTGTCATTGTATAAGCTTTTGATCTTTTGCTAACATTATTAACCAATTGCACTAAATAAAAAACAATTACAAAAATAAAATAGTTTTTTTTTTTGTCCAAAAAATAAGCATCTTTGTTTAATATAAGGTATGTGTGCCACAATATTGGCACTCCTTTGGATTTGTATAAGCAATATAACATAAAATTGAGATAAAATTAATTGCCTTCCAGCAAAATTTTAATTATTTTTCAAATATTTTTAATACATTACATACAACAGATGATTTTTCAATATATTTATGAACATAGTAGTTTTAATGACTAGCTTTTAAATAAGTAAATACTTTTGTCTTCGACATGATTACACTACATATAATTTTAATATATATATATATATATATATATATATATATATATATATATATATATATATATATATTTTTTTTTTTTTTTTTTTTTTTTTTTTTTTTGCAAGGTACTAGTTCTGAGCTTAAAATGCAATTTGAATGCTCAATTAGGCAAGTCATTGGACAGCGGTGGTTTGTTCTGTAGCCAATAAAAAATAACAGTTTCTTTAGGAGGATAACAATATTGACCTCAGCAGTTTAAAAAAAAAAAAGTTTTTCCATTTTAAAAAAAAGTAGAAGAAGAAAAATGAAATATTGCCTTGCAGACATCATTTGGCAAATGTTTGAATACTAATTTCAAAGGGGGGCTAATAATTTCAAGGATCTCTCGAGCTCAGGGCTCTCTCCCAGGACAGCGTTCCAGCAACTTTTGGAATCTCAAAAAAACTCTAAAACAGAAGAGGCGCTTTCCGAAGGAATCATAGACATATTAATCACAAGCTTGTAGCAAACAATTCAGCTTTTTTGCTCATTTTTTGAAGTTTGAACAACAAAGACATTTCCCCCTAGCCTTCATTGCTCATATTTACTCCTGGTTTCTTTCTGTGGTTTTCCTCCTGTAGGGCTTCAGGGTGGATGTGAACTGCAAACAGCTCACTGTGGACTTTGTTAACCAGTCAGTGCTCCAGATCAGCGGTGCGGACGTCGAGAGCAAGCGCAGTGATAAAACTGATTTTGCTGAAAAACTGGGCGCCATGAACTGCCACTGGCAGATCCTGCAGACACGCATCACAGAGAGGGTAAGACTTCACATTACTGTGACTCTTCAAAGAGAGGATTTGTAGATAACTTCAGTATGAGCTGTGCTACCAAATTATTACTAATAGAAGTCTTCTTCATCATAAGTTTTTTATTATTAAAATACTAGTTGCACTGTATTTCGTAGTATTTGTGTACTTATAGTAATGTAAAATACTGGCTTTGGGCTTAGCTCCTATTTTTTACCTAGTTCATTGAATGACTATGATAAGCAAATCGTATCCACATATGAAACAGAACTGTGGAATAAAGAGCTACAAGAATACTTGAAGTCTATTGTTATACTTTATTAGTAGGTGTGCTTATATCAGTGGATTAAAAAGTAAATATTCTTAAAATGTAACTGTAGTAAACTATAACTATGTAAACTATTATAAACTATACCGTATACAGCTGGCTTAGTACTGTGTTTATTGTTTGTACTAAACTGTATTACGAGTGGTATTAGTATTTATACGTACACTGATATTTTAAATACTAGTTAAATACTTATAGCATTTTTGTGGTTTATGATTATACACTGTAAAATAGGGATGCACAGGTCCCAAACCAAAAATTCTAGATGCACTTGGCCAAAAAACAAAAGTGATCCACAAATTCTTTGTAATAATTATTGTTATTTTATTCAATAATATAAAGCAGATTTGACAGTTCATTCCACAGTGGTGCCCCCTGATAAATAAGGGACTAAGCCGTATGAAAAAGAGTGAATGAATAAAGCAGCTTTGTGAGACTATTTTTAAGGCACAAGCCATTGAAATGAATGAGTTTTTTTAGTTTCGAAATGGGTCGATAATTTGACATGGCTGAAAATTTCCATGCATCACTACTATAAAATATGCCCTTAATAAACTGCTAGTTATAACAATTTTATAATGCATGTGCACTTGTAAATTTCTATGAAAGTGAATAAAACATGACGTTTACAGAAACATTTACCATTATATTAGCCATGATATTGACACTTCAAGGTATTTCAAAGAATATTCATTGATTCATTAATTCATTCATTCACTTTCCTTCAGCTTAGTCTCTTTCGCCACTTATCCGGCATTTGTTTTACACAGCGGATAACCTTACAGCTGCAATCCAGGACTGGGAAACACCCATACACACTCATTCACACACATACACTATGGCCAATTTAGCTTATTCAATTCGCCTATAGCGCATGTCTTTGAACTTGTAGAAGAAGCCGGAGCACCCGGAGGAAACCTACGCCAACACGGGGAAAACATGCAAACTCCACATAGAAATGCCAAGTGACCCAGCTGGGGCCTGAACCAGCGACCTTCTTACTGTGAGGCGACAGTGCTAACCACTGAGCTACCATGTCACCCTTCAAAGAATTATATTATGGTAGATTACCAAATAAATAAAGATTTTAATGTGCTAAAAAATATTTGTGAAAATCTTCTCATAATTTTATTATAATAATTACGATCACATGCTGATTTATAATTAATGTTATAGTTTAATGTAAAATTGCTCAGTTGTACTATAAAGTACCACAAGTTTTCATAGCATAATGCATGTTCATTCATTGGTTTTCTTTTCAGCTTAGTCTCTTTATCAACCAGGGGTCGCCACTTAACCGGCATATGTTTTACGCAGCGGATGCCCTTCCAGCTGCAACCTTACCCGTCACTGGGAAACACACACACACACTCATACACTACGGTCAATTTTAGCATACCCAATTCACCTGAACCACATGTCTTTGGACTTTTGGGGGAAACCGGAGCACCCGGAGGAAACCCACGCAAGCACAGGGAGAACATGCAAACTCCACACAGAAGTGCCAACTGACTTAGCCGAGGCCTGAACCAGTGACCTTCTTGCTGTGAGGCGAACATGCTACCCAATGCGCCACATAATGCATGTGTACTTTAAATTTCTTCAAGTGAATATAACATGACATTAACAATAATATTTACTATGTTATGAGCCATTGTATTGACCTGTCAAGGTACTTAAAAGCATAATACTATGGTATATTACCAAATAAATGCAATATTAGATGTTAATGTACGTCCATATAAATTGTGGTTACATACTGATTTATAATTAGTGTTATCATTTGGTGTTTAGCTCAGTTGCACTATAAAATAGCATCGGTTTGTCATTTTGCTCTTTTAGGTGCAGTATCTGGAAGGCTTGTTGACATCTTGGGTGGAATATGAGGGTAAGGTTCAGGGTCTGCAGGCGTGGCTGGATGCTCAAGAAGAAAGGCTCAAGAGGAAACACAGGATTGAGAACTTATCTTCTGTGCAAAATGCACTCAAAGACTGCCAGGTTTGACCATTTGACCAAACATGACCTTATATTATTCAGCATAAGATCTACTGTTGAATAATACTGTTGATTATTAGTCCTCCCTAATTATTAACCCTCCTGTATATTTTTCCCCAATTCTGTTTAACAGAATTTTTTTTTACACATAATCTAACCATGATAGTTATAATAACTCATTTCTATTAAGTGATTTTTTTAAATCTTTGCCATGATGACAGTACATTATAATTTACTAGATATTTTTCAAGATACTAATATCAGCTTAAGGTGAAATTTAAAGGCTTAACTAGGTTAATTAGGCAAATCATATAGTATAATTATCGTTTGTTTTGTAGACTATCGAAAAGAAATATTGCTGTAGGGGGCTAATAATATTGACCTTAAATGGATTTTAAAAAAATTAAAAACTGCTTTTATTCAAGCTTAAATTAAGCAAATAAGACTTTTTCTAGAAGCAAAAATATTATAGGAAATACTGTGAAAAACTCCTTGCTTTGTTAAACATTATTTGGGAAATATTTAAAAAAGAAAAATTCACAGGAGGACGAATAATTTAGACTGTATTTGTCTTTATGTGATGTGTAACTGCAGGAGATGGAGGTGATGGTGAAGGAGAAAGAGAGAGAGCTGGAGAGAGTGGAGGAACAGGCCTGTGCTCTCGTCCAAAACAAGACGGACGAGGCCTGTGCTGTCGTGATGGAGTCTCTACGAGCCCTCAACAACACATGGGCCAATCTGGACCACCTGGTATTTTGTTTAGACCTTCAGTATTGTATTACATTTCAAACAGAAAATATATATGGTTCTGTCTTATTTATTAAATGATATATATGGTGTATTTATTTATAACCTCGTGGTTAAGAATATTGAGGCTAAAGCATCAAACTGACATCATCAGAAAAGGACCGCCACTGCAAGCGCAGAAGCAAACTTTAATTGAAAATTACCACAACAAACAGTTTTTCAGTGGATTGGCTTGTACGGGTTAATTGTTTGCCTAAAGAATATCAATGTGTGCTAGCAAAATAAACATTGGCTGCGTCCGAAACCACCTACTACTCAGTAGGTACTGCATTTGAATGTAAACATACTACTCGGCCGTTAGAAAAGTACGTTCTATACAGTATGAATGTGAAGAGTACTATATCCGCCATTTTGTCATTGTCATGTGACCTACCTGCGTCAGTTGCGTCGCCTCACTTCCAATCATGAATTCTCTCACGGGGCATTATGGGATAGCGAAGCATGCATGGGATGCGCACTTCAGAATCTCGCCGGAAGTAGTAAGTCATCCGGGTACTTCTCGCATACTGATTTTCGAATTCTATGAATTCGGACATACTACTCGGCTCACATACTGATTTTAGCGTACTATATAGTATGGAAGTATGCGGTTTTGGACGCAGCCAGAGTAAATTTAGATTTGACACTAACTTTAAATCTTTGGCAGTAAAAACAGAACTTCAGATTTGAATCTTCACATATTTAAATATATAAAGTACTGTGTCTTTAGCACATATAATTAAATTAACTAAAGTAAAATATTGACATTATGTTACTTCTCATTCTCTTTTATACAGAAAATGCAGGTTCTAGTTGGATTGTTTGGGGTCTAATTTTTTAAGACATATGAAAGAAAGAGTTAGAGAAAGATGTTTCTTGTTTGATCTACATATCTGCCGGAGCTATTGTCAGTATTGCCTCAATTGATGGGATTGTGAAGGCTGATGAGTACAGACAGGTTTTAATCCCTCGTGTATATCCTACTAGAAAGCACCTAATTTGTATTAGTTTTATTTTTCAGCATGATAATGATCCCAAACACACTGCTAATGTAATGAAATCATATTTGGAGGGAAACACAGCTGAAGTCATGAAATAGCCTCCACAGAGCCCAGACTTGAATATTATATAGAGTATGTATAGGCAATGTTATAGGCAGTATGATGAGATTCACCTGGAGAGAAAAGGAAAGATAGAGCATGCTAAATCTTAGGAAGAACACCTAGAAATGCTGAAAGATGCTTGATATTAAAGAGCACATCTTTTTAGAAAAGACTCCACAAAAAAGATGTTGCGTGGTGCTAAAGAGGCCAAACTTTTGATGCTAGTCTTTTGTTTCCAAAAGTATTTTGTTTCTGCACATTGTGTACACATTTTTCATATTTTCTGTTTATATATTAAAGGTATAGTTCACCCTAAAGTAATGACCCAGCACTTACTCCATACCTTTTTAGATTTTGTTTAATGTTTGTACTTTCATTTTAGTTGTCTTTTATTTCTTTAGTTTTAATTTCCAAAATGAATACTCATTGCACTTAATGAATTTATAAGTATAATAAAGCTTGTTTATAAGTTTTTAATGATTCATGAAGGAATTATAATGCTTTGTTTTGTTATTTTATCTTAATTTACAAGTAGCAGGGTATTTACAGCTACAGTATACACTCGCTGGCCACTTTATTAGGTACACCTGTCTAACTGCTCGTTAACGCAAATTTCTAATCAGCCAATCACATGGCAGCAACTTAATGCATTGAGACATGTAAACGTGGTCAAACTGAGCATCAGAATGGGGAAGAAAGGTGATTTAAGTGACTTTGAACATGGCATAGTTGTTGGTGCCACACAGGTTTTTTTTGAGTATTTTAGAAACTGCTGATCTACTGGGATTTCTAAACACAAACATCTCTAGGGTTTACAGAGAATAGTCTGAAGAAGAGCAAATATCCAGTGAGCGGCAGTTCTGTGGGCGCATATGCCTTGTTGATGCCAGAGGACAGAGGAAAATGACCAGACTGATTCCAGCAGATAGAAAGGCAACAGTAACTCAATTAACCACTCGGTACAACCGAGGTCTGCAGAAGAGCATCTCTGAACACACAACACGTCCAGCCTTGAGGTGGATGGGTTACAGCAGCAGAAGACCACACCGGGTGATATTCCTGTCAGCTAAGAACAACAAACTGAGGCTACAATGCACACAGGCTCATTAAAATTGGACAATAGAAGATTGGAGAAACGCTGGTCTGATGAGTCTCGAGTTCTGCTGCAACATTCGGATGGTAGAGTTAAAATTAGGCATCAACAACATGAAAGCATGGATCCATCTTGCCTTGTACCAACAGTTTAGGATATTGGGAGATTCGCATCATGGATGTGCAGCCGACAAATCTGCAGCAACTGTGTGATGCTATCATGTGAATATGGACCAAAATCTCTGAGGAATATTTCCAGTACCTTGTTGAATCTATGCATTGAAGGATTAAGGCAGTTATAAAGGCAAAAGGGGGTCCAACCCGCTACTAGTAAGGTGTACCTAATAAAGAGGCCGGTGAGTGTATTTCTGTCCGTTCGCATCCTGGCCCTTTGTGTCCCTGGCTGCATTGTCACAAACTGCTGTTATACCTAAAACATTTTACTAATCCTGTTGTCCTGCGGCGGCGTCACACCTGGCGGTAGTGGTCATTTTGAGCTGTGACTATTTTAATGTGTATATATATATTACATAGCATTGAATCGTTACATCTCCAGTAACTTGAGTTTGTTTTGGTTGTGTCTCAGATCGGGCAGCTCAAGATCAGCCTGAAGTCTGTCCAGGACAAGTGGAATCAATACAAACAAGCGTCTGAGGAGATTAACGGGTACCTGACGGAGGGCCGCTACTCTGTGTCCCGCTACCGTCTGCTCACGGGCTCTCTGGAGGCGTCACGACTGCAGGTGGAGAGTCTGCAGGTAAAACAGGCTCTTTTCATGCATTATTATTGATGAGAAGTAGAACAAACCCTGAGTCTTGTTATTTTTATGGTGTCTTTAGAACCTGCAGGAGGAGCTTGAGAAACAGGAAAGCAGCATGAGAAAGTTTGGATCGGTCACACTTCAGCTTCTGGAGGAGTGTCACCCGTCTGTGTCTGACACACTCAATAACACACTCAAAGACATCAATGCTAGGTGCGTCTGGTGCTAAATTAAAAGTTTTCTTCTTTCAGTTATTTAAATTTGTGCAATAGTAATCCTTTTGCGTGCTTTAAAGGGTTAACTAAGTTAATTAGTTAGGTAGGTTAATTAACACACAATAGTGGTTTGTTCTGTAACCATCTAGGAAAAAAATTAATTTCTTAAGGTGATTCTTTATTAATATTAATTGTATTGACCTCAATAGCAGTTCTTATTAAATTATGTCATTTAAATATGTATAATAATATGTCATTTATTCCTTTGTTTTCTACATTTACTCTAGTCTAGGATTAATTTTTACTTTACATTACATTTAGCTTTTTATTGTAAGTTATTTGCTGTCTAGAACGTTCAAAAGAAAACTTTTATTTTACCGTCCACGCTTTACAAATGTCAATTTTGATCATTTTAATGCAGCCTTGATGAATAAATGTGTTCATTTATTTTTAAAAATGGTCCTAAATGGATATTTGAGCATGCGGTTAATTTAATGGTAGCATCTGTTTGTGTTCTTCAGGTGGAGCAGTCTACAGGAGGAGATCGTGGAGCGTCTGAAGAGCAGTAAAGCTCTCCTGCAGCTCTGGCAGAGCTATAAAGATCTTTATGGACAGAGCGACTCCAGCGTTCAGACACTGGAGGAGAAAGCCAACCAGATGCTAAAGACAGCTAGCCATAAAGACATCACAGAGGAGGAGGTGTCTGCCTGGATTCAAGACTGTGCTGTGAGTCAAACTGTCTGTGTGTCTGCATTTAATACAGTTGAAGTCCTGAATTATCAGCCCCCCTGTATAGTTTTCCCCAATTTCTGTTTTACGGAAAGAAGATTTTTTCAACACATTTCTAAACATAATAGTTTTAATAACTCATTTCTAACCATTTTATTTTATCCTTATTATGATGACAGTACATAATATTTGGCTAGATATTTTTCAAGATACTAGTATTCAGCTTAAAGTCACATTTATTGCCCTATCATACACCTGACGCAATGTGGCGGAAGGTGCGATGCAATTGTTGTTTGCTAGTTTCAGCTTGAGAGTCGTTTTGACATGTTGCGTCACGCTGTTTAAATAGCAAATGCATTTGCGCTTATATGTGCACCCATAGGCGTTCTGATCTTAAAAAGCAGGCGTGTTTTAGCGCGTTGCTATTTTGAGAAACTATATTAGTCGGTTCTTAAGACCAGAACAAAGCTGGTCTAAAGTCCAGCGCAGAGCGAGTTAATTGTGCGCCTCGCTTACACACTGCTTAATACACACAAGCTGTAGAGCAATACGTAAATATCTTTACATCTGAAAAAGAATTAAAATATTAGGGATATATAGGATATAATAAAGATATATATAGGAAATAAATATAAAGGATTAAAATATTACAAAACATTATTTTCTAGCCTACATAAATATAAAAAACCACTGCATTCATGCCTTCATCTCGGGAGGCTGTTTCAGTTCATTCAATTTGCTTTTGTATAATGTTATTATTATAAGCAGTATTGTTTATTATATCCATATTTATATTTGTTTCATTAAAAACAAGCTTAGATTTGCCCACCTGTCAGAGTATAGACAATATGGGGCACAGCATGTGTATTAGGATATAACTCTGTTGTTCGACCACATTTTGTTATTATTGTTCATTTATTCATTTGCTGGAAATTAGAACTGAATTTAGAAATAGTTTTGAAACAAATATTTGCACCTAACAAACCAAATTAATTATTTATAGGCTATTGGATGTCTGTGCGTACAAGGTTTCCCTATTCAAGAGAGCAAAAGTGAAAGTAGATATTTCATCTCTCATTCTCGTGCTGTAGATGCTCTGTTTAACTGTTTTCTTGCTAGTGAAATGCTCAGTTTTTCCACTTACACTTACTTTACGTCATGTGAATAGCAAATGTGCCATGGCGCGACACAACTGGCTTTTAAAAGGAATGGGAGATGAGACTCTAATTGGTTTATTCACAAAACACACCTATAACTTATTAAGAAAATAAACTCAACCCTTTTAGACCATGCGCCACGGCGCAAAGCGGATTTTCCCATTCTTATATTAGCAAAAATGGATTCTGATTCTGCCCTGAAAGCGTTTGCGCCCTGTGCTTTGCGCTCTGCGCATGGATCGTCAAAATAGAGCCCTTAAAGGCTAGGTTAATTAGGCAAGTCAAGTAAAATATATATATATATATATATATATATATATATATATATATATATATATATATATATATATATATATATATATATATATATATTGTTTAAGGGGGCTAATAAATTTGACCTTAAAATGGCTTTCCAAAAATTAGGAACTGCTTTTATTCTAGCTGAAATAAAGCAAATAAGACTTTCTTCAAAAGAAAAAATATAGGAAATACTGCTTGTATTCATTGCTCTGTTCAACATCATTTGGGCGAATAATTTTCACTATCAGCACAATTATTCACTTTCAGAAAACTGCAGTATATAACAACTAAAAGCTTTAACATTTTCACAGTTGGATTTATGAGCAGTATTTTATTGTTATTCAGAAGTATTCTTAATATGTGCATCACATACAGTTTTTTCATTGCATTATTAAACATGAAATGTATTTGTTGCAGAGTATTTTATGAAAGCAATCTGCTGTATCGTTATAAAAATGTCATTTACACGACAAAATTTCCTATTTTTCCTAATAAGTACAATTTGAATAGACCTAAAAGTGAGATGACATTCTGCAATGTAGTTTCCAATAATGTGTTATCATGACATTGGAGTCTCATTAATCATTTATAATTTTGAATATTTTTCAAAGAATTTTTACGCTTTAAAAGTAGGTGTACTGTTTGCTCTCTTAAATAATTTACATGATAATAATATACCTTCATGCAATATTAAGTTTATAATACAGTAACCGCAGCTCAATACTATAAATAATAAATCATGCATTATGTGTTACAGTAATGATAACCATAAGTATGGGAAGCATTTTGTGTTACAACTGTGATTATAGCTGCTAGCAAAATATGTATTAATATGTAATATAATAAATATGTATATTATATCATTTTATATGTCATAACAGGGATTATAAAGCATTAGGAATATATAGTGTTTTTATTGTGTATTGCTTTAAAAGGGCTGCGCAATATTGGAAAAATGTTATTTTGTAATATTATGATTTTTATGAGATATATAGTAACATGAATACTATTTCACCAGATAGCTTGAATAGATGTAGATGGGGAAAAAATCATCATTTTAAAATGATTGCTATAATTTTGTCAATCTTCATAAAATCTAATAAAACAATGTATAATTTAATGCAATAAAGCAAAAATTAAAGTGAAATAAACAGAGCTTCATGATTTTCTGGGAGTCCAGGAGTACAAATGTAACTGAACTGACTAGCCAAATGTAAAATAAACCTGTATAGTTTTCATCATATAAATAATTAAACACAATTAAACTTTGTTAAACCTCCAAGCGTTATAATTTCTTGTGTCCAAATGCTTTTAAAATGCTTTTAAGCTCTTTTTAGTTTTTCTTTTGTGATGCTTGGAATTACCTGCAGCAGACCTTAAAGCTCAATACTACGGATGTAACAATATTGTAAATACCGTCATACCGCAATAGTAATTTTCAATATTACCGTAGGCGCATGACTCAATAAAACTATATTTCTGAGAAAAGTTTGCTTAGGTGAATGAAGCGAACGGGAGGTAGCGGGAACTACAATTCCCATCAGCCTAGGCGTGGCCATCATCCTTTGCGGTCTGTTGTCACTACAGATCCAGTAATGCGGAAATGGAGTGTGTGAACCTAAAGCGGGTTTTAAATCGGATGTGTGAAAGCATTTCGGTTTCTTTCTAAAAAGATACGAAAAAGGAGAAAAGGTGACAGACAAAGAAAAAAACAGTATGCAGGCACTGCCAGACTGTGGTGAAATATAAGTCAGGGAATACGACTAAAAACAGTCATGGGGACTGCAGAACACAGCACACTTGTTAGATTGATGCAGACATTGACTTGTACCGCAAAGAGACCTCCATCTCACTCATGGCTTGTCCTCTGAAGTGGTGGAAAGACAATGCACAACGTTACCCACTGCTGTCTACCTTGGCTAAATCATATCTCTCTGTCCCAGAAACCTCAGTCCCAAATGAGAGGGTATTTTTCTGTTGCAGGGGACATGCCCAGAGATCCCAGCTTTTACCAGATTATAGTAAAACAGATTATACATTTTAATAATTATATTGTTAAATATGCTGATCACACTGCCATTTTAAGTCTCTTACACAAAGACATGGACCTATCATCCTACCACAGTGAAATCGATCATTTCACTCAGTGGTGTGATAAGAACTGTCACACCAGACACAAGAAGACACGTAAAAAAGACACAAGAAATGGTATTTGACCCACAAAGTGTTTCTGAACACAGGCCTGTGATCATTAAAGACACAGTGATACAGCAAGTCACATCTTACAAATACCTGGGGTTTTATATGGACAGTGTTTTTTGTTGGAGACCACACATTGAGAGTTTATGCACACAACTACAACAGAGGCTTTATTTTTTAAGAAGGCTGAGATTGTATGGGGTGGGTAGCCATATCTTGCTTGTTTTTTACCGAGCTATGTTTGAGAGTCTTATTCGCTATGGAATCACAGTCTGGTTTGGAAACCTGTCTGTTCAGTTGAAAAATAAATTGGTTCATATACAAAAAACAGCCATGAAAATTATAGGGATAAAACAATATGAGCCCATCCAGACTCTATACGAACAGGCGGCTATAAAAAGAGCAATACGTATTAGCACTGATTCTAAACATCCCCTTTTCAGTGAATTTCAACTGTTACCATCAGGAAAAAGACTGAGAATGCCAATGTGTAAAACTAATAGACTGAAGCTTTCGTTTGTTCCTACCTCCATAAAACTGTTGAACTCTACCAATAACACTGCTCCTGCAGTACGCTAACACTTGACTGGGTTCTGTGTTTTATATATTTATATTTATATACGGTCTTACTCTGTAAACAATGTATGTTCATAACTGTTTGTTCTTAATTGTTTTGTTTTATTTATTTTTACTGTCTGTTTAGACAATGTTGTAGCACCTTTTATGCCCAAGACAAATTTCCTCTCGGGGACAAATAAAGTTAAACCTAAACCTATAGTTACATGATAATTTTCCTTAAAAACCCCATCTCTATCTAAGTGAGTGAGTGATTAAATGTTGAATGTGAGGAGTTTTCAACAATACTAAATTGAAACTTTATTTTTTTTTATATGGCTTTATAGTTTTTTGTTATTAAAATTGAAAAATTGAAGTTTCTGTTTCGAAACTTACAGATAGATGGCTAATTTGTATGTCATTGATATGTTCAGTGCTAAGGTAAATAAACACTTTTGGCACTTTTTTCGAGTTTTTTCATTAGTTTTGTTTTCCTGTAAATTACTCATTAAACACCGTACCGTGCCATTCATACCGAGGTATTATCGTACTGTGAAATTCTGATACCGTTACATCCAAACTCAATACTTTTATTCCATTACCATCCTTAAAAAATGAAATCCAGTTAATAGTGCGAGATTACTGTGCTTGTTTTTAGTTTCTCTTTTGTTTGAAATGTTATTATCTGCATTTGTGTAATTGTTATTGCATTATGTCCTTACTACTCCATATCTGCTTTTTATGTTGCCTCTTGGCCAGGTCGTCATTGTAAATGAGGTAAACTGGTTCTCAGTTGTCTTAACTGGTTTAATACAGGTTATTACTATTTAAACTTGAAATGCTCACACGGTCATCTGCCTTAAAAATGCAAATAAGCAGATTAACTTTCACTCTGGTAAAACTCTGCTGTGACTCCAAAATACTCGTGTTCTGATCTGTGCTCGTCGTGCTCCTGGTCAACTATAGTCTAGATGTAATCAAAATTGTGTTATCAATGTCATATTGATGCATTCCTAAAATCTACCATTGTAAAATCTCTATGAAATACAGAAATGGTTTGTATATTGTCTTTAGAGTCTTTGGGCTCTATTTTGACGGTCCATGCGCAGAGCGCAAAACGCAGGGCGCAAACGCTTTCAGGGCGTGTCAGGAAGCGTTTTTCCTAATTTAAGGACGGTAAATCTGCCTTGCGCCGCGGCGCATGGTCTAAAAGGGTTGAGTTTATTTTCTTAATGAGTTATAGGCGTGTTTTGAGAATAAACCAATTAGAGTCTCATCTCCCATTCCCTTTAAGAATCAGCTGCGTCGCGCCAAGAGCGCATTTGCTATTTACAGGAAGCAAAGTAAGTCTAAGTGGAAAAAATTAGCATTTCACAAGCAAACAGTTAACAGTTGACAGTTTTTTAACAGAAAACAGTTAAACAGAGCATCTACTGCGTGAGAATGAGAGATAATGGATCACTTTCACTTTCGCTCTTGGATAGGGAAACCTTTACGCACAGACATCAATTAGTCTATAAAAAATAATTTTGTTTGTTAAGCGCAAAGATTTGTTTCAAAATTATTTCTAAATTCAGTTCTAATTTCCAGCAAACAAATAAATGAATAATAATAGCAAAATGTGCTCAAAAACCTGAGTTATATCCTAAAACACATGCTGTGCCCCATATGGTCTAAAACCTGACAGGTTAATAAAACAAATATAAATATGGATATAATAAATAATACTGATAATTATAATAACATTATACAAAAGCAAATTGTCATGAATGAACTGAAAAAGCCTCCCGAGATGAACAGGGCATAAAAGCAGTGGTTTTTCATATTTATGTAGGCTAGAAAATAATATGTTTTGTAATATTTTAATCCTTTATATTTATATTCTATATCTATTCTTATTATATCCTATATATATCCTTAATCTTTAATTTTTTTCATATGTAAAGATATTTGCCTATTGCTCTCTTGTGCGTATTAAGCAGTGTGTAAGCGAGGCGCAACTCTGCGCCGGAGTTTAGACCGGGTTTGTTTTGGTCTAATGAAAAATCTATTTTAGTTTCTCAAAATAGCGACGCACCAGCGGTCCGCCTCAGAACGCCTTCCTTTTTAGACCAGAACGCCTATGGGCGCACAAATGAGCGCTAATGCATTTGCTATTTAAACAGCGTAGCGCAACGCCTCAAAACGACTCTTGCGCCAAGCTGAAACTACCAAAAGAGTATTGCGCCACGCCTTGCGCCACACTGCGCCGGGTGTATGATAGGGCCCTTTGTGTGTCTATTTGATAAGTAGAATTTTGGAAAAAGCATCTGGTAAAATCCTAAATGCATACCTAAATCATACCTTTAATGTTATACACCCCTCATTAAGAATGTATGATGATTTTCTTCTGATGCTCCGCTGTATTGACTCTGTGTTTGTTCCCTCAGGAGCTACTGCGCTCTCAGGCTCCGGTTCAGGCGTCTCTGCAGGTTTTAATGGAGTTAGGAGAACAGCTCAAGCAGCAGGTGGACACATCCGCTGTGGCCTCCATCCAGTCAGACCACCTATCTCTCACCCAGCGCCTCAGTGTGGTGGAGCAGAGCCTGAGTCGACAGCAGGTGGCGCTGCAGGTCAGTTGAAATTGGAGATCTGCGCAGGACTAAATTTTGAATCCCGCACCCGCCAGGTTTTAGCCCGAACCCGACCCCTCCCGCTTATATTAAGCATTTTTATGTCCCGCTGCCTGACCCGCCCAATTTTCTACCCGCCGCGCCCGTTCACTCTAACGGATGGGGAGGGGGCGGGGGGGTTGGTACAAAACTGAAAACCACCCAGCTATACAGAGTACAGACAGCCTATAACACGCTGTCTGTATAAACAGACACACACAAGCAAAAACAAGTGACACACACACAGACAGCGTCTCGCTCTCTATTTAAATCACACACACACACACACGCACAGTGAGAGAGAGAGACGCAGCACAAAGCTCTCTCTCTCTCATTCGCACGCACACATAGACAGCAACAAACAAGCTAAACGCAGCATCATGCTGTCTCTTTCACACACATACATACGCGTGGGGAGCCGGGGGCGATATTGTTGAACCGCCCGCTCCCGTCTAAAATTAAACCCGTTACTGACCGCTCCCACGCTTTATTCCTAAATGTATTCCCGCGCCGCAGAAATGTGGTCGGGTCCTGTGGCTCTATGCAGACCTCCAGTTGAAATTATCATTCTGTGCTGTATGACGCCTTGTTCACACCTACATGAGCTGATTTTTCCCTGCCTTCACTTAAAAAAGTCTCTGTACACATGAATAGGCATATTTATGGGCACTCCGAACCAACAGATGGCAATAAATACCTTTTACACTGGGTTCACACCAAATGCGAAAATAAGTATTTGTGCGAGGACATTGCACTCAAGTCAGTGTAAACATGAGAACAGAGGTGGATTACGGTCCCTCGGTGTGAACAACACAGAATATGTGATGCGTTTTGTTCAAATGACCCCAGCCGTGTTGGCCAATCAAAAAGGAGGAAACATCTCGAACACTGACGTCATGAGGTAAAAACATCAGTTTAGTTTCACACGACCACATTGTACCTTGAGTTTCAGGAAATGTTTACCCTGGGTGGAGTTTTTCAGAAGGTTTTGGTTTTAGTCACCTGATGCTGCATTTTCATTTGGACAAAAATAGTTTTTTACAGTCTATGGCAGGAATCACCAAACTTGTTCCTAAAGGTCCGGTGTCCTGCAGATTTTAGCTCCAACCCTAATCAAACACACTTGAACAAGCTAATTAAGGTCTTTCTAGGTATACTTGAAACACCCAGGCAGGTGTGTTGAGGCAAGTGGGAGCTAAGCCCTGCAGGGCACCGGACCAAAACATGTAGATTTATTAACAGACACTCACTAGGAAGGACATAGGAAACACTGGAGACTCAGGAACGACATGAGGTGATGACAGACATCAACTGAGAGAATACCGGACAACGACTGACCAAACACAGGGACTTAAATACACAGTGGATGATGACAATGATTACATACAGGGGATGAACACAGGTGACACAGATGGACATAAACAAATGGCGGGAACGGGAACAAAGGAGCACATGGGGAAGGTCACATGATGAAAACAAAACACACAACAAAGACTGTGTGTCACACTGAGAGTGTTATTCATTCATTCATTTTATTTTCGGCGTAGTCCCTTTATTAATCAGGGTTCGCCACAGCGGAATGAACTGCCAACTTATTCAGCATATGTTTTATCTCTGGGAAACACCCATACACACTCATTCACACTCATACACTACGAACAATTTAGCTTACCAAATTCACCTGTTCTGCATGTCTTTGGACTGTGAGGAAAACCGGAGCACCCGGAGGACACCCATGCGAACGCAGGGTGAACATGCAAACTCCACACAGAAACGCCAACTTACCCAGCCGAGGCTCCAACCAGTGACCTTCTTACTGTGTGGCGACAGCACTACCTACCGCGCCACTGCATCGCCCGAGAGTGTTGTTATTATAAGTAATTATTATATATTATGTTAATAGAATTAATCTATTTTTCAACTAAACAACATTTGTCATTCATCAAGACAATTACATTTGGATAAGAAAGAAATTGATTGATAAAGTAGTTCATGAGACAATAAGGTATAATTTAGAGCAGAGTAATTATATGTAAATATATGTATTTTTTGTTATACAGATATTTTACATTTTTTCAACTAAAAGTTGAATTTGTCGATCAATTGCAAAAGCTTAAAAATAATAATTTTAGAGTTTATGTCAATATATGATATGGTGTCATTAATTTGAAACGTTTTGTCTTTTAATACATATATTGTTTAAAATGTAAGTGTTAATTTCTTAAAATAAAGCAAAAAAGTGTCTATGCATTGTTAATTATGCATTGTCTATGCATAATTAGTTACTTATTAAATTAAGACAGAAGTTTAAATTAAATTTCAGACAAAGTAATTAGAAGAATAATTAGTAAATTAGTTAATAGTATTTAATTACTTTTTTGAAATAACTTAACCCAACACCTGTACAGTATATGAGAGTGTTTTTAGTGTCTATTATTTAGGTTTTGTTTCTCCTCATCAGGCTGGAGTTCGGGACTATGAGACGTTTAATGAGCAGCTGGACTCTCTGTCCCGCTGGATTGTGGAAGCTGAGGAGGTTCTGAAAGGACAAGATCCCAATGGATCATCTGACCAGTCACTGATCCAAGACCGCATGGAGGATCTAAAGGTATACAAGACTGATTAGACAATGATAAAATAGGGATTGGTTTGTTATTAAAAATAAATGTTTAAATAAAATAAAATATAATTATTAGCTTTAATATTTAATTTAAGAAAGATTAAAATATATATGTAATATTTATTTAATAAATTCACTTTTTTAAAAGTATTATTAAATATTTTAAAATGAAATAATAAAAAATAGATCATAAAAATGTTACATTTATATTTAGATGTTTGTATTACACTTAAAATATTATAAAATTATAACTTAAACAAAAAGAAATGCAAATTAAGTAGTTTGTATTTTACTTTTGTCACATTTTTAGATTACTATTTGTTTATAATATATTTATAATATATTATATATTATACTTAAATATTATAATATTATAATATTTTTGCGTTGTATTACATAGTTTTTTTAGTTGTTTAAAAAAAAGTAAAAGTAGTAAAATAAAGTAAAAAAATAGTAAAAGTATTTTGTGTCTGTTAAACCTGTTGAATACACAAATAAATTACACCTTTTTGCTCAATGTGAACATTGTAAAAGATTAATTGTTTAAATGCCATAAGCAGTATACTGATATACAGTCAAAGTCCGAATTTTTTACCCCCCTTTGTTTTTGTTTTTTTTTGTTTTTTTATATTTACCAAATTATGTTTAACAGAGCGAGGAAAGTTTTACAGCATGTCTGATAATATTCTTCTGGAGAAAGTCTTATGTTTTATTTCGGCTAGAATAAAAACAGTTCTTAATTTTTAAACACCATTTTAATGACAATATTATTAACTATATTTTTTCCGATAGTCTACAGAACAAACCATTATTATACAATAACTTGCCTAATTACCATAACCTGCCTATTTAACCTAATTAGCCTAGTTAAGCCTTTAAATGTCACTTTAAGCTGTATAGAAGTATCTTGATAATTATCTAGTCAAATATTATTTACTGTCATCATGGCAAAGATAAAATAAATTAGTTATTAGAAATCAGTTATTAAAACTATTATGTTTAGAAATGTGTTGAAAAAAATCTTCTCTCCGTTAAACAAAAATTGAGGGAAAAATAAACAAAGGGGCTAATAACTCTGACTTTAACTGTACTGTTGTTGTTGTTGACTTGTGCAGAAACAGATGCTAAAGTTCAGCAGTATGGCTCCTGATCTGGAGAGACTGAATGAACTGGGTTACAGACTCCCACTGAACGACTCTGAGATCAAGCGCATGCAGAACCTCAACAGAAGCTGGTCCACAACTTCAGCTCAGACCACCGAGAGATTCTGGTTCGTTTTTAGCTCATTACTTAACACTTCAGTCATGATATATAGTTTATAAAATCGACTGTGTAATATAGGCTTATAAAAACATACATTTTTTTGTTGCAGATGAAGCTTTTATTTTTGCATACAGTATTATCATAATATTTATCTAAGCTGTTTTTTTTGTTTTTTTTTTACAAGTTACAGGTTTAATAGGCCAAAAATTGACATGAAAATGTTTGATAATAAGTTGTTGCGTTAAGTATTTGGTACAGTGATGAACAAACACAGAAATACAGCAAACTGAATATTCTTAAAAAGTACTGTAAAAGCAATACATAACTATTAACTGTATTTTGAAGTGCCCACGATATCAGTATTGTGCATGATCATTATCAAGATATATTAAATGACTAAATATTAACATATGCTCAGTGTAATATCTGAAATGCAAATAATAAACAACCATTATTTTGAATAATTATATCAAATGAATCAGCATCTTCAAAAGTTTACTGAAAACCTGTTATACACCGCTATTTAGTCATAATTTAAAATCTTAGATTGGTTTAAAAGAATCATTGTTTAAGGTATTAATCAAATGTTGTATAATGTTGTAATCTAATCAAGAGGAATGAACAAACTCTTTGAATTAAGTCAATCCGATCTGACTTCCAGTCCAGCTTCGCTTTGGGCTTTAGCACCTAAACTAAATCCTAAACATGTGACGTGACAACCTAAATAAATATTTTCCTTTTTGTCTGCTTTATATAATGATAATCTCTAAAGATTCAGCATCTTCCTGAAAACCTACATAATCTACTACATGTCTTCTGCTGACTGATTGATAACTGCTTTAGTATGAATGTAAAAACCTGGTCATGGCTTAAATGTTTGCCTCCTAAAGGGTGTAAATTGTCTCCTCAGTAAACTTCAGGCGCTGCTTCTCCAGCAGCAGACATTTCTGGAGAAGTGTGAGACATGGATGGAGTTCTTGGTGCAGACGGAGGAGAAACTGGCCGTGGAGATTTCCGGAAACTTCCAGAGCCTGATGGAGCAGCAGAGAGCTCATGAGGTCAGATGCAACAAAGCAAATTAAGGCTGAATTATACTTCTGCGTTGAGTGAGCGCCGTAACCCATGGCACATGGCTCGCACATAGCTGTGCATTTATACTTGTGCCTTCTGTTTGTGAAGCTCTGCAATAACACTTTCAAAATGCTAGCAGGCAGGTTTTTTAATGATTTTCTGTGATGTTTCTTCTCAGATGTTTTGTCTACATTGTCCGTACAAGTAGCTCAAACTCGCTCATTCAGAGGCGGAACCGGCAAACATGCAATAACTTGTGAAGTTTATTCATAAACTAATTTCGAGAGGATCACGTGCTTATGATTTATCATGGCCGGTCTCGCATTTGCTAATCACTATCTTCCAATCATATGAGCCCTTAGCTACTATAAAAAACCACAGTTTTCAGTTCACTTTATCTTTGTTTGGAAGAAACCCCCCTCCTCCCCTATTTTCCTCCTTTACCTCTGATTGGGCGGCACGGCGGCCCAGTGGTTAGCACTGTGAGCCCCACAGCAAGAACACTGCTGGTTCCACAGGACCGGTGGGTGTTTCTGTGAGGAGTTTGTATGTTCTCCCGGTGTCCGCGTGGGTTTTGCCCAGAATCTCCAGTTTCCTCCCACCGTCCAAAGACATTCAACATACATAACAATCAAGCATTTGTCTAACCCCTTGTGTTCCCTTAGCTATCGCAGCAGGGGAGTTCTGAGATCCTTTGAGCTCGGGGCTCTCTTCCGGGACAGCATGCCAAAAAAGCTTTTATAAAGCATCAGCTAAGTGTGAACGCTTGAAGTAGCATAAAGTAACACAAAACAAAAGTCTCCATCTGAAGTCGACACTTTTAAACACTCACACCAGTGGGGCTCGCTGCTCTCCTGCAGCTCTCAGCCCCTCCCACTGTCGTCAACGCTACCAGGCCAACCAATCACTGAGCTTGCGCTACAATATTTTTTGAGAGGTGCGCATCAGGATCTGCTTCAGCCACGACAAATGGTATACGACTCGCTACGACCTTATCTTCCATTCTCTTACCTTTTGGTGGTCTTGCAGAGTGAAGTCACTATTAATTAATTAATTTATGGGTGGAAGATACATATATATATATATATATATATATATATATATATATATATATATATATATATATATATATATGGTCACGTTAGACTTTCTCATTGTCCGTCATTTTGACGGAGTGGGTTGTAAAAATTCCATCATAACCTGTTATTGACCGTCATTTAATTAGCATACTTTCTAATCGCTTTTTTCATTTATATTTTAATAGTGAACTTGCACGACGAGCATATAGGCTAAATTATTCATTTATTTATTTGACAAACGAACAAAAACTACTATCTGCCTTAACTCATGTCTTCCTCCTGCGTCAACCGGAACTGGGTGCTTGCCTGTGCGTAATCAAGCACATCAAGAGAAACTGATGCAGAGGCATTTGTCATTAAATTCTGTGCCTTTGCCTCAAAGTTTACTTCTCCTGATAGTTTTAACTTTGTTCTGGAGGCTGAAGCCGCGTTCTGCTGCCACACTGGAGACCGGAATTACTAGAGTACTTCAGCTAGTGAAGAGCGGGAGGGGTAGCTGTGATGCGCAAACTGAAAGGCGCAGAGCAGGTATGGAGACGGTTGCGCGTTGTGTTCGTTGCGCATGGGGACTGTACCAAAAAGCTGAAGAGCAGGGGGTTGGGGGATGGGGGGGTGGAATTCCGGGAGATGGGCGGGAGATGGGTCTGAAATACAGGAGACTCCCATGAAAAACGGGAGTGTTGGCAGGTTTGTCTGTTTTTGCAACTACGCAGAGGTTACAAGAGGAGACAAAACATTCGCCATCAGCTGGACAAGAGTGGGAATTACAGTTAGCAACAAATTACAATAGATCCCCCTCAGCATAATCCATCAAAATGACGGATCCCCTTCAGATTTTTCTGTCAATGCTGAAAAAATCCGTCAATGACGGAACATATTCGGTTAACGCGACCTCTGATATATATCTGGATTATGGTCGGAAGCTAGCTGGCCGTAACAGACTGCAAAGGCTGTGGCTAACCATTCGTGTGCACTCAACAGAGAAGTTTAAACCAGCCTTTATACTGTCTGTCACTCTCAAGCTGCAAACCTTGCTTACATAATAATAAGTAGGGAGGCACCAAATTTTTTCTGCCAAAAATTATTAGTTAAAAAAGACTGTTTTGGTTTCTGGCGCATACATCATAGTTCAAAATAACTCAATATTCCAACACAGGCACATTCTGAAAAAGTGCCCCTAAATACATTTCTGGAAATCGCAAATTATGTAGCCAGAAGTACGTATGACTGCATTTCATCTTTAAAACGCATGCTAAGGGGTGATATGATGCCCTTCCATTTCGCGCTTACCAGCTGATCCGGTTACCTCAGTATGGACAGCTTTCCTGCTATTACCAGTTTGTCCAGTGGCTCGCCACATACATCTGCGGTCTTGTGACGTGGAGCGGAGTGAACCGTGATGACAGGGTTCGAGTTGAGCGGTTCCAGAAAGCAGGAAGGACAAAAACAGAAGCCAAAAAATAAAATAAACAAGTAGATAACAGGGTGAAAATGTGGTTAAATCTGAAAACGTGGTGAAAAATCAGGCGAGGACTTTTCTTTTTTTCTGGATTGCTTTTTTTAAAACACTGTCAGTTGGGTTTAGTCAAGTGGGTGGGTGGGTCAGTCAGAGCTTTTGAAAACACTATTGGTTGGGGTTAGGTAAGGAGGAGGGTGGGTCAGTCGATCAATCAGTCATTCAGTCGACAGCAGCCTCTGGTGGATTTACGTGAGAAGAGCTGGTGCGAATGGCACTCGAGAGAGAAATTTAAGATCTGAAAAAGCCTACACAGCGGCCTCTGGTGGATTCGCTCCGGGAGGTATTTCACGCTCTCCAGAAATGTATATGGGAGTACGTTTTCAAAATGAGCCTGGGATGCAATATTCTGCTCTTTGGAGATTTTGCTCAAGTACATATGTGTTTATCTATGTGTACACTGCACATGTTCACTGGAAAAGCAAAGTCCGCTCAAATAACGATGAAATAATGATAAATGTTTTACAATGCATTTTAAGTCAGGTTTTTCAGAATTTTTGGGTTCAGCCCAGAATTTTCATTTGGGTTCATATCTGTGTTTGTTGTTGTAGCTGTTTCAGGCCGAGATGTTCAGCAGACAGCAGATCCTTCACTCCATCATCAGTGATGGACAACACATGCTGGAGCAGGGACAGGTGGATGACAGGTGAGGGCCATCTTCATCATCATCATCATCATCATCATCATCATCATCATCTACTTATATGCACTCATGCAAGATATCAGAATAACACACTACCTGTCATCAGTTTTGAAGGCTATTCTGCATTTATTTGATTAAAAATACAGGATGAACTGATAAATTGTGAAATATTATTACCATTTAAACAGATAGCATGTGCGAGCATATATTATTAGTGTCAGCCCCTTGTCTCTTGTAGCACTTTGGCAGTCTGGACAATTTTCTTATTTAATATAGTTTAAAATGTTGTTTATTTAAAGCTGATTTTTCTTCAATGTTGCATGAATCTTCAGAAATAATTTTAATATTTCTGACTAATAGTTTTAGTTTTAGTAGTGTGTATGTGAAGTTTCAGCTCAAAATACCCCACAGATAATGTTTTATGACTCTTTAAAAGTGCCCCTTTTAGGTTTTGATCCTAATTGTGCTGTTTTGGTGACTGTCAAATTGTTTCAATTCAACTGAGATTGTGATCTTTTTAAAAGAGGGCGGAGCTACAAAGCCTATGTGTCAGCATGGTGGCAGATTTAAAAACAAGACTAACGTCGTATGCTAATGAGAGAGATATCATCACTAATGGGCGGGGCTTTCCAACTCTGATGACACGTATAAAGGAAGAATGTCAATCAAAGTGTTTCTGCAGACTGTTTTTATCAAGTGTGATTATAAACAAATAAAATGTATGCATTTTTACCATTAAAGGCTGATTATATTTACAGACTGTCACCACAATACTGTGTTTAAACCCCTTATAAAAGTGATTTTCGCATAATAGATCCCAAATACATGAACGGATTTGATGCTTCTGTTTGAAACTGTCCTTGTTTGCAGAGATGAGTTCAAGCTGAAGCTGGCTCTGCTCAGTAACCAGTGGCAGGGTGTGGTGAGACGGGCACAGCAGCGACGGGGCATCATCGACAGTCTCCTGCGCCAGTGGCAGCGCTACCGGGAGATGGTGGAAAAGCTTCGCAAGTGGCTGCTGGAGGTCAACCATCAGACCCAGAGCCTGCAGGCGGGGACACCAGTGCCACTGCAGCAGGCACGAGCCATGCTGGATGCAGTTCAGGTAGATAACCTCCCAGAACATCTTAAAGGGACAGTGAAATAAAAAACATGCTTTTTAGATGTTAGTATCAGTCTGTTGTGTTCTCCAAAACAATGACAAAATTTGCATTTAGAAGATATAGAACTGATATATACATGTAATTCATGTAGTCCGTCACTTCCGCCTAAATGGATCAACGTTTTTTTTTTACACCTCACCTAAAACTTCCGTTTTTTTTTTGCCAAACCTACCAAGTAGGTTTTTTGAAGCATCCTCGAGATGTTGCCAAAGTTGTTCTGGATTTAGTTTTTTCTCAGTTTGTTCTGTTTTTTCATGTCATTCCAGACAGACGGATCAGATAATGATCAGATCAGATCTCTGTGAGGAGCACTGGCTGTTGACAGACAATAATCTCATTGTATAGATTAGATTCAACTTTATTGTCATTACACATGTACAAGTACAATGCAACGAAATGCAGTTTAGGTCTAACCAGCAGTGCAATAGCAGCAAGTGCAGTATACAGGAATAAGTTATAAAGTGCAGTTATAGAAAACTATGGTGATATTTACAGATGGATGTACTATCAAAATTATATACAGGTTGGATAAGCTATGAGCAGATTTACAATATATGAATATATGTGCAGGTTGCTATTAATAATCAGTAGTGTGCAGATAGATAAACATGATTACAAGTGTATATGTTACAATATAAAATATGAGTATATGTACAGGGATAGATAAACATGATTACAAGTGTATATGTTACAATATATGAATATATGTACAGGTTGCTATTAATAATCAGTAGTGTGCAGATAGATAAACATGATTACAAGTGTATATGTTACAATATAAAATATGAGTATATGTACAGGGATAGATAAACATGATTACAAGTGTATATGTTACAATATATGACTATATGTGCAGGTTGCTATTAATAATCAGTAGTATGCAGATAAGTAAGCATGATTACAAGTGTATATGTATAGTGGGTGTGTACATAATTACAAATGTCCATATGCAGTGGGTATGTACAGTTCAATAAGTAAACAGTTTAATGTGGTGCAGTGAATGTGCAAATGTTAAAACAGTGCAGTTACTGTGAGGAGTTTAAGTTAGAGGAGATATGGGGGTGTATTTGAGGGGCCAAAAGAGTCAGTGGGGGGCAGAGTTCAGGAGGGAGACAGCTCTGGGGAAAAAGCTGTTCCTCAGTCTGCTGGTTTTTGTCCGGGGGAGCCTGAAGCGCCTGCCGGAGGGCAGGAGAGAAAACAATCTGTGAGCGGGGTGAAATGTGTCCTTCAGAATACTGCGTGCTCGGCGCAAACAGTGTTTCCTCTGGATGTCCTCTATGGCTGGCAGTGTGCTCCCTGTGATGCGTTGGGCAGTTTTCACCACCCGCTGCAGTGCCTTACGCTCAGCAACAGAGCAGCTTCCATACCAGACTGTGACACAGTTTGTCAGGATGCTCTCTATTGTGCAGCGGTAGAAGTTCACCAAGACGGCTGATGAAAGCTGGTTCTTCTTCAGTTGCCTTAAGAATAGGGATGGGAAGATTAATCGATATGTATCGATACGCGGTCATGCGCGTGCACGATGCGAGTGCATCGGTTGAGCAGCAGAGGATGAATGAAATTTTGGAAGCAAATCGAGATGCATCAGTTTTTGCGAGATGCATCGGTTTTTCCGAGATACAGCTTATATTTTTAATATAGAATGTATTTTTTATTTATTAACAAGTGTTGTCAACCTGTTTTTGGCGCATAATTTAATCGACCTACATAAAGTAAGCCTTAGCAACGGATTTGCGGATGTGTACACTTACACTACAACTCAGTGTATCAGGTGTGCTTTAACTGTAGCTACCAGCTCCAAAAGTGGTGAGAAAATCATTGCAAGTTTTTTTTCCATGCGCAAAAGTTTTGTGCGCTCTATGCCAATAACGGATGTTACTGCATTGTTCATCTGCAGGGCCGGAGCAAGCTGAACTGCTGCTCTAGGCAGAGGACGATCACGCTGCCCTCAACCCCAGTGTGAAAACGAAAGTGACGTGTCGCGGACCTCTATTCTGCCACCCTATGCGCGGATATAACTGAGGACGCGCGGGTGTCGTGGACCTCTATTCTTCCGCCCTATGCGCGGATATAACTGAGGACGCGCGGGTGTCGCGGACCTCTATTCTTCCGCCCTATGTGCGGATATAACTGAGGACGCGCGGGTGTCGCGGACCTCTATTCTTCCGCCCTATGCGTGGATATAACTGGGTGTTGCGGACGCCGCCCTCTCTATACTGCCGCACTAGGCGGTTTTAAACACCTCCTCCTGTTAATTTTTATTTAATTATAACAATAATAATATTAATAATAATAATGATAAAAATAATGGGTGTCACGGTGGCACAGTGGGTAGTTTGACCACCTCAAAGCAAGAAGATTGCTGGTTTGTTATATTTTTATTAGCCTGTTGTTTACAGTGACAGTGATGTTTCAAAGCAGCATAACACTGCTAGTTCTCGACCTTAAGTTTTGAATATTCAGTGGCAAAATATATCTTTGTAAAACTTGTTTTCATAGTTGAAAAGTTAAATCACAATTCTTGTTGTGCAATGCTCAACCTTTATGTTGAAAGAGTGCAAATATATATACATTTAATATATATTGCACTTATACATTCTGTTTATCTTGAAAATACTTAAATAATATGTGCTATATGTTCTAAAATGGCCCTCTACTGTAAACTGACACTCTGGCTCTGAGAGAAAAGCCAGTTTGTAAAAAAAGTCTTGGTTTTGCTTGGTTAATAAATAATCAAACTCATTCAATGGCACAGCATCCTCTTTCACATCATTTCATAAACTTGATCTAATTAGTTAGTGCTGAATTATCGCATTGTATCGTGATATGGGTGTGAATCGTATCGTGTTGCATTGCAATATGTCATGAATGTATCGCTAATATATCGGATCGTATTCTCTGTATCGAGATGCGTATCGGATCGGCATTATAGCTTAGATGCCCAACCCTACTTAAGAAGAATAGGCGCTGGTGAGCCTTCTTGATCAGGCTGGAGGTGTTGGTACCTCCGTGAAGTTGGCACCGCATAAAAACAAATAATCCCCATAACTATGCCATTCCTTTGTGCTACGTTTGTGCTGATTTGTGCCGCAAAAAGGAACGTTTGTGCTGGTTTGGGGTCTGTAATATTAAGCATTATTTTTTGACCGTGTGATGTCACTCTCCACCCCATGTTGCTCCACCAGTTTTGTACGCTTTAGAGGAAATAATGGGGTGCAAAGTGACGTTGCGGCTCCCGAAGTGTTTTGATTAGGCAATATCTAAATAATAAACATAGATAGGGTGTTTATTTAAACAGCACAAATCCAGCACTAACCAATGACACCTATTTTGTGCAATTTAGAGGAAATAATGGGGCGCTGAGTGACGTTGCGGCTCCCGAAATGTTTTGATTAGGCAATATCTCATCAATAAACGTAGACAAAGTGTTTATTTTTATGGCACAAACCAGTACAAATCCAGCACTAAAGAATGACACCTGTTTTGTGCAATTTAGAGAACCTGGGGTGGAGAGTGACGTCACAGCTCCCGAAATATTTTGATAAGGCAATATCTAAACAATAAAAATAGATAAAGTGTGTATTTTAACGGCACAAACCAGCACAAACCTAGCACAAACGAATGAGACCAGTTTGGTGTGATTTAGACAACCTGGGGTGGAGAATGACGTCACGGCTCCCGAAATATTTTGATTATATCTAAACAACGAAAATAGATAAAGTGTTTAATTTAACGGCACAAACCAGCACAAACCCAGCACTAACGAATGAGACCAGAGGAAATGGGGTGGAGAGTGACGTCACGGCTCCCGAAATATTTTGCTTATATCTAAAGGAGGAAAACGGATACCGTGTTCGTTTTAACGACACAAACCAGCAAAAACCGAGCACAAACGACCTGTGCTGTTTTGAAGTCATTTGCGCAACATGGGGTGGAAAGTGACATCACACGGTCAAAAAAATAATGCTTAATATCTCAGACCCCAAACCAGCACAAAAGTTCGTTTTTGCGGCACAAATCAGCACAAACGTAGCACAAACGAATGGCATAGTTTTGGGGATTATTTGTTTTTATGGGGTGCCAACTTCACGGAGGTGGTGTAGGTGGTCCAGGAAAGGTCCTTTGAGATGTGGGTCCCCAGGAACTTAAAGGATGAGACAGGCTCAACGGCCATCCCATTGATGTGGATGGGATCATGTGAGCCTGTTCATCCCTTTCTGAAGTCCACAATGAGCTCCTTGGTCTTGTTTGTTGTTAAGGAGCATTATTTTTGTCATTAATTATAATTAATGACAAAAATAATGTTGGGAAATATAAATTGATATTTTAAACCGACATGCTACAAAAAACATATAGAATTAACCAGCTTTAAACCTTTTTTAATGAAAATACTAGTGACGTTAGACTTTTGCACAGTACTGTACATCCGAGGGAACGAGACCGAGGGAATTTAGTAATTGTAGGACATAAAAAAGTGTCAGTATCTGCAGGTCTGTGTGACTTTTGCCCCAGGTTATGGGTTGTGATGGGTTGTTCGATGCTCTGCAGCTCAGAGAGAAGGTTCTGCTGAGACAGCAGGGAAGTTACATTTTGACAGTGGAGGCCGGCCGACAACTGCTTCTGTCTGCTGATTCTCGAGCTGAAGCCGTTCTACAAGAGGAGCTGCTCAACATTCAGGAGCGCTGGAGAAATGCCAACATCCGCCTGGACGAGCAGAAGAAGGAACTGGCCGTCCTGCTCAGGGTACAGTTAATGGATCCACACATTTATTTCATTTACAGCCCTTATTGCTATATGTCTGGATAATTTGAGTTATTCTTTACTATTATAAAAATATAGGTAACACTGTACAATAAGGTTGTATTAGTTCATTTTAGTTAATGCAATATCTTACAGGAACAAACAATGAACAATGCACTCATTACTGTATTTATTCATGTTTGTAAACATTAGTTAATGGTAATAAAGTTGTTCATTGTTAGTTTATGTTAAATCACCGTGCATTAACTAATGTAAACAGGCATAAATTCAAATTTTAATAATGCATTAGTAATTGATGGATTATTAACAATAAATGCTGTACACGTATTGTTCATTATTAGTTCATGTTAATAAATGGATTAACTAGCATTACCTAATAATAACCTTATATACACTATATATATATATATATATATATATATATATATATATATATATATACACTTTAAAAACTGATATAATATTAACACTTTAAAAACTGATTTATGGAGTTATTCATCTCACAATTATGGAAAACGTTGAGACAGATATAAAAATGTAAATGAAATCCTAAAAAATTTAAATAATCAAAAATGATTGGATATTTATTAAATAAATTAAGACTTTAAGAATTAGGATCTTGTAAGATCTTGTAAGAATTAATGTAAAATAATTGTTCTTATTTATGCTTTATTTATATTAATATAAATATCACAAGTAATATCAGTATAAGTGTGAACATTTGTTAAATAATAATATAAAAATAGTATTAACTCTATTTTTGTGTTGTTGTTTGTTTAAAAAATAGTTAATAAGTAAAGCTTAATTATTAATTTAAAAATATGTAAACTAATGTTAGAATTTCATTGCATGTGATTTCAATAAAAAAATGCAACTCAAGCCATAAATACTCATATTAATTAATCACATTAAATAATTAATGTAATTACTAAATACCACTTAACTGTATGAAATGGTCAATTCATTTTTTATTTTAATTTCTTTGAAATATAATTGTGATATTTGATTCATTCTGCCAGATCTCACTTTCTTATGATTGAGCGTTATTCATTTTGCACTCAAACTAAAAAAAAATATTGTTCAGTATTGTGCCAAGAACTACAGATCAGACTTACTGATTTGCATATAAGTTGGACATAATAGTTGAGTTTAGGGTTTGTGTTTTAAATAGAGCACTGCTTGATACTGCAGTTGTTCACAAATCACTCTGAGCTAATTTGTGTTCAGGATTGGGAGAGATGTGAGAAAGGAATCGGAGGATCTCTGGAGAAGCTGAGAGCTTTTAAACGACAGCTTTCACAGCCGCTGCCAGATCGCCACGAGGAGCTGCAGGCGGAACAGATGCGCTGCAAGGTACGCAAAGTTAGCATGAAATCAAAATGTACGCTTCTTATTTATGCATGTATATGTTTTAAATGATGTATCTGTGGACTTCATTTTTTTGTACAAATTAAATTACCCTCATAATCTTCAAATCAAATACTATAGCTGCGTCCCAAATGGCACACTATACACTATGCACTCATGCACTATGTACTTATGCACTTACACACTCAACAGGGTAGTATATGTATGTAGTGTCGTCCCAAATGGCACACTAATGTTTTTTTTTACTAAGCGGAAATTCAAACCGTTTCCCTGATGACGTTTGACGGTTGCCAAATCATTGAAGTAAACGGCCGAATTATCAAATAATACCTGCCGTGAGTATTGCCGCAATCACTATCGGGAGGCGCTATAATCACTCTCGTAAAAGAATTTTGCTTTCACCATCCAAATTAAATAAAGTTATTTAACATGTGCGTCCGATAGCTCCGCCCCTTCCGCTACGTAAACGAACCTGCGGTCGTTGAGTGCGTGAAGTGTCCATCATTACACACTTCATTTTAGCGGCTGAATGAGTGCATCATCCGGGTAATTGAAGTGCACTTATTATTTTTAGAGTTTTCAGTGTGAACGCACTACTCACACTATTTATACTACAAAATGGCGTAGAATAGTGCATAAGTATGCGATTTGGGACGCAGCTTATGACTTTACCTCCCCCATCGAAACCACTTTTCTTTACTTCTGGTCACATGGAATGCCTTTAGGGAGGGGCTATCAGCTCTTTATGGTGGGGATATCTGTCCTTTAGGGACAGGGCAGTCCTTTAGGGTTGTTACTAGGTCAGATACGGCTGTGGCTGGAAGTTAACAAGAGTTATTTACATTGCTTATTACATTTAATATTAATTGTATTTTATTAACGTCTACCCCAAACCCAACTGTCACAGTAATGTAAAAACTGTAGTTGTACCGAGTATTTATTATGTATTTTATTTAATTACCCAATAAATTGTATTTTTTTAACGTCTACCCCAACCCTAAACCCAACAGTCACACTGCTGTAAAAATATTAATTATTGTTATACACTGTCACAAAATTGATGCTATATTAATGCGCGTATCCGCAGCTGTAGACTTTCAGACTTTCTGTCAGTGCGTATCTTGTTTCTGCCCTGCTTCTGTCCATTCGTCAACCCTTCTCCATGTTGTTAGCAACACTTGTTAGTCTTCCAAAGGGTTCCCACACTTATTAGTCTTCCAAAGGGTTCCCACACTTATTGAAAGTACTTGAATTTTAAACATATGGATTCAAGCCAGGGGTGGACTGGGACAAAAATTCAGCCCTGGCACTGTAGCCACACCAGCCCACATTACCACACCGACACAGCCCCACCCACAGACACGCACATTCACTATTTAGTCGACAGATGGTGAAATAATATGACATTCTTGCCAGATTTCGATTATGTATGAGTAACCTTGGATTGGGTCGGCCCATCTTTAAACCAGGCGGCAGTTGCCGATTGGGCCAAATGCTTAACATTTGTTATTATTATTATTATCATCATCAAAATATCACATCTAGCAAGAGATAAAAGCTGTCTGCACTTAAAAACAATACATATTTTTTTAAAAACTGACCGGCCCACATTTAAAAATTGGTCCGGCCCTTCTGGCATTTGCCAGAATTGCCAGATGGCCAGTCCGCCCCTGATTCAAGCCTGGAAAGTTCTTAAAAACCAACACAGGTCCTTAAAAATGTTTGAAATAATTTTTTAATTGTTTATGGTTTTATTTTAATTGTTCTCAAACAGAATGAAAAACTGAAAAAAAGTTCAATGAAAAATCTTACATTTAAATCTTGTGCAATAATACTGACAAATAATGCACGTTATCAATATTTCAGAAACCACATTATAATATTTAATAATAAGCAAATTTTGTTAAAGTTCTTTGAACGTGACTGTTTAAAATAGTCAATTTTTGAAAGTTGCTGTGACATTTTTAATGTAAATATTAAGTGTAAGTGAAATGTTAAGTACACTTAGGACTTTCATGGCGCTACACATGCTGAGGTATGAATTACAAAGGCGCTTAATTTACAATTAATGATTCTTTAGAATGTGCTTGAATCTGCTGTTCATGAAAGTGTGGGAACCCTGATTCCAACAGTCGGTTCCCAAAGGATGAAATCATGCACTGCTCTACATTTTTTCTCATTTGGGGATCATTTTAGTTAAATGTTTGTCACGCGATATGGAAAAAAAAGAACATTCAAACCATCATGACAAGCATTTAATCCCTTCAGGATCTGGACAGCATGTTTGACGGCTGGAAGGAGGATTTGACACATCTGACGGTGCTGAGAGAGTCTCTGTCCAGCTACATCAGTCTGGATGATCTACGTGTGCTGCAGGAACGCATCGAGCTGCTGCACCGCCAGTGGGAGGAGATCTGTCACCAGGTACACGCCAAAAACTGCCTGTCTGTGGCCAATAGGTAGTGCTGTTTAACTGCTCATGCAAGAGTTGGTGGAGCAGGTGGCGGTTTAAAGGGACAGTTCACAAAAACTGAAAACTCTGTCATAATTAACTCACCCTTTACTTTTTTCAAACCTTTTTGAGGTTATTATCTGTTGAACACAAAATTAAAATATTTTGAAGAATGCTGAAAACTGTTAACCATTTACTTATATAGTATTTGTTTTTCCTACAATGGAAGTTAATCTTAATTGTTAGTGACTTTGGACAAAAGCATCTGCTAAATGACAAAATGTAAAAGTCAGTGATTACAGGTTTTCAACTATCTTACGAATATCTTCTTTTGTGTTCAACAGAAGAATGAATTTAATAAAAGTTTGGAACCACTTAAGGGGGAATAAATAATGAGTAAATAAAAATTTTGGGGTGAACTATCCCTTTAGGTCCCTTTCTAGTTCGGCACCAATAGCCTAGTGCCTAAATATCCACAAAAAAAAAACTAAATAAGAACTTCTGGACAGCAGAAAGCAAATGAATTGTCTTAATTGACAAGTTTAATCCCATTGGTCTTTTTTGTTGTTTCTGGAAGCTTTAAATGTGTTGTTGTTGTGTTGTTGTTGGCTTTGGGCAAAAAATAAATCGTTTTGATTAAAATTAGGGATGCTCCATTCAGGATTTTTGCAGTCGATACTAAGTACTGATTACTTGTCACGGTGATTGGCCGATACCGACTACCTATTCTGATGCTTCAAGCTTTATAACACATAAACTAAATTTTCCCTTTAATTATGATCCTTAAGTGGAGATCCCTCTTTACCCAAGAGAATAAATTAAGGATGCTGCATATTATCCCTTAAACACATCTTTTATAACCAATTAGGTGTGAACATGTATTGGCCAGAAGCAACTTTACAGAAAAATTACAAACAATGCAATGTGGAAACACTGCAAATGATGAAAGAAGAATTAAACACGTCTCAATAGAGAAAAAGTTTGGAGCGCATATTTAATGCATAAGAAGTTAAAAAGCACACCTATAAATCCATTACTTCTTTATTTAAAGAAAATAGGCCTATAAACTACTGTTTATTTCAATAAGTATATTACAAGAAATTATATTATTAACCAATGCTGTAAAAAAAAAGTTTTATCTAAATTACAGTAAATGTGATTATCGGCTGATACCAATCTTTGGCCGATCGATCGGAGCATCCCTAATTAAAATGTATCAATGTTACATGATAACTAGATCAGTTTACATACTTCCTGCTTGCACATCTTGGCTTAAATTGGTTAATGGTCTCAATTGTGATCGGTAATCTATAACGCATGATCATCCAATTACAAGTATGCTGTTTCCCACCAGTCACTATTACAAATAATAAAACTTAATTTAACCAACATAATATCAAAGGAGGCATTAAATTGGTGTGTTTGAGAGATCTAAGGAGTAAAATGCATGCTTTCAAATTGCACAAAATAGTTTCCCAAATAATGCATTCATTCATTCATTTTCCTTCGGCTTGGTCTATGGAGTCAATCTACGGCCATATACAGTATACTTGCAAAATAAAAGTTTTACAAACAAATAATAAAGTATTGAGCAAAAACTAAATAAATAAATGCAAATCTCCAAAAATTGCAAAGTGAAAATCAAATTTCAAATATTAGTAATTAAAAAATAAATAAATAAATAATAATAATAATAATAATAATAATAATAATAATAATAATATATATATATATATATATATATATATATATATATATATATATATATATATATATATATATATATATATATATATATATATATATATATATATATATTTAAACTACTTCCATTTAAGCAACGTCATCACCTGGAGACAGTATCAGCGAGGTGGTCTTACAGCCCAGTAGGTCCAGGCCTGCCGTAAACACCCAAGTTCTCTTGACTCTGCTTCCTTGTTAAAATAAGGCCACAAAGTAAGGTGAAAACAGCATTTATTTAGTTTTTTGCTCAGTACTTTATTTTTTGTTTGCAAAACTTTATTTGCAAGTATCAAAGATCATACGATTACAAGTGGTGCTCGCTGCATAGCCATTTGAGGAGAGATGAGCTCCAGCGAGGGGGAGCTTAAGCTTGAGCTCCACCTTTTTTGCACTTCTTCTACGAGTGATGTCACTGGGGGTAGGGTTAGGGGTGGGGTTGGTGTACGCATTAAAACAGCTTACAGGAGGAGGAGCGACAGCTCATGCTCCCCCTCGCTGGAGCTCAGCTCTCCTCAAATGGCTCTGCAGCGAGCACCCTCTCTACGATTATGGAAAACCTGGAAAAGTCATGGAATTTTCACATGGCCTTTTCCAGGCCTGGAAAGTTTTGGAAAAACAGAAAAACCCACAAAGTTTTGGAAAAGTCATGGAAAACAAATCTGTATACTTGAATATATGTTATTTACTTCTTTTCTGTCCTTGGCCAAGCACATACTCTCACATTATTAGTGCAGTGTTAGCATTATCTAAATAAGTTTTACAGAGATTTAAATATGAATTGAAAATAGACAAATTTATGCGTGTTTTACGAGATGCTGTAATAAATTTGAACATGCATTGTTTTTCTTTTACAATGCATATTTAGACATTGCATGAAACATTAGGTCATGAAAATTTACTTGAAAGTCCTGGAAATATCATAAAAAAGTGGAAATGGAATTTTTGTAGTAAAAATGTGTATGAACCCTGAAGTATGGCCTTAGATTGACTCCATATCGGTCCCTTATTTATCACATAGCAGAATGAACCGCCACCAAATAATGCAATTAAATGGTTAAAAGGGATAGTTGGGCCAAAATGAAAATTCAGTCATAGTTTACTCATCCTTCACTTGTTCAAACCCTGTTTTTGCTGGGCTTTCTGTGTTTATTTTATTCTTCTGTTGAACACAAATGAAGATATAATAAATAAAGAATGTTGGAAAAAAACAGCCATTGACTTCCATTTTATTTTTGTTCCTGCTATCGATGTCAATAGCTGCTTTTTTCTAGCATGTCTTCAGAATATCTTTTTTGTGTTCGACAGAAGAAAGAAACACCTAAACGTTCAGATGCAACCATTTTCACTTTTAGGTGAACTATCCCTTTAAAAGCAGAGGGAAAACTGATTTGAGTTCAGTCAGGCATTGCTGCATCAGAGCACATTTTGCAGGATATGTTACTTCATGTTTTGTGCAACAAGAGAGTAAAGCAAGCGGCCGTATTTGGCTTAAAGTGAAACTCAAATGCAAAGCAAGTACGACTTGTCATGCAGGCTCTTTGTGGCATCCGGTGCTTGAGCTGAGACACCACAGGAAGTCAGCTTACGTTTGATATTTCAGACTAATTTAACTGTAGATACTGACTGACACTCTTCAATAATGCTTCATTTTTACTGCTCATCTGGTAAGGATGTTTAATTTGATGCTTTTTGTGTTCAGATTTTTATCTTCTGAGTAATTTTAGTCAACTGTCTGATAATTTTTTCGTAATTATGAAGCTACAGAAAGATGCTGGAGCTTAATATAATGCTTAAACACAGCTTAAATGCTCAGGCATACTTGGAAATACTCAAAGACTTCTGTGTGTGTGTTTGTGTGTGCAGCTGTCTCTGCGCAGACAGCAGGTGAGCGAGAAGATGAATGAATGGGCCATCTTCAATAACAAATACAAGGAGCTGTGTGAATGGCTGACACAAATGGAAAGCAAAGTGTCCCACAATGGAGACGTCAGCATCGAAGAGATGATTGAGAAACTGCGCAAGGTAACGGCCAGATCTTTGCATTAGCCTTTCTGCTTCATACTGCACACACACACACATGCATACACACACATATACACAACTGTGGTTTCCATCAATATCTTATTTTTGTAAGTCTCCTTTTAACAGCTTACCCATAGCCTCTAGCTTAAATTCAGCTTTATTTGTATTATGCTATAAATAAGTTTGTCTCTCTAAGCAATAGCACTGTGTGTGTGTTTCAGGACTATCAGGAGGAGGTGTCTGCGGCTCAGGAGAACAAGCTCGAACTCCAGCATCTGGGTGAACGATTAGCTCGAGCCAGTCATGAGACCAAAGCCTCTGACATTGAACACAAACTTAGCAAAGTCAACGAGCGCTGGCAGCACCTGCTCGACCTCATAGGAGCCAGGTAACACACATCGTATTGATTAGAGGTTTGAACCTATACTGGTCTCACGGTTTGGTTCGGTTTTGATTATCATGCCTTCGGTTCAATTCGATATCTCGGTGCATCACGGTGCATTGACGATGCTTTCTATATACAGTGTTATATTTTAGGGGGGAGGCTATAATATGCTGTCTGTATAAACCAAGTGTGCCGCAAGCCTACGTTTGAGTGAAGGTTTCGGCCGTTAGATCGCCCCCTGGGGGCTGGCTGCAGTACAAGTCATAAAGCCCGCCTCCTCCGTGTTAATGAAGGAGACTTGAGCCCAAATAAAAAAAAATATTACACTTGCAATAAAATGTCCCGAAAGATAGTTCTGGTCGATTAAGGCACTGGTTATTGTGCTGAAATAGGTGCAGATCTTCATTTTTGTAAACAGTTTGTTTTTAGCAGTAATTTAATGCTGGGCGTGTCATCGTGATTGACAGCTGTGATTGACAGTTTCTCAAAGCGCGGCGTCTGAGCTTCGGCAGGAGACTGAAGTAGACTGAAATGTTATTATTCGATTTCTGTGTTATTTTACCATGACAAAATGAGTTCAGCAGTAAACTATAGTTTCTGACATACATGATCCTGGTGGAACACTGTTTATTCGCTAAGTTCAGGGCTTTTTTCGGGCTTTATTAGTTTGCTGATACACGCCTAGCCACCCAGATAGCAAAACACAGTTCCGGCTAGATTCTCGCCTGCCGGAGACTTATCTCTTAGAGCTCAGACTGACTAATGTTACCTCTGCTGGACCTACTCCGGATGCCTGGACTCACTACCTAATTCCAGCCCGAGTCAATCGAGCCAGATGCGGCGGCCGAGCGAGCCGGCGCTGCCGCATGCGAGCCGGAATCAGCCCGCGACGCCGCGAGTAAGTTATGTGTTGCGGCCTGGAGCTGGCGCGATTGAATATATAAAACCCTCATATTTGTTAACGTTATTACATCCATTTGTGTTGATATGACAGCAAACGCATGCTGAGAAGTTCGGGGGGCGTAGTTGATTTTACATAAAGCGTTTGATTGGAAGCTCGACTCTGCTCATTTTCGCGGCTCCTCCTCTGGCTCCATCAGACAATCCTTCTGCGCATGTCTGGCTCCAATTTCAGCAGTCTTTTGCGACAGTTTGTGCCCGTCAAGCAGGCGTTTTGCCCTCAAGGCGTTCAATGGGAAAAAGGGCTGTCGCGTCGTCCATATTTTTTACAGTCATTGGTATAAACACACAGACACACAGCAACACACTGTCTCTCATTCAAACACATTCACAAACATATACAGCACCAAACAAACAAACAAACAAACACACAAACACACACATTTAACCCCTCGCAGCAGGGAGAGCTCGCGCTGAGCGGAGCAAAAAAACTGAAAAAAAACGAAAAAAAATAAGCACTTTTCCGACGGTCCCTTACTGAGAGCTCTCAGCGTGAGCTCTCCCGGCTAAACGCATAATATGAGGGCTTAAACGGAGCAGTGCTCGTAATGTCGTAAAAAAAAAGAAAGACAGCTGTGAAACATAACCAGCTTTGTCTTTTTGTAGGAAACACACTTTAGATCTTTTTAGGGTAAGAGGTTTTAGAGTTATTGCCGTCTATAACTGAATGTGTGTCAGAAAAATCAAAAACAAAACCAACTGAACCGCGCTCATTTCTGGCGCCCCCCTGGATGTACAGCGCCCTTAGCGTATGCCTATGTTGCCTATGCCACGGGCCGGCCCTGAGTTGCCTGAGTGTTGTAAATACTCGCGCTCGCCTCCCTCGCGACAGAGCGCATAGGAGATAAATGATGTCAGTACATAATAACCGGTTATGATTATTACTGAACAGAATTGTTCGCGTCTGCATCGCGGTGCACAGAAAAAACAATTAATTTTGACACCCCTAGTATTGATACTCACTCAAAAAAATGTCTGTAATGCACATGCTGTATATCTGTTGTCATTAAATTTGCATTGTGCTGCAGTCTCCTTACCTTATAAATATGTACATCATTAGTACATTACAGCCCTCCTGAATTATTAGCCCTCCTGTATATTTTTTCCCCAATTTCTGTTTAATTTAATTTCTAAACATAATAGTTTTAATAACTCATTTCTAATAACTGATTACTTTTACATTTGCCATGATGACAGTACATAATATTTACTAGACATTTTTCAAGATAGTAATATTCAGCTTAAAGTGACATTTAAACTAGGTTAATTTGGCAAGTCATTGTATATCGATCGTTTGTTCTGTAGACAATTGAAAAGGGGCTAATAACCTTGACCTTAAAATGTTTAGTTTTTTTTATTAAAAACTGCTTTTATTCTAGCCGAAATAAAACAAATAAGACTTAATCCAGAAAAAAATATATTATAGGAAATACTGTGAAAAATTCCTTGCTCTGTTAAAAATCATTTGGGAAATATTATAAATATTGGGAATAATATTATAAAAAGAAGAAAAAAATTTACAGGAGGGCGAATAAATGTGACTTCATCTGTATGTGCAACCCTGAGAATGTGTCTGTTTATTCAGGGTGAAGAAGCTGCGGGAGACTTTGGTGGCCGTTCAGCAGCTGGATAAGAACATGAACAGTCTGCGCTCTTGGCTTGCTCACATCGAGACTGAACTGTCTCGTCCCATCGTCTACGACACCTGCGACTACCAGGAGATCCAGAGGAAACTCGATCTGCAGCAGGTACAGTACACACAGGGCCCGGAGCAAGCTGAACTGCCGCTCTAGGCAAAGGACGGTCACGCCGCCCTCAACCCCAACCCTCTCTATTCTGCCGCCCTAGATGCGGATATAACGGAGGGCGCGGGTGGTAAGGGTAGTGTCGGGGACGCCGCCCTCTATTCTATCGCCCTAGACGCGGATATAACTAAGGGAGCGGGTGGTGAGGGTAGTGTCGCGGACGCCGCCCTCTCTATTAGTCGGGGATATTACTGAGGGAGCCGGGGGTGAGGGTAGTGTCGCGGACGCCGCCCTCTCTATCCTGCCGCCCTAGACGCGAACTAAGGGCGCGGGTGGTGAGTGTAGTGTCACGGACGCCGCCCTCTCTATTAGTCGCGGATATAACTAAGGGCGCGGGTGGTGAGGGTAGTGTCTGGAACGCCACCCTCTCTATTCTGCCGCCCTAGGCAGCCGCCTAGGTCACCTCTATGGACGCGCCGGCCCTGAGTACACACACACCAAGGGCCCTATCATACACTCGGCGCAATAAGGTGCAAGACATGTTTTTATGACGTGTTGCTATTTTCAGACCTTAATTTTCCTGCTTTCCGCCACGTTGTTTAAATAGCAAATCCATTTGCGCCACTTTGTGGACTCATGGGTGTTTCGATCTAGATAAAAGGTGTGTTAAGGCACATTGTTGGCACGTTGCTATTTTGAGGAACTAAAATAGACTGCTCAATAGACCAGCTGAAAGCAGGACTAAAGTCCAGCGCAGAGTGGGTTAGTTATGCGCCTTGCTTACGCACTGCTTAATACACACAAGATGTACAGCAATACGCAAATATCTTTACAAATGAAGAAGGATTCAAGGATGAAAATATTACAATAATTATTACTGTATACATAATTATAAAAAACACTGCCTTATGACTTCTTCATCTCGGGGGCTTTTTCAGTTTATTCATGACATTGTGATTTTGTATAATTTTATTATTAGCAGTATTATTTATTATATCCATATTTATATTTGTCTTATTAAAAACAAGTTTAGATTTGTCCACCTGTCAGGTTTTGGACCATATGGGGCAGCATGTGTATTTCGATAAAACTTTCGGCTTTTTGACCACACTTCATTATTATTATTCATTTATTTGTTTGCTGGAAATTAGAACTGAATTTAAAATAGTTTTGAAACAAATCTTTGCACTTAACAAACTAAATTAATTATGTTGTCTAATGGATGTCTGTGCGTACACCACGTTTCCTTATCCACGAAAGAGAGAAAGTGAAAGCGAAAGGTCGATTGGAGGAGGCTCATCTCTCATTCTTGCGCTGTAGATAGTCTGTTTAACTGTTTTCTCGCTAGTGAAGTGTTCAGTTTTTCCACTTACAAAGTAAGCCATGTAAATAGCAAATGCGCGATGGCGCGATGCAACTGACTCTTAAAGAGAATGGGAGATGAGACTCTGATTGGTTTATTCTCAAAACACACCCATAACTCATTAAGAGAATAAGCTCAACCCTGTTAGACCATGCGCCACTGTGCAGAGCTGATTTTGCTGTCCTTAAAATAGCAAATGTGGATTCAGACACGCCCTTAATGCTTTTGCGCCCTGCGCTTCAGACTTTGCACCTAGGTTGCTAAAATAGAGCCCCAAGTGTGCCACGCGCTTGTTTTTAAGTGACGCATTCCGGTCGTTAGATCGCCCCCTGGGGGCTGGCTGCAGTTCAAGTCATAAACTCCGCCTCCTCCGTGTTAATGAACGAGACTTGAGCCTAAATTAAAAAATGTATTACACTTGCAATAAAATGTCCCGAAAGATGGTTTTGGTCAATTGAAGCAATGTTTATCATGCTGATATAGGTGCAGATCTTCATTTTTGCAAACAGTATGTTTTTAGCCAGTAATGTAGTGCCATAAAAGCGGGCCGTGTCATCATGATTGACAGTTGTGATTGACAGCTTCTCTAAGCAGACTATTGGAGCTTTAGGAGGAGACTGAGGTACCAATGTTAGATTTCTGTGTTATTTTCCATGATAAAATGAGTTCAGCAGTAAACTATACTTTCTGACCTACAGGATCTGATGGATCACTGTTTATTCGGTAAAGTAAGGGGTTTTATTGGGCTTTATTATTAGTTTGCTGATATGTCCATGATGGGAAAATACAGGTGATCGTTATCTAGCAGTAATTATCTTTATGGATCTGAAATAATAATTATGAAGACAAAACTAATGTTAGCCTATGTCCAGATTGAGATCCTGTAAGGTTTTTTGAACTTGATTTACAGGACGTCTCTGACATTTTAAGTTTCGGCATGTTATTGAATTAATCTGCTGAATTTGCTGTTATGAAATATTAGTGTTCTAGAAACCGAATCTTATATAAACACATTCATGGAGTAGTTCTTTTATTACTTCAGCGAATAAGATTGTAAAGAATTGCTTTGATTTACTACATTCGCGGCACAGTTTACCAATTATGACGACTTCTGCTGCTGAGAAACCCGGAAATTTGAAAAGTGTCTATTTGTGTTGTTGGTTCAGGAGCTGCAGAGAGACATTGAGAAGCACAGCACTGGTGTGGCGTCTGTGCTGAATCTGTGTGAGGTTTTACTGCACGACTGCGACGCCTGCGCGACAGATGCGGAGTGCGACTCCATCCAGCAGGCAACACGCAGCCTGGACCGCCGCTGGAGGAGCATCTGCGCCATGTCCATGGAGAGGAGAATCCGGTATGACCTCTGACCTGATCAATAACTGCACAACATTTGGACAACATTAACAAAACAAATTCAAGATGTAGACTAAACTGCATGTGCAATTAAGTTAAATTTGCTATAACTGTCACATGTAGAGTGAGGTGTAAAATTAAATAAACAAAGTAGAATACAACATTACATTTGCAGCAGATCTACTCAGGTTGTATCAAAGGTTTATTTTCTAAACATCAGAACTAATTATGCATGTGTCTATTGTGCATGCAGTTACAGTCAGAAATATTAGCCCTACTGAATATTTTCCCCAATTTCTGTTTAACCTATTTAACACATTTCTACACATAAAAGTTTTAATAACTCATTTCTAATAACTGATTTATTTTATTTTTGCCATGATGACAGTAAATAATATTTTACTAGATATTCTTCTGGTTTGTTCTGTAGAGAATCTAGAAATATATATATATATATATATTGCTTAAGGGGGCTAATAATTTTGACCTTAAAATGGTTTTAAAAATATGTAAAACTGCTTTAATTCTAGTCGAAATAAAACAAATACAACTTTCTCCAGAAGACAAAATGTTATAGAAAATACTGTGAAAAAAATTATTGCTCTGTTAATTTCATCATTTGGGAAATATTTGAAACAGAAAAGAAAATTCACAGGAGTGCCATCAATTTTGACTTCAATTATATGAATAGAATCAGATATGTTTCAGTCACCAATTTAATTTATTATTATTAATAATAATAATAATAATAATAATAATAATAATAATAATTCCTCACCATTATATTGTGCTTTTCTGGGCACTTAAATCAATTTACAAATTTTGAGGGAATCTTCTTCTCATTTAGAAAAAATTGTCCTTATATAGATAAAATATGCAAACACTGCTCCCTAAAGTTAGTTTCTCAGCCTGGTGTATACATATACATGGTTTGCAATGGATTATACGTAATTATTTATAAGTGCATCTTATAATATGGATGATTTACAGTGGTCTCTCGTTAATCGTGGGAGTTACGTTCTAAAAATAACTCACAATAGGTGAAATCCGCGTTGTAGTCAGCTTTATTTTTTACAAATATTATAATTGAATTTGCTCGAAATAACGCAAAAACTACCAATTTTCACTTTTTAGTGAGATACAGTATATGTGTCCTAATAGTGTTTTAGCAGTGTGGACACATATACGACTGTCAACAGCTCAAAAAATGTGTTTTGGTGTTTCGTGACCCTGTAAACCCCCTCACTAAACACTTAATATGCTTTTCTCAGACAGGCATTAACATCTTCACACTTTTCTCTTTTGTTTAAACATTCTCAAGAGTTCAAACCTTCGTAAAAAAATCAGTCCAGTATTATATATTGAAACCAAAGATTAAAACCTGTTGTCAGATGCAAACATTCATCGCTGTCAGCAAAAGGTTCATAAAGCTTTTTAGCTTTTGTGCAGATAATGTTGGCATCCAGCGTAATGTTGATTTTCCTGCAGTCATTGATCCACAAAGCTAAAGCATGTCTAATTGCACTAAAAAAATCAGCGAAACTGCAAGGCCACAAAAGGTGAACCATGTTATAGTGAGGGAACACTGTAAATCAGCTCTATGTAAGCCAGTTATCTTACTTTTCAATGAAAGATCGCACATTACATTGTTGGATAAAGCCCGCTTAGTTATACACTGCCCATTTTGTGACCATGTCCAAGATTTTATTAAAAATGAATATTAGTCATATTGAATACTATAGAACTAGTAAGATGATGGTATGCTTAGTTTTATTCTATATAATGTTATAATCTATATACTATTATTTTTTGTAATTTATTTTATTTAAAAAAATTATTAATATTTTTGTAATTTAATTATTTTTTATATTATTTTGATTTTTATATGTCATTTTATGTTCTTTTTGCAATTTATTTATTAGTATTTATTATGCTTCTGCTGTTTCTTTAGCATTTTAGCACTATAATATTTACACTTCATCTAGTTATCGACCCTTTAATTGGGTGAAGAGCCATATATGGTAACTTCATTGACATTGTTTACAATTTTTAAGTAATAAAAAATCATATTTTAAGTCAAATGTCCTGTTATACTCCTCATTAACAATCCAAGAGTATTTCAATGAGTGTCCTATATAGCGAAAATAAAATTATTAAATTATTTAAACAATAATGTCATAACAATAAACCCTTGTGTTTTGCATTTTCTAAATGACAACTATACATTTTCTTTCTCATCTATTAGGATTGAGGAGACGTGGCGTCTCTGGCAGAAGTTTCTGGATGATTACTCTCATTTCGAGGAGTGGCTGATGTTGTCGGAGAAAACAGCCGCTTTGCCAAACTCTTCAGGTGTCCTTTACACTATTGCCAAAGAGGAGCTCAAGAAATTCGAGGTGAGCTTCATATACACTTATTATTATTTCCTTTAATTCAGACTCTTAGCACACATCCAAAAACATGCCAAATTACAAAATACAAAAAAAAAAAAAATTAACATATACAGTGAGGGAAATAATTACTGAACACGTCGTATTTATTTCCTGGGAATAATATTTGTAAAGGAGCTGTTGACATGGAATTGAACCAGATTTGTGTAAAAACCTAAACAATACAAACATAAAAATAAAACAATACTAAAAAATCTAAAAGAAAAAAACAATGGAATGACACAAAGAAAAAACACTGAACTACTGTAATGTATTTAATACTTTATATAAAAGGCTGTTTTGGTGCTGGCAGATTAAAGACGCCTCATATGGAGAATAAAGTCACATGCATTGCTCAGGTGTGAGTTTTTCACAGACTTCAACAGAGTGGAAAAATCTTGATGGTTCTGTGGGTCTCGTCTTTCAAATCCGATCTTAATTTTGTATTTTCTATTGGATGCTAGTCAGGTGAGTGGCTGGGCCATTCTACAGCTTGATTTTCTTTCTCTGAAAGCATTTGAGAGTTTCATTGGCTGTGTTTTGGATCGTTGTCTTGCTGAAATGTCCACCCTGGTTTCATCTTCATCATCCTGCTCATGTAGATGTTGGACTGAAGTAGCTGATAATCATTTACACTGAGGAAGTGCAGAAGGGTTACTAAAGAACTACTGAGAGATTTCAGCTGCTGCCTGGGCTTTCACTGCCTTTCTACACCTCCCTTTCTACATGTGTTCATTAATTTTTCCCTGCGTCTTTTTATTTTATCATGCATATTATTATGCATAACTTAATTTGTTAACTAATTAGATTTGTTTTCTTATATATTGGTTGTTACCAACATCTGGTGAACATTTCAAGTCAACAACACCACTGTTATACCATACAATCATACACTGAATCAACATAGCGTCAGTGTAAAGTCTGATAGTATTAACACTCTTTAATCTACTTTATAGACGTTCCAGCGGCATGTGCATGAAAGTTTGACACAGTTGGAGCTGATCAACAAACAGTATCAGCGACTGGCACGTGAGAATCGCACCGATGCAGCCTGTAGTCTGAGAGAAATGGCCCACAATGCCAATCAGCGCTGGGATAACCTGCAGAGAAGAGTGTCATCCGTCCTCCGGAGACTGAAGGTACAGAGACTATCAATAAGATGGTAGTTAATCAGTCTTGAGTTCAACACATGTTTTAATAGCACAAAACTGTGAATGTGTCTTATTTTACATTTGTACTAAACCAACAGAAATTAAAGGTGCAGTAGGTGATCTAACCGGTTAGCATAATATCTTTGAAACACAGTCCCTCCCCTGCCATCCAAAGCCACGCCTCCTGAAGTCATGAAGGCACGTTAAAGATGACAGAAACCCACTAGGTCAGGGGTGTCCAAACTCGGTCCTGGAGGGCCAGTGTCCTGCAGATTTTAGCTCCAACTTGCTTCTACACACCTGCCAGGAATCTTCAAGTTAGGTCATGTCATTCACCAGTTAAAAAACGTTATAGTACTTTATAATACTACAAATGTTAACGAAAAACTGTATTATATCTAGCATATTTACAGTTGTGTAGCAAGCAAAACTTAATAATAGCATAATGTGCAATATTTCATGCATGCAACGATCACTGGTCTCACTCTCTCACACGCTTTGTCTTAAAACCAATAAGTAAACCATACTTACATGCTATTTCAGACCGAATATTCAAAGTAACCTGGTAAACAGCACAGGCTGTCATTGTTCAAAAATGAACCAATGTGATGTGAATGTAAAACCAACTCCACCTCAGTAAAGCAGGCTAAGGGAATAGCACTATTTACTGATGTTTTGTTGTTAAACTAAATAAAAATCTACATTATCGATGCTGTAAAACAGGGGTGCTCAATCCTGTTCCTGGAGATCTACCTTCCTGCAGAGCTCACCTGCAACCTTGATTAAACACATCTGTCTTTAATTACCAAGTGCTCCTTCAGATCCTATTTAGTTGGTTTAGTTACGTTTGATCAGGGTTGGATCTAAACTTTGCAGGAAGGTTGATCTCCAGGAACAGGGTTGAGCACCCCTGCTGTAAAAGGACCTTATGATCTGAAAATAATCACATCGATCTTTCACCAGAAGATTTTAGTGACTGAACAACACTGTTATTGAATACAACCCACTCGTAAAACAGTACAATCTATAAAAGCTTTGCATGACTAAAATAGTTTTAAAACATAACATTACCTGTCTAAAAGAAATACTTCAGCCATGGTGTCGTCCTTCCTCCAGCGTGTAAAAGTAACTCTTTACCGCTGTCACTCAGAGCTAGGGGTGGCCACCATAGACACAGTAGGCTTTTCTCATATGTTTGCATTTGAAAACATTATTGGTTGAGTTTAAGTCAGCAGTTTGCTGGTCTAGATGATCTGTACAAAAGCCCCACTTCATGGTGGACATGTTCAAGAAGAACGTGTATCTGAAACGTACAATACATACTTCAGATTTGCAAAAATGTAGACAGCACCCTCAAGTGGATTTATCATTTGAAATGTGCACCGAAACGTACCTGGAGCATCTTCTCAAACTTTTGAGATGATATTCGGCTCAGTTGGCATTTCTGTGTGGAGTTTGCATGTTCTCTCTGCCTTCGCGTAGGTTTCCTCCGGGTGCTCCGGTTTCCCCCACAGTCCAAAGACATGCTGTACAGGTAAATTGGGTAAGCTAAATTGTCCGTAGTGTATAAGTGTGTGTGTGAATGTGTGTGTGGTTGTTTCCCAGAGATGGGTTGCGGCTGGAAGGGCATCCGCTGCGTAAAAAACTTGCTGGATAAGTTGGCGGTTCATTTTGCTGTGGCGACCCCGGATTAATAAAGGGACTAAGCCGACAAGAAAATGAACGAATGAATAAACAAATAGTATAAACAATTAGGTAAACACTAAGTATTGCATTGGTAATATATATTGTCAATTTTAAAAATAGGGTGGTGAAAGTGAGAAATTAAAATTTGAGTCGGGTGACAAAAGAAGTGAGGATTCACATGCAGTTTTTTAAGAATCGTCATGCAGGCAATGGTCAAGAGGTACAAACAGGAGCATAAGGGCAATCCAGCAAGGGTCAAACATGGAAAGACTACACCAGGAGAACGCTGAGTCAGGGGCCCACGCACTTTGGAGGCCCCCAGAAATATTATTATGGGCCCATGGCCCCCCAAACCCCGTCCCCCTCTTCAGTTTCATCCGCTACAAACAAACACCTACCCCCCTCCCTCGCTCTTAACTTTTGTTCGCAACACCCTTCCCCTGCTCTTCACTTTCCTCTACGACACCCCTCGCCCGCTCTTCACTTTCGTCTGCGACACCGCCCCACCTTCCCCCCTCACCTTTTCTTTACTTTCATCTGCGACAACCAAGACCCTGCGCTTCGTAATATTACAGGTGAACAACAACAAGACACACCAGTGTGTGAGAATGTGTGCAGTATACAGTCTGTGTAATCAGTCTTTGTTGAGCTTCCAGCTGTGTGTGTGCAATCATCAGTGATCCGGAACAGGTGTGCAAAAGTTGCATGACGGGAGTTGTGGTTCATATCAGTGGCAGACTTGTAGTTTTGGTAATAATGAATGTTCTCCAGCAATCTATAAGGGTTAGATCGCCGGTGATTGTGACTTAAGCATTATTATTAAATATATGCAAAACATTTTAAATATTTATGTATTTAATAAAGCTTTCTTTCATGTACACTTTCGTACACTCATTCTTGTATGTATTTATATAAAACATATAACAGTTATCCTTATATTTCTTTAATCATCAAATAATTACAAAATTGTGTGCATTATGTACTAAATAATCAAATTAGATCTGGAATTTGGTAAAACGGGTAAATACAAGTAAGTGGTTATTCTTATTTGAATGAGTTTACATGTTTGTTTTGTCTCCTGCAGCACTTTATCAGTCAGAGAGAGGAGTTTGAGACGGCGCGGGACTGCATCCTGGTCTGGCTGACGGAGATGGACCTGCAGCTTACCAACATTGAGCATTTCTCTGAGTGTGATGTCCAGGCCAAAATCAAACAGCTCAGGGTGCGTCTCTGACCTTTACAACTGCACATCTGCTCCATGTGTCTTTTCTTAAAGGGGTAGTGCAACGAAGTTTGATGGCTCATTTGCCATGCACAGACTAATGCATGTAACATTTCACTTCGTAAATATCAGTGAAAAAGTTGTCTCATTCAAGCATGCACACAGTCATTTTTTGTTTTTAGATCAGATTAGAACACGAATAAACCAAAACTTCCAATCTGACTAAAATTTAATTCTGATCAAAACAAAATTAAGGTGTTTACATGAACGTTTTTGAGTCCGATTAAACCATCAATCCAATTATTTTGGTGCAGGTAAATGCAGCCATTGACTACTATAATAGAAAAAATGCTATGGGAGTCAATAGCTTCCTGTTTCATACATTCTTCAAAATATCTTCCTTTATGTTCAATAGAAACTTAAATGAAGAGTAAATGGTGACAGAATCTCATTTTTTGGGTGAATTGTCCCATTAAGGAGTTTTTCGTGCTCTGCAGGCGTTCCAGCAGGAGATCACACTGAACACGGGCAAGATCGACCACATATTCCTGCAGGGTGAAGCTCTTCTGGAGAAAAGTGAGCCGATCGATGCTGCTGTGATCGAGGAGGAGCTGGAGGAGCTGCAGAGATACTGCCAGGAGGTGTTTGGACGTGTGGAACGATACTACAAGAAACTTATACGATTACCGGTTCGTTAAGTGATCAGATGTTTGTTTTTTTACTGAGTGAACTTGGAGCAGTTTTGGTATCTTTTTCCATTTGTTTAATTTTCTTATTTATTTTTATGATATGTCTTAATATGTGTCTATATGTTTTTTCTTTTTTTTTGTGGACAGTCATTTCAAATATTCATTCATTTATTGATTAATTCACAATTTATTTAATTTTCTTTCTTTCATTCATTTTTTATTCATTTAGTTCATTAATTGTAATTTATTCATTAGTTTTAAAAAATTCTTTGTTTCCATTTATTCCATTTTCTTTTATTGATGCTTTTTGTAATGAGTCTTTTCCTTTTCAATGATTTATTCATTCATTAATTGATTAATTTATTTATTCTTTCTTTCTATATATATGTGTATTTTTATTTATTAATTTATTTTATTTAATACATTTTTTGCATTGTATTATTAGTTTAATTTATTTTAATTGATTTATTTATTCATTTATTTGCATTGTCTTTTTATTTATTAATTTAATTTATTCATTGATTTGATTAATTCAATTATTTTAAATAATTTATTTATTTTTTGCATTGTCTCTTTATTTATTAATTTAATTAATTTATTTCTTTTAATTAATTAATTTATTTTTGCATTGTCTTTTTTATTTATGAATTTAAGTAATTTATTTATTTTAATTTATAAATTTTTTTATATATATTAATTTATTGGTCAATTCCTTTATTTATTTATTTTTCTTCAGTTTTTTATTCATTCAGTTATTCATTAATTTTAATTTATTCATTCATTTTTTAAAAAGTGTTTGTTTCTATTCATTTCATTTTCTTTTTTATTATAATGTGTCTTTTTTATTTCTTTACCTTTTTGAGTAGTTATTTTAGAGATTCATTTATTTATTGATTTATTTATTGTTTATTTCAATATGTGATTCATTCAGTTATTCTATGATTGTTATTTATTCATTTGTTTAGACTGTGTTATTTTATTGCTTTTTATTTTGTCTTTTTTATTTAATTATTTCATGGATTTTATTTTTTTGCATTGTCTTATTTATTAATTTAATTCATTTATTTAAATTAATTTATTTTTAGCATAGTCTTTTAAATTTTCTTTTATTTATTGATTAATCCAGTTATTAATTCTTTCTTTGTTTCTTTCTTTCTTTTATCTTTTTTATCAGTTATTCATTAATTTTGATATATTCATTTGTTTATTAAAAAGTATTTGTTTCCATTCATTTTATTTTCTCATTTATCATGATGTGTCTTATTTATTTCTTTACTTTTTTGTGTAGTTATTTTAGTTATTCATTTGTTTATTAATTATTAACTTAATATTTCATTCAATTTTAATTCATTCAGTTATTCTTTCGTTTTATTTTATTTGTTCATTCAAAAACCTTGTTATTTGATTTTTTTTAATTTAAGTGTAAATAATATATAACTTGTTGTTGTTATTATTTTTTATTTATTCCTTTATAAATTTTAAATGTATTTATTCATGTTTTTTTCACTTAACAACAATCAGGGGTGCCCAAACCTTTTCGTATAAAAGCCCAGAAAACAAATATCATTATGAGCTGTGCCCCGAAGGTAAATACAATAAACTGTATTACAGTAAAGTTGCCATGGGTAATTTCCTTATTTCATAGTATTTAAAAAACATTCCTCATCATGTTAACTAATACAGTATAACTCTAAGGTTATAACTTATTGCAATAAAAACAGTGGAGTTCAATGCTGAAAACACTAGTCATGCAGGACCTGCCTTTGCCTTGATTTGCTCACCAAAGTCTCTGCATTGTCCTCTGTCCATTAGGCATGTACATTTAAACTAAATCTGAATAATTTACTATTTTTAATTGAAAAATTTTAATTTCAATTAGCTTTTAACAATAAAACAAACAAACAAAACATTACAATAGATTTGAAAAGACAATCTCTATACATTATTCAGTACTCTCTTCTCAGATGGGATGGCGGTCCCTAGTTTGGGCATCTTTGATTCAGACAGTTTAAGTTGTTTTTTATTATAAAATAATTTTAATATTTTTATATTACATTTAATATAATATTATTATTGTTGTTGTTATTTTTATTTACGGATTCAGTTGTTTATTAATTAATTAATTTTATTTTAATTTAACAATTATTTATTGATTCATTCCTTTAATTTTGTCTGTTTTGCATCCGTTCATGCGTTTCATTTATTTGACGCACATTTAACTTAAAACTTAATTCATGTAATATAAACATTTAGTTAAAGTTTCAGTTCCGATTGACATTCCTATCCTCCTTTTTCCAGCTGACGGACGATGAGCATGACGTCTCGTTCTCAGACCGGGAGTTTGATCTGGATGAAGCTGCTGACGTGTCCAGCTTCCCCTGGAGCGAGCGTTTGGGGGATGGTTTTCTGTCTCCTCTGCCATCCTCCAGCCGATCTGCTCCGCTGCGGGCCGAACGCTCTGGTCGGGACACTCCGGCCAGCGTCGACTCCATCCCACTGGAGTGGGACCACGATTATGACCTGAGCCGTGGTCTGGAGAGCGCCAGCAGGGCCCTCTCCTCTTCCGAAACAGGAGATCAGGCAGAGGATGATGGGTACCTGCAGGGCTCAGCATCTGCACTCTCAGGTCAGTTGGAGCTTTTATTTTGCATTAAACAGAATTTAATGTCACCTTACTGTGCTTTATACAATATAGATCGTATGTTATGTTTAGAAATTTCTATTTTATTTACTTTGATTTAATATAAAAGGTATGCTCAATATTGGGATTACATTGGGAATATTGGATTTTCTCCGCTATTTTCAAACCCTTTTTGGTTGAGCTTCTGATTAAAAAAATAAATAAATAAACTGAACTGCTGGTACAGACTTCTTGCCAGTCGACTATAGCATTCTTTATCTGTATGGTTTCTAGAGTTGTGGCAAAAAATCAATCGAGAAATTGATTCTGCACCGATTCTGAGCTTTCCAAAATGCATCTCTATTCTCTTTTGAATAGATTCTGCTGTTAAAACTAGCTTAGAGAGTCATCTGCTTTTTAAAAAACTAGCCTAGAGCGCCATGTGCTGTAAATAAGCACCTAGAGTGCAATCTGCTGTTAAAAAGACTAACCTAGAGTGCCATCTACTGTTAAATAAGCGCCTAGAGCGCTATCTGCTGTTAAAATCTAGTCTAGAGTGCCATCTACTGTTAAATAAGCACTTAGAGCGCCATCTGCCGTTGAAGAACTAGCCTAGAGCACCATCTGCTTTTAAAACTAGCTTAGAGTGCCATCTGCTGTTAGAAAAAAACCTAGCCTAGAGCACCATCTGCTGTTAAAACTAGCTTAGAGTGCCATCTGCTGTTAAAACTAGCTTAGAGTGCCATCTGCTGTTAAAACTAGCTTAGAGTGCCATCTGCTGTTAAAACTAGCCTAGATCGTCATCTGCTGTTAAAACTAGCTTCGAGTGCCATCTGCTGTTAAAAACTAGCATAGAGCGCCATATGCTGTTAAAACTAGCCTAGAATGCCATCAGCTGCTAAAGACTAGCCTAGAGCACCATTTGCTGTTAAAAACTAGCATAGAGCGCCATCTGCTGTCAAAAACTAGCATAGAGTGCCATCTGCTGTTAAAAACGATCTTAGAGCTCCATCTGCTGTTAAAAACTAGCCTAGAGCAGCATCTGTTGTTAAAAATTAGCATTGAGCACCATCTGCTATTTAAAACTAGCCTAGAGCACCATCTGCTGTTAAAAACTAGCCTAGAGCAGCATCTGCTAATAAAAACTAGCCTAGAGCAGCATCTGCTGTTATATACTAGCGTAGAGCACCATCTGCTGTTAAAAACTAGCCTAGAGCAGCATCTGCTGTTAAAAACTAGCCTAGAGCAGCATCTGCTGTTAAAAACTAGCGTAGAGTGCCATCTGCTTTTAAAAATTAGTATAGAGCGCCATCTGCTGTTAAATACTAGCCTAGAGCAGCATCTGCTGTTAAAAATTAGCATAGAGCGCCATCTGCTGGTAAAAACTAGCCTAGAGCAGCATCTGCTGTTACAAATTAGCATAGAGCGCCATCTGCTGTTAAAAACTAGCCTAGAGCAGCATCTGCTGTTAAAAACTAGCGTAGAGTGCCATCTGCTGTTAAAAATTAGAATAGAGCGCCATCTGCTATTAAAAACTAGCCTAGAGCAGCATCTGCTGTTAAAAACTAGCGTAGAGCGCCATCTGCTGTTAAAAATTAGAATAGAGCGCCATCTGCTATTAAATACTAGCCTAGAGCAGCATCTGCTGTTAAAAATTAGGCTCAAAATCAGTTCAAGAGTCAATAGCAATGCGTTTGAAACAAATCTCAGAATTAATATTGAATCAATTTCTCTAATGATTTTTCGTCATGTTTCCTATAATCCTGAATCTGATGGTTAAATCAGCAGATTTTAGTGTGGTTCAGCAGTCAGTCATGTGTGTATTGTATGCATATATATGTTTTTTTCAGATGTAGTGATTCCAGAGAGCCCTGAGGCGTTTCTAAAGCTTACTGAGCAAACTCTGAGATCCAGCGCTGGTAGGCAACAGAAATCTGGGACTCATTTACTAGTCTGTTGCCTGATCTTTAGTTTCTACTCACAACCTGAATTAAAGCACAAATCCGCGTCAGCTGTGTTTCTAACCCTTCTCTTTTGATTTGTGTTGCTTCACATGGTTTAATCGGTTTTGCAGTGTTTGCATGTCGTGTCACAGGTTGATGCCCACTCTGAGTTCACTCTGGTCTTAGTCCTTGGTTTCTAATGCTTTTGGATTTCTCAATCAACAGCATTACTCACAGTATTTTACAATCAGAGCAAACTGAATTGCAAAAAAGGCAAATAAATACAGACCATTTTGAGGCATGTAAACAATAACAATGGTCCTAACATACTTCCTGTTTTACATTTTTAATTTCTATAGCTTTCGATAATACAAAAAAGCCACATGTTGTTAAATAATGTTATTATAGCTTTTTTAACATTAAGTTATGATTGAAATGCCTCTTGTTACAGTTATGAAGTAGTATGATAACAAATGTTCATGGGCCAATGACATCACCACATTGAAATGGTCTGTATGATTAAATGATGTGGCTAATCAATTAAAATATTAGTGGTTGACTGATGTGGGTTTAAGAGCCAGTGGTGATATAAAGTATTTTATCTAGGTCACAAAGTCTTAAACATTTTTCATAAAAATAAATTTCATAAAAACACATAAAGGTTGAATTTCCCTTTAAAATAAAAAATATTTTTTCCCATAAAGAAATGGGAAGACTGTTCTGATTTTCTTTAAATTTCATATTATTTTTTATGACAATTTAACACATTTTTATAAAAAATTTTCAAAGATTATCAAAAGCATATTTTTTTGAAATAGTTTGTTAAATACTTTAATCATTATTATTTAAGTACTATTATAGTATGAATATTTTATTTTGAAAGTAAACTTATTATAATTGCAAGTTTTACCTTTAGTAATTATAGTACATGGGCGTCAAGGTGGCGCAGTTAGTAGCACAATCGCCTCACAGCAAAAAGGTCACTGGTTCGAGCCTCGGCTGGGTCAGTTGGCATGTCTGTGTGGAGTTTGCATGTTCTCCCCGTCTTGGCGTGGGTTTCCTTTGGGTTCTCTGGTTTCCCCCACCGTCTTAAGACATGCGATATAGGTGAATTGGGTAAGCTGAATTGTTCGTAGTATATAAATGTGTGTATGAATGAAATCAGCATTACACTACCTGACAAACGTCTTGTCGTCAATCTCAGTTGTAAGAGCAACAAATATTAACTTGACTTCTAGTTGATCATTTGGAAAAGTGGCAGAAGGTCAATTTTTCTGGTGAATCATCTGTTGAACTGCATCCCAATCATCACAAATACTGCAGAAGACCTATTGGAACCCGCAAGGACACAAAATTCTCATAGAAATCAGTCAAGTTTGGTGAAGGAAAAATCATAGTTTGGGGTTACATTCAGTATGGGGGCGTGTGGGAGATCTGCAGAATGGATGGAAACATCAACAGGCTGAGGTATCAAGACATTTGTGCTGCCCATTACATTACAAACCAACGGAGAGGGCAAATTTTCCAGCAGTATAGCGCTCCTTCTCATACTTCAGCCTCCACATCAAAGTTCCTAAAAGCAAAGAAGGTTAAGGTGCTCCAGGATTGGCCAGCCCAGTCACCAGATTTAAACATTATTGAGCACGTCTGGGGGTAAGATGAAGGAGTAGGCATTAAAGATGAATCCAAAGAATCTTGATGTACTTTGGGAGTCCTGCAAGAAGGCTTTCTTCACCATTCCAGATGAATTTATTAATAAGTGATTTGAGTCATTGCAGAGATGTATGGATGCAGTCCTCCAAGCTCATCATTTCTGTTTTGTCTAAGCAAAGTCAGACCTTCCTGTCCTAATTAAATTATTCAAAATCAAGGCATGATCATATTATATTTAGTTAAAATAAGCGTAATCTAGAGGCCTTTGCCTTTCATATAAGCCACTTCTAATACCAAATGATCAACTAGATGACAACTTATTATTTGTGGTTCCTAAAACTTGGATAGGTGACAAGACTTTTCTCAGGTAGTGTACATAAGGGTTTTATAAATAGTACACACATTAAATATTTTTGCAGTACAGTAAATACGGATTCATATCACTGTACAAAAATATGATAATAATGTATAAAGTCTTATATTTCAGACGTAGCCCAAGTAAAAATGACAAGTATCAGCCAATCACTATCAAATCTTCATTACACCAGGTCATCATTGCAAATGCACAAATAATATATGAAGGTGAACAATAATTAATCACGTTCATTGAAATGTTATGACAGCAATGCCATCATAAAGAGCATTTCATAAGTAGACTCTGAATGTAATCTGCTTTGACTAATGATAAATTGTATTAGAAGCACATAGTATGTTTGACTAATGAAAGAGTAATGTAGTGAAGTGCATCTCTTAACATTCACTGCATCAGGCCTGAGAACATCAACACGGGTCAGCCACGAGCAGATGCAGCTTCAGTTGTTTCTGCATTGATATTTGTTCTGCTGTTCCTCCACAGGTGACGCCGGATCTCTGGAGACTCACATCCGACAGCTGGATAAAGCTCTGAACACCAGCTGTTTCCACCTGCAGCAGACGGAGAACATCATACGCAGCCGAACGCCCACCGGCCCCGAGCTGGACGCCACATACATGGGTTATGTGAGTGACAGTCCTGTATGCATCTGCCAAGGTTACACTAGGCATGGGCCTGTATAAGATTCTAGTGATATGATAACCTTGGATAAAAATATCACGGTATTGTGATTATTGCTCTAAAATATGTTCTTTTAAAATGTCTGGGTAACAAACAACTACTGTTTTCACCATTAAACACAATATAATGTATTTTAAGAAACTATTTTAAAGCAGTAAACAAGTCAGGCTGAATAATTACAATAAATTATTGACTTCTGCTGCCTTCATTAGTTTCAAAAACACAGATTTTTTACAACTTGAAAAGAAATCTTTTTTTTGGGGGGGGGGGGGGGGGGAATACAGTGTGGCACTGCACTGTTCAGGTCTATAGCATGCTTGGATGTTGGTTTATAAGCGCTTTTTTTTTTTTTTTGGTAATGTTTCCTGAATCATATGCTGACTAGTAGCTTTTGATGTGGAGGGTCCAGCAGCTGGAGATACTGTTGCCCTAAAACACTAAATAAAATAGTTGTAAAAAAAGAACTACATATACCGTAGGAAGTAGGAACGGTATAACAGAATATTTTAGCAGTTTTAAAACCTTGACTTTTACAAAGCATGGTAAACCTTAAAAACCGGTTATCATCCCTTGCCAAGTTCACACCAAATGTTAAGCATTGCATCACTTGCTCTCGATTACCAGCGGGATGTTTTTTTGCCACACGTTTTCCACTTGAGTTGAATTTTTCTGTGGGATTGAGGTGGATGCCATTCATTTACTTTAACTTTGTATGTAATCTACTCTAAGTGAAGTTTTTAAACTAATTTCGAGAGGAGCACGTGATATAATTGACTGCAGCTGGCCACCTATCTACACTCATTAGTTAGCCAATCAGATATATCCTAACCCACTATAAGTAGCCTAGCTAGACATTACTCCCTTATCTTCGTTTTCCGAAGAAACCCCCCATCCACCCCTTTCTCCTCCTTTTCTCCTTTACAAAAAGGGGAGCTCTCGAGAACCACCTGATCTCGTACTCCCCTCACATGCTCTATGGACCTGGCGGGAGCCCTGGGCTCAACTATCTCTGAGCTCAAGGTTCTCTCCTGGGACAGCATGCCAAACCTGCTTACAGCTGTCAAGCAATATCTAAGTATGAACTCTTGAATCTACAAATATTACAGTTGAAGTCAGAATTATTGGCCTTTCTGAATTATTAACCCCTGTATATATATATTTTTTTTTTTCCTGAATTTCTGTTTAACTGAAATAAGATTTTTTTTTCAAAACATTTCTAAACATAATAGTTTATATAACTCATCTCTAATAACTGATTTCTTTTATTTTAGCCATGATGACAGTAAATAATATTTGATATTCTGTAGACAATCGAAAAAAATTTTGCTCTAGTAGGGCTAATAATATTGACAAATTATTAATATTCTTTTCAATTAAAAACTTCTTTTGTTCTAGCTGAAATGAAACAAATAAGACTTTCTTCAGAAGAAAAAATACCATAGGAAATACTGTGAAAAATTCCTTGATCTGATAAACATCAATTGGGAAATATTTGAAGAAAAAAAAAATTCACAAGAGGGTGAATAATTTTGACATCAACTGTACATTTGCATTGTTAACCCAACATTAGTATAACCCAACTGTACTTACAGGGAAATGTGCCCCATGATGCTTTGCTCAAATTATGGAAGCAACTTCTGTTAAACTAAACAATCAGTGAAGTTTTTTTTTAAACTGGGTAAACTCAGATGTCGTCATTCTCCTCACAGTTCATTCATTCAAAGTCAAAACGAAACTTTTTCATTCATTCACTCATTTATTCATTCCTTTTTTTTTTTTAATAATTAGGGGTCACCACCACAGTATGAACCGTCAACTTATCCAGCATATGTTTTACGCAGCGGATGCCCCTCCAGCTGTCTAACCTTCCAGTTAAAATTAACAAATTACTTTCATTTTATAACCACAAAAACTTAAAACTACACTTTTTTTACAGCAATATCACAAACGCATACATTTGAAGATGAAATTATTAGCCTTCCTGTGAAATGTTTTTTTTTTATTATTTCCCAAATTATGTTAAACAGAGTGCATTTCTAAATTAAAATTTCAATAAAGGGATAATAGTTGCAACTAGTCTGCAACTGTACCCCTCAACGTGTAAGAGGATTATTTGGAGCATAATCGTATTATTAAAATTTACATGAATGGAACTCAAACTGGAAGTGCAACCCAAAATTTGAAATGCAGTCATAAAGAAAAAGGTGAATATGTTTGTTTGATTGAGAATGCACATGTAAAGCTTTTTCCTATTTTTCATTTCCCTCAGATGCGTCTCCTTGAAGAATGTCGTGGCAGTATTGATGCTGTAAAGCGGGTGGGATTTGAGCTGAAAGATGAAGACGACAAGATATCAGGCTTCGTCAATCCCAACAGCTCAGAGTCCCAAACATCAGGTTAAAAAACCATATCACACACTGCGCCATTGACATAAATACATGCAGTCTTCAAACCTCTCATTTAAACTAACGCTAGAAGTACAGTACAGCACAGCACATCAGATTGGATGTGTGGAAATATAAAATTGGAAATATCAATAAAAATTCTAACTTGAAGTGTAAGTCAGACTGTCATGCAGGCCTCAGATTGTTGTCATGTGTGTTGTGCAGGAGTGATCGAGCGCTGGGAGCTTCTGCAGGCTCAGGCTCTCAGTAAAGAGATGCGCATGAAGCAGAACATGCAGCAGTGGCAGCAGTTCAACTCCGACCTGAGCAGCATCTGCAGCTGGCTGGACCAGACAGAAGAAGAGCTGCAGCAGGAGCGGGGACTGGACCTCGGAACAGATATACAGACCATTGAGCTGCGCATCAAGAAGCTTAAGGTCTGACACTAATGTGGCATTACTTTTAAAGTCGCACTCAAATTAAACTTGAACATTTTGGGGTCCCATGAAACGTTTTTTTAGATGTTAGTTTTAAGGAAATCTTTAAGTTAGTGTGCTCCAAAACAGTGACAAAATTCACATTTAGAAGATATAAACATCCAAAGCTCGCAGTTTGTCAGTTTAATTTAAATGGATCAACAATTGTTTTCATGTCACCTCATCAAATCTTCTGGCCAATCAAATGCTCTCTAGTATCTGACATGCCCCGCCCCCTCAAGATCTCTCTCTTTTTTTTTTTTTTGATAATGAAATGCTATTGGCTGTTTTAAAAAAGGGGAAGATCTACTCTTTCCCGACCTGTCATCATGATTCAGTTGAGATTTTGTCAAACATCACATCACGAAGCACTTCACTGGAGCTTTAACACATTGTTTACACTGAGCTGCAGGGTTTAGTACAATACAGTATGATTCAGTACGGATTACCCTTTACTATATGGTACAGCGGTCCCACAAGTCATGAAATTACTGCAATATTATATAAAAAGTCTATTGTAGACATTGAAAGTCAATGAATTTTATTTCTATTTTGTCCAAGTCATAGAATATCGGATAATTTTGTCATCTAAAATTTTACTTTCAATTTATCTATATTTAATTGCATATTTATTCATCTTTTTAGGCTATATTTAGTGACATGAAAGAATTAAAAATATAGTGAATTAGCCAATTACTGTTAAGTTTGGATATTTTGGTCACGTATTTAGTTACATGCTTATTGTCTTAGATTTATGTAAACAAAACATTATTTAATCATTAATTACAAATCTTTTTGTCTGCTCTGTGCTCATTATTGGCAATGGAAATTCAGCTTTTTAATCAGGGAAAATTTGGGAAAAGTCAGGGAATTTGACATTTGGTTTAGAGTGAGAACCCTGTTGGTAGGCATGGTGTATACCAGAGCCGCATAGGCTGTTGACATAACGTATTATGTCTTTGCATGCTCAATTTTCTTCCTTCAAATGTAGACAAGTCGCAAATGTATGAAAACAGAGAAAGGGAAGCAGTGCATGCTTCCCTTGTGTTTAGATGCAACAGTTGAATGATTACAGTTTGGTATTTTGATACTTCTGTGAAAATGGAAATAAATGCTTACCGTATTGTACTCTAACTAAAACCGTACCACTCAGTGGAAATGAGCCAATAGCTAGTGTGCGCTAAAACAAAGACAACAATTGGTATTTAGAAGACATTGGCATTTAAAACTTGCAAACTGGATCAACAATGGCTGTTTCTATGAAAACATTGAGCAAATTGTGAAAGTGGGCTTCACACAGGTGTGGAGGCTGGACAGACCAGCTGTAGGAAACACTCTCTCTTCTCTCCATATGCTGAAAAATCCAGCTTAAACCAGCCTAGGCTGGTTTAAGCTGGATTTTTCAGTAGGGTCTATATGCACCAGACACTTTCTTATAAAAACTTTATTACAAGGATCTAATAATAGTAATATTAATAATAAAAATAACTAAATTAACCTTTTTCCAGTGCTGGGTTGCGGCTAGAAGGGCATCCGCTGCATAAAACATATACTGGTTAAATTGGCGGTTCATTCCTCTGTGTCGACCCCTGATAATTAAAGGGACTAAGCCGAAGGAAAATAAATGAATAAACTATAGAATTGGCATCTATAACTTAGACTAGGCATTAATATATAGCTGCTCTCTAGTGATTTGAAGTGCTTTTGTAAGTGCCTTTAGATAAACGCATCTGCTAACAGTGATAAATTTAAGCAGTATAGAAATTTAAACAAAATACATTACCAACGCGCCAATTGACCCTCCTCTCTGTTGTCTTTGGCTTGACGCAGGAGCTGCAGAAAGCTCTGGATAAGCGTAAGGCCATCGTTCTGTCCATAAACCTCTGCAGTGCTGAGTTTGTGCAGTCAGACAGCGAGGAGGCTCGAGAACTGCAGAGGCGGCTGAAGGAGATGAACAACCGCTGGGAGAAACTCAGCAGCTCTCTGGACGAGTGGAGGACTGCGCTCCAGCATGCACTCATGCAGTGCCAGGCAAGAAACACCTACACAACAGCCCATGCTGAAGCTTTTATAGAGGTGTGCGATTAAAAACTCCATCGTGCTGTTAAAAACTAGCTTAAAATGCCATCTGCTATTAAAAACTAGCCTAGAGCCCCTTCTGCTGTTAAAAACTAGCTAAGAGCACTGTCTGCCATTAAAAACAAACTAAGAATGCCATCTTGCTGTTAAAAATTAGCCTAGATCGCAGTCTGCTGATAATAACTACCCTAGAGCACTGTCTGCTGTTAAAACCTAGCTCAGAGCGCCGTCTGCCACTATAAAACATTTCAAGAGTACCATACTGCAGTTAAAACCTAGCCTAGAGCGCCGTCTGCTGTTAAAAGCTAGCTCAGAGCGCCGTCTGCCATTACAACAATTCAAGAGTGGCATCCTGCAGTTAAAACCTAGCTTAGAGCGCCGTCTGCAGTTAAAACCTAGCTCAGAGCACCGTCTGTCATTAAAAACAATCCAAGAGTGGCATACAGCTGTTTAAAACTAGCCTAGACTAGCTTGGAGCACCGTCTGCTGTTAATAAGTAGCCTAAAGTGCAATCTGCAGCAAAAAACTTAAAAAAAAAAAGCCTAGAGTGCCAATCTGTCGTTAAAACCTTGTTAGAGCACCTTCTGCTGCTACAATACTAGCCTAGAGCGCTGTTTGCTGTTAAAAACTAGCTTAGATGGCTGTCTGCTGTTAAAAACTAGCCTAGAGCACCATCTGTTGTCAAAAACTAGCCTAGAGTTCCATTTTGCTGTTAAAAACTAGCCTAGAGCGCTATCTGTTGTCAAAATCTAGCCTAGAGTGCCATTTTGCTGTTAAAAACTAGCCTAGAGCACTATCTGTTGTCAAAATCTAGCCTAGAGTGCCATTTTGCTGTTAAAAACTAGCCTAGAGCACTATCTGTTGTCAAAATCTAGCCTAGAGTGCTGTCTGCTGTTAAAAAACTAGCCTAGAGCACTATCTGTTGTCAAAATCTAGCCTAGAGTGCCATTTTGCTGTTAAAAACTAACCTAGAACAATATCTGTTATCAAAATCTAGCCCAGAGCACTATCTGTTGTCAAAATCTAGCCTAGAGTGCCATTTTGCTGTTAAAAACTAACCTAGAGCACTATCTGTTGTCAAAATCTAGCCTAGAGTGCTGTCTGCTGTTAAAAAACTAACCTAGAGCACTATCTGTTGTCAAAATCTAGCCTAGAGTGCCATTTTGCTGTTAAAAACTAACCTAGAACAATATCTGTTGTCAAAATCTAGCCCAGAGCACTATCTGTTGTCAAAATCTAGCCTAGAGTGCTGTCTGCTGTTAAAAAACTAGCCTAGAGCACTATCTGTTGTCAAAATCTAGCCTAGAGTGCCATTTTGCTGTTAAAAACTAACCTAGAGCACTATCTGTTGTCAAAATTTAGCCTAGAGTGCCATTTTGCCGTTAAAAACTAACCTAGAACAATATCTGTTGTCAAAATCTAGCCTAGAGTGCCATTTTGCTGTTAAAAACTAACCTAGAGCACTATCTGTTGTCAAAATTTAGCCTAGAGTGCCATTTTGCCGTTAAAAACTAACCTAGAACAATATCTGTTGTCAAAATCTAGCCCAGAGCACTATCTGTTGTCAAAATCTAGCCTAGAGTGCTGTCTGATGTTAAAAACTAGCTTAGAGTGCCATTTTGCTGTTAAAAACGAGCCTAGAGCACTATCTGTTGTCAAAAACTAGCCTATAGTGCTGTCTGCTGTTAAAACTAGCCTAGAGCAATATCTGTTATTAAAATCTAGCCTAGAGCACCATCTGCTGTTAAAAACTACCATAGAATGCAATTCTGCTGTTACAAACTAGCCTAGTGCGTCATTCTGCTGCTACAAACTAGCCTAGAGTGCCGTCTGCTGTTAAAAGCTAGCCTAGAGCACTATCTGTTGTCAAAAGCTAGCCAAGAGCGCTATTTGCTGTTAAAAACTAAGCTCAGAATTTATTCAAAAGAGAAGATTAATCCATTTAGAAAATCTAAGAATGGATTTTCACCACATCTCTCGAATATGATGCAGGAAGTAATTGTTTGGGTGCTAAATTCATAAAAGCGTTGAATGTTTTTCCTAATCTTCAGGATTTCCATGAGATGAGTCACGGTCTGCTTCTGTGGCTGGAGAACATCGATCGCAGGAGAAATGAGATCGTCCCGATTGACCACACTCAGGACAGCGACACCCTACAAGAGCATCACAAAACACTGCTGGTAAGTGGTAAATCTTGCTTTACTTTTTCTATTTTACAGCATTTGGGTTACACCTTGCATGGTTTGTTTCGCTCTAACGCTAATTGTTCCTCAGCAAATCCGACGGGAGCTGCTGGATACGCAGGTGAAGGTGGCGTCTCTGCAGGACATGTCCCTTCAGCTGCTGGTTCACTCTGAGGGCAGCGACTGTCTGGAGGCCAAAGAGAAGGTGCATGTGATCGGGAACAGACTCAAACTGTTGCTGAAGGGGGTGACCAGAGACATCCGAGAACTGCAGAAAACACTGGACATCAGCAGCAGTCAGCAGGTCACTCATTGAAAACACTATAACACAAATCATACAAATTTTACAAACCCCTGATGTTAGTCTAGGGAATGGGAATAGGGAATTAATATATATATATATATATATATATATATATATATATATATATATATATATATATATATATATATAATTAGGGCTGTCAAATTATAAAAAAATTTACATAATCATACTTTTTTTGTAATTAAACATGATTAATCACGAAATGCCGTATTTATTACAGAAATAAAAACAGGCATTTAAATGCCAAGTACAGCGGACACAGTGAACGAGGGATCCCTTCTGAATTGTCAACACGCACAATTGCATTTATGAAATTTGCTTAAACTAAGCATTCTAAAGTATGGCTGTTATTTACAAGCAAGAATTCTGACACAGCAACGTGAAGCAGGGCTCATGAAAGTAGCTTAAAGGCAGAGAATAGGGCTGTGGTTGTCTTTGACAGCTTGCGACTTAATCTGCCACTTTCACTACAGTACATTTACATGGACACCAATACTCTGCTTTTATGATTAAGATAATACTGATTAAGAGTCGACCATGTAAGCAACGATTTTTGATTACCTTAAAGGATCATGCGAGTCCCGAAACGCAAAGGTTTTTCTTTCCGTTCGCCATGCGATATCAAATTCCATTAAAACATCCTGAATGAAAACATGCTGAATAAGAGTGAACTACTGAACTGCAGTTAAAGTCTTAAGATTAAAAATGAAGCACCCGAAATTCCATGAAACTCTGGAGGAAACGCAGGATAGCAGAATGGCACTCAAGGCAAAGGGCAATCACGCCGCCCTCAAAATGAAAGTGAAAAAGAAAGTGACCGTTTTGCTGATAAAAGGACCGTGAGGGAGAGGGTGGGTGTAGCAGATAAAAGTGAAGACCGGGGGGTTCACTCACTATTCTGCTGCCCAAGGTGGCCACCTAGGTCGCCTCTATGCACACGCCGTCCCTAAACACATTTCGGCCAAAACAGAAAATAAAAAATAAAAAACTGTCACGTTTGTTAACCACTAATTTTGACAGACACCCCTATATATAATTATATATATATATATATATATATATATATATATATATATATATATATATATATATATATATATATATATATATATATATATATATATATATATATATATGGGTATAATTATATATAGTGAAATGAGTGAAGTGAAAAAGACAACCAAAGCAGATGTATAAAAATGTGACTTTTATTTACAAATCCCAAGGTGAACTAGACAATGAATTAATCAAAAATAAAAAAAAGAAGCTAAGCAAATATATACTATTTATACTATATATATAAATTTGGACTAACATAAAGATGGGAAAACAAGAGAGCTGGCAGAAGGGACGTGGGCTGCGCTACAGAAAAGAAAGCTACAAAACCCAAACGATGTCTAACTCGCCAGAAACATCTAACTAACTAAATATATGAAAACAAAACAATACACACGAAGAATCCTCCGAGTCCTAACTGTCCTACACTATCTAAAAACTACAAGGGGTGGCGCTCGCCCCTAACCTAATGTACTAAACATAAGAGTAGACCTACATGTTCCAATATGTATGTCACGTGACCTGCTTACTTGTCCAAGCCTCGTAAACAACTTAAATGAGAAATGAGACTGTATATGAAAGGCGGACGAATAACGTGAACACAGAAACGGGCAATAACAGAATACACAGTTAGACATGTTTTTCCTTCGTAACACAACGCAATCACACAGCAGTAAACAACAGAAGCAAGAGGGAAAGGAAAAGGGGTCGGAGAGTGGTTTGGCACGTGCTTTTGTGACAGATGGTCTTGGCCTATTGGATATGACGTCCGAGTGACGTCACCGGGAAGAAAATGATTGACTAATAAATCAACCAATGAACAGAACCTGAGAATATGAAGCAGATACGGGAGAACAGAGAAACAAAAAAAAACACAAAAACAGGGCACAAACTACACAAACATGTAACATTAATGCAAATAAATATGTGGATCCAAATGGGTTTAATGCAGCGGTTCTTGAAGGTCCTGTGAAATTAAAATAGATGTAGAATCAGTAGTGTTCGTTTAAAGGATATCTATAAGCTAGTGTGCTACAAAACTGTGACTCAATGTACGTTTAGCAAATATAAAACTGATATTAACATCTAAAGCTTGTATTTTGTCACTTCGCCTAAATGGAGCATCAATTATAGATAGATAGATAGATAGATAGATAGATAGATAGATAGATAGATAGATAGATAGATAGACAGACAGACAGACAGACAGACAGACAGACAGATGATAGAAAGATAGACAGACAGACAGATGATAGATAGACAGACAGCCAGACAGACAAATAGATGACAGACAGACAGACAGAAAGACAAACAGACGATAGATAGACAGACAGATAGACATACAGATAGATAGATAGATAGATAGATAGATAGATAGATAGATAGATAGATAGATAGACAGACAGACAGACAGACAGACAGACAGACAGACAGACAGACAGACAGACAGATGATAGACAGACAGACAGACAGACGGACGGACGGACGGACGGACGGACGGACGGACGGACGGACGGACGGACGGACGGACGGACGGACGGACGGACGGACGGACGGACGGACGGACGGACGGACGGACGGACAGACAGACAGACAGACAGACAGATGATAGATAGATAGATAGATAGATAGATAGATAGATAGACGGACAGACAGACGGACAGACAGATGATAGATAGATAGATAGATAGATAGATAGATAGATAGATAGATAGATAGATAGATAGATAGATAGATAGATAGATAGATAGACGGACAGACAGACGGACAGACAGATGATAGATAGATAGATAGATAGATAGATAGATAGATAGATAGATAGATAGATAGATAGATAGATAGATAGATAGATAGATAGATAGATAGATAGATGGATGGATGGATGGATGGATGGATGGATGGATGGATGGATGGATGGATAGATAGATAGACAGACAAATAGATGACAGACAGACGATAGATAGATAGATAGATAGATAGATAGATAGATAGATAGATAGATAGATAGATAGATAGATAGATAGATAGATAGATAGATAGATAGATAGATAGATAGACGGACAGATAGACGGATGGACACTCGGATGGATGGATGGATGGACGGACGGACGGACGGACAGACAAGAAATGATTCTGTTCTTGTAGTTTTCATTAAGCATGACACAGCCCTGATGTGCAGGACTAAACTTCATCTCAGTTTAAGGTCTGTCTCTTTCTCTTTGCAGGATTTATCCTCCTGGTCATCTGCTGATGATCTGGATACATCTGGATCTCTGAGCCCTGTGTCTGGACGCAGCACACCGAGCCGCCAGCGACCGGTAACACTTCACCCCCTTCACAGATCACTGTCCGCTGTCACACTGAGGCGGATGTTTGACAGTCTTCCTCAAACTCCAAAAACACACTAGAAACACCTCATTAGTAGATTTGCCCTGAGATCCTCCAAAACTTAAGAACCCTTAATCCCAGCATGCTCTCTTCTAATGCAAGAGCTGAATCAGTACTGGAGATGTGATTCATCCCCTGTTGTGTTTCCACATCCCGGAGATTGATCCAAATGAGTTTTACAAGACGTTTTTTTTAAAGCAATTAGTCTCACCCATACCACACCCCTGAATTCTGGCTTGGTTTGGTTCCTCTGCTCATTTTTCCACATTCATGTTTATTCTAGATTCACACACTGTAGTTGTCAAGGAATACTGGTTCTGTGGGGAAAAATTTAATAAGAAAATACAAGTCCAGGTCATATTTAACCTACAGTTGAAGTCAGAATTATTAGCCCCGCTTTGATTTTTTTTTTTTTTTTTTTTTTAAATATTTCCCAAATAATGTTTGACAGAGCAAGGAAATTTTCACAGTATGTCTGATAATATTTTTCTCTTCTGGAGAAAGTCTTACTTGTTTTATTTCGGCTAGAATAAAAGCAGTTTTTAATTTTTTAAACACCATTTTAAGGTCAAAATTATTAGCCCCTTTAAGCTATATTTTATCAATAGTCTACAGAACAAACCATCATTATACAATAACTTGTCTAATTACCCTAACCTGCCTAGTTAACCTAATTAACCTAGTTAAGCCTTTAAATGTCACTTTAAGCTGTATAGAAGTGTCTTGAAAAATATCTAGTAAAATATTATTTACTGTCATCATGACAAAGATTAAATAAATCAGTTATCAGAAATGAATTATTAAAACTATTATGTTTAGAAATGTGTTGAAGAAATCTTCTCTCCGTTAAACAGAAATTAGGGAAAAATAAACAGGGGGGCTAATTCAGGGGGGCTAATAACTGACTGCAATCTATAAATGCCATTTTTATTTTTGCAAGGAGACATTTTTTTTTAATTAATCATTTACCTTTTTTTATTTGCTCATTCATTTATGTATTTAAACATTATACAGTGTCAAACAAATGTCTCATCGCAGAAATCCAATGATTTTGCATCAAATTTTGAACAAAAGATTATATGATCAAAAAGCCATGATGACATGTTTTTATGTTCATTCATTTATTTATTTTCGACTAAGCCCCTTTATAAATCCGGGGTCGCCACAGCGACCATCTTGCTGTGAGGCGACAGCACTACCTACTGCGCCACTGCATCGCCTGTTTTTGTTACTAAAACTTTTAATTTTAGTAAGTTAATTGGGTTTCAGGCAACGCGGTGGCGCAGTAGATAGTGCTGTCGCCTCACAGCAAAAAAGTCACTGGTTCAAGCCTCGGCTGGGTCAGCTGGCATTTCTGTGTGGAGTTTGCATGTTCTCCCTGTGTTCGTGTGGGTTTCCTCCGGGTGCTCCGGTTTCCCCCACAGTCCAAAGACATGCGGTACAGGTGAATTGGGTAGGCTAAATTGTCCATATAGTGTATGAGTGTGAATGAGAGTGTATGGATGTTCCCAGAAATGGGTTGCAGCTAGAAGGGCATCCGCTGCATAAAACATATCCTGGATAAGTTGGTGGTTCATTCCGCTGTGGCAACCCCATATTTATAAATGAACTAAGCCGAAAAGAAAATGAATGAATGAATAATTGGGTTTCAACTTTATTTTTTAAGTTATAAAAATGTTAACTTGATGTTTTAAATCAGGTTGATTGATGCAAGTTGAAGTTTAGTTTATTAACTTAATATTTATTAACCTTAATTTTAAGGAAGCATGTTTGCAGTTTTTAAACCTAATTAATCATTTTTAATTATTAAAATGTTAATAAATGTTGATTAATATTATACAATATAGATCATTTGTAGAATATATTTTGATAAATTATTATTTATTTATTATAAGGTACAGTTGAAGTCAGATTTATTAGCCCCCCATTGCATTTTCTTTCTTTTTAAAATATTTCCCAAATGATGTTAAACAGAGCAAAGAATTTTTCACAGCATGTCTGATAATATTTTCTTTTCTAGAGAAAGTTTTGTTTGTTTTATTTAGGCTAGAATAAAAGCAGTTCTTAATTTTGTTAAATACAATTTTAAGGTCAAAATTATTAAGCTTTATTTTAAGCTATATATTTTTCAGATAGTCTACAGCACAAACCATCGCTATACAATAACTTAACTTGCCTAATTACTCTAATTTGACTAGTTAACCTAATTAACCTAGTTAAGCATTGAAATGTCACTTTAAGCTGTATAGAAGTGTCTTGAAAAATCTCTAGTCAAATATTATTCACTGTCACCATGGCAGAGATTAAATAATCAGTTATTAGAGATGAGTTATTAAAACTATTATGTGTAGAAATGTGTTGAAAAAATCTCTCTGTTAAACAGAAAAATTAAACGGGGCTAATAATTCAGGGGGGTTATTAATTCTGACTTCAACTCTATGTAGAGTCATGTGGCTTAATAGCATAAGTAATGTTTTGTTTTTGGTGCCACTTTTTTGATTACTTATTGCAATTTATTTTTTAGGATTAAATTTTGCTGATGAATGTTATGTCAGAATGCAACTAATAATAATAATAAGGATGACTTCATTATGACCTTTACGTAATGCATTACTTCATGGGTGAAATATGATCTGTGATGACTTGTTCTTATCGGGCTCAGGCCCTGTCCACAAGAATGGGTATTTTTAAAACTTCACTTTTTTCTAAGCGGTTTTAATGGAGTACCAGGTGATGCTGAGTTCAGACTGCATGATTTTAGCCCTGATTTTGACTCGCCGATGGATTTTGAGAAATTGTCGACAAATGCTTGAAATCACTGGCAAATCGGTCACACAATCACACAGTGTGAACTATCAAAGAGAGATGCCATCTGAGAGCATCGCTGACACCCGTGAAATAAGTGGCATGCTAAATATCTGGAGCTGTCTGCGATTCAAATCATGCTGTGTGAAATGTGTTCTGATTGAAAATTATATCAGCAATCACCTACAGCCAAAGAGAGAGCAGCATACACTAGTATGGGTATCTGAAGGCCAGCAGGATGTTGGGGGAGAAGTTAAAATCGTTTCTTTTCGGTCTATTTGGACCCAAGAAAAAAAGGAAAAACTAGTGTAAATTTGTCTGTTTGACATGTCTCCTGAGCAATATCACATCCGGGTCGAAAAAGAAAAAGGTTGAAGAGAAAAAGCTAATTCCCTTCCAAAGCCAGGTGAGCAAAAATCTTCAACCCCACTAAACGCTTCGTTCTCATTATATGGTTAAAAACGAAAGATATACTAAATGACATTGCATTGTTTCCATGTTACTTCTCACGTCTTTGGTTGTGAGATGTAGTTTGCAGACCGAGACAAAGTTGTAACCCTCTATCGCTGAACCATCTTGCAGTATAAACAAAGCTGCAACAGAACGTAGTCACGCAGTGTGAAAACATCTGTGACATGATGACTTAGAAAATCATGCAGTCTCAACTCGGCATAACTAAAACTGAAACTTTCTGATTGCAAAAATTGCAAAAAAAAAATATATATATATATAGCTGATGGGACGTATTTGGTACTCTCCAGAAATATATATAGGGGTACATAAACAGAATGAGCCTGGGTTGAGTTTACTTGTGTACTGTGTTTGATGTGAGCCCAGCATAAAAGTGTCATTATCTCCACCTATTGATTCGGCTGTTAACATGCATCACAGTGTGTTTTTCCATTGTCATGTGAGATTGAAATAAAAAACGAAAGCGGGGAAACCTCAGTTTATAAAAACAGCCATGTACATGTGGACATGGCCTCAGTTGGTAAATAACTGTCTGAAATGACCTTATCATAAAGCAACCCGACTCATGAAGAACCAGTTTCTTTGTCTCCATAGAAGTGCTGTCCCCCCCCTCATTTGATTCTGTTGGTGCTCTTCTTTTTTTTACTTTTGGGTTCTTTCATCAGTAGCTTTGTCTTTATTTGCCTGGACTGAAACATTCTTTCTTTCTTTTACCCCCCTGTTCATTGCAAACAGCCACGGGGCAAAAGTAGTGTGTCAGAGCCTGGAGCCTGTGTGAGCAGTCTACTTCACAGGTACCTTTCTCCTGGTTTCTAGATCAGCAGCAAGATAATAGAAGTCCAACACAGAGACTTCCATCATCTTCTGTGATTCTAGACGCTGCTCGGGTTAGGGAGCTCAGATAGACACTACTAAGGGAGCTCAGGCGTCAGGCCGAAGCCTCACAGCGCCGCTAGCTTTGTGCCGTTTTTTCTTTCAGCTGATACTTGGCTGTAAATATGGATTCGCTAGGCTGCTTGCCGCTCATTTTTTTCTTGTCTATTCAGCAAGCGTCTGCAATGAACAATCTCGGCAATGGTTTCTCTTTCTCTTCTTCTCTCTCTGGTGTGTCACATCTGCTCTTTCACCAACTAATCAATCATCTTTTCCCTCTTCCTCCAATCTGCCATACTATACATGCAGTTTGATGACATGCTAGAGAAACAATACTGTGCAAGACATTAAACACGCAGTAACATGTTCCAGATTAAAAACTGTTGTTTACCATGATCTGCCAGCATTAGAGATCTTATTGATCATCACTTTATTCAATCAAAGTAGTCACATTAAATCATTATTACATTGTGGTTTTTATCTAAAGCAGTTTTCTCAAACACATTCCTGGAGCACCACTAGCACAGCGGCTGCGTCCGAAATCGCCTACTACTCAGTAGGTACTTCGTTTGAATTTAAATGTACTACTCGACCTTTAGAGAAGTGCTTCTATACAGTATGAATGGACATACTACATCCACCATTTTGTCATGATTACATGACGTACCCATATCAGTTATGTCGCTTCACTCCCATTCATTCACGGTGCATCATGGGATAGCGTAGCGTGTATTGGATGCACACTTAAGATTGTTGCCATTAGTAGTAGGTCATCTGGGTACTTCTCTCATACTGTTTTTTGAATTCTATGAATTGGGACATACTACTCAGCTCGCATACTGTTCGAAACCCCGCTCATTGACTTGTGTCCTCTGTAGTGGCCATTGCGTTTTCATGAATTTTCTTCAATTTATTTATTTTTATTTTTTGCTACTCTGTCAAGTCCTGTTGTACTGTTTGTACTGTTCAGAGGACATCCTGGGCTTTCTAGTGATAGTGGCTGGAATGCTAGGAACTACTTCTTACACTGCATCCAAAATGGCTGCCCTAGTAGCAAAGAATTCTGGCCCAGATTTGGCATAAAGCTGGCACAGCAGGCATTCATCCGGCACTGGCATACAGCATGTGGGCCAAACTTGGCCCGGGTTTGGCAGAGGTGGCACCGTCTTTAAGGCGGCACACAAGATTTGGGCCAGATGAAAAACGTAGTATTTGGCCCAGATGTAAAAATTTAATAAGTGGGCCATTTGAGTTTGGCCAGTCTTGACCCACATTTAAAATACACTAAAATCATTTTTGAGAAAAGAAAAAAAATTCTACCAATCAGGTCACTTTGAGAAAAAGCGTGGCCATAGTGTGCCTAAAGCGCATCACTCCATGGGTTTATCAATTTCATTGCAATCGTGACACACCAACCTATCTGGCCCAGTTCAGGCCCAGTTATGAGTTATTAACTTGGCTGAGACTTGGCCCAGATATGGTCCGTGTTTGGCCCTTGTCTGGAAGCCAGATTTGGTCCAGTCATGTACCGTAATTCACTGCGGCATGTGGGCCAAGCAAAACCTGATTGTGTGGGCCAGAGCTGGGCCAGAGAAATTTTGCTATGTGGGTGACATACAAAAAAGCACATTTTATGGAAAGGAGAGAGGCATGTAAAATGTAGCTTTTTAAATGTTTTTTTACTATTATTTTTACATATATATTTGTTTAATAAAGTGCCAGGAACAATACATTTAGCTTTCAAAGCTGTTAACTGTGTTTCAAAGTATGCTTTTTTAAACGTCCACTATAGTGGACACCAGGACCATCCTAATGTAATTATTGACTGCATGTTATAGGAGGCAGAACTGAAGCAGAGAGGATTTTTACAAAATAATTGAGGGAGACTCTGATTTAGAGTATGACAATCAGACAATTAGAGAATTAGAGAGAATTAAAGAATGACATCAGTTTTAAATCGCTTTTATGTTTAATTTGTTTTGGATTAACATCACTTCTTTTTTGTTGTTGTTGTTGTTTTGTTTTTTTTATTGAGTTCAGCTTTCTTTCAGACTAAACTGTTTCAGGAATTTTAATTCAAAAGGAAAAAATGGCTTTTGTTTTGTTTTTTTTACATTAATATTGGATTCATATCCTATTACAGTCATATCCTGTACAGTTTTATTGTCTGAGTGGCGGTCGTTTAAACTAAAATGGTCCTGTGGTCCACTACAGTGGACATGCTATAAAATTAAAAATAAAAACTAAATATAAAAACTCTAAATTGTAGATTTTTTTTAACCCAAAGGATGTATTAGATTGACACAATCTACATTGTAAAAGCGCTATACAAATAAAGGTGAATTGAATGTGGGAAATCACAGAAAATTAAAAAAATAAATAAATAAACAAATTTTCTTCCATTCTCAGTAGGATATAGAATGGAAGTGTGTGATTTTGGACGCAGCCTGCATGTTTTGGATGTCTCCTTAAAAACTATTTTCTCTGTTAAACAGCACTTGAAATATATTTTTCAAACAATTATGATTTCGCAGGATGGCTATTAATTTTGACTTTAATCTAATGAGCTGATGATCTGAATCAGGTGTGTTTGGTGAAGGAGACTTGAACTGTGTCCCAAATCGCATACTTCCATACTATATAGTACTCTAAAAACAATATGCTATACAGAATTCAAAGAATTCAAAAAACAGTATGAGAGAAGTACACGGATGACTGAAGCTGCGTCCCAAATCGCATACTTATGCACTATTCTACGCCATTTTGTAGTATAAATAGTGTGTGTTCACACTAAAAGCTCTAAAAATAATATGTGCACTTTAATTATGATGCATTCATTTAACAGGTAAAATTTAGTGCGGAATGATAGACACTTCACGCACTCAACGACCGCAGGTTTGCTCACATATAGCGGAAGGGTGGTTGTTGAAAGCAAAATTCTCCTACAAGAGTGATTATAGCACATCCCGATGGTGAATGCGGTTATAGTTATGGCAGGTATTATTTAATAGTTTGGCCATTTGTTTCACTGATTTGTCAAACGTCATCAGGAAAACAGTTTAAATTTCCGCTTAGTAAAAACATTAGTGCTCCAATTAAGACGGCACTACATACACGTACTGTGCTGTTGAGTGTGTAAGTGCATAAGTACATAGTACATGAGTGCATAGGGTATAGTGTGCCATTTGAGACGCAGCTTTACTAATTCTGGCAAGATTCTTGCATGCTATGCTATCCCATGATGCCCCGCGAGAGAATTCATGAATGAGAGTGAATCAACGCAACTCACATTGATAGGTTCTTGATTGTCTTCAATGAACCTAAACGAGCACATGTCACTCCGCTGCTAGTCCGTTTGCACTGGCTGCCAGTTGCTGCTCGCTACAAATTCAAAGCTCTGATGTTTGCCTACAAAGTGACTTCTGGCCTTGCTCCTTCTTATCTGCTCTCACTTCTGTAGATCTATGTGCCCTCCAGAAACTTGCGTTCTGTGAATGAACGTCGCCTCGTGGTTCCATCCCAAAGAGAGAAGAAATCACTTTCGCGAACGCTCACGCTCAATCTGCCCAGTTGGTGGAATGAACTCCCTAACTGCATCAGAACAGCAGAGTCACTCGCTACTTTCAAGAAACGACTAAAAACTCAACTATTTAGTCTCCACTTCACTTTCTAATCTGCAATTGCCTCTTTGAATATCACACTAACTGTACAAAAAAAAAAAAAAAAAAAAAACTAATACTACTAATACTTTCCTTCTTAGACTTTACAGACCTGAAACTTGCCTTTAGTACTTATTCATTGTTGCTCTTAGTTGTGTAAATTGCTTCCTTGTCCTCATTTGTAAGTCGCTTTGGATAAAAGCGTCTGCTAAATGACTAAATGTAAATGTAAATGTAGGTCACATGCTTATAACAAAATGACGGATGTAGTACCATTGACGGGAGTACCATTCATATTACTCACATTCATACTGTATAGAAGCACTTATCTAACGACAGTAGTACATTTAAATCCAAATGCAGTACCTACTGAGTTATAAGCAATTTTGTACAAAGCCATGAAAAAGTGCAAAGCTAGTGGTCCTCCAGGAATGTGGTTGAGAAACACTGATCTAAAGCATTGTAGTCAAGTAGAGCTATTATTAGTCTGTAGGTGAAATGTGAGTCTTGTTCTGGAATACACTGGTGATTTTTTTATTTATTTATTTTGACTTTGAGGGATCCAACATACAGTCATAACATAAGTATTAGCTCTCCTGTGAAATTTTAATTCTTTAAAAAAATATATCCCATATGCTGTTTAAGTGGGCAACGACATTTTACACTGTATCTGCTATTATATTTTTCTTCCAGAGAAACTCTTTATTTCTTTTAGTTTGACTGGAATAATCAAATAGTTACACTTTTTTTTAATGGTAAGGTTAATATTACTAACCCGCTAATTAGTTTTATTATTATTTAGCGGGATTGGCTACAGAACAAATCACTGTTGTCTAATGACTTGCCTAATTAACCCAGGTAAGCTTTAAATTGCATTTTAAGCTGAAGATTAGTATCTTGCAAATTAACTAGAAAAAGTTAGATAAACTGTGATCATGGCAAAAACAACTATATATATATATATATATATATATTAGAAATGTGTTTATACTTTCTTAATTAGTTATTATTGTGTTTAAAAATGTGATCGACTGAGTTAAAAAGCATTTGGAATATATTTTTCAAAGAATTAAGATTTCGCAGGATGGCTAATAATTTTGACTTCAACTGTATATTCAATCTTTAATCAACAGACCACAGAAGCTCCACAAACATGTTAAGAAAGACATATAATTTGAGCTGTGCTTTCCCCTGTTAGCTTGCTCTCTGTTTAACACGCTTTAACAGAAGAGCATATTAATGAAGTCAAAAACAGACCTTTTGCTTTTAAACGCTACTGAAGACTTCAAACTAACTCTATCTGTGTCAAGCTTTGCCAGCTAATGTGTTCCCAGATATGAAACAGACAGATAAAAATTCACAACAATAAATAAGTATGGGAACAAATGTTATCCGATTAAATATGAAAGCCTATTTACACTCTTAAAAATAAATGTTTCGAATGGGAGCTTTGGAATAGAAGAACAATTTTGGTTCCTCGAAGAACCTTTTTTTGAATAGTTTTTAAAGGGGCTATATGACAAATTCTGTTTTGTTTTAGTGACACCGGTGGCTATTTAGTGAACTGCAGCAGCAATATCGTAGAACTCTATATTGTTCAAGAGACTAAACGTGATTCAGTACCCAGATACTGTATATTCACAATGAAGATCTTTTTCATACAATTTGTGTGCTTTTCTCTCAGTAACAAAATAAAAAAAGCAGTGTGAAAACAGCAATTAAGAAAGCATCTGATCATATGGAGTAGCATTGTGTCAACAGCATCGACCTGATTTCACCAAGTACAATGCGGTTCTGAAGTAACATCTATGTTAATCCTGGAAGAACATTCCAATCAGAATTAAGGGATGTGTTTACCATACATGTTCAGTTTAAGCTTACGGTTAGGTGTATGCACTTCTCCATGATTGTCATCCAACTACTATTCCACTCTGGTTATGGGAATAATTCTCAGTTATGATTGGGTTTAGGTGAAGGGAATAGGTTTGGATTACATTTTCAAACAAAAATGGATGCTCCAGGATCAATATAGATGTTAATCTAGGATCGCATTGTAGTTGGTAAAATCATGACTTGCATGTCAACAGAGCATTAATATTAGACTGTTTATAATGAGACTGACTAAACCGTGCACAACTGCTGTAACAACCCATGTACACTCAACAGCTAAATAATCCTCATAATGAACCCTGAGATGATATGGATGGTCCTTAGCTGCCCTACTCTTGCCCTAATTAAAAAAAGTCTTTGACAACCCTTTATAAAAACCTTAGACATACCGCATGAACCAGAAAATGTTAGCGGTTTAAAAAAAAAGCCTTAATATCGATCATCGTCTCGTGCTGCAAGACATTACCCGTGGCAATAAAACTGTATTAAAGGGATAGTTCACCCGAAAAGGAATAATCTGTTCTCATTTACTCACCCTCCACATGTTTTGAGTTTCTTCTGTTAAAGAATTACAGAGGAATGTTGGAAATAAGTCATTGACCTCCATAGTATTTTATGTTCCTACACTCAAAAAATGACGTTGGCTGTTTGTTCAAAGTACTTATTTAAGTTGAGCTGAAATTTTGGTGGATAACTCAATTATTTTAAGTTCAATCAACTTAAATTTGTAAGAACTAAGCTTACTCAAATCAATTGTGTGGAACCCAGGATTTTTGACAGTGTACAATAGAAGACCCGTTATTCACTACAGGCCTGGTCAGTACCTGGATGAGAGAGCGCTTTGGAAAACCAGGTTGCTGTTGAAAGTGGAGTTTGTGAGGCCAGCAGAGGACGCCTAACCTGCGGCCAGTGTAAGTCCCCTTATGCCCCATTAAAGTGAAGGGGACACTATACTGTCAGTGAGCGATCTGTTTTAAATGAGATGTTAAACTGAGGGCCTGACTATCTGTTGTCATTAAAAATCTCAAGACACTTCTTGTAAAGAGTAGGGGTGTAACCCCGGTGTCCTGACCAATTTCGCTCCATTGGCCCTCACCCATCATGGCCTCCCAATCATTCCCATCCACAAAATTGGCTCTATCACTATCTCTCCACTCTACCTATAGCTGATGTGGGGTGAGCGCACTGGGGCCGTTGTCCTGTGGCTGCCGTCACATCATCTAAGTGGATGCTACACACTGGTGGTGGAGTGGAGTTAAACCGATGTCCTGACTCTCTGTGGTCATTAAAAATCCCATGGTAGGGGTGTAGTTACCTGGACAACGTCCCTCTATTGGGCCTTAACCACCCTGGCCTCCCAATCATCCTCATTCACTGAATTGGCTCTATCACTGTCTCTTCACTCCCCTAATAGCTAGAGTGTTGTGAGCGCACTTGCGCCGTTGTCCTGTGGCTGCCGTCACATCATCCAATTGGATGCTGCGCACTGGTGGTGGGGTGGAGTGACACCAACCCCCTTCATGATTGTGAAGCGCTTTGGGTGTATGACCATACACAATAAATAAGTTATATAAATACACATTGCAGTGCATTACATTGATATATAAATGTCTGCTTTTGTCCAACATTCCTCAGAAAGAAATTCATACAAATTTAGAACCACTTGAGTGTGAGTAAATGATGAGCATATGTTCATTTTTTGGGTGATTTTTTTAGTTCATTTAACACATCACTTCTTACATATAGCCCCTTTCAAAGAACTGTTTTAATAATCTGAAGAATTCAGATTCAGAATTTTACAAAACGGACTGTTAAAGGTTCTTCGTGTAACCAGAGAAGACTTCACAAAACAAAACTTTAATTTTAAGAGTGTATTAGCAAACCATAGTCTGTACTACTGTACTTGCTGGTGTTTTTAATCCTTTAGCAGCAGTTTTAGAAATAGCTAGACAGCTGTTTTGATTTCTCCCAATTGCCTAGTTTTGCATCTGAGCACGTGTCTCCGGCATCTTCTGTGTAGCAGGTCTCTCAACGCCGCTGGATCCGCTTTCTCCCATTCTGAAGATGAAGAGCGGCCATCTTGGTGCAGAAGCTTCCTGAAGCGGGTCTTCTGGGCCGCGCTGCCCCTGCAGATCATCCTGCTGCTGGTGCTGATTGTGGCCTGTCTTGTGCCTACGTCTGAGGATGGCTACAGCTGTGCCCAACTCAACAACTTCGCCCGCTCCTTCCACCCAATGCTCAGCTACACCAACGGCCCTCCGCCAATATGAGCCAATATGATGGGTTTCTCGAAATTGACAACTGCCAAAAATGGAGGTTGGCAGCCAAAGTGAATTATTACGGTGTCCTTGTACAGCTGCTAATCTTACCGTCATCAAAAGTCTTGTGTAGATGTTAGAACAAAGCCTATTGCACTGAAATCTGCTGTGTTAGTGCTACTGATGTTCTTCCATATTTTGATATTAAGGAGGAAGCTAGAGCGTAACTCAACACTGGTATTGTTACTGTAAAGGCACTTTCAGTCTTTCTTAATCATAAAAAAACGAAAACAAAAACTGAAATGTGCGTGCGTCTTTCAGTATACTTGTAAAAAAGAGAAAATGAAAAATATATGAACTCTATATTGCAATTATTTTTTATATGTATTTTTGGCATGTGGTCATCCTTTGGTTTTAAAAAACGCTCATTGATTTTATCGAATTTGTTGTCGGTTTTTAATTTTTGATCTTAACTAATCTGCTGTAACGTTGAGTTTAATTGTGTCACGATACTATACTTTACTCTATGTAAACCACTGATGTCGAAGAAAAGGATATTTATGTATGTACAGAGTTTGCTGAGGCCTAAGAAACCTTCGCAATGAAAACATATATGATATATACACATAACCTAATGATTCATATTTTTCATTACGATTAAAGATTGAATGACAATAACTGTTTAATTGTGTAGAGTCATAGTTTTTTTGGTTACTAGAAGAAATCCTTGCTCACATTTAAAGATATGGACAGAAATAGAGTGTTTTTTTTAAACAGTGCACGGTGGCTCAGTTAGCGCTGTCACCTCACAGCAAGACGGTCACTGGTTTAAGTCCCAGCTGAGCCAGTTGGCCACTCATCACTGTTATTAACGTCTACACCTTTCCCAACCCTAAACCTAATCATTACAGTTATTAATGTCTACACCTTCCCCAACCCAAACCCAACCATAACAGTTATTAACATCTGCTGTACACCTTTCCCAACCCTAAACCTGACCATCAACGTTTTTAATGTCTACATCTTTCCTAACCCTAAACCCGACCACAGTTATTACCGTCTACACCTTTCCCAACCCTTAACCCAACCATCACAGTTATTAACATCTACTGTATACCTTTCCCAACCCTAAACCCAACCATCACCATTATTAATGTCTACACCAGGGTGGCTCAATCCTGTTCCTGGAGATCTACCTTCCTGCAAAACACAGCTCTCACCCTGATCAAACACACCTGAACCAATTAATTAGGACCTGAACAGCACTTGATAATTACAGGCAGGTGTGTTTGAAATGGGTAGCAACTGAAATCTACAGGAAGGTAGATCTCCAGGAACAGGATTGAGCACCCCTGGTCTACACCTCCCCCAAACCTTAACCCAACCATCACCGTTATTAATGTCTACACCTCCCCCAACCCTTAACCCAACCATCACCATTATTAATGTCTACACCTCCCCCAACCCTTAACCCAACCATCACCGTTATTAATGTCTACACCTCCCCCAACCCTTAACCCAACCATCACCGTTATTAATGTCTACACCTTCCCCAACCCTAAACGTCATTATTAACTCAACCCACTCATCATTATTAACAAACAGCTGCGAGTTGTGGGGACTTTCATACTTGTCGTGCTTGCCATTGTACTGTTATTTGCAACCACAATGCGATGTAGGCTAACTGTCTAATGTAATAATATATCAGATTAATTGGTTGTGGATAAACATTTAGTAAAAATGTTCTCTGGAAAGTATTTCCGCCATCTTGCCCAACAACATCTCGCATGGTTCAATGGGATCTCAATAACTGCAAGTTAAGCCTCTAAAGGTGCTTTCACACCTGTGAATCGATTCAGTTGTTCCGAAACAGGGATTAAAATTGTTACATTGTTGCTCTTTGTTCTTGGTGCAGTTCGCTTTTACACTGCAAAGTTTCTAAATGGACCAAAAGAACTAAAACAAGTCACGTGTGAGTAAACTCTCCTCACATTGGTAAGAGTTTCACGGTTTATTTGCTCAGCTGTCAGGGGGATGGTAGTGGTTTGGTGGTGTTTGACAGGGTGCGCGCGACGTGTCTGAAGAGTGAGGACGGATGCGATGGGGAGGGGTGATTATCACTCGGTTGCGGGCATCCGAGATTCTCTGTGCATTTGCAGGAGACTCATGAAACCTCCGGGAGACTTTGGATGTATGGATCGACCTTCCGCCCTACTTATAATTCCCTCTTTATTCACCTTATTCTCCGCCGACGAGCAGGCGCTGCCATTTGAATCTTTTTGGCTTGAGACTTCCGGTCTCATTCACTTCCATTCATTTTTTGATGTTAAAAACTGCTCGTTACGCTGCTTGATGTTGGAATTTGATATTTTCTTATTATATTTTTCTACTTGGTCTGTATAGTCATGCAAACATTTGTTTGTAGAGCAAGTAGTTTGACCGTTTTTTGCCGTTTATTATTCCTAGTCATTTCTCCCATAGGCGACTGAATCTGAAGTTCTAAGACAATCGCGAAAACAGGCGCACTTCCGCATTTTAGAATATGGTCAATATAGCCGTATGCCTATTACATATTCATAATACACTGTGATGTAACTGGGCTTGGATCATATTACTTTCTTACTACAATGGATCCGTTCCAGAGTTCGTTTTAATCTAGCCGAGACCACCTCATTTAAGCGATCTCGGAGCGATTGTTTTGGCACGGATGCGAGCGCAATTGGTGGTTTCACATATGCCAAACGCACCGCGCTAACTTGGCAAACGAGGCGGATTCCAAAACAAAAGTCTAGGTGTAAAAGCACCCTAACTTACTACAAGTAACTCCTCTTGATGTTATAAAGACAGACAGATACACTTGGCTGGAAGGGCATCTGCTGCGTAAAACTTATGCCAGAATAGTTGTTGGTTTGTTCTGCTGTGGCGACCTTTAATAAATAAGGGACTAACCCGAAGGAAAATGAATGACTGCCATTGAATCATGTTCAGCATACTTCAAATATGTAGTTTGGTTCATCAATTCAAACATGGTAAAACATCTACTAATATTTAATGATTATTCAGTATATGCGTTGTTTCTCTTTATTTTAATTAATTACATATGCATACTTTTCAATAGTTTTAAATACACAAAGACATATAATATTGCTAATTATATCTGTTTAACCAATTAAATTTTCCTTACTAAAATGTACCATATGGGTTTTGCTCCCATAAAAAAAAAAAAATTTGAAGTTAAATCATGTTAACTCATAAATACATGGGAATGCATGAACATAGTCAACATTCTAATAACCATTAAATCAAATTGAGCAGTTGTTTAAATATTGCCTTATTTATTATAAAGCATCTATCCATGCAATTATATTTTTTATCAAATACATGCTCTCATAATTATTAATTAAAATCAATAACAATTCTTTTATCTGATTACGTTTTATCAATACAGTGAGACATCCTGTCAATCAAATAAGATCCACCAATAGCAAACCACATCCATCCAACAATGCTATCAATTCACCTGATAAAGACAAGCAAGTCCCGCCTTCTTTTGGTCTTTTTTTGAGAAGACAGAAAACAATGTTTTGAAAGGTTAACTGATCTTTCAATTCATACATCTTGTAAGCTCTTTCTGAAGGCTGTTATTAATGCGGGTTTATTAATGAGGCTGTAGGAGATGAAGCTGCTGGAAGAGCCTGAGGTTTAAACTCGTGAGATTGATCGACATTTATGGATGAAACTGGAGAGTTCCAGCAGGTGTGTAAATGAGCAGTGCTGTGACACTGACGCGACTGAATCAAAACCTCCAGGCGTCTGAGGACTTCATAGTTCGGGATGCAGCCTGTGCAGTGAACGCCCAACATCTGGGACACCACCGTGTAGAAGTCCAGCAACTGCAAGGTATAGTAGAAAAATACATGTTAACTTAAACTGAGGAAAAGTTGGTTTTATATTCGTTTAACAACTTCATGACGTTATATTGTTTACCAAGTAACTTACAATATTCTGTCTGAAATATTAAGGTAAAGTTGGTTTTATATCGGTACAGTACTTTCAGGCTTTCTGCTAATATAATTTCAGAAAAGCATTGTTAGCCAATTCTAAATAGTGAAATCATTTTAGCAGCCAATGACTAACTTATACAACGCAATTTACAATCAATTAAATAACGCTAACATTGTTTTGAAGTCATACATGTTATTCCAGACCCAATGTTCAAAGTAACGGCGTGGTAAACAATATAATTACCTCAATACCTGTTAACCGCGGTTACCTGTTACTACAATAATTGCAGTAACGTAAAGTTAGTTTTATATTAAGTTACCACATTCGTTCACTTACACATTTTGACATGCTCCCAATATTGTTTATGCAACTTTAATTATTAGTCTGAAATCCCATGTAAGTACTTCAAAACAGCATTAATATTAACTTAGCCTTATTTAACTGACTGCGTACAATGTTGTACCTTGATAGTCGTTGGCTGCTGATATGATTTCATTATTCACAATTCGATAACAATGCTTTTCTGAAGTTATGTTATTAAGGAGAAAGTCTAAAGGTGTGAATAAAAAACCAACTTTAGCTGAAATCTCAGTGATGTTGCTGTTTATATGCATAATCGTGCAACAGTTTGGAGTAGGGCTGTGCGATTTGGGGGGAATTTTTAAATAATTTTTAAAATATTTTATTAATTTTTTTTTATTTGACAGATATTGCGGTTGTGATTTGATTTACGATTTAATTCAAGCTCATTTTAATTTAATTCAAGCTTCCCCTCAATAATCTGTAAGCCATGGCAACAATTCTGCTATAGCTCTTAAAAATTCCCTGTTTTTGTTCAGTGTTTGTGACTTTAAAACCAAAATATTCCCATATTACCAATGCAATTTTTCTTTGATTTTAATTCATCCATTAATGCTTCTAAAGCAGCAGGTGCCATATTCCCACTTGTCAGTGGTTTATTTGTTTTCTTTTTTTTATTGTGGGCGTAGTTCAGTTGCACAATTCCTTTTTTTATTATTAGTTTTTTTACTTATGACTTTAATGGCAAATTACATTACAAAAAAGAAGAAAAAACACAATCATATTTCAAAAAGTATAGATAGTATCTATAACTTAAGCACATACAAAAAAAACATACCAACAAATAAAAAGGTAAATAATAAAAAAACAAAAAAAAAACTACAATTGTACAATCTGAAGCACACTATACACTCTACTTTGCACTTAGGAAAGAAAAAAACAATTTACTGGAACAAGGACTTGGTCTGTAGTTGACAATAAAACATGTTATTGTCGGAAAAAGTTGTTATTTGGAATATTAAACTTTTCACATGCCTGCTGGAATGAAGAGAACAGTTGCACAATTCTGATTGGGCAGAACGAAAGTGAGCTCACTCAATTGGCTGGTTATAAACAGACCCCCTAGTTTTTCGCGATTCCTCGATCGCTGAATCCAAAGCAAAATCAACAAAAAGATGCACATTTTTGCTATCCTGCAAAATTCTCAATTAAACACAAAATAATCGCAAAAATGTAAATATAAATGTAGAATACTGATTTTCGAATTCTATGAATTCGGACATACTACTCAGCTCGCATACTGATTTTAGCGTCCTATATAGTATGGAAGTATGCGGTTTCGGACGCAGCCGTAGTTCCAAAAGGGCCGCAGCTCTGCACAGTTTAGTTCCAACCCTAATTAAACACACCTGATCAAAGTCCTTCAGGCTTGTTTGAAACCTACAGGTAAGTGTGTTGGAGCAGGGTTGGAATTAAACTGTGCAGGGCTTCGGCCCTCCAGAAATTGAGTTTGACACCCATGTTCTAAGGTAACTTGAAAAAGCCGGTCTCCACAAGAATGTGAGTCCGTTCTCTGTGTTCTTGGAATTAAGAAACAGCCTCTGTCTCCTTCACCAAACACACCTGATTCAGATCATCAGCTCATTAGCAGAAACTGAAAGATCAGTAAAGTGTGTGACAGACAAAGGAGGCATCTAAAACTGGCAGTGCTGGTGGTGTTCCAGGAACGTCATTGAGAAACACTAATATATCACTCTCTGTACCTGTTTCTCTGTGTGTGTGAGATCTGCGATGGCACTGGATTGAGTGTCCAGGAGTCTGTGGGCTTGTTGAATCTCATCTCTGGCTTTGAGCTCCTGGCTTTTTAGCTCTGACGTGACGCTGGTAAGTTTCTGCTCCGTCTTCACCTTTTTCTTCTCAAGCTTTCCCAGATTCTTATTCTGCTCCTCGATGGTTTGCTTTTGTTCCATCACTGTGATCTTGTTGCACCAAAGACAGCAGAAACTAAGCATTTATAAGCACACTCTGAAAAAGCATTATTAAAGCTGGCATAAATAATTTAGGTTCTATGTTTTAAATGCATGTTTTGATCTTCGTGCAATTCAGCCATGCACATTTCATCTCTTAACATAACTCTTAACGTAACTCTTAACTTAACGTTACCTCTACTTTTACTTTATACTTTAACTTTAAGCATAAACCATTTCAACCAGTTAGAACCAGTCATGTTTAAAGAGATAAATTACCCAAAAATATTGTGAATATTTTATATTTATACTTTTTTTGTTATTTAAAAAAGGGGTTATTTAAACGTCACGTTATTAAATAGTTTGAAACATTTAAGCTGGCACTTTCGATATGCTTTTAATATTTACTATGCTTTGTGTGTATTTCTTTTAAACTTTTGTCTTGTTTTTGACCCATATACATCCAGTTACCAAAACAATGACTGATCGGAGGAATCTATTGTAAAACATGAGCATTTTATTCTCCAAGAATATACAAGTCAAAAACACTATAGAATATTGTTCCTTTGTAAGCTTTCTTTTTTTTATGAAGGCATTTTCACATCCCCTTAATACATTTCAAAGAAAGTTAATGTTAATTACAAATCATTTTTATATTTAAAATGATTGGTCACCATTGACGGTCAGTTGATAGTCACCATTTACTTTTTTTTTTTTTCTACTATGGCAGCCAATGATGACCATCAGCTGTTTGGATCCCAACATTCTTCAAAATATCTTTTGTTTAACAGAAAAGATAAACTTAAAGGGTTCGGAACAAGTGAAGGCTGCTATGTTCCCATCCATATATTTTTATGCACATTAAAAAATGTTTAATGGAAAATTTAATTCAGACAAAAAGAAAATTATAAAAGAAAAAAGGCCCACAGTAACTACTCCTACCGCAGAAAATCCAGTTTATATATATATATATATATATATATATATATATATATATATATATATATATATTATTTTATAGTATATATATATTTTTTATTTATTTATTTTTTTTGGTGCCAGTTTATCAGAAAATTTAGATTTTTGTTTGACTAGAAACGCAAATTTATTTATTTATTAGAATCTTCATTCTGAAAGTGGACTAGTCTACTGCTTAATTGCATTTGTGTATAAAGGGTAAAGCTGCGGTCACACTGCAATTTTTACCTTTTATGCTCTGTTCACACTAGATGTGAATTGAGCAACAAGTGCAAGTTATTTACATGTTAAGTCAATTCCAAGACGCGATTAGACATCCTGTTACACGATTCGGGCAAATGAAGTGGCAAGAGTTGGAAAATCTGAATTTTTGCGGACATTTGCGCTGCGTTAACCAATTACGAGCTTGCTTTTGTAGGGATGTGGTTATGACGTAGCGCCTGTTGTTGGTGTCCCGAGAGGAAATCCTCATTTTGACACCGACAACAGCTCATCAATTTCGCCTCGGCTCAGTCTGAAGCACCACTGAAAGCCTCTATCATTCAGGTAAAGTTTATGAACTCGCAGAGCTAGTTGCACCTCTGAAAGGATCTAGTGGACTCATACATTGCGCCGAACGAATCCGAGCTGTTTTTCAGTCTTCCTAAAGCACATAAACACAGCTATTCTATCGATAAAGTCCAACAACAAAGCTACAGTCACCAAGCAGACAGAAGCCCTGCACATGACATGAATCCGCATCTATTGTGAAGCGAATATGACGCGTGAATTAAGCGAGTAAACTCAAAATGTTCATGCATCTATTTGCAAGCGAACAGCGCGGTTTTATTCAGGTGTGCCGTATCTGGTGTGAACACAGCATTAGAATTCCATTTATCGAAATGCAAGCTTGTGCAACAACCCAGCAGGCACACAACATCATAAGGCGTTAATATTAGGTTATATTTAGGTTGCTTTGTCTAAGGACAATGTTATTTTGACATCCAATAACAACGTGAAATGGGGTTAATATTTTGTTAAATTTAGGTTGTGTTGGAAAGTGACCAAAATCCAACGTCTAGCCAACATCTTAAACCAAAGTCATATTGCCATCACATACTGACATTTATCAGTCAGGTGTGGCTACCAACATCCAACATCTGATAGACGTCATATTAGTACGGTCCATACAACATCAAGTTGTAACATCAATATGCTGCGTTCACACCAGACACAGATGAAGCGTTAAGCGCAAATGAGGCGGCTCGAATGACGTGATTCTCACATATGAAATGGCGTGAGTTAAGCAATCTGCGCGATTGACTTGCCTGACAGAAATTCGCACCACGTTAACCAATCAGGAGTTCTCTTTTGTAGTGCCTGTTGTTGGGTCCCGAGGGGGAAATCTTCCTACCGACACCGGACAACAGTTAATCAAACTGAAAAATGGAGTTTATGAACTCACAGAGCTGGGTGCACCTCTGAAAGTATCATGTAAGTAAGACATGGCTCCAAACGAATCAACACTGTTTTTCAGCCTTCATAAAGCACAGCTACTATCTCAATAAAATCCATGTTAGCCATTTAGCAACAAAGCTAGAGTCAGCAGGCAGACAGAAGCCCTGCCCATGACGTGAATCCGCATCTATTGTGAAGTGAATATGACGTGCGAATATAGCGGATTTGACACAAATGAATCAAGTAAACTCAAAATGTTCACCCATATATTTACATGCAAACAGCGCAATTTATTTGCACGTTCTGCATCTGGTTTAAACACCGCATTAGATGTTGATATTTGGTTGTTTTTAGGTTGCGTTGGAATGTGACCAAAATGCAAGTTCTGTCTGATGTTGGACACTGTTGCCGGTCTGATGTAAAGTTCTGACGTCAACCTGATTTTCATTTCCAAACAAAATGCAGTGTCCCATGACGTTTGGGTACAACATCAATCTGACGTCATGTTGCTGTCCTGTGCCTGCTGGGAAGTTTCACATGTTGCTGCATTCAAGAGTTCAAGCTTGCTCTCCGTTATTTTAAATATGGAGCAATCGCTCTCTTTGTCGAATCATCCATCTTGTTTTATCCTGCTCTGTTTTGCAGTGCTGTACGACAGAATTTCACTAGTGTGACCAGGTCTTTACATTACCCTATGTAGAGTGCAAAGTGGTTTTAGTGGGATTAAGGGTGTCACGATTCCGATTTTTAATCGAAATCGATCGAAATTTATGCTCAACTTCGATTGTCGAATCAAAAAATAGAATCGTCGATGCTGCTACGCCCCCATGTCACGTTAGCTTGGCTTGCCAAGCGGGAAAAAAACAGGCTTGTTGAAGTGCTTCTTAAACTGCAGACGCAGGAGAACTGTCGACAGAACTTAAACCCTCTCCTCTTTCAATGAAGTCGCCGGTGTGGAAGTATTTTGGATTTCCAGTTAGTGATGTTGACAACGTTCGTGTTGTCGACAAAAAAAAAAAAAACACAGTTTGCAAGCTCTGCTATGTACGTATTACGGTTGGGATGATAGACGATGGGCGCATCGCGATCCTCCGCCCCGCACCCATTGCAAATCCGCTCGTGAAAAATACACTCTCAGGCCCTGTTTACACTAATATGTCTTTTTTTTTAAATGGCATTTTAGAACGATAACGATCCAGATCCACACTGGCGTGTAGCATTTCTGAGCAGCCCTCCTTCCTCACTACCGCTGAAAATGCACATCACGTGACCACACACACTCATTCACACACAGACACAGACGCACACACATTGTCATGCGCTCGAGACAGCGGGTCAAGGCAGTCAGCGGGTCAGTAGACTGCTTCCATCTTTTACTTTCACACAAGTACTTAGTCATTTTAGCGAACACTACAGATATTGTTGGCTGGTTCCTGTTGGTTGTGCACCTTTTTTACCGACGCCATTATAACGACACAGATCACTGCCTATTCACGAGTCCCGCGGAAAAAAGTGATTGACAGGTGGTAATTATGTGTGTAACTTGCCTTTATTCATTTACTGTATGATTTGTTTATGGGTAAAACAAAGATCATGCAGGTCAGGTAGTTTAAACTGTAGGCTACAAATAATTAATTCGTTATTAATTATTTAATTATTCATAATCGAAAATCGAATCGTGACTTTAGAATCGAAAATGTAATCGAATGGAGGATTTGGAGGATCGTGACACCCTTAAGTGGGATATTAGGATATTAGCGTTTTAAGCTGAAACGGCTCTGTTAGGTGCAGGTCTGCTGGCCAGGGCTCGCCCCTGTACCTGGAGCTGATTGGTGTGGGACAGCTGCGCTTTGAGCTCGGTGTTGGAGAAGCGTAAAGTGCTGAGCTCCGCCTGCAATCGATCCACACGCTTCTGGAGCTTCTTACAAGACAGAGCAGCGTCGTCTTTCTCCAAAGCCAGAGTCGAGCGGCTGCGCTTCTCCTCCTCCAGCTGCTGCACCTTCCTCCTCAGCAGCTCCAGGTAAAGATCTTTACTCTCCGACCGAGACTTCTGCTCCTTAAGCTAAGCCAGATATGAGAAATGCAGGGCCGATTCAGTATTAAATCATCAAATAATAATAACACTATTTTTAATCCAACAATTTTTAAATTACTAGAAATTAATTTAGATTTAATTTAAGGATTATGTTTTTGTTACAATTAACAAAAATCCTTTTAGGTTTATGATTTAACCTTGTATATTACATGTGAAATCCCAAAATGTATGCAAGAAAACTCTGCTAAGTAATTGTAAAGTTGACTTGCGCTGATGTTTGCAGACCTTTCTCTGAAGGCTGTATGTTTGTGTCTTGGTCTCCAGTAAAGCCGTTCCTTCGTGTCTGCTCAGCTGCTGTGCTCGAGTCAGAATGACCTCCAGTCTCATATCAAACCCCAGCTCTGCAGCAACATCATCCACTTTTAGCATCTCGGAGAGCTGCTCCACAAACCGCAGATACTACACAACAAGAAGAGGAAGAGCAATGACATACTGACAGCTCATCTAAGGACATTTATAATGAGATATAGTTTTATATCAGTTTATATATGTTTATATCAGTTTTATATTTTCTAAATGTGTATTTTGTCACTGATTTGAAGCACACTAGCTAACAGATATCATTAGAAACTAAGGCCCAGTTTCACAAACAGGGCTTAGATTGAGCCAGGACTAGGCCTTAGTTAAATTAGGCTATTTAAGCCACATTTATAAAAATGGCCTTAGTAAAATATAATACTGATGTGCACCTGGAGATAAAATATGATACTGACATATTTTAAGACATCTCACGCAAGTAATTTTGAGTTGATAAAGCTCAAACAAGCAATTTAATCTTGACTAGCCTTAAACCTTATTTGTGAAACCAGGGGTAAAAGTTTTATTTTAATTTTACGGGACCTTTAAAAGGCGCTTTATAACATGCTACATAATAATAAATGTGGTGACAAACAACAGCATCCAAGCTAAAAAAAAAATGATGTTGGATACACAGTGGCCGGATGCTCACCTGCTGTTTGTCCTGATTCATTCCGTCTTTGCAGACTCTGGCGTTAATCAGCTCGTCCTCCAGACTCTGTATTCTGTCCAGCAGCTCCTGCTTCTTCTGCTCTGAGGTGTTCTGATGCTCTTTAATGCTGGACAACTGCTCCACCATCTCTGCCAGCCTGACCTCCATCTCCATCTGAGACTAGAGCATGCAGAAAACAAGTCCAGCTAACACAAGTACAGTTCATGTTCCCATTCTGTAATAAACATGCTATTTTTAATGTTCTTTGAATAAAAAAAAACTGCTTCGTTTAAACATTAAGGGGGCCCTATTATTCCTCTTTTTACATGATTTAAAATAAGTCTCTGATGTCCCGAGAGTTTGTATGTGAAGTTTCAGCTCACGTTTTATGACCCTTTTAGGCTTTGATACAAATTGTGCTACAAATGCCTACGTGTAAACGCATTTTGTTGCCTTGTACATGTGTAATGACAATAAAGTAGAATCTAATGCTAATCTGAAAAGAGGGCTAAGGTTATGTTGCGTGTTCATTTGTGCATCCTGATGCTGTGTTCAATCATGCGTGAATAGACGCGTGAACATTTTGGCTCAATCCCAATTCTACCCCTTGTTTTGCAAGTTCACGTCAAGGGGTATGGGTGTCCCAATTCTCTTTAGCTTGAAGGCGTAGGACTAAGGGGAAGGGGTGAATAGCCCTGTGAACAAAGATTTTTCAGGACCACACTCGAAACCAAGGGGTAAGAAAATTTCCCAGAATACACCTGTCACAACGGTAGTGTTGCTGAACCCGGAAGTCAGGAGATCCACAAATCAGTATTTTTTGTCATTATTACGAATTTTTATGACAAATAAACATGTTTTAATACATTCTTAACCGCATTCGTGTTTTACCGTCATGCTTTAAAAAAAACGCTAAAGTAAAAACCGCTAAATTCCGCGATCTATAATCCATAATCATCCTGTATAGCAGTCCCACAACATTCTGACATTCCATGAGACTCTAATACCCTGTCAGTAATGTCCAGTGGCTGGGAATGAGCTTTTTACAGTGTCTGCTATAATGTTAATTTACTGTGTTTACATAGATGAATATGGCCACTGTGTAAATACACTGAAGGATTCGGATTTCTGCTTTCCAATCCGTCTCATCATGGAGCACCATTTATCCTTTTCATCATCCTGTTTCTCAGTATTTAACTGTGAATTGATTTTAACTAATGAATAAGTTAAAACTGCACACAAACACACAAACCAGGTCATAGGTCATGGAGATCTCTCTCTCTCTCCCCATCTGTTCCTATGACTGGAGGTCCAATACAGAGGAGAAGAAGACGCCTGTTCTAGTTGTCCTGATATTGCCTATAATATTATAGCTGTTTGATTGATCTGTTTTTGAGTATAATTAATTTTAATGTAATTCCTTTTTGTGTGGAGATAGACTGTGTGGAGTAAAGATATTGCAGCAGACTGTTGATGGAAACAGTCTTGAACCAGCCTGATAACACAGCTGAACGTACAAGATACATCCGTGAGTCTTTAACACAGATGGTCTTTTGTGTCTATTGTGTTCCTGGTTTAGCTTTTTACAGGTCGGAGATCAGCTCCTAATAACTTAGGGCGACCTCACCTCTAGGCATCAGGTCGCCATCCATATCTGGAGACAGATACAATGCTTTCTTTGACGCACACATTAAGACCATCCATATCTGGAAGTAGATACTATGTTTCTTTGACGCATGTATTTAGAATTGTCTATTTCTGTTGTAACCAATGAGAACTGTTGACCTGGATCCCACCCTTTCTGGACTTGTGTAAAGAGTATAATTGTTCGATTGTTGAAACTGTAAGGCAGAGCGGCCTAGGAACTCATTGCGAGTGTTGAAGCTGGCTTCTGCGAATGAAACTGCAAACTATCTTCAGTAAACTTGATTTTTTTTTAAAAATCTCTGACTCCGGCTCTTCTTCATCAACCAGACTGGTCATTCTTTGGGTTAAACTGTAAACTATCCCTACAACACAGTACAGTTACGATCTTATTGCCACATTATATCGTTATGATAACATAATATATGCCTTCAGTGATTTCCTGAAGATAAATAATAAAAAATAACACAACTGGAATAACTACAGCAGCCGCGATCTTCAATCACATATGAAGCAGGAGATCGCAATGACATATGATGATGTGTGCAGGTGTTGTAGTGCTGTCCCAATTCTTGGGGGTAAATTTTGAACTCCAGATTGGGCCTTACCGTACGTTCACACCGAAAGCGGCAAAAGCGTCAAATTAGCCGGAAATCATTCATTTTCAATGAGAGCTGGCGGCGATGGAGCAGCGCGGCGCGTCTTCGCCGGCGTGAGCATTGAGGAGAGTTGAAATGAAGTCAATTTTATGGTAATGAGCTATGACGCGGTTCGGCGGCAAGCAATCAGAATGAAGACGTCCACCGCTTGATAGCAGTTCAGAGAACACAGACCTGTGAACTTTGCTTCCGACCACAGTTGTTCCCAAGGGTTTGGGGATTTTCAATTATTTTCAATGTTTTCAATCACAGGAACATACATTAAATAAGTCACTGGCGAGATACTGATGTTCATTAATGTTATATAAATTTATCTTAAAAAAGCGGGAATCTCACGCGATGTGACAGTACAAAACAGTACTGCTGTTACAGGATATTTCAGACATATGGACACATATTGGATAAATAGAGCAAAGCCACACCACACGCAACTTGATCTTCCATTGTTGTATGAATTTGATAAGAAGTGCGCAACATTTTCACGCTAGAAACATGTTTTATGCAGGAATGTAACTGATATGCTGCAACGGCTCCTTTAAATATGAGATCAATGTAGCGAGTTTTGATGCTCTCGCCGCCGGAGCTGAAGGCAGACAGCGTTGTCGCCAGAGCGACCTTGGACGCTCTCGCCGCTTTCGGTGTGAACGTACGGTTAGAGTTTACTCGCTTCATTTGTGAGTCAAATTCACTTTACAATAGATGCGGATTCACGTCATGGGCAGGGCTTCTGTCTGACTCTAGCTTCGTTGCTAAATGGCTAACATGGATTTTATTAAGATAGTAGCTGTGCTTTTTGTGCTTTATGAAGGCTGAAAAACTGTGTAGATGCGTTCGGCGCTGTGTCCACTAGATCCTGATTTCATAGGTGCACCCAGCTCTATGAGTTCATGAACTCCTCCAGAAACGATTGCCTGGATGATTGAAACTTTCAGCGGTGCTTTAGACTGAGCGGAGCCCAGTTTGATGAACTGTTGTTTAGTGTCGGCAAGAGGATTTCCCCCACGGGACACCAAGAACAGGCACTGCAGCATAATCACGCCCCTACAAGAGCAAGCTCCTGATTGGTTAATGCACCACGAGTGTCAGCTGAAACTCAGATTTTCCAGCTTGATTGATCCATGTCATTACCGTAAATCGCCATGCAGGATGTCTATTTGTGTCTTTGCATTTACTTAATATTTAAATCACTCGTGCTTGATGCTTTATCTGCATCTGGTGTGAACGCAGCATAAAACCCCACATTTGAATCTGGAGAAAACCCACGCCAACATGGGGAGAACATGCAAACTCCACACAGAAATGCCAACTGGTCCAGCCAGGGCTCGAACCAGTGACTTTCTTGAATGTAAAAAAAAATGTAATTTATAATATTATAAACTGCAGTGCAAACATTACCTTTTGTGCACTTGTCTCCCTTTTGCACAGATCTGTGAGTGCACTAAGCATGTCCTGCTCTGTGTGTTGACCAGGAAGGCTGTGATCATCCAGCAGGGTTTCTACTTTCTTCATGAAGGCCCCGTGGTGACGGTGAGACGCCTTGGCTTCGTTCTGGCTAATCTGGAGTTTATTTTGCAGATCTTGAGACAGATTCTCGTAGTGTCTGCAGAGCTGCTGTGCAGACGCCAGCGCCGCTTCAGCCTCCTGCAGAGAGACTTTAGCACTCTGATTCTCCCTCTCCAAACTCACTTTCCTCAGGGAGATGAGATCCAATTCCTGAACAGAAATACAATATCACCGAATTTATTATAACACAATGCATCATATTTAGGCAAGGCAAGTTTATTTATATAACACATTTTATATACAATGTACTGTGGCCTCACAGCAAGAAGTTTGCTGGTTTGAGTCCCGGCTGGGTCACTTGGCTTTTCTGTGTGGAGTTTGCATGTTCTCCATGCGTTCGTGTGGGTTTCCTCCGGGTAGGCTAAATTGCCCGTAGTGTATGAGTGTGAATGGGTGTGTGTGGATGTTTCCCAGAGATGGGTTGGGGCTGGAAGGGCATCCGCTGCGTAAAAACATGCTGGATAAGTTGGCAGTTCATTCCGCTGTGGGGACCCCGGATTAATAAAGGGACTAAGCCAAAAAGAAAATTAATAATTGAATGAAACTATTTTTAATTTAAGGTGTTATATCTTAAGTTAAGACCTAAAATATATTTTAGGTCTTAAGATATAATATCTTAAATTAAAAATGGTTTCATTCATTCATTTTCTTGTTTGGCTTAAGAAACTTTCCGTAATACTCGCTCAGGTCACTATTTGACGAGTGGTTCACCCCAAAATTTTTAACACCAATTCTTCACACTTAATTTGTTGTAAACTTTTATGAATTTATTTTCTTCTGTTGAGCACAAAATAGGATATTCTGCAGAATGTTGGGGGGAAACAGCCATTGACCTCCATAGTAGAAACAAACAAAACAAAAAAAAAAAACAGTAGCAGTCAGTAGCTCATTCTTCAGTACATCTTTTGCATTCAATAGAAGAAACAAGGGGAAACAATTTATGTCAATTTTCATTTCTGGGTGAACTATCCCTTTAAAGGGGTGGTCCACTACGATATGATATTTTAAACTTTAGTTTATTCATTTATTTATTTAGTTGATGTGTAATGTAGCTGTGTGAGACATTGGCTTTTACATAGTTAGCTTAGCAAAGCCTACAGCGAATGAAGTTTGAGAACTACAAAAAATTCATTCAGGCTAGTGAGATTCACCACACGCAGCGAAGAAGTGTGGCTAGAGGCGCTGTAATGTTAAAGCAGACAAAGCTAAAATGCCGTCCAAACGCTGCTATTTCCACAGAGCTTGTTCTGTTTCTGTTTTTGAGCTTCTAAAGGACAAAAATAGAAGTGCAGTTTAATTTAATTATGTTCCAGAGAATTATAAAAAAGATATAGCTGACATTTGACAAAGGAAAGCTTGCAGAGTCTCTCCCAGTTCAGTGCTGGATTCAGCTAAAACTCCTCAAACAGACGAAGCTGTTGATTGTGAGCCACAACCTGTAAGTATTTTTATTTGATGCACTGCAAAAAATGCTTTTCTTACTTATATTTTTTGTCTTGATTTTTTCTGTCTTGAAAAACAAGATTATTTTGCTTACCCCATTGGCAGATTATTTTGCTTGATTTAAGGAAAAAATCACTTCATTTTGGCATATTATTTCTTAAAACAAGACAATATGTTTTGCTTGTCTAGAAAATGCTTCTTGATTTAAGATTTTGTAGATATTCGGACTAGAAACAAGACAAAAAAATGTAAGTAAGAAAAGCATTTTTTGCAGTGTAAAATTGATCAACTACATGCACAGTTTTTAGCGTTAGAGGTATGTTGTAGCAAGGTTGATAACAATTTAGCTACAATTTTATATTTATCAGTCAAACTGTTGTAAACACCCACAATCTTCAGCAGCACTGCAGTGTCTCTCTATGTGACAACTTTCCCTGCGTTCTACATCTCAAATAACAAACTCGCAAGAATGTTTTATATTTCTTAAGCATGCTATTTCCGAATATATGTGAAATATATTCATTTTAGAGAGCAGACGGGAGATTTAGCTGTGTGCTTTTCATTTTCTGTCTGATTCAGCTACTGCTTACACAAAAGCGTGTGCTTGTAGGATCGTGACATGACATGGAGCCGATTCACGAATCACAGCACATTATGTTAGCTGACCAATCAGAGCCTCTTGAGGGCGGGCCTTTCAGAGGAACTAGGAAATATGTCGTTTTCACATTAGCAGTGTAGCTGTATATAATAAAAGTGGGATATATGAAAAAATAACCTGATTTTCTACAAATGACGCATGAGCACACATTGCTTTGCATTCTATGAAAACAACCAAGCCTTAATAATACACTGTGGGCCACCCCTTTAAGTGTATCCGGTGTAAAGTGTAAAAAATATCTGGAAATAAGCATTTTTTTCCATATTCTTTCATTTATGCTTTTATTTTCCCCATTTATTTCTGCTTTTGAATTGCAATATGGGAGCTTGATCTTTCCTCCAACAACTTTTAACCTCTAAAAAGTTTTAAAAAGTAACTTTTACTAACATTTTTAATAGTTCAAGTGATTTATTGTCATGGTTGTTGTTGTATATAACAATACAAAATCCTTGTAATAAACTGCCAGTACATTTTTTTTTCTTTTACAGACTTATTTCTCTATATATAATTTCTCATTCCTTATATTATCTCAAACTACTAAAATGTCAATAAAAGCCACTTTGTTAAACTGCTGAGTTGAATTTACAACATCAAAACACGACAGAGCAGAGATCAACATCCCATAATGCAATTTAAATCTGTGAATAAACCAATAAAACACTTGTGAATCACAAAATATGTAAGGTGTTATTTCGCAGATATTTTTGTAGAGTGTATAAAGAGACCTGTCTGCTGGAGTTGAGCTCATTTGCTCTGGACGCTGAGAGTGTTTGTTCACGATCTACATCAGTGGCAAGTCTCTTCACAGTTTCTCTGCTGGCTTTACACTCCACCTCATACAGCTTCACACTCTCCTCTAGAGCACAAACACAGTTCTTCAGTCGCTCTCTGTCCTTGAAGCAAGCATCCACCTTCAGATGGAGAAATATGTTAGAGATCGGGAGGATATTACAGCATTGGTTGAAACATGTGAAAACACTCACCACAGATACAATATAATCCATAGGGTCTGCTTTTCCTGTCGCAATTACAGAGATTTTGTTTGCTAACGTTGATATAAACTCCTCACACTTTCTCTGGGCCTCAGCGGCTTCCTGTTTTGCCTTGTTGCATTCTGCGACATACTGTCTGCAAACAGGTATGAGTGTATATTAAAAGAACAAGTTGTTTTTCTTATGTACTTACAATAGTAATTACAATTAATTATGCATAATTACATGCAAGTAACCTAATCCGGATGGTAAGTACATGTACTGTAATAGTTTAGTATACAGTAACTGTACAGTTAAAGTTAATAAATATTAATATCTTAAAATATAGTGCATACAAAAAAAATAATCCTTAGAATAAAATACAAATGATTTTGGCAAGTTTGTCTTATTATTATATCTTACCTAATAAGCCATTTTTTATAAAAAAAAAATAAGTTATAGTAAAATAAGTTTCTGATGTCCCGAGAGTGTGTAGGTGACGTTTCAGCTCAAAATAACTTACAAATAATGTTTTATAACTCTTTGAAACTGCCCTTTTTATGGCTTTTATTCCTAATTGTGGCATTATTTGTGACTGTTGCTTTAAATATAAATGAGATTGTGCTCTTTTCAGAAAAGGGCAGAGTTACAAATGCCTATGTGTCAGCATAGTGGCAGATTCATAAAGAAGACTAATGGCCTATGCTAATGAGGGAGAGATGGTCACTAATGGGCGGGGCTTTTTACCTCTGATGACACATACAAAGGGAGAATGTAAGTCCAAGTGTTTCTGCAGACTTTTTTTTATAAAGTGTGATTATAAAAAATAAAATGAATACATTTTAACCATTAGAAACTGGTTATATTCACACACGGTTGCCACACAACTGTGTTTAAACCCCTTATAAATGTTATTTTAACATAATAAGTCCCCATTAAGGGTCAAATATGTATACAAATATAGATTTGCTTTTTTGTACAGTATGTAAAATGTGTCTTGCTTAATTTTATTTCATTTTTGAGTCAAAAATGTCACATTTTTTTACTAATTGTCATTTTCCTTAACAATAGTTTATATATCAAAAATGCTTTTTAAAAACAAAAAATAGTTATGCAAAATTTAAAAAACTCTATTTAAAAATCACAATGCAGCCCCATAATAATATATTCAATGCAATTTTATATCTATCTATATTTCAGTTTGTCATTATCTTTTAAACCAGCAATTTTATCTATTTGTCAGCAAGCACCTTTTAATCATAAAAATGTATAAATTATCATAGTATGATCAATTAATCTATTATTGTATATATATGATATATAAAATATATATTTAAGTAAGTCTTATTTTTTGCAACTTGCATCAGTCAGATTGCCTAAAAAAAGTGTTAGACTGTGTTGTACTTTGTATAACTAAAACAAAAGTATTGTTTTAACCTCATTACGCTGATTAAAATGAATTCAAATAACAAAACTAAGAGCTGTTGTCATGACTTTTTGTCATATAGTATTTACCAGTATACAAATCAGAATATGTATGTTGATTTGGTAAACACATGATGCAGTTTTGAAATTAGGTTTTTTATTTTATTATTAAGAGAAAACAAAATACAAAACTACATAGCCCTGTGTGAAAAAGCTTTCACTGGTAACTGGTTGAGGCACCCTTAGCAGCAACAACTGCAGTCAAACATTTTTGATAACTTTCAGTGAGTCTGTTACATTCATCTTTGCATAATTGTTGTAATTTAGCCACATTAGAACAACCTTTTAAGGTCGTTCCATCTCAATTGGATTCAGGTCAGAACTTTGACTAGGCCACTCCAAAATCTTGATTTTGTTTCTCACACAGGGCTTTGTAGTTTTTACATTTTGTTTTCCTGTTTTATCTGTTATCACTGACCAATATTTAAATTTGGTTGATCTGAAACATTAAAGTGCGACATACATACACCATTAATAAAAAAAAAATCAGTCTTGTTAACAACACTTTTTTTACACCACTTTTATTCTGCATGATGCTAGAACATTTTTATTATTCATTTCTTATGCTTTATGTATTTATAATTGTTTTGTCTTTTAATTTTTATGATCCCACCAAATGTGATATTCCATCTTAGATCTGTAAATACAGCAGGGGAAATAAGTATTGAATGTGTCACCATTTTTCTCAGAAAACATATTTCTAAAAGTGCTGTTGACTTAAAAATTTCCCCAGATTAACAACCAAAGAATTGCACATGTGCAAAGTAAACAAAACTAATTTGTTTACAAACGAAATTATGTGTAATAAAATAAAATGACAGAGGGGAAAAGTATTGAACACATGAAGAAAGGAAGGTGTAGAAAGGCAGTGAAAGCCCAGACAGCAGCTGAAATCTTTCAGTAGTTCTTCAGCAACCCTCTGCCCTTCCTCAGTGTAAATTAATATTATTATCATCTACATTATGATGATGAAGATGAAACCCGGGTGGACATTTCAGCAAGACAATTATCCAAAACTCAGCCAAGGAAACTCTCAAATGCTTTCAGAGAAAGAAAATCAAGCTGTAGAATAACCCTAAAAAAAGTCTTTAAGCTGCCATCACCAACAAATAAAGCCTTTTATATAAAGCATTTCGATATATTTCAGTGCTTTCTCCTTGTGTCACTCTGTTGTTATTACACATTACAAATGTTTCTAATTTGTTTTATTTTTATGTTTGAACTGTTTGGGTTTTTACCAAAATCTGGTTCAATTCCATCTGAACAGCTCCTATAGAAATATTATTCCCAGAAAAAAAAACATGACATGTTCAATACTTATTTTCCCCACTGTAAACACTAGTGTAAAGTAAATGCTCACTTAGACTCGACTTCAAGCTGCATTATTTTCTCCTTGATCTCCTGGTTCTCCTTGGTGAGGGTCTGTATTCTGATGTCCATGATGCTTCTGGTGGAGGTGATGGAGATCATCTCTTGCTCCGTGTTGTAGTTGCGTTCTCTCAGGGAGCCGATCAGAGACTCCTGTCTGGCCTCTTTCTCTTTGTATCTGTCTACAGCATCCTTTAAGCTCCTCAAAGTCTCTTCTTGAGAAACAACTCTGGATTGGCTTTCTGAGAGCTGATAAAATGAAATACTTTAATTCGTAAAACATAAGTTCACAATTGTGTGTAGAACCAACAAACCCAAAAAAAAATCGTAAAATGGATGAAAGAGTGTTAAACGTTTTTAAAGTTTTGCTCACTTTTTTGGACATATTCTTATAAGACGTGGAGAGCAAATTCAGATAATTTAAGAGCATTAGGTTTACACTGAATGGTTTTGGCTTTATAAAGGTGAAACTAACCCAAAAGACAGTAATGCAGTAGCAATAGTGCAGTATGTAGGAGAATGATGTGGCAGTGAGTGTGTAAACCTGTGTTTGTAGGCTGTTGTGTTTGGCCTGCAGGGCTGCCAGCTCCTCTCGTGCAGTTTCTGTGGCCTGTTTATAATGCGAGAGGTGCTGCTGGATTACTGACTCGTCCATCATCAAACGCTGTTAATCAAACCTGAGTCAAAATACAGAATTCAGAAAATCTGGTAACATTTTATTTGAAGGGGTGGTTATAAAACTGCAATGAAACCTTATAATCATGACATGACCTATAATCCATGACACATTTCAAGATTTTATGCATGCTTATGACAACTGTTATTAAGTGTCATTTGCTCAGTTATTTTAAATGCAAAGATGACATTGTTTGTTATGACAACTTAACATAGATAACATAACTTGATGATAACGTGACTCGTGAGGCCATTATAATTGTGTCATGAAAATTTTTCAGTGGAACAAATTTGTCCTTAAAATGTCTAAGTAAAAGTGTCATTACTCTGTCAAAGAAAATTAACAGCGTCAGTAATATTTACTAAATATTAAAGACCAATACAGCTTTAACCACTGTATAACTGATTTATTTTATCTTTGCCATGATGACAGTAAATAATATTTGACTAGATATTTTTCAAGACACTTCTGTTCTGTTCTGTTCAGCTTAAAGTGACATTTGAAGGCTTAACTAGGTTAATTAGGTTAACTCTGCAGGTTAGGGTAATTAGGCAAGTTATTGTATAACGATGGTTTGTTCTGTAGACTATCAAAAAAATATATATAGCCTAAAAAGGCAAATTATTTTTTCCTTAAAATGGTTTTGAAAAAATTAAAGTCTGCTTTTATTCTATCTGAAATAAAACAAACAAGAATTTCTTCAGAAGAAAAAATATTATCAGACATACTGTGAAAATTTCCTTGCTCTGTTAAACATCATTTGGGAAATATTTAAAAAAGAAAAAAAATTCAAAGGGGGCTAATAATTCTGACTTGAAGAAAACTATTCAGTATTGGGTCAATTGTTTATATTACTGTGCTACTATAGCAACTACAAAAGTACAACAACAGATTAAAAGTCAATTTCTTAACTAAAGTATGGTAAAAACAGTACATTGTTCATTGTTTGCTATTAATTACTATAATATATATATATATTAATTACTATAATATATATAATAATAATCTGTTGTTGATTAAAATCTGTAATCTGTTGTTAAGTCTGTTGTTTATATATATATATATATATATATATATATATATATATATATATATATATATATATATATATATATATAAACAACAGACTTATTTAAGTTACTTAAGTATGGTAAACACTAAGTTAAATTACTTACTATTTTTTCACATGGGAGTGTAATGTGCTACAAAACATACCACATTTCGTTCAGTCACTCCTGTAGATATTAGCGTTTTGAGCCTGAAACAAGTCAAATGATTTATGGGTTTAACAGTAGACAGTGAAGTAATTTTTTAGCAAACGATTCATTTCATGAATAAAAAAATGGCGCCAGTAAGTCACACTATAAACTGACACGATATACAAACACTCACTTGTCTCTGTTGTTGCTCCACGTCAATATATCAAACATTCTCCGACTAAATCAACATTACTCCGTGGATTATGAACGTTAATGTGGCTCTAGTTTATCGGGTCTCCAAGCAACATAACAACATTTAAAGTATTCGCCTATAGACGGCGCAAGATTCAATGCTAATAGCCCATCTTTTACAGTCTATTTATTATTGCATAGCAAGCAAAATAGCAAACAAAGATCGAGGATTACATTACTTACATCTTTTTCCATTAACATCAAAGGAACAAATCAATAGAGAAACAAAATTAGATTTTATATTAAAATTACAAGTAATTTGTAAATAGAAAATAACTATAAAATAAATAGAAATCACATACATCCTTAACCAATTTAGTTTTAACTCCATAAATATTTTATTTATAAGATCTTTAATGGTTTCAATATAATGCTTAAGATCAATTTAAACAAATAAATATCAGGTTTTTAACTTGGCCATTTTTATTTGTGTACATGCTATTTCCCATACAGTATATAATCACCAAGTTAGGATTGAATTATTCAGTCATTCATTTTCCTTAGTCTCTATATTAATCAGGGGTCGCCACGGGGAATGAACCGCCAGCCTATCCAGCATATGTTTTACACAGTGGATGCCCTTCCAGCTTCAACCCAGTACTGGGAAACATCCATACACACTTACACACACACAACGGCCAATTTAGTTTATTCAATTCCCCTCTAGCACATGTCTTTGGACTGTGGGGGAAACTGGAGCACCTGGAAGAAACCCACGCCAACAATAGGAGAAAATGCAAGCTCCACACAGAAACTGACCCAGCCAGGGCTCGAACCAGCAACCTTCTTGCTGTGAGGTTATACCACTGAGTAACAGCTTGTTTCACTGGTTAAATGAAATTAATCAGTTTAAATGTCACTTCTTTAACTGTAAAGTTAATCCAAATATGCATTGGAGATATAGTTTTACTTTTTATTTGACTGCTGCATTTAATTCTTTAGACTGTACTTGTCATTTTAAATAGATTTTAATTCAGTGAAAATTTAAATTTTGAGCATCTTTTTTGACATAAATAACATTACGTCCTTCTAAAAGCATTCATTACTTCATTCATTGGTTTTCCTTCAACTTAGTCTCTTTAGTCATCAGGGGTCGCCACAGCGGAATGAACCACCTAAAAGCATTCACTTATTTAAAATAATAATGTTGATATTTAGAGCATTATTTATTTATTTATTTAATTTTGTCATAAATTAACCAAAAAGCTGCCATGGTTTTATAGGCATAATTTATTTTTTTAGAAACACAATTATTTAACATCAGAAGAGTTAATAAATTAATATTCAGAGAAATAACGCTGATTTTCATTTCCGACAAATGAAAAACATTTGTTACTCTGTCATTTTCTGTAAAATAAATAAATAAATAATTGTATATAAAAATTTTTTAATTCAAATAATAAAGCTAATAATGCTTGATGACAATACAAGAACAGGAGCATAGCCAAGAGCTTACATACATAACTGTGAAATAAAGCTAAAACTAAATACACATGCTGTACATGCATTCATTGAAAAAAAAAAAAAAAAATATATATATATATATATATATATATAAATATATATATATATATATATATATATATATATATATATATATATATATATATATATATATATATATATATATATATATATATATATATATATATATATATATATATATATATATATATATATATATATATATATATATATATATATATATATATATATATATATATATATATATATATATATATATATATATATATATATATATATATATATATATATATATATATATATATATATATATATATATATATATATATATATATATATATATATATATATATATATATATATATATATATATATATATATATATATATATATATATATATATATATATATATATTTATTTATATATATATAATGATAAAATTAATAAATAAAAAAATAGTAAAAAAGAATGACCTTACAATTGTATTCAATGAAAAGCATAAAAAGAAAGCATCTAAATAAAAGGATTTCCTTTAAATATCTCTGTATAATATTACTTAAATTAAATGAAATATTTGCTTGTGAATGACAAATCTACCATATAAAATAAATAAAATAAAGAAATTTGTGCTGTGTTCCAGGGCAGGAGTGTTTATTTTTGATATCATCATAATAAAATAGTGTCATATAGTAAAGGATTATTATATATACAGCTGAAGTTAGAATTATTAGCCCCCTTTAAATTTTCTTTTTTGTTGTTGTTGTCTTTTTTTAAATATTTGCAGAATTATGTTTAACAGAGCAAGGAAATTTGTAAAGTATGTCTGATAATATTTTTTCTTCTGGCGAAAGTCTTATTTGTTTCATTTCAGCCAGAATAAAAGCAGTTTTTTTTTTAATGACAAAATTATTAGCCCCTTTAAACTATATTTCTTTTCTTAGAACAAACAATAACTTATGCAATAACTTGCCTTATTACCCTATTCTGCCTAGTTAACCTAATTAACCTAGTTAAGCCTTTAAATGTCACTGTAAGCTGTATAGAAGTGTCTTGAAAAATAAGTAGACAAATATTATTCAGTGTCATCATGGCATCGATAAAATAAATCAGTTATTAAAAATGAGTTATTAAAACTATTATGTTTAGAAATGTGCAGAAAAAAATCTCTCTGTTAAACAGAAATTGGGGGAAAAATAAACAGGGAGGAGAATAATTCTGACTTCAACTGTATTATATTTATATAGCTTATATAATCTTATTATTGATAAATAAAACATATTAAATAATGCTAGGCCTTGCTAACTCAAAAAAATGAAATAAATACACGGTTTCTATCGTTTTTTGTTTTTGTTTTTTTGTTTGTTTTTGTACTCTTATTAATTTTACTTATATAAATATCTAGTAATCATTTTCCTCGTGGAGGAACTTTTACGTGCTATTTTGACGTCATCAAAACACAGGAAGTGCCTGGATCTCTCGTGCGCATAGATAGCTCGTGAGTTGGAACTGTCAAATGAGCTTGAAGTGAATGCGTGAGGATGTAGCAACATTTGTATCGCACAACTTCTACCATCAAGCTCTTTAATTTGGGTGGACTGTGAATGTACAGGTACGCTAAAAATTATAATGATATACACATCAGTGAATTATTAAAGAAATCAGTGAGCAACATTCGTGTTTACAGTACTGTCAGCGAGCAATTGATAACGTAAGTGTGTGTGTTTTATATCGGAGCGCAGCAGACACGTGTTTTTTTTTCATTTCTGCTCAAAAATATACCTTTTAAATGAGATATTAGCTACTATGAACGTAAATTTGACTTATTCGCTGTGTTCACATGCTTGTCATTCAAGGTCAATTGAATAAAGGTCTTTAGACGATGTATATAATGCTAGTTTTGCTAGTTTATTTATTCAGGTAAAGTTGGTTTTATATTCACACATTCTGACTTACTCCTTAGTAATATAATTTCATAAAAGTATTATTTGCTAAATCTAAATAGGTAAATCCTAATAGCAGCCAATGACTATCAAAGTAGAACATTTTTCAGTCAAATAAAAAGTGCTCATGTTGTTTAGAAGTGATACTTTGCATGTGATTTCAGACCCAATATTTAAAGTAGTGAGGCAAACAATATAGGGAGCATGTCACAAATTGCCACTGAAGGAATGTGCAAATACAGTGGGTACGGAAAGTATTAAGTCGGGGCTCTGGCTGGGCCATTCAAGAACAGTCGAGTTGTTGCATTCATATTTCTCTCGATTGCAACCTCTCACCCTGTCCCTGCAGCTGAAAAACACCTCCACTACTATTGGTGTAACGGATCACAGATCTCACGGTTCAGATCACATAAAGGTTTTTAGTCACAGATTTTTCGGATTAGCCAAAAAGAGGAGGAGACAAATGTCATTTGCTTTCCTTTTATTAGAAAGACAGCACTGCAAGCATCTTTGGTTTTAACAAACAGAACTTAGAAGCTGTAATTTTATTAAAAATTTAATGAAGAAATAATCAGCCGAATAAAAATAAATTGTAAAATATTAATTACTGTGAAAAATTCACTGTTACTACTGTAGCTGATCTAACATTATAGTTTGTACCCACATTTATTTTCAGTCTCATTTTCAATAAATGATGCAGTTACTCACTCATAAAACTTCATGTTTCATTGCTAGATGTATCTTTTTTTTTTTTTTATAAAAAACTATTCAGTGGCATATTTTTGATGGCCACCTATCGGTAAAAAAAAAATTCTTATGTAATTGTGTCTAATGATAAGTAAAAATGTTTTCCGAAATGTATATTTGTCTCGAGCTTTGTAAAAGTGTTTCACACTTTGTAACGTTGTTTTGCACTTCCCAGCCACTGTACTACTTTACCATAAACACAAACTGCTATCCCAGTACTTCAGTGTTATTTGACTGTTTGTAACTTCATAACTAACTCAAAAGACTGAATCTCTTTCTTGATTTTTGCGTTTTCCGATTTGAATGCAGCAATTTGTGCGAATATTAAACGTATGCAAATCACCATCATTTATAATTTATGTTGTGTGGGTGTTGAGATCCCAATCTTTTAATGATTAATCGAGCAGCTTACACTGAATGCATTAATGCAGGCTAAGTTAATGTAAATTAATGCACAAGTAGTGACAGAAATTACCTTTAATGAAACCCACCACGTGCCAAATAACCCACCACAACATCTTACGTCATCATTATACTTTACAGGAAAGCCTAAATGCTTTCTTACATGTGATTTGAATGAAGTGAGAAGCGATCTCTCTGTGATCGTTACCAATTTAGGATTAATCTACCAGTAAAAAAAATTCAATCAATCCGTTGGCCAAGTGTGTTCTGAACCGTGGGTTGTGATCGTACACATCATGGAACAACCCAGATCCGTTACACCCCCCTACAAAGCATGATGCTGCCATCCCCCCAGCATCACTGTTGGACTGTATTGGACAGTGCCTGATTTTCTCCACACATACCACTTAGGCCCCGTTTACACTAGTGGGTTTTAGTTTTAAAACGGCGTTTTAGAATGAAAACGATCCGCGTCCACACT